CTGAGGGTGCTGGTGTTTGTCTGCATAAGCTTTCCGGGTCATGTGGCCAGCATGACTAAACCGCTTGTGACGCAATGGGACACTGTGATGAGTGCCAGGGTGCATGGAAACGCCATTTACCTTCCCACTACAGTGCCGTTTACCTTCCCGCCTATTTATCTACTTGCACTGGTGTGCTTTCGAACTGCTCGGTTGGCAGAGGCTGGGACAAAGCAACGGGAGCTCACGATGTTGCAGCGATTCAAACCGCCAGCCTTCCAATCGGCAAGCCCAAGAGGCTCAGTGGTTTAGACCACAGCGCCACCTTTATCCCTCTACCTGAATATATGTCTCTCTCCACCAGTCATTGGCTGCTTTCAAAATAGTGTACTGTCCAGAGTATGCAGACCTTCCAAGGGTCCCTATTTTCCAGGAATGGCCCCAGATTTACAGAAGCCGTCCGGTTTCTGATTTGATACCGGAATGTCCCACTTTTCCTTAAAGGTAAAGGTAAAGGGACCCCTGACCATTAGGTCCAGTCGTGACCGACTCTGGGGTTGCGGCGCTCATTTCGCTTTATTGGCCGAGGGAGCCGGCGTACAGCTTCCGGGTCATGTGGCCAGCATGACTAAGCCGCCTCTGGCAAACCAGAGCAGCGCACGGAAATGCCGTTTACCTTCCCACCGGAGCGGTACCTATTTATCTACTTGCACTTTGACGTGCTTTCGAACTGCTAGGTTGGCAGGAGCAGCGACCGAGCAACGGGAGCTCACCCAGTCACGGGGATTTGAACCGCTGACCTTCTGATTGGCAAGTCCTAGGCTCTGTGGTTTAACCCACAGCGCCACCACACCACTTTTCCTTACGACACCCCTGTTTTCATCTGAGAATTGCTGGAGGGTATGGAGTTATGCAACCCCCAAAGCCAAGGATATAAGTAACTATACGACCTTTAGAAGACATATGAAGGCAGGCGTGTATAGAGAATAATAATAATAATAATAAGCACCTCACAGTTTTATTATGTTTTTATATATGTTGGAAACCACCCGGGGCAACCCAGTCAGACGGGCAGGGTATAAATTATTAATTTTTTAATTTTTTTATTTATTTTTGTTGCTGTTAAATAGGACGTCTCTATTTTCATTGGAGAAATATTCCAGGGTATGGAGGTTGGTGTTAAGCATTCATCACTCCCCAGTGAGCCCCATAGCCAGAACCAAAGCAAGGTTTTGCACAAATTCAGAAGTCAGCTAAATTCTAGAATTTCACATTATTTTAAATTTGCCCTGATTTTTTTGGTCATTCAAGGGCAATAAGCCTAAATCACGAAGGCTCGCAAAACTAGTTTCACCGTTCTTAAAATGTGGGCTTCAAGGGTTATAAAAACATATTGTAAAGCAAGAATCAGTATATGCATTTTATATATAGTATACACTGACAGCCTTTTCTAAATCCATAATCCAAATCCAAATCCATAATTGTGGATTTGATTTTTTCTACAAAATTCGTAGAACTGATTGACAAACGCACTAAGGGGAGCATCATGGGAATCGTTAGCGCCTCTGTACACGTGACGTGGGTGGCGCTGTGGGTTAAACCACAGAGCCTAGGGCTTGCCAATCAGAAGGTCGGCGGTTTGAATCCCCGCGACGGGGTGAGCTCCCGTTGTTCGGTCCCTGCTCCTGCCAACCTAGCAGTTTGGAAGCACACAGTGCAAGTAGGTAAATAGGTACCGCTCCGGCGGGAAGGTAAATGGCATTTCCGTGTGCTGCTCTGGTTCGCCAGAAGCAGCTTAGTCGTGCTGGCCACATGACCCGGAAGCTGTACGCCGGCTCCCTCGGCCAATAAATCGAGATGAACACTGCAACCCCAGAGTCGTTTGCGACTGGACCTAATGGTCAGGAGTCCCTTTACCTTTTTACACGTGACACTAATGATGTCACTTGCAGATGACACATAAATGCCCAAGCCTGAGATGTCATGTTGGTACTCCAAGCCATAGAAAGTGGCACCTCGAGGAAGACGATGTGTGTTCTGCATAGCAGATGGAGGTATTTCAATGGCCTCTCTTTTCTACTACTCAGATAGGGCTGCAAAGTTCCCGTCCTTTTATCATCACATTCATTTTTAAAGCGATTCTTTAATAAGGAATGCACCTGTCGACATTTAAGCGCAAATGTCTGTAATTCCCGAGGACAGTTCTTAGGGGCAGTCAAATCCTCCGGAACAACCTAATTAAGAGAAATTCCAGTGGCTTATAGGAAGAGCAGCCAGAGGCCCAAAGCCAGGCTGAAGCAAAGGCAAAACACATTAAGGGCTTTACCCCTATTTCACTTCTATTCTCGCATGTTATTTAAAAGGCCATTAAATGGGTCACTTAAAAGGATGTTGAGCTGTAATGCTTCAATTGGTTTGCAGGAAATGGGAATGAACTGCGTAAGGCGACAATGCAGACGACAGGGGAAAATGCATAAAGTCCTTGCTGGAGAAAGCATTCAAAGAAACTTAAATTGGACAAGCTTACCAATGATCCAAGCTATTCCACGGCAACTTTTTTTTTTACATGCAGCTCTAAATCAACCCGTTGCTTTCTCATTTTTGGAGGCAGAACTTGCAGTTTAGCAAATATCCAGTGTATTGACTTCGTTCTGTGCTACAGAACACATAGCATCCTTCTGTTTTGCTAAAGCATCACCAGTTTGAAACATGCCTGGGACCCCCTTCCCAGCTAAGAGACTTCACATTTAAATTCAAAATTCACTCTTTCCAAAGCAACACATGAATCGAAATGCAGTCCCCCTTTGAAATGGGCACTTACCCCAATTTTGTAATGTAGCCAAGTAATGCACACAAAAATCCAGATTCTGTATGCATGTGTTAGTGAAAATAACACAAAAGATGCATTATATTGGGGAAAGCTGATTTGCAAAAACATGTACATTGGGCAAAATTGCCTACGAAAACATGTATATTTGGATATATCTGCATGAAAATGCTGGAGAATATCCAGGACTTTAAAAACAACACCCCACAAACTGGTGTGGAAATGCGGATAACTGATTTTAAGACTAGAAAAATGAGGAATTCATAGAAACCGATGGCTTTGCCCATTGCTATCTGCCAATGTCTGCCACCAGCCTGACTTGACAATTAGGACACCATGAATATGTCAGCAGTGCTAGTCTAAGGAAAACAGAGATGCTCCAGACCTGGAGGGCTAATGGAGCTGTGTTGCAGGGCAACATCGTTCAGCACTCCCGACGATTAAAGTGAAGAGAGAAACTGACAAGAGAGGAGTCTGCAGAAGCGATGCTGAAGGATCCTTGCTCCAATAAATCGCCTGCTATCCTAAGTCTTCAGGGCCCAAGATGAAAATCTGTGCTGCATTTTGTCAAGAGGAGGTGCAAAAGGCCAGCTCACATGTAAAGTGGAAAATTAATGTCAAGCTAGCTACAAAATGGCACGTTTGGCCATAAATATCAAGAGCTGCCTTCTGACAGCACTAACTCTAGAGCATATTGAACAAATAGCAACACAAAGCCTACGTGGAAAAAAAAACACTGAAAATGGCACCATAAGCTACCGTATCTTTTGCTCTATAAGACGCACCCGACCATAAGACGCACCTAGTTTTAGAGGAGCAGAACAAGAAAAAAATATTCTCTCCTTCTCTGCACAGCGCCCCTTCAGCAAAGCGGCAGAAGAAACTGAGCCCCTTCCGTTTCTCCTCCCGCTTCGCTGAAGGGGCGCTGCGCAGAGAGGGAAAGCTGCGCAGTGCCTCTCCAGCAAAGCCTCTGGAGGCTTCGCATTGCTATCGCTGAAGCCAGGAGAGCAAGAGGGGTTGGTACGCACTGACCCCTCTCGTTCTCCTGGCTTCAGGGATAGCCGCCAGAAGCCTCTGGAGCACAGCAGGAGTTCCCGCTGCACTCCAGAGGCTTTGCATTGCTTTTACTGAAGCCATGGAACCTGCATTCGCTCCATAAGACGCAAACACATTTCCCCTTACATTTTAGGAGGGGAAAAGTGTGTCTTATAGTGTGAATAGTACGGTAAGTGGGACTTGTAGCCTTGTTTTGCCAATTTCACATTTTGTATCTAGATTCATTATTTTTCATTATCATATACCTTTATGCTTAAGCTCCATGTATTATGAATTTCCCCCCTGGAGTCATGCAATCTGAAAGAGTCCTGAAAAAGTTATAGTGAAGAAACTGAGGGTGTAGTGGCGCCCGCCCTGTAGAACGCCCTCCCATCAGATGTCAAGGAAATAAACCACTCCCTGACTTTTAGAAAACATCTGAAGGCAGCCCTGTTTAGGGAAGTTTTTAATGTTTGATGTTTTAGCGTGTTTTTAATATTGTGTTGGAAGCCGGCCAGAGTTGCTGGGGAGACCCGGCCATATGGGCGGGGTATAAGTAATAAATTATCATCACCATCATCAACATCATCAGGCATGCATGCTGGGATAGTTAGCCTCGCCTTCCTGCAAGTTGTGAAATTTGGTAGGGAACATGATGCTATAACACACTTCGATGCATGTGTGCAAACATCTCTGGTGGATTAAATTCAGGAACTTACCACCACCAGAAAATGTTACAAAAACAACACAATATTCTTCTCTTGGGCATGTGGGTCAAGAGTTGTTGCATGCAGACCCAAGGGTTTGCTCTGGCTTGCTCTGGTTGTGCAAGTAATGTTAAACTATGGTACGGGTAATAAAATGATTCCTTCTCTGACCCATACTTAGTACCATTATTGTAACTCTCATTGGTTTTGTAGTTATACAATAGGTAAATTCACTCCATTTTTCAGATTTCCTATTGCTATGGAGGTTCAGATAGACCTATTATAGTCTAATAATAAATAGCTGCAACTGTTGGCCTGATTATCCCTGCAATCTACAAACTGAAGTACAAGACACAAACCCCACATATTATTCATAATTGTAGACTCCGCCCCTCCAAGTAACAGGAGCAATATGACTTAGGCTTCTGAACAACAATAACCCAGAACAGGATGGTATCAAAGTTACGTTTTATTGAATTACGTTTAAATTTCATATAGAAATATATTAACTGAATGTGTTTTAATTGGAAGTAGCTCCAAGGAACAAGGTCTACGGAAGGTATAAATGCTTGCAACATTGAAGAAAGAAGAAAGATCATGTTAAACCCATCAACATCCACACCAATTTTCTGTATCCGCAAGAATCAAGGCAACTTGCGAGTTAGCAATAAAGTCTATTAGAAGTTATCTAAGACAGGATTTGCATAAAGGTTTCAGGTTGCTGATCTGAAAAAGGAAACGGCTCCTTTTTTTCTTCCCAGGCGAACTCAATCCAGCAGGGAACTCACAGCTTTGCATACTGTTGAAGAATCGTCCCCAGCTTCTGGCTCAGCATGATGTTTCCTTTAACTTTCAGCTTACCAGAGATGAATGCCTACAGCAAGCAGAGTGGGGGGGAAACAATTAAAGAGGCTGTCTCTGCTCTTCCAGAGTTGCACTTTTAAAGAACAGTTACAAGAGAATGCGACAACGAGGAATTAACTGGGGACGGGGGCGGCATCTGCTGTGGACAATTGGGGTCAAACCTATTGAATCACCAGGAGTTGTTGTTTCTTTGAACTAAAGGAAAGGAATAGAATAATTCTGAATAGGGATTTTGAAGATCTGGACCATTCCACAGTTAGGAGTGTAGAGCTATGAGACTGCAAAGTCTCGTATTGCCTACTGCAAAATGTTACCATGGGTAGAAAGGAAATGCTGCACATTAGCACAATAAGTCATCAATTCAGCAACGTTGATGCTCAATTCTTAGGCTATACATAACCAGTCGTTACAGCGTGCAGAACATGAAGAGGTGAATTCTCAGCAAAGTATCACTTTTAGGATGCACAAAATGAAATTGATAAACCCACACTATTATAGCTAAGCGTTATGGCTTGGTGCACACTATTCTGTCATGTCTAGGCTTGCCATAACGCCTGGAAAATTCCAGACATGCCAGGAAATTCCAGACACGCCAAAGGCCTGGTTGAAGAGGAATGCTTTTGTCTGGCGCCTAAAAATATATAATGAAGAGACCAGATAAACACCATCCCACAAATGGGGAGCCACTACAGAAAAGGGCTGTTCTTGTGTTGCCACCCTCTGGACCTCACGTGGAGGAAGCACACGAAGAAGGGACTCGGATGATGAATGTGTTAGAATTCCTGCTCCATGATTGCAGTCATGGGATTTTTGTCTTTCACATGACGGTCTATGTTTTGACTCCACAGAATGGGAAGAGACAGAAACAGTATGTTTGTGTTACTGTGTTCTGTGAAGTGAGACTGTTGTCCTTTGTTCTTTTTCTCTTTGCTGTCTGATGCTAGAGAGAGAGGGAGCCATGTTGCAGTGCTCCGTGTGTGTTTACATGTAAATAAAGTAGATTAGCCCAAATGCTGAGTTGCTGAGGTCTGTCACACAAGTTGCGCAAACTCTGCGGATCCCTAAGTGTGCCGGTGTTGGTTGGCATCGGTCGCTGTGATGTTTGGGCTGAAGAAAGCTTATGAAGCTCCCGAACGATTGACCAGGAGGGAGAGAACATGCCAGGCGGGCATGTGTCTCTGCCAGGGTCCTACTCAAGTGTAGGCTGAACTCCTGACAGATTGCAGGGGCCAGGACACTTCATATGGGGAGAGGTGAGCCTTCAGGTATTGTACATAGCATTGTAATGACTGAAACAAGATGTCCAAGATGACCAACAAATTAGGTATTTTCTTAATATGGGAAGTTGTTGCTGCCCTAGCCATCCTTTGTTTAGGCTTGTTGCTTTAGCATCTCTTAAGCACCTGCAAATTAAAAGTCATTCCTTTAATACATGAATTCTGCATCTGTACCTTTTGTGGGTTGATCTTGCCTAGCACCAAATCCACGAAGTCGTCATCCGACAAGCTGAAAATGGTATCAGCCTTCCCGCGGGCTGGTCCCTGGTACACTTCTCCAGAGCCATTCTTTAAGTCTATGGCTGGGGGAAATTGATAAGAGTTTTTTTAAAAAAAAAATGGAAAAAGCAAAAACTGAATGTTACATGCTCCCTTAAGAACTTTTTTTTATCAAGAAGAGAGTCATACAGAACACTGGGAACTTAAAAGATACAAGACAACAGTGGTTAACAGCAATGAGATTAATTCCTGAATTTAATTAGTCTGAACTAGTAAACACACAAACACACCAGAGCTCAACATTATCAAAGCAGAAAAAAGACAAAAGCAAACATTTCTTTTATCACTACACCCAGATTCCCAACCATATAAGTTCCTAAATTATTTTAATTTATTAACACAGAAGTAATGAAGTCTACCTAATTACGTGCCTCCCGTTCAGTCATTTGAGTTACCTGCTGTGGGGATGCTCCAACGGAGAGTGGCTCAATTTATGAAACTCGTTATCCCCAGGCACTCGGGTCCTTTGAGCCCCCTCACAAGATGACAACCTGTTCGGCTTTCCGCCGTATCCTGCAACCTACCCTCATTAAGCATCCGAGTGAAGAGGTTGTACATATGCTTTAATAGCTAATTACCTGGGGAAATTGCTTCTGCTGAAAAGTGTTGGCTCAGAATCTCTGCCAGTTGCCTCAAAACATTTATTTCCCAGGCCATTTGAGATGCGGTGCCAAGGGGGTGGGGGCACACAGAATGATGCTGCTGCTTGGAGAAGGCAGTGAAATCCCTGACTGGAAGCAGGTTCAGAACATACAACATGAAGTATTTCTTCACTTAAGGAAGTGGGCTCTGGGCTGGCCCTGCTCTCAGAGTCACAACTGCCCATTGGCTCCACCCCAGGACCTCAGTGCGTTAGGCAAATGGGGGAACCTTTGAATTCAGCTGAAGGTGACAGGCTCCTCCATGGGACCCAGAGTCCCAAACTCCACAATCTATTCATCTGAACATGTATAGGTTCCTCCTTCAGACCTTCTGGCAATGTGCAGAAGGTCTGGAGGGTAGAGCCAGTGAGGAAAGTGGGGTGTCCATTGCGCACAACCTCCTCCACCAATGTTCTTCGAACATATGGAGCTTAATTTCTGGAGTGGGCTAATAGAATTCACTGCCACAAGATGTGGAGATGGTTTTAACTAAACTGGTGTATGAGCAAAAGCCAGCAGCACAGAGGCAACAACAACAACAACAATAATAGTAATAGTTTGTTGTGGTTGTTTTTTGGAATTGTTTTTATTGGATTTTACAAATGTAAAGTTCTAACAACACCAAATGCATATCCATATATAGAGATTTCTCTGAATCTCGAGACTTCCCACCATCCCCCTTCTGGGTCCTATTGTCAACATTTTCAGCTGCATATAATTTCATAATCTATATTTTGCATCTGTCCATATTATCCATAGTGCTTGTTACATTACAAATGTTATTAGAATCCTGCTAATGTTTTCATCTGCTTACAGTGGTCTCCTAAATAACTTTAAAAATTTCCCATTCTTTCTTGTTGTGGTGGTTGTGGTGGTGGTTGCTTTCTGTTGTTGATGATGCTGCTGCTGCTATAATTATTATTTTATGTGCCACCCACCTGGCTGGGTACAACACTGAATTCCTCCCAATAGGTCTACTTTGAGTGAAACTTAGTTAAATACCATGCTATGTGTACAGAATCCTGGGCCGTAACAGGAGAAAGGGCAGGATAGATCTAACAATATAAATAAATAAATGTCTGTATAAAAATGGGTTTTACAGTTCATCTCTCCCCTCTCAAGCACTTTCTATACTATACTGCTGCAGTTAGTAGGAAAGATGTAATCTTTGATTGGTACTCTCAAGCAGTCTCTCCCTGGAAAATGAAGAGGAAGACAGACAGATACTAAATTTCTCTGTCAGTACAGGAAGTTATCTGCTCAGATAGAGGACGTATATCGCTTATTACCGAACTCTTGTGCTTGAAAAAGTCACAGCTGTAAAGATAATAGTAAGTACTTCAGTATCGCCAAGTTCAATAGTAATATGCTGGATTCTTTCCTCTGCATCCTGCTAAAAAGGTTACCAAGTGGAACACAAAATTGCCTATAAGTGTATGAAGGCAGCAGCATATTCTGTACGGATTTTCCCTAGAGTAGTTATCGCAAAAAAGAAAAGAAAAATGAAGGCAGTATTCACATTTAATCTTTCTGTGATACATTTCAGGGCCAACTATTATCCGGGCCAACTTATTTTTTTAAAAAATCAGTGTCCTACTTTCCTTCAGCATACAGGCTTCTCCCCCTTCTAAGCTAACGCACACACAAGGATACGATGCAGGATGTTTTGTTTTGTACTATAGTGCTTTTTTAATGTTCCATTTCAAGACTATCTTAAATCTTAGCCAAGTATCTCTCCTTTCTTTACGGAACACCAACAATTTCTCAAAATGTCCGCTCTCCCAAAGTCCTATTTCCTGCACAAAATGCGCTGCCAAAATGATCTACTACAGGGTATATAAGCTGTCAGGTATCGTGTAGCTTGCAATGGAGAATGTTATGACAAGATTTTGCTCTGCCAATTCGTTTTCACATTTTGCAAATTTCCAGAGCCGCTCTCTTCTCTCCTGCCCCTGCTAGAGTGTATAAAAACAACACCATTGCCAAGCTAATGCTCCTGTAAGGACCTGACATTTTTAATTATGATATCCAAGCAATTTTACCATCGGGGAGACAACAAGTTGGAAGCTGCATTCTTTGTTTCTAGGTCGTCCTATGAATAACAGCTTCACAAAGAACAGGTTGTGCTTGTATTTGTACTAAGAATTGTCTTTGTGAGATGTTGTCTATATGCTACGCAACATACCATATCCCTGAAGCAGTTTTACATGGAATTTTAATACAGAAGACTTCAGCATTTACCTGATGGGTTCCAATAAAATTATTTTTTTCCCCTTTACAAAAACCCCACAGCTTTCTCCAGTTTAGGATGAACTTTGCATAAAACACTTTAAAAGATTTCACATAATCCTTTCTGAAGATGAGAACATTGCCACATTGCAATACCACCATACTCATTTTTTAAAAAAAATGAATTATTTTTTCTTAATATAAGATATCCACAGAAATGGTTCCTATGGAGAAACATTGCCAGCTGTTTCAGAGAAAAAATAGGGTACAACAAGTATCTTCCATTATTTATTATTATTATTATTATTATTATTATTATTATTATTATTATTATTTCCATACCATCACAGGGAGGTTTGCAATATAAACCATTTAATGGTATACTGGATAACTGCTTGGTTCAAATTTCAATTCACCCAAAAACTCGCTAGCTGAGTCACTTTCCTCTCTGCCAGCCATTTGTAAATTAACATAGCATTAGCTAACCATATAGGACTGTTGTACAAATGAAGCTGTAATCCTATATACAGACTTACCTGGAAGCAAGTCTTACTGGGACTTACTTCAGAGTAGACATGCACAGTGCCTTGAATACATCTAAAGCACAATATCAGACCCTCCAAGTGTCCCTATTTTCCCAGATTTACAGAAGCCGTTCCAGTTTCTGATTTGATCCCGAAATGTCCTGCTTTTCCTTAGGACGTCCCTATTTTCAATGGATAAATGCTAGAGGATACGATAGGGTGTCCCTGTTGTCATTTGAGATATGTTGGAGAGTATGGAGTTACCAATCCCTGATTGATAAGTAACTATATAACCTTTAGAAGACATCTGAAGGCAGCCCTGTATAGTGAAGGGTTTTTTTTAATGTTTAATGTCTTACTATGTTTTTATATATGTTGGAAGATGCCCAGAGTGGCTGGAGTAACCCAGTCAAATAGGAAGGGTATAAATAACATCAACATCGTTGTTGTTGCTGCTGTTGTTGACTAAGACGTCCCTGTTTAAATTGGACAAATTTTGGAGGTATACAATGTAAATGCTAAATAGTCTTGCTTTCATTACTACGAAGGAGGCCTTTTGGTAAAGACCAGTTTACCATTAGAGAAATAAGTCTCTGATTTAAACGGCCTCAGCCCAGTATACGTGAAGGAGCGTCTCCACCCCCATTGTTCAACCCGGACACTGAGGTCCAGCACTGAGGGCCTTCTGGCAGTTCCCTCACTGCAAGAAGCAAAGTTCCAGGAAACCAAGCAGAGGGCCTTCTTGGTAGTGGCGCCCGCCCTGTGGAACACCCTCCCATCAGATGTCAAAGAAATAAACAACTATCCGACATTTAGAAGACATCTGAAGGCAGCCCTGTTTAGGAAAGTTTTTAATGACTGATGTTTTAATGTATTTTTAATCTTTTGTTGAAAGCCACCCAAAGTGGCTGGAGAAACCCAGCCAGATGGGCAGGGTATAAATAAGTTGTTGTTGTTGTTAATGGGGGAGGGAAACAATGAATTGTCTTGATAAGATCTCAAATGCATTCCATGCAGTGTATAAAAGGAATTCTTATTGTTGTTCTTCTGCATTTATGCTGAAGAATTTCCACTTCCAACGCAAGTATTAATTCCGGTTCACGTGTCCCAGCTGCTGAGGGATGGTAACGAAATGAAGAGGCTGGCATGATATGGAATGATACAAGGGAGGAGGTTCTAGTCAATTGCACAAAGCAATAAAAGCTTTTTTGGCACTTGTGAATTTGGGAAGAATAAAATTATTGGCCGTGTCAACCAGAACCGCAAATCATTTCCTTAAGGGCTGCTTCTCGTCATTTATTCCTCTGACATTCAGCCCAAGGACATCAGCTGAAGACACCAGAGATTCGGCCGTCACCCACAACGGCTATGAGCTGCAGGGGTCCAGAAGGCTGCTAGTGCTGTCAACAGCAGCCGTGGCAGATTACACCAGAGAAGAAGGCCAAGGGAGAAGCGACAAGCCAAAAGATGGAGTGCCAACACAGCAGCCCCGTGGATTTATCAATGGGAAGAGGCCTAGCAGGTGGGCCAAGAGAACAAAGGCAGCCGTCAAAGCAAAGGCACCGCTGGCTAAAACCTAGCTGCAAACCTTTAGCAGCAAAGTTTCAAAGCAGATCCCAAGAGAATCAAAGTCCAACATCATCAATGTTAACAAAAAGCTTGTGAGATTTTATTATTATTGTTGCCCTTCCTAGTGGAAAACACCAGACATATTGGAATTGGCGCTGAGCGGTGTCTGGTTTGCAACACTGTGATATGCCACCAGCTAAATATACTGATGTCTGAAATAAGGATGGAGCTATGTAGCAAATGGAGCAAACAGGGGACTGTCCTGGCAACTGCTACTGCTTAGGGTTCTAAAACAGACACATTTTTACAGAGCAAAAGGGTGGCAGGAATTATGAAAGAAGCGACGGCTAGCTTCACAGTTTTTCCCGTATCGCAATTTTTTACATAGCGCATGCACACACATCATGATTCGCAATATGTGACCATGTTGAATACGATGAAACCGTTACCACAACGTGGACGTCAAACTGATTTTGGACAGTGTATCTATACATCACCCAGCCCTAACTGGAACCTAGTCAGATTGGAGGGGGTAAAGCAGGTTGAACGATAAGGCAAGATTAAAATAGATCTAGCTGCAGAGACATCACCTTGCCAACAAAGGTCTGTATAGTTAAAGCTATGGTTTTCCCAGTAGTAATGTATGGAAGTGAGAGCTGGACCATAAAGAAGGCTGATCGCTGAAGAATTGATGCTTTTGAATTATGGTGCTGGAAGAGACTCTTGAGAGTCCCATGGAACGCAAGAAGATCAAACCTATCCATTCTTAAGGAAATCAGCCCTGAGTGCTCACTGGAAGGACAGATCCTGAAGCTGAGGCTCCAATACGTTGGCCACCTCATGAGAAAAGAAGACTCCCTGGAGAATACCCTGATGTTGGGAAATATTGAGGGCACAAGGAGAAGGGGACAACAGAGGATGAGATGGTTGGACAGTGTTCTCGAAGCTACCAGCATGAGTTTGACCAAACTGCGGGAGGCAGTGGAAGACAGGAGTGCCTGGCGTGCTCTGGTCCATGGGGTTACGAAGAGTCGGACACGACTAAACGACTAAAGAACAACAACAAGCTGCCATTTGTCCGTCAAAAGAGGATATCCAAGGCTTTTTGAAGAGGATATCCAAGGCTACATAAAAGGAAGAGCAACAGGAATGTATGGTTGCTATACGAATACTCACCTGAAGCTCAGGCTGGAAGTTAGGCATATAGAACAATCTGCAGCCCTAGTCAAGTGTTACGGTCACAAATAAAATCTACTTGCCAGCATGGTGAATGGGGACGAGCGCAACAAGCGTCTCCTGTCCCTCGCCTTTCAACTCATGGAGGTCAAGACTTCCTCTACTCAGGGAGACATTCCCCACACAATAATCTGAGTTCTAAATCATACAGAGTCTCCACAAGAGGTTCCACGGTTCAGACCTTCACCATCCATGAGATGGAAGATGGCAGATGTGGCGAAACTGCTTCGCATGCCTGTCCCCTACTTGCATGTGGGTTTTCACCCATGAGCAGAATGCCTGAATGTTGCTTATATCAAGCCTAAATGTGCCCAGCAGTGCTTCCTTATACGATGAAGCACTGAATAACCACAGTCTGCAGCTGTTTTCTTCTTCCACTGCCCCATGAGAGTTGCTGACCTAGATGGCTTCAGCGTACGAGGTTTCGGGTTTGAAAATGGAAGGAAAGAGATAAGAAAACAGGGATCTTTCTGCTTCGTTCTTAGTGTTAAGGGAAGGAAATTCCCAATGCTCTTTACTTTTGATGGCTCTCTGACATAGAAGATGTTCAAAAAAGGTATTCTTGATTATTCTTAAAGATTAGTTTTGATATTTTTCAAAAGTTTTAGAAGACTTTGTACCAACTACTTTCTCTCAAGTTTCCTCTGTGTGTGTATATATATATAGAGAGAGAGAGAGAGAGACTTAGCTATATGGACAAAATTCATTTTTCTTTTGGGTCAACCAAGTAAATCCTTATATGGAGATTTGAAATTTAATGATTTTGTTTCTGTACTGAAATTAATCTTGGTATCTTTCATTTATGGCTGATAATCAGCATTTTTGTTGATGTGTTTTTTGTATTATTTGGAATATTATATTAAATGTCTGTGTTGCTTAGGATTCACTAACATATAAAAAACACAAGTTAAAGAACATACTAAAGCAGTGGTTCCCAATTACGGGTCTGGGGACCCCGGGGGTCTGCGGAACACACCCAGGGGTCCGCGGCACTATAACTTGCCAGGGACTCACTTATCTTGATAACTGCACAGTGAAAGCCACAATGAGGCTCCACGAATCACCCAGCCTCTGCTCGTAACCAGGGCCTGCTTGCCGGCAAGGGAAAACTTGTGAAAGTGTTTTGGGTGGCAAGTGAGCTGGGACTGGGCAAAAACCTCTGACACAGTTTCATGGGGCTCTTGCGACTGGGGGCGGGGAGAGTGAGAGTGAGTGTGAGAGAGAGAGAGAGAGAGAGAGAGAGATGATAGAGAGATAGAGATACCCCACACAAATGGCTTGCTCCACCATCAAGATTAGAGAACTCTCCCACTGCTTGTAGGTATCAGTGAGTCTTGCCTTATGAGTTTGGGATTCATGTCTCATCTTGGAAGTCCAGCAGGGGAAATAGCTAAGCAAATTGCCGCTGTCATTAGCACAACAACTCACCTCTGATTATTTAGTTTAGTTAGGGCTGCCATACGTTTGGGATTTCCCAGACATTATTGGGAGAAGTGATGCCCGGGGGGGGGGGATTTTTAGGCGGGTTTTTAGGAAACAATTTTAGGGATTTCCTAAAAAAAAAAAAAACACACACACACCTCAAAAACCAGTATATGCTGATATATCACGATGACTGGAATTTGTCTTGGCTGCTTCTTCCAAGATACACGACCTGTTAGTTTCTGTTTGCCACTGTGAAGTGCTTTGGAGTCACAAGACTCTGTTTTGCATTCCAGACATTCCATACTGTTGGAAGTCTGACGGGAGAGGGGAGACGGATGTGACGTTACTGGTTTCCTGTTGTTGTTTCAGTTGCTCTCTGCTCTCACAGAGAGAGGATGTATTTCTTTTCTGTCTGTGTAGCTTAGTAATAAAACTCTTTAGCCATGTAGCTCATAAATCTCATCACTTCCGCATGCTGCTTTGATTCTCTGCGTAATGGAAACGTGCTTGGAGCCTTATCAGAGGCTCCGGTCGTTAATTATCGTCAGAGGGCGATTCCAGAGGAGCTCGGAGGAGCTCGGTCGAACGCAGGTTCCAACATGACCTAGCCCTACACGGCAAGCAAGTCCCAATGCATCTCAGCCTCAATTGTGAGCCAAGGAGCATCGGGGCTTCGTTGAACTGCTCAGCTGGGGGGTGGAAGAGGTCTCTTGCCCCCCCCCAGCTGAACAGCTCTGCTGCCTCAGAAGGCATCCTGCCCCCCAGCTGAGGGAGCCTTGAAGCTTCTCCAACTTGCACACAAACAGGAGAAGCCTCGGGACTCCCCATAGCTGGCATGGTGGTGGAAGCCACCCACCTGTCGATCACATAATGTCATAATGACATCACGTGATGGAGAAGTGGGTGGCTGCGCTCATCTGGGCCATGAGGCCGATCCTGATCAGCATCTGACCCATGGAGACGAATAGGTTCCCCACCACTGCTTTGCAACAGAGGTCAATTACTTAAACTCATTGATTCAACCATACACACACACACACACACATATACACTAGCTCTGCACTATGATCAGGAAAGACATTGGCACAGAAGAGCAGAGGCTTTCAAGGCATGCATGTTTCATGTGCTTTGTTTTTTCATCACGGCACTTTTAGCATCAACAGCAAACACCATACATAAATACGAATGTGGAATAGTCATACATAAAAACGCAGCTGCCACTGGGGATAGCATATTATGTATCCTAGCACAACAGAGTGATCGGAATAGAGGATAATGACGACAGAAAGTATAAGAGGGCATTTACATAATGATCATCAAATGCTATTCACCGCCAGGCCAAAGAAGCATTAGCATGATCCTCCCACATGCAGGAGGGGCAGGCATAATGTGAGAACTGGGATTTAATCCAATCTACTGAGATCTAATTCATTGTTAACAGCACATTATAGGATTGAGTCAGATCTAAATACTCAGGATTCGGTTTCCAAACCCGAGATGAAGACCAGTGGAGCCTTAAATGAATATTTCTGTAGACATGGATGTGTATTACTCAAAACAGAAAGTATTATCTATTGTTTCCACGTCCAACTGCTTTGTAGATTACGTCTGCTTGCAAACGGGGAAATAAGTCGATGTCTTACAGTGACAAATATGAAAAGGAAAACCTTATCCACAGAAGAGAGGAGGAGGAAGAAAATAAACGAGAATTTTCAGAATGTGTATAGTGCTTTTGACTGTCAAAACTACACACATCACCACTGTGACTTTTGCAACAAATCTATGCAGCATGATCCCCTGTGTAAATATTGTTACTGAGGAATAGTGTCCTTTTGTGATATATCTGAACTAGGACTTCAACTCTTTGCATAGCAACCTCATTGCACACCAGCTCTAAGATGACAAGATGCTAAAGTCTTGTCTTCGATGCCACGAGCCCTACTGTAATAAAATATACCTTCGCTTTATTAGAAAGCAAACCTTCCTTGGCTGCCATCTTCCTTTCATCTAGCAGGGCTTAGAACCACATAAGGTTTCTCACTTCATTAGACGACGCAATAAGGCATTCCGTAAATTAATTAAACTTGCGACTTACTCCACTGCACTGCAGTCTTTCCGTCCTTAGTGATGTTCCACTGAAATATGGCATTTACTTTCTTCACCAGCTCACTGCCATGCTCTTTGATGCGACGACCAATTTCCCCAAACACAAGGTCACTCTTGAGTCCTACTACCTAATGTATACAAAGAGATATGGCCATTGAGGGATTTCACACTCAAACCCATATCCTGTGATTCATTACCGCATGCACAGTTAGAGAGAATTCTAGCTTCCTTCTTTACAGGATATTTTGTGGCCCTTCTCTGTGGCATTATAGGCCCCAGGTAGCATATTCCCCACCTCGAAAAAGAGCTCAATATGCTCCTACTCTTTTTGATACAAAGGTGGAAGGGTTGAAGGGGCAAATGACAGGTTTCTAGATGAAAGATTACGGGAAACTGCTCTAGCAGTATTTCCTGGTAGAAATACTTCACAGCCACGTGTTACTACAATTAAAGCCTTTATTCAGCTAAGCTATGCAAAAGTGATTCCATTTATAAACCACTATTCACAAAACATCTCCAAGCAACAAAAATATCAATGGTAAAAAGCACATGTAAACAGAATCACAAGCTCAATTTTAAGCAGAAACAGACTGAGATAAAAAACCTCCAGTTAAATGGCTGGTTGGGAAAAGGAAGGCTGAAAAGATAGGAAAGACAGCTCCTGTCTGACATGTAAGCTGATTTTTGTATTTTTGTATAAAGCACTGCATAAATGTAATAAATAAAATAATAATAATAATAGGTAACAGGAGGACATTCAAAAGGGTAGACACTTAAAAGCTCCAATTCCCCCCTGCCAAAATGCTAATAGGCCCAATTTCTACATCATGTAGAATCAAGCTCCTGATGAAATGGTATTGGCAAGATGCCTTCTCCTGCAGAACACAGCTGGGTATACAAGGGCCGAGATGATATTTTAGGCATATTTTAGTTACTTCCTCGCAAACACTCAAACCTTCCAACTCAAACATCCTCCCATCCAACCAATCAATTAAACAAGTGAACAGGAGTCTAATACTACTGGATTTACATGAGAATCCTCTGCTTTCGTTTACAACAGAAGCCATGTTGCTAGCCCTGATGACTAGAAATATGGAATTGAACATCTGTGGCAGCAATGTCTTCTGCAAACTGATAGGTCTACAAGGGATAGCTGAGGAGCACTATCTTTAGCGGTCAGGTTAGGGAGAGTGACCTCAGTGGTTTGTATAAACCAAATTCCTCTCGTGATGACTTGCAAAGCCAGGATTTATGCAAAATTAAACAAATGAATGCAAATTGGCTGGAGTGAAATACATCACAGAAACTGTTTTCTGGGAGGGTGAAGGATTTGGGTCATAATGCAAAGGTTTGCTGCTATTATTACCATTTCATGACTAACTTAAGTCCCATCAGTTTTAATGTGTCTACTCTAAGCGTGACTAGTTTTCTATCCAACTCATTTTCATTATTCAGTGTAGCATATAAACTGTTCTTGAATTCATCATACAAAGCAATGTCTCACACTTTCACACTTTCCCTACCTTAGCTGAAGGCTGTTCAGAGGATGAGGTGAGATCGACATACGCTCCTCCAATTGCAACCTCCCCTGTCTCTTTGACCTGGAAAAAAAAATCAAATATAAGCAATTTCTACAGCACCAGTGCGTGTTTGAAAAATCTGAACATATTATAAACAGAACAATAGCTATATTAGAACAATTTAAAGATCTTCTTTGCATCTTAAATTGCACAGGTCAAATCTAGCAAAGGAAAGAAAGGGTTGAAATAGAAATAATTAAGCAAACTATCCTAAAGCCAGAACCATTTTGCTTGCATCCTTTCATAAAATCAAGTATGGCTTAATGAAAGAAAACCTAAGAACAATCAGTGACAATGTTCCGGTGGGTTAAAAAGCCACAAGAGCAGAGAGGAAATAATCAGTTCCAATCATTTCAAATATTAAATACAGACTTGTCAGTGAAAGGGCTTCATGTTTTAGCCAAACATACTGTGTATGAATAAACATTGAGGGCAGGCTGCCAGTGTTTAACAAGCTGCTGCTATTTAATTGGCGCTATTAAAAAAAAAGGATAGGAAGAAAGAAAATGTTGTTTGCTGCTTTTTACATCTTTATTTACTTTTAAAGCTCGGGGGCAATCGCCTTTTTCAGTTTATCTACCACTCTGGGTCTTCTATGAAATTAAGGGAACGAAAATGATTTCCAAAAACAGATTATAGAACCACAAAGACTGGGGAAGAGACGCCAAGAGACTCAAGGTCAACAGCATTATCAAAAACTCTCTTTACATGCATTTTTAAAGATGCCAACAAAGTTTGCCTTAAAAAAGAGCAGTATGCATGTGGGCTGGAAGAGATTGAGCAAACTGAACTGAGGTTTTGAACAGCTATTCTAATTCTCCTTTCCAGAACCCTCAACCTTGTTTTTACAAGGAAAAAAATATCAGGGGCAAAGGAAGTGGAGTAGCTATTCCGAAGTCCTATGAGGACAAGTGATGGACTGTGGCTCAGGGGCCAAGCACAACGCTTGCATTCAGAAGGTCCCAGGTTGAATGCCTGGGATCTTTAGTTTAAAAGGAACAGGTTGCAGATGATAGGAAAGACCTCCACCTGGGACCTTGGAGAGATGCTGGCAGATGAGATAATACCAGACTAGGTAGACAAACAGTCCTACCTGATAGATGTAGCTTCTTATGCTCCTAGCCCTTACCTGCGCTTGTTCCCAGACGTCTTTAGTACAGAACTAACTTCCCACTTCCACACCCAAGTTATGACCACATGTATTTCCTGCAAGGAGCACGAGGTGGCATATGAGGTTTCTGTTCCTCTGTCACAACAACCTTGTGAGGTAGGTTACACTGGGGGAAGGTGACTGGCCCAAGGTCATTGGGTGAGCTTCATGGCTGAGTAGAGATTGGAACGTGGGTCTTGGCAGACATTATAAATGGTAAATTACACTGACTCCACCTCCAAAGACTCCCGAGTCCAATATTATCCTTGTTGTCAGCAGACTCAATCATGAGCCATAAATACACCTGGTTTCCCTAGTCGGCCCAAGACCCTTTGCTGCCTGAGGTAAACGACAAGATGATGATGATGATAATAAATTATTGTTGTTGTTGTTTTGTTGTTGTTGTTGTTGTTTTGTTGTTGTTGTTATTTATACCCCGCCCATCTGGCTGGGTTTACCCAGCCACTCTGGGTGGCTCCCAACAGAATATTAAAAATACAATAAAACATCAAACATTAAAAACTTCCCTAAACAGGGCTGCCTTCAGATGTCTTCTAAAAGTCAGTTGTTTATTTCCTTGACATCAGATGAGAGGGCGTTCCACAGGGCGGGCGCCACTACTGAGAAGGCACTCTGCCTGGTTCCCTGTAACCTCACTTCTTGCACTGAGGGAACCGCCAGAAGGCCCTCAGAGCTGGACCTCAGTGTCCGGACTGGACGATGGGGGTGGAGACTCTCCTTTAAGTATACTGAGCCACAGCTGTTCAGGGCTTTAAAGGTCAGCACCAACACTTTGAATTGTGCTCGGAAACATACTGGGAGCCAATGTAGGTCTTTCAGGACCGGTGTTATATGGTCTCAGCAGCCACTCCCAGTCCCCAGTCTAGCTGCCACATTCTGGATTAGTTGTAGTTTCCGGGTCACCTTCAAAGGTAGCCCCACATAGAGTGAATTGCAGTAGTCCAAGTGGGAGATAACCAGAGCATGCACCACTCTGGAGAGACACAAGTGTGGTTATTTGTCATGGGATCTTTACAGATTCTCTCCGGGGAGATGGGGGAACTATATGTTAGCTGCATACAATTTGATCCACTCAATCCCCACTGAAATGAATGGGATTTATGCGCACAGGAAGAGATCCATTCTAGGGTACTGTTTTGTTTTAACTGCCACAAATCTTGGTTTCACCCTACTGACCTTGGTCTGAAGATGAATCCTGTTTCCTTCCTTCCACATCTCTGTTTGCAAAGTTTGTCCCGGGTAAACTGGTTTTGCAAACCGCACCTAACACAAGGAAAAGATAGGTATGCTTTAACAGGGATGGGGGAGGAATCCTATGAAATATTAGAAACATTTTGCTATGGCTGTTTTCGCTGTTATCCCTCACATTCACTTTATGTGTTTGCTTGTGGAAAGATGCAGTTTGGATTACTCAGCTTAAGCACTGCCACCGAAGTTGACAAACTCCATCCTCTAAAGACCATTAAGACTGTGGAAAGAACTGCAGGAGCCTATTCCCTTTATTTTAAGGACAGCATCAACAAATGCAAGCCTGCCCCAATGGAACTGTAAACAACTTCTCTAAAATATGTTTGTAAGCCACTACGCAAATTGCGTTGTATTATGTAAATTGCTTCGAAAACTTTGTGGCTGAAAAATGACAAATACTTACTGCAGATAAATAGAACAAGAAAAAGGAAAGTATAATTGAGGCGTTTATAATGTACATTAATAGCAAACAAAAAAGTACAGTGTATGTAAAACACGTGAGGTAACATCAAATCAAGTGTCAACGTGACACAACAAATTGTATTTTATGTCTGCATCTTAAGTGCAATTAAGAAATCTTGTCTTCATCTCGCAATGAACACAAAATATCCCAGGAGAAGCATTAACAGACCTTAATTGCCTTGAACTTGGTCACATCGTTATTTGCAAAGTGTTTCAAAACATGCCTGGCAGCAAATCCGAAAGAACAAAGTCCATGCAATATGGGCTTCTGAAATCCTATTAAGAGAATACAAATAAAGTGTTGCATTTCTTACACAACATGTCTACATTTAGAAATGCGCTCCAAGGATCATCGGCATTTAACTCATACTCTGCTAAAGGACTTTTCAGGAATTAGTGGCTTGGAGGGGCAATACAGGTGCATTATGGGAGGGCTTGCCCCAGAGGTCACATGACTCTACCAGCCACTCTCATGATGAGGAAACCCCAATATTCCAGGGCTCTCAGTTGCCTCCAGATAGAAAAGGCCACTGCAGAACTTCATCTTCACCATGCAAGGGAGTGGAAGAATTTGCACAACTTTGAAGGCGAGGCTAAATTTGTGGCTCCAATGTCCCGTTCTACTCCCCAAGCCAGTAACACCTGAAGAGGATGTTAACCAAAAATGGGATAAGCAGAGATGCTCAGATAAAATGTCTGCAGTATCGTATCCTCTTATAACCTTTATAAAGCCTGGAGACACTTCACCTCATTTTTTGAAAAAGGCAAACCAATTATTAAGAAGGGGCTATTTGGCTAGGGTGTAAAGATATTCACTGGCTCACGGTTTGATTCTAGATACAATGCAAAAATGATGATTTTGCTCTTAGCATCTGACGTTTGCCTCTTCCTTAAGATCAGCTTGTAAGATCTTTTCCTTGATTTCCCCATATATACAGCCTCGGCTCAGTATACCTGAAGGAGCGTCTCTACCGCCATTGTTCAGCCCAGACACTGAAGTTCGGCTCCAAGGGCCTTCTGGTGGTTCCCTCACTGTGAGAATTGAGGTTACCGGGAACCAGGCAGAGGGCCTTCTCAGTAGTGGTGCCAGCCCTGTGGAAGGCCCTCCCACCAGATGTCAAGAAAATACAACTATCTGACTTTCAGAAGACATCTGAAGGCAGCCCTGTATCGGGAAGTTTTTAATGTTTGATGTTTGATGTTTTATCGTGTTTTTAATATTCTGTTGGGAGCTGCTCAGAGCGGCTGGGGAAACCAAGCCAGATGGGCGGGGTATAAATTATTATTATCATCATCTTTGTAGAGTACAGTGGTACCTAGGGTTACAAACACCTCGGGTTACAAACTCCGCTAACCCAGAAGTAGTACTTTGGGTTAAGAACTTTGCCCCAGGATGAGAACAGAAATCGCACGGCGGCAGCACGGCGGCAGCAGGAGGCCCATTAGCTAAAGTGGTACCTCAGGTTAAGAACAGTTTCAGGTTAAGAACAGACTTCTGGAACAAATCAAGTTCGTAACTCGAGGTACCACTGTAGTTATATGGCAGCCTATCTGTGTGAGAGTGAGTGAGACAGACAGACAGACAGACAGACAGTGTCTAGTGACTTCCCATTAATGGAACATTGTTCCCAGTAAGTCCAGAATGGCTCAAGTTTTGCAGCATTTTTGGAACTGAGTAAAATGTTGAATTCCCCAATGTTTTAGGTGCTTGATGGTTGATTTCATTAGCGTTGCTATTTCTGCTGTTTTAGTCGGTTTTCAAAATTTGTTTAGTTTTGTTATTGGATTGGGTTATATGTTTTGTTTATCATGAACAGCTGCATTTGGTGCTTTTACAACATTGAGGTGGAATACAAATGTGATCTTCAGATAAAGGGAGGTGTGCAAGCAAAGAAAAGAGGGAAAAGAACAAATACGGATAGAATGGAATCTGAGGTACCCATAATGATGGGTCACAAATAGCTGGGAAGAATTAACCTTTTGCTCAATCTGCGCGCAAAGTGAGGGAACCATATGCAATTGCTTTCAAATTTAACCCTTTTCCAGAAGCAGCAGTGCATCTTGTGGCCGCTTTAAAATTAACAAATCTATTTTGGCATCAGTTTTCACGGACCACAGTCCACCTCATCAATTCATTACATTTTTGTTTTGTTTTTAACAGGCCACAAGATGCTTTATTGTTTTGAATTATCAAAACATGATACCAGCTCCTATAAATCTGAAACATTCTTACAGCCTTCTCTGTGAGCACTGCCATACTTAAAAAAAAAAAATTGATAGGAAATTTCAACAGAAGTATGAAAAAGATCTACCGCAAGAAACCAAGAACATACAGCCTGCCAGCACATAGTTAGTTTTATGTTTACATTCATTGTAATTATGTGTGCTATATTGGCAACTCTCCATATAGTGGACAGACAAGGCACAGAGGGGTCAGTTTCTGCCACACAGGAACACAGGATATTTCAGTATACTCAAGCAGACTTTGGACTTCTATTTCTTGCCATACTTTATAGAAAACCCCATTTGAAAAGCTTTGTTCACGTGTGACACTGATAAAAGCTGCCTTCACCCATGTACATGTGAAAGAGTGTGTGCTTGCTGATTTGTATAGCTCGGTTCTTGAGTACACATGAACAAAGATTATTTACTTTTTGAACGTTAGATGTGAATACTTGTACAGGTTTGCAGCTCAACTGTTTTGTACAAAGATTGCATACGTGTTGGATGTAATGTGTGAACACCCCCTAAACTGTTTCTGATGTGTCATTGCTATTCAAATAAAACGCTAAAAAAAAAAAATGCAGCAGACACGCTCAGTGCCTAAGAGCAGCTCTCTGAATTTTGGTTTATATATTCCTCATGGGAGCAAGGTTCCGAGGTAAGCTAAATGAAAGGCAGGAAAAGATAACTACAACTTGCAATCCTGCCACCTGGAAAGTGGTAGAATGAAATAATTGGTTTAGAACTCAAAATTATGGGAAACCACCTATACTTCAAAAATACCAGTTACCAGCTGAAAATTCAACATTTGGTTAATTTTTTTATTTCAGCAGTTGTCAATTCTCAAACCTTAAATGCATTTAAAAAAAAAAAAAGAATATTGCTGAAAAAGCTGAAAATGCATTTGTGACTCCTGTCAATAAAATAAAGCAAAAGAGAGTTCCTTCAAACTTACCTCCAAGGGCAGCAAAACCAGGTTCAATGTGTAAAGGATTCCAATCTCCACTCAGGCGATACAAAGCAGCCTATGGATAAAAAAATAATAAATATTAGGAATTATTAAACAACTGAAAACAGCGGCAACTTTTTTTTTTTTTTTGCCAGGAGTACAATTTATTTATTTATATGCCGAACAATTGATATTCTTTCCATACTGCCTAGAAATGTTCAAGAAATGTTATGGCCAGCATCATAGAACAAAGCAATTAATATCCAAAGAACCTCACAATGAATTGCAGCAAGCAAAACACAGACAGGAGATGTCTGTCGTAAGACACCATAATAAAATATAATGAGCTCAGGACAGCTGCGTTCCTCGACCCAGTAGGCAGGACAGGCTGAAGACAAGATATAATTACCATTCCCCATAACTTCTCCAGACTGCAGTGCCCGAATAAATGCCCACCTGAATGTGCCAAGGCAGAAGGGCAGTGGCAGTGGGGGGAGAAACACAACCTTCATTTTGAAGCAAATGATTCAGAACTACTAGTAATCCAAAAAAACAATACATGCCATTTGTGTTCATCTTAAATAAAGAAGTGAATTCAGAGCTCTGTTTTTAGGTGAGGTCTGCAACAAAATGTTGCTGCTCAGGGTTTCCAGCCAGCCATTTCGTTCCCCGTTCCCGCAGGCTCCCCTTCAAAGAGTCAGCCTACTGAGCATGCTCAGATCACCTTTTTTTTGTCTTAAAATGTTTTTATTAGTTCTGCAAACATTAGGGCTCTGCACACTTGCTGTCATCTCTCGCAGGTGTGGATTGTGCCCTTTTTGGGTTACATAAGGATTAGCACCCAAGAAAATGAGAGCTTGCTGTTGTACATAGGACAGAATTCATATGTGTGTGTGTGTGCGCACGGCTTTATGGTTGCACCGAAGTCATATTTAAAGACACTTCTTCAAAATCAAGGGAGATATTTTAAATATAGCCAAGAGCCACAGAGTTTCAGTATTTGTTACTTTCACAGGAACCTTCAGCTTTCAAAGATTCATTCACGTCGCTTCTTATTGCTTTTCACTCCTCAGACTGATCCTTTGGGCAGCCCGTAGTCTGTATGCACACTGTACGCTTTCCCATACACTACCTGATTACACGTGTGACTGAACAAAACTCAAGTTTATGCATGGGATTTCTTTACCGTAGTACAAATGCTTTTCGTTGCTGCAAAGTTTAAAGAGAGCTACGAGCACATCATTTCTGACTTTTTCAGAATCACTCCTACTTTCTGGAAGTTGTGACTCTGGGGTCGAATGGGCAGATAACACCCATGCTGTCTAAACTACAGTGGTACCTCAGGTTACAGACGCTTCAGGTTACAGACGCTTCAGGTTACAGACTCCGCTAACCCAGAAATAGTACCTCGGGTTAAGAACTTTGCTTCAGGATGAGAACAGAAATTGCGTGGCGGCGGCAGCCCCCATTAGCTAAAGTGGTGTCTCAGGTTAAGAACAGTTTCAGGTTAAGAACGGACCTCCAGAACTAATTAAGTTCTTAACCCGAGGTACCACTGTACAGACAATTTTAACATCCATAGACACCCACGCTACAAGGTTATACTGACTTGAAATGATCATGGTTCAAGGTTGATCATTCGGGGACATTCCACAAGTAACCCTGTCCCTCTCTATTTGTTTATTAATAGCAAGGATGGGAACGTGTGGTCCTCTAGAACAGTGGTTTCCCAACCTTTTTTGAGCCATGCTCCACCTAAGCATCTCTAATATCCTGATGCTCCCCCCAGCCCCCGCCGGTGACATATAATTCTTATTATTCAGAAAGGGAAGTCCTATTCACATGGAGGAAGCCTAAAAGGCCATTAACTGTTAATAACTCATTCTCAAATTGCCCCCCTTAAAAATCAAATTGCCTCCCTGTGGGGCATATGCCCCACATTGGGAACCATGGCTCTGGAAGTTGTTGAGCTCCACTTCACAGCAGCTCCAGCCAGCATGGGCATAGCCAGGATTTTGTTAGGGGGGCAGTCTTTTGTGAAAAGGGGAAGAACCTCAGATTTGTATTGATTGATTACACTGGTCAAAAACAAATTTGTTGTCTGCGTTTTTTCAGTTGATTTAGGACGAATCTAATGCGCTGAATCCAAAAATCACATTGGTTTTGCTCAATCAGGTCAGGTTTTTGAGCTATGGCCACATGTCGGTTTTTTACGTTTTTGTTCACATGTACGCTTGTGTGGAGCATTTTAGAAGAAGTTGGTGGGGGTAAAATGCCATGTTGAATAATTGTTTTGATTGGGAAAGATTATTTTAATGACAAGAAGTATTCAGGTCCTATAGTTCTGGGTGATTATGTCGAAAAGGGATCAGTTTGAAGTCATAAAACCTCAAAATCTTCCATAAATTGGTGCGGCAAAGCATAAAGTTGGGGGATCAAAACTAAGTTAATCCTGATCTTCAATCAGCACGTCGTCCTGTAGCTCATTGTGATGAAATTCCAGTGCCTATCTTCGGAGAACTTCCTGACATTAGTGACGAAGATGCCTCCAGTGTTGAAGGACATGAAGAAGAAGTGGTTCTTGAAGATGATGCTCCACATCCATTTTCCCAAAAGGAGTTGAATGATCTAGTTCGCGACCTCAGCTTGTCAAAGGACTCTGCCGAACTGTTGGCATCCAGATTGAAGGAAAAAAACCTCCTCTCTGAAGTGCTCGCATCAGCTTCTTCCGCAACAGGCATCAAGAGTACCTCCGTTTTTTCTCGGAAGAGAAGGACTTGGTGTACTGTGCAGATATTGCGCAGCTTCTGCTCAAGCGTGGAGTGCCACAGTACAAACCCAAAGATTGGAGACTGTTCATTGACAGCAGCAAGCGATCACTGAAATGTGTTCTGCTACACAACAGCAACCAGTTTGCCTCTATACCTCTGGCTCACTCGAGTACACTGAAGGAGAACTATGAAGCGGTGAAGTATGTGCTGGAGAAAATTGGTTATGATCAGCATAAGTGGTTTATTTGTGTTGACCTGAAGATGGTGAAGTTTTTGTTGGGACAACAGTCTGGCTTCACCAAGTACCCATGTTTTCTGTGCATGTGGGATAGTAGGGACCGTGCTCAGCATTACACGAAGAAGGACTGGCCTGTGTGGGAGGAATTGGTGCCTTGCAAAAAAAGGAACGTCATCAATGACCCTCTGGTGGACAGAGACAGAATACTCTTCCCACCACTGCACATCAAGCTCGGCTTAATCAAGCAGTTCACCAAGGCTCTGGACAAGGATGGTGACTGCTTCACTTACTTGTGCCAGGCTTTTCCAGGATTGACCATGGAGAAGTTGAAAGCTGGCATCTTTGACGGTCCTCAGATCCGTCAGCTCATCAGAGATCCAGAGTTCGGAAACTCAATGAACGAAGTGGAACTGGAAGCGTGGAAGGCATTTGTTCTGGTAGTGAAGAACTTTCTGGGCAACAATAAGGTCAGAAACTACGCAGAACTTGTTAACAACATGCTGACTGCTTTCAGAAACCTGGGCTGCAACATGAGCATCAAGATGCACTACCTATTTTCACATATGGACCGGTTTCCTGAGAACCCGGGTTCAATGAGTGATGAGCAGGGGGAGAGATTCCATCAGGACATGAAAGAGATGGAGACCAGGTATCAGGGTCGCTGGGACGCAGTCATGATGGCTGACTACTGTTGGACTCTGAAGAGAGACCTCCCTGCCACTGAGCATTCCAGGAGTTCCAAGAAATGGAAGTTCAAGCCCTGAAGTTTGAAAAATGGTGAAGCAACATGCAATTTACGTGTACATGCAGTTTACAGTAAACCTGACCTGATGGAGAGAAACGGATGCCATTTCCTGATTCAGCAGTGCAAAAATACCCTAAATCAGTTGTAGAAATCTAGACAACATTCAAAAAGTAAAAAACTGTTGCCCAGTGTAATTGTCAGGGATTATGTGAGCCGTTGCCCAACAACTTCAGGCAGGCCACAGGTTCACCATCCCTGGTATAAACAACCAGAAAAGATGAGATTGTGTCTGTTATGTTGCTCCTACCTGTGCTAGGAAGCAAATCTAGAAACCCTCATGCAGAACATGTTGATGTGCAATTAATGACATGCGCTGTGACAGAGACAACAGCATTTGAAATGGGTTCACAGGAACAGAGCGATGGAGGACTCATAGGTTCTGTGCTGGTGTGACCTGACTCTGGCTTATGAATACAGTGTGGTGGGTCTCAATTTGCATACCCTGTCTGTTTATGAGTCCAGATTTAGTTTGCCCACCACAGAAGCATATAAACAGCAACTTCTGCATTTGGAGGGTGGATGGACTGCTAAAGCACACTTGCCTCTTGAGATGGAGCCAGTGTGAGGATGCAGGCACAGAACAGCTGTTTCACATGGACAGAACTCCTACCAGGGCAACAGGCATTTAGTAAATCTCCTAGACTTAACAATATCCCAACTGGTTACTTCTTCTGTATGCTTCTATTATAGCTATGCCAATGATGCCATATGGGGAAATGAAATCTTCTGAACTGTGTCTTAATTCAACAAGTAAATAGTCTTTTAAAAAAATACAAGACTTTGCAAAGGCAGAGATTCAAAAAGCTCTGACTTCTGCACTGCTCCAACGATGGTATTATTTCAATTAGCATATAAAAACCGATCCGTCTTTAGACCATAACAAAAGTCAATTGATTAGCAGCATTAGACTGAAGTTGGTCATAATATGGTTGGATTGCTCGCCAATTAATAACACAAATTGTCAAGTTTTATTTCCTAACAATTTAGGAGTTCTGCCAGATCAAAAGAGGAAAGGCAATATTCAACCTGTCGGCATCAATTTTTCAGTCTTGCCTGCTGTCAACAATAAAGGTCACTGGCAAAACTAAGGAAAACAGCAGTCTTGTTATACAATCACATACTGTTTTATGAATGGGTAGGGTGGGGTCTGTCACAATAGCAGGTGTTCCAATACAATATATCTCCATACTGAAAATAATTTTTCTCTGGAAAAGCATGCAATACTTTGGTAATAAAACACAGATACTTAGCAGCAAAGGACCCAATTAAAAGAATTGCATCTTTAACTTTTGGCAAAAAAAAAAAGAGATTGTGTGTCAATTTGATTTGGGACTAGAACTTGAAGGGGGGGTGGATATGTTAATTTTATCTTTGTGGCATTTTCCTGAAAGCTGTCAATCTGTAAGGGGTCCATATATAGTACCACCAGTGTATATGACACAATAGTTCAGCCCAGACACTGAGGTCCAGCTCCAAGGGCCTTCTGATGGTTCTCTCACTGTGAGAAGTGAAGTTACAGGGAACCTGGCAGAGGGCCTTCTCAGTAGTTGCACCCACCTTGTGGAACACCCTCCCATCAGATGTCAAGGGAATAAACAACTATCTGACTTTTAGAAGATATCTGAAGGCAAGGAAGTTTTTAAAGTTTGATGTTTTACTGCATTTGATGTTTTAGTTTGTTGAAAGCCGCCCGGATTGACTGGGGCAACCTGGTCAGATGGGTGGCAAAAAAGCAAGCAAATAAAAGGACTAACAATGAAAAAAAAGGCTAGCTCCAAGGAGTTTATAATCTTTACCACTGTCAGCATGTAAATAGAAGGGAGAGGGCAATGGTGACCAACAACAGATAGGCAAGAGATTCATAAGAGCCTAAAATGATACATCTTTGGTAGATAAAGGTAAAGATAAAGGGACCCCTGACCATCAGGTCCGGTCATGGCCAACTCTGGGGTTGTGGCGCTCATCTTGCTTTATTGGCCGAGGGAGCCGGCATACAGCTTCCGGGTCATGTGGCCAGCATGACTAAGCCACTTCTGGAGAACCAGAGCAGCGCACGGAAACGCCGTTTACCTTCCCGCTGGAGCGGTATCTATTTATCTACTTGCACTTTGACGTGCTTTCGAACTGCTAGGTTGGCAGGAGCAGGGACCAAGCAACGGGAGCTCACCCCGTCATGGGGATTCGAAACGCCAACCTTCTGATCAACAAGTCCTAGGCTCTGTGGTTTAACCCACAGCGCCACCCGCGTCCCATCTTTGGTAGATACCTGACAATATAAAGAAGCAGTTCAGAGTGAATGCTTTCCTGCATAACCAGGCTTCAGCATGTGGTCAAATTAGCACACCAGGGAGAATGCTATGTGAAAGCTTTATTTTCTTTCTGATATGCTCGTTTACAATATACAGGAAGAGAAGTGAAAAGTGCAATCCACCCATCCCCAAACTGGCAGGCTAAAGTGGTACAGTGTAAAACTCTGCCACCTCCATCAAACAATTCATTTTGCCCAGTGCACAGAACAGCTCTCAGTTGTCATAATCAGCCTGCAAATGTAGGCATGGAAGCTGTTTTGCACCTAACCTGCGTTGCAAGGTAATGAGAGAAGGCTCGTAATACACAGGAGGAACCCAACTTGCAGCTCCTTCCCATGCTAGCGTCAACTCCTTCACAAACAGAGTTAACACAAGAATTGGAGCGAGCTGCAAGATGTTCCTGCCCAAGATTTCTCACTTTACCTTGGGCTGCAAGAAGCGGCAGTCTGGCGGCAAGTTCCACTGCACTGGGATGAAATGAACACTCTTGGTCTAAGATTTATTCCAGAAACCAACTGTGCACGATTCCATACACGAGCAAAACCTTTGTATTTATGATCTGTATATTCCAGGCCTGAGTGATTGCTGCATCTGCTGTTCCCATTCAGATAAATTCAAAGTGGTTCATTCTTTCCCACTACGTTCTGCCAAGGCAAGCACTTGAAACCATGCCATCAAAATAAGCTTTATCTCTCGATTCGGAGTAGCAATACAAAAGAGAAGCAGCAAAGTAATCCAACACTTGGGTTAAATTATCAACGAGGGTGAGATTAACAATCATTGCTTCGAGTTAAGCATGCATTTAAATTTTTGGCCGCGATATCGTTTACAATGTTCTAAATTGGATTAATTGTGCATTTCTACACACTGCCAAGTACTAACCAGAGGCATTTTCCCCCCTTTTTCTTTCAGGTTCTATTGGTGCTAGTAACTCTAGTGCTGTCACAAAAGCCGATACTAATAGGTGTAAAGGCATAGCTGTTTAATGGGATTGTCAGTTGCAAGTTTCCCTCTAATTATGGCTATTGTGCATCATGGATGACGAAATGAAGGACTGCAAGGAAGTGGGAAGGTGGGGACTGCTACATATTAGGAAAGTGTTTCTCAGAAACAAATAGTTTTGTTAACAAATACACCAAATAATTTTAAGAATATTAAAAGAAAGTAAGATTTCAGGACTCAAAATTAAAATAATAACTTCACAGCATAAAGAGCGATGCCTGATCAAAAATATTATTATTATTACCTCATTAGATGGCCCCGGGATTCTAGTACTATGAGAGAGGGAGAAAACCCTCTTTCTGATCATTTTCTACACACTATGTATACTTCTATCACACATCTCCTCCTTTATCAGGACTGCAATACCTCTTTCCATATGAACCTATGCTGTGATGGGATGATGAGCTGCTTGTGCGTAAAATCGTATCCCCTCAGAGTTTGTTCAAGTCCACAAACCTCTGTCTGTGACGGAGCCCCTCAGACATGGCTACTCTAGTCACTAGCAGATTCCGACAGTGGTTGCTTTCGTAATCGCTTCCAACATAAAAGCTCCTTAACGGAAACACGTCTTCTGGAATCTCTGCGTGACAGTTTCCGGCGAGGAGTGGGTGTTCTTACAGGAGGTCCTGAAACTTCCCCACTGTTTTCGCTGGAAGTGTCTCTGAGCCATCCCTCCAGCTCAGCTCCTCTCCCCTGCTGGTTCCCTCTTCAGCTGCTGCGTCTCTCCCAACCTGTGTGAGCCCTTTCACCTCCCTGTTGGTTCCCTCTTCAGCTGCTGCGTCTCTCCCAACCTGTGTGAGCCCTTTCACCTCCCTTCCGTCCGATGGCAGTTCCCTGACATCCACCTCCCCTCCAGGGCCCCCTTCACCCCTCTCGCCCCCTCCTCTACGGGCGGTGAGGAGGCAAAACCCCGGAATGAACTTCCTTCATCTTCCGATGTCTCGAACACTTCTCTCAACCTGTTGCGGTTCCTAGTCTCGAAGTACACCTCCTCCTCAGAGTCCATCTCCCCTTCCCCTTCCGAGTCCGGGAATCCTTCCAACTCCTCCCCTTCATCAGTGGTCCCAAAGTATTCCCTCCGGAACCTCTCCACAGGCTGAGGTTTCCTTGGGAACCTTTGATGGAACGTTTCTATCAATACCTCGTCATTGATATCTTCAGCCATTACCCAAGTGTTTTCTGACTCCGGTTCTCCTTCCCACGCTACCAAATACTCCACCTGATCCCCCTTCCACCTGGCGTCGAGGATTTCTGCCACATGGCTGCTGCATTCTCTTTCTTCTACGACCGGTCCCCGAGGGGCCAGCCCTTCTCGTCCCCCTTCGTACGGTGACAGTAACGACCTGTGAAATACTGGGTGCAGTTTCATGTGGTTGGGTAACCGGAGCCTGAAAGCCACTGGGTTGACCTGTTGAATGACCTCAAAGGGACCCAACCTCCTGGGTCTTAATTTCTTACAACCTCCTTTGAACGGCAACCCTTGGGTTGACAGCCACACCCTATCTCCCACCCTTATGGTTTCACCTTCCCTTCGGTTCTTGTCTGCCTGCCTCTTGTATTCTTCCTTCGCCCTTTCTAAGTTGAGTTGGAGCTGACGATGGATTGCTTCCATTTCTTCCACAAAATGCTCGGCTGCCGGGACGCTCCATCTCTCCCCTCTCCCCTGGGAAAGCCCTGGGATGACACCCATAATTAGCCAAGAAGGGGCTCATCCCTGTGGACACATTCTCGGCATTGTTGTAGGCAAATTCCGCCAGCGCCAACTTTTCTACCCAGTCATTCTCTCTGTCATTGACATAACACCTCAGGTATTGCTGGAGGACACCGTTTGCTCTTTCCGCCTGCCCGTTGGTTTCAGGGTGCCGGGCAGTCGAAAAATTGACCTCCACCTGCAGTAAGCTCATGAGCTTCCTCCAGAACCTGGAAGTAAATTGTTTTCCTCGGTCTGAGACCACCCTCAATGGCACCCCGTGCAACCTAAAAATGTTTTCTACAAATAACTTCGCTGTCTCTTCCGCCGTGACTGCATGCGAGCAAGCTACAAAGTGGCACATCTTTGTTAGTAGGTCTACCACCACCATGATGGCTGTTTTCCCTTTGGACTTCGGCAGATCAGTCATAAAATCTATCGACACTGCCTCCCAAGGTCGTTCTGGGGTTGGTAAGGGTTCTAATAGCCCCGCCGGCGCCCGCCTTTCCCCTTTGGCTCGCTGGCATTGCTCGCACCCTCTTACATACTCACGTACATCTTCCCTCACCTTAGGCCACCAAAATTCCCTGGTGACCAACCACATGGTTTTGTGTTGTCCAAAATGCCCCGCCGTAGGGCTGTCGTGCAACTGCTTGAGTACCCTCCCCATTAAGTCTCCTTCAGGGATATACAGTGCCCCTTTGTAATACAAAGCTACATTTCTTTCCTCGAAAACCCCTGGTTCCTCTCCATCACCCCTAAGACCTCTGAGCTTATTCTGGGCGTATTCATCATTCTCTGTTTCCTCTACCAGTTCTCTTTGTCCCACCAATGCCGCCCCACACACCCAGCGGTCTTCTGGAATGACATGTCTCTCTTCGGGTGCCCCCCCCTCCAAATATTCAGGTTTGCGTGAGAGAGCGTCCGCCCTAATGTTCTCTGGGCCTGGCACGTAACTAATCTCAAAGTTAAATTTGGAGAACTCCTGGGCCCATCTCACTTGCCGTTGGTTGAGCACTCGTGCCGTCCTCCAATACTCTAGGTTCTTGTGGTCAGTGCACACTTGCACCTTATGTTGTGCGCCAATTAGCAGGTGCCTCCATCTCCGGAACGCCTCATGAATGGCTAGTAGTTCTCGGTCATACACCGTGTAGTTCCTCTCGGATTTGTTCAGCTTTCGCGAAAAAAGGCACACGGTCTCCACTCTGACCCCTTCTTGCCTGGCTGCAGAAGCACCGCCCCAATCGCTCTGTCTGATGCGTCAGTTTCCACTCTCATCGGTTTTTGTAAATCCACATGCAGGAGTTGTTGTTCCGAGGCGAAGGCCCTTTTATTTCCTCAAATGCTCGCTCCGCCTCCTCAGTCCACACGAACTTCTTCTTACTGCTGAGACAGTCCGTAATGGGCGCCGTCAGGTGGGCAAAGTTTCGGATGAACTTACGATAGAAGTTCCCAAATCCTAGGAACCTCTGCACATCCTTCTTTGTTTTGGGTGTTTTCCATTCCAGCACCGCCTGGACCTTGCCGGGATCCATGGCCAATCCTTTGTCTGACAGGCGATACCCCAGGAATTCCACCTCCTTGGTATGAAACTGACACTTCTCCAGTTTCACCCACAGCTGGTTGGCTTGCAGCCTGCTCAACACTTCTCTGACGTCTCTCACATGCTGCTCCTCATTCTCAGAATACACCAACACGTCGTCTAAAAAGGCCACACAATTCTTGTAAAGCAAAGGCCCCAGGACGTGGTTCATAAACGATTGAAATGTTGCGGAGCCTGCTTGTAGGCCGAAGGGCATAACCAAATATTCAAATGCCCCTAAAGGGGTGAACATAGTGGTTTTCCATTCATCCCCCTTCCTTATTCGTACCAGGTTGTACGCCCCCCTTAGGTCCAGCTTTGTGAAAATCTTTCCCTTCCGCACCCTTGTCAAAATGTCGTCAATCCTGGGCATAGGGAAGGCTACTGGTTCTGACACTGCATTTAAGGCCCTGAAGTCACACACCAGCCTCGGCTTGTTCGTGTTTTTCTTATCCACAACAAAACACTGGGCTACCCCCGCCGCCCTGGACTCTCTGATGAACCCTCTCTTCAGGTTCTTGTCAATGAACTCTCTTAACTCCTGCATCTCTCTGTCTGACATGGCGTACAGCTTGCCTACAGGGAGCTGTGCTCCAGGGAGTAAGTTGATTTGACAGTCAAAGGGTCTATGCGGGGGTAGTTGGTCAGCTTCCCTTTCGCTGAAGACGTCACGGAGATCTGCATATTGTCGTGGTACCTTCACGTTCTCTGTTACTTCAGTCCCTGCTAGGGTGGCTTGGACCCCTGCCAAACCCTTTCCCTCTTTGCAGTGTTCTAAGCAATGTGCTGAACCAAAAGAAACCACTCTCTGATGCCAGCCCACCAGCGGATCATGTAACGCTAGCCAGCTCATCCCCAATATAATGGGAGCTCCTCCCAAGGTGGCCACATTAAAAGCTATCAGTTCGGTGTGCCTTGCTACCTTCATTATCATTGGGACGGTCTGCAAGCTGACTTCTCCACCCAACAGCTCCCTGCCATCGATAGTGGTCACCTGCAGGGGGCTGCTTAAAGGGATTGTCTGTATCTGGTGTTCAGCTGCAAACTCTTTGCTCATGAAATTGCAGGAGCTGCCTGAGTCCAACAGCGCCTTTATCTTTAGAGGGTGTCCGTTTGGCAGCTCTAGCGTCACTTCTATCACTAGGGCGGGTTTAGGAGGTTCTGGCGTGGGCACTCTCACTGCTCTTTGGCCTGGCTGCTGTGCCCTGACAGTGGCAGCCAGGCGTTGGCTTTTACTTGCTCCGGTATATTTTCCTCTCTTCCATCCACAGCTCCTACCATCCCTTGCCATTCTTTCCTCTGGGGGCAGACTCTGGCAAAGTGACCTGGCTGTTGGCAGAGATAGCATTTCCGGGCGCCTTTTCCCTCCTTCTTTGCCCCCTCACTGGGCTTTGAAACTGCGCGCGCGCGCTGTTCCGATTTCCATCGGCTCTGCCGGTGGGAAAGTTGGCTCTGGAATGTCTGGAATGCGGAACTCCTTCCAACGTTCCCCTTCCCTTCCCGCCTCTCCAATGCTCTCGCCTCCTGGCGCGCTCCTATGGCCAGCGCTGATTTGGTCAGCTGGTCCATAGACTCCGCCCTGGGCGCCCGGGAAAGTTCGTCTTTCACAGCCGAAGAAAGCCCTTCTTCAAAGAGCATCTGAATGGGTTCCGCCGATAAGTCCCACCCCAATCTGTGAACAAGCATGGTGAACTCAGTCCAGTACTCACGGACAGATCGGCTCCCTGTTTGCAACCCATTAACTGTCTGCGCACCACTCCCTTTTCAATATCGCTGGAAAACATCAGATCCATGGCGCGAAAGAACTTCATCGTGTCCTTTAAGACGTCACTATTAGCTGCCATCAGGGGTCTAACCCAGTCTCTCGCCCCTTTTCAAGATGCTCAATCACGAAAGCCACTCGTGATTCCTCGTCAGGGAATTCATCAAACTGCAGATTGAGGGCATATTGCATTTCTGTCCGAAAACCATGATAGTTTTTGGGCTCCCCAAACTTCTGCACCAATCCTGGTACCTTTCTGGCAAACTGGGTGGCTTTCCCCTTTGTCTGCATCCTGAGCCCTCCTCTCCTCAAGCCTCGCCGTCTGCATCGCTAGCTGGACCTCCAACATCTGGTACCTTTCTTCCAGGCTTGGACCCGCTCCAGCTCCTGCTTCTCCGGTTCCGGCTGGGTTGCTCATGATGCCTTCTCCTGCACAAGCTGCTTTCAAAGACTGTCGGAATGCTGTGATGGGATGATGAGCTGCTTGTGCGTAAAATCGTATCCCCTCAGAGTTTGTTCAAGTCCACAAACCTCTGTCTGTGACGGAGCCCTCAGACATGGCTACTCTAGTCACTAGCAGATTCCGACAGTGGTTGCTTTCGTAATCGCTTCCAACATAAAAGCTCCTTAACGGAAACACGTCTTCTGGAATCTCTGCGTGACAGTTTCCGGCGAGGAGTGGGTGTTCTTACAGGAGGTCCTGAAACTTCCCCACTGTTTTCGCTGGAAGTGTCTCTGAGCCATCCCTCCAGCTCAGCTCCTCTCCCCTGCTGGTTCCCTCTTCAGCTGCTGCGTCTCTCCCAACCTGTGTGAGCCCTTTCACCTCCCTGTTGGTTCCCTCTTCAGCTGCTGCGTCTCTCCCAACCTGTGTGAGCCCTTTCACCTCCCTTCCGTCCGATGGCAGTTCCCTGACATATGCGGACCCTGAAATCATCTTCTGAGGCCCTTCTTTGTGTGCCACCTCTTCAAGGAGGGTGGCAACACGAGAACGGGGCCTTCTCTGCAGTGACTCCCCGTCTGTGGAATGCTCTCCCCAGGGAAGTTCGCCTGGCGCCTTCATTATACACCTTTAGGTGCCAGGCAAAAACATTCCTTTTTAACCAGGCCTTTGGTTGATTTGATTGATATCCAATGCCCTTTTAAAATATGGTGGGTTTTTTTTTGGGGGGGGTGTTACTGGGTTGTTGTTTTTATTTTGATTATATATTTTGTGGTTTTATGTTTTGATTTTGTTCTGTGAACTGCCCTGAACCCTCCGGGTATAGGGCGGTATATAAATTCAAATACTAATAATGATATCAAGAACAATAAACACATGCAATTGCTGCACAACAGGGGGAATCAAAGCAGCGCCTTCCAGTTGTTGGAGAATACAACTCCTACCATCCTGGGCCAAAGACCATAATGGCTGGGGCTGGAGGGACTTGTTATCCACAACAGAAGCGCCCCTGCTGGCTATCCCTGCTGTAGAACCGAAACAGAGCTTTCCACGCTAAATTCAAAATGCTTTTGAATTAAAGCCCTTTGCAGCTTAGGACCAGGTTACCTGAAGCACCAACTGTGCCCAGACAGGTATTTGTCCATACTCTGAATCCTTAGCAATGAAACCCAGAAAAGGGTTCTGATACCTAAAGACTGTACCTAAAATACTGGAGAAAGGACCTTTTCAGCGGCTTGCCTGCCAGCTCACTCCAATTTCTTTCTGGTGCCAAGTGAAAGCATTGGTTGTTGTTTTCTTAACAGGCTTTCAGCTTTTAAAACTTTTGTTGAGCTTTAAAACACTGATAGCACAACACTGATTTGCTATCCAAGCGGCTGCTTTTAGTGAATTTCAGTTTTTAGCTTATTTTATTGCATCAGTTATTTCACAACATACGATACTTTATTGTGAGCTACTCTGATAACATATTTTAAGGGCTGGCCCTCGTATTAGAAAATGACTATTAAATAGACTCAAAGCAGCCTGCAATATCAAGTTTTTATTGTCTGAGAGAGTAAAGTAATAAAACTGTGTCCGCGGTTTCATTTCTACATTCCTGAGGAGGAATTCTACTTCTACAGAGAGCTTCACACACATTTTCTCTGCAATCCCTACTGGGCCCTGAAAAAGTTGTTGTTGAGGCAAAAATAATTGATTGGGGTGGATGTGGGGCAGGGGCTTCGTGGCTCAAACCTCACTCTTAGACTGAAATCTCAAACACACTTTTTAGGGACTAAATCCCATTGAAGCAAGGTGGAACTTGCTTCCGAGTACATATGCTGAGGATTATGCAATTTGCCACTATGCTACATCAGATAGCTGCATATACTAAATCTGCAAGTGCTTAGCATTAAAGGGGGAAAGGCTAAAAAAAACCCCTGACTTTCCAGTGCACTCTGAACAGGACATGTGTTGCCTAAAAATTTGCAAATTTATCTAGCTTCACGCACAAGGGACTTCCTGAATTTTCAGCTATACACAACAAAAATGTGGTGTGTGTGCACGTGAGTGAGACTACTAATAAGCTCACACACATACAAATGTGACCTTGTCAGGAATGTTTGCATTCAAAATTGTTGCAAAAACTTCCCTGTATCGGAAAGTTTTTAATGTTGGATGTTTTATTATGCTTTTATATGTGCTCAAAACCGCCCAGAGTGGCTGGAGAAACGATACGATACGATATCTTTATTGTCATTGTCCCATGCAGAACAATGAAATTGAAAAAACTACATAAAACTACATAAAACATTCAAAAACCTGGCCAGATGGGCGAAATATTAGTAGTAGTAGTAGTAGTAGTAGTAGTAGTAGTAGTAAGGGACTCAAAACAGAGTAAGGCATCTGTAAAAATCAAGCATAGGCAAATTTGGCCCTCCAGATGTTTTGGGACTACAATTCCCATCATCCCTGACCACTGGTCCTGTTAGCTAGGGATGATGGGAGTTGTAGTCCCAAAACATCTGGAGGGCCGAGTTTGCCTATGCCTGGTAAAGATGAACTGAATTGCTGGATGGCTATCCCTTCAAGAAAGGAGAAAAGAACGAGGGAATAACTGTTCCCCCAAGGCTGTGTTTTTCCATCGTCTGGCAATCAGCGGCAGGCCAAGGGACTCTATTGAGTGTGTCCGAGATAGAATTACTTCTGCCCAATATGGGATTAATTCCCCACACAAGATTATCTGCTAGATTAACAAGAAGCAGCGTTGTGAATTAAGGCCAGTCCTCTTGTGTAACTCCAAAACCCCACGAAAGGGCATTTGAGGTAGCAAAAGAATCAAAAGAGGTGAAAGCATGTCCGAGGCAGCCAGCAATGCTGGTGTAAATTCTGCACTTTACAGAATCTTGGGTGTGGTTTAGAGCGAATATTAAGGAAAAGCTGTGATCAATATTTAAAATCCTCTTTTCTTTTTTTTTAACTAGACTCAACCACAACTTTAGTGAGACTATGCATATTCCCATAAATTCACAGGATGCTGCATAACTACAGTGCGTGGAACATAGTTAATTTCTAAACATAAAGAGAGAGAGAGATTTTGCCAGTTAAGGCTTCTTAGGTCTGATTGCAGTAATAAGCAGAACAAAGTCCTGAAGTATTAAAATCAGGAATGAAAAGGAACAAAAGTAACAAGATTGAAATGATATTCATGAAAATCCCAATTTGTCACTATTTGTTACAACCAGCACAAATACTGCAAGTTGCGAAAAAAGTCATTTACTGAAGTTAATTAAAGCTCTATTAAGCTCAAACCTATTCCCTGGGAGAAACACAGAATATCACAGAAGACATGTATTACAGCGACACAGTATTTCCTTCTGTACTCAGGCTGCCAGATAGTGATAGTTTCTTCACTGTATTTTTTTTAAAAAAAACAACAACCTGTAAATCACCACTTGAGGGTTTTCTCCATTGGTCTCTACGAAAAATGTTTCTTAATATACATTTTGGAAAAGGACTAACAAGAAAAAACGTATCAGTCGGGACATGGGTCACAGAACACATATTTCAATAGTGCGATTGATCCCTTGGCAGAACAATTCTTTCTTCATTGATTTAAAACATCAATCTGATAATTGGCAGGAAAGAGTAATGAGATGATCCTTTAAACTCCATAGTCACGTAGAAAGTCCCCCTGTAGAGCTGAAATTAATTGATTCATCTCTCCACAAACTGTTAACAATTTAAATGCTTTTGGACTTGGTTTTGATCTTCTGTCAACACTTCCTTTTTACTCAAAGATTTATGGAAGCGAACACAGTAACTCAGTTACTCTGCAAAGAATAGGAAAAAGGAAAGGAAGTAGACTGTGCAGTTGTTTCATAATATGCATGTCTGGAAGGGAAAAGCTAGAACAGAAACCAAGTGAACTAAAGGAGCAGCAGCAAAGTGATTCGCCATTCTTCCATCAGCCTGCTCGCCTGCCTGCCTGAAATCCCTATGACCTATGGCGACCAGGTGACTTGTTAAATACAAGACTCCATACCACACCTCCAACTTCACAGGGATATTTAAATATATATATATTTGGCAGGAAGTAAACTATTTACCTGATCTCCTGTAGTGAGATCCATGGCAGTAGCATCTGGTGGTCTGTTGGGTGGGTTCACCGTGACCTGGAAATAAAGATAAATAAGCACTCTGCCCCTGTTCTTAGTAACATTTTATGTCTGGTTGTTTTGTACGTTACTCAGTTTTGAGACTCGTCTTTCTAAAAGAGCCAGGCACCACCAGCCAAAACCGCTGAGACTAGTACTGCAAGCCCAGATGTTCAAACGGAGTACTTTTTAAAGCCAAGCAGCATAGGGAATACAGTTTTCAATGGCTGCTTGGCCAATTGTATGTTCCTTCGTGGAAATGGTCACTCTCAAAGATGCTTGAGAACTTCTCTTGTCTTTTGCTACATGCACAAAGGTGGAAAGATACAGCCTCGCCCACTATAGAAGAATGGCTGATAAAACTATTGGACTTGGCTGAGACGGCAGAGAAGTTAACATGTCTAATTACTGACATTTACTAAGGATTGGAAATTTCTCATGGACTTTTTGCGTGAAAGAAAAAACGAACTTGTCATAGTTAGATTTGAAGACTGAAAAATACTGGTTTATAGAAGATAGGATGTTTGGATCTTAAGGAGTGAATACTATATTTAGCTGGAGCACAGAGAGCTGGAATTCCTTTTATTCTTCTTTATCTTTTTCTAATCTTTTTTTCTCTTTCTTTCCTCTCTTTCTCTAGGTTTCCCCTTTCCTTGTCTTTTCTCCTTTCTGTCTTTATTCTTTTTCTTTTTTTAGACTAAGTAGTTGTTTCATATCAGTTTATGTATATATGAAACATATATGTTTCAAATATAAAAATATATTTTGTAAGGGGCATGTATTTTTGTATCTCTCTGAATAAGTATTAATATTGTTTTTTTTAATTAATCATGAGGACTTAATCATGAGAGCTGCCAGTCCTTCAGGCATGCAAAGGTCACCCTTGCCTCAGAAGCTTTTAGGAAAAGGGCAGGAGATGGCTATTGAAACGGCATGACTTGAGCTGGAAAAAAATCAGTGGGAGAGGGCAGCCGAAGAGATGTCACGCGTACGGCATCATGTGTCCGGCAGGGGTGAGTGTGATGTCATGTGCAAATCGTGCATTCCATGTGTGTGACATCATGCACGTGTGACGTCACATCATCATGAGGAGCTCAGCAAGGAACAGCTTCAATGGCCAGTGGCTCCTCCTCTCTCTCTCGCCCAGAAGAAGCTGACCACTGAAGCTGTGCCACACTTGGTCTCCTCTACCCCCTCAACTTTATGAGCGCCTGACCCTCTCCCCACAGATATGGAGGGGGCCGGACACCTCAGCCCTATAGAGTTGGGACCAGTGGTTTCCATGCACAATCCCACACACTCTTGATAATCCCTCCTGAAAGATCTGGATTCAGATTCCAGGCCTTAGGCCAAACTTTTCATACTGGTGACAAACTTTTTAGACATGCAACATTTCACAACACAGTAATTCAGTTTTACTAGCAAACCAGAAGTTAAACTAATCCCTTTCCAGCCCCGGGAGGAGCGTGGGGAGCATTTGCACGACACACCTACGCACTGCAGCCGACACACTAATGTGTCGCGACACACAATTTGGAACGCTCTGGCTTTAGGCTGTCTAACCCTGGTTCAAAATACATTTTGAATTTGTTCACAAATTACCCATGCTGCCCAACTTAAAGCTCCTATTACCTTGGTTTTCTCAGATGAGCGTTTCCCGCCAAAACCGCCAGCTCCGACAACAAAGACGGAGAACTGGTTATAGCACAAAAGGTCCTTTCCAGAGTATGTGTTGACTAGACATGATCAGGCCAAAAAAAGAACCATTTTAGTTTAACTGCAAACAACATACCTTCCTTTCTTAAAATACAACCCATAATGACATAACTGCAGGGTATTAGCTGCGGCTCTGTTTACAGCATGCTAAAGTAAAAACTAACATAGCGTTGAGCGAAACTAAGAAATCAGCGGAGAACTTTTGACTTAAATTTTCAGGGAACTGGGTGAGAAGAGCTACATAGTTCTTTTACTCTATTCATTTTACCCAGTGCTATATTTCTAGAAAAAGAGATGCCAGAACTCACCATGGACACCTACCTCATGTGCTTAGAATGGCAATGGCACCCACCTGAGGGGTGCCGGAACTGAGTTCTGGCTGGGAAAAAAACCTGCTTCTGTCTAAAAACTACTGAAACGCCCCTCCTTTTCACTGCCCTGACCCAAGTTTATTAACTGCATGACGCCGCCTGAACCTTGCGGTCATTTTCTAAGGGGTCTTCCTCCATGTCCCCCTACCTTCTGAAGTTAAGTTTGGGCCCATACACAGACAATTTCATTTGCCTGGGCTTTTGTCATTTAATATAAGCTGGTTATATGCCTTGTTGCACTTGTCTTGAGATTATCTTCACCCACGCTCCTCTATTTTCTGGAATTCTGCTATTTTACGTGACAAGCTGCGTTAGAAATCTCTACTAAAGAGTGGCATAAGAATATTTGAAATAAAAGACGAGCTTTATGAATACAGAGTAAAGACAATAAATATGGGATTGGCTGTGGGGAGGGGTAGGCCCCACGAAGTCTTCACTGGAAAAAAACCCAAAACTCTTATATCCTAAACCTATACAGTGGTACCTCGGGTTACATACGCTTCAGGTTACATACACTTCAGGTTACAGACTCCGCTAACCCAGAAACAGTACCTCGGGTTAAGAACTTTGCTTCAGGATGAGAACAGAAATCGTGCTCCGGTGGTGCGGCAGCAGCAGCAGGTCCCATTAGCTAAAGTGGTGCTTCAGGTTAAGAACAGTTTCAGGTTAAGTACGGACCTCCGGAACGAATTAAGTACTTAACCCGAGGTACCACTGTAATGCATTCCAGAACATGCACAAACAAACACACTAACCACTTTTGGGGTTTTAAAACTAGGCTGGCAAAATATCAAGGCCAGTTCACATATGTTATGTCTTTAGATGCGTGGCAAACCCAGATAATATTGAAATTGCCCTCAGGGCAAGACAAGATTCCAGTAGCTGTTACAAAGCCTTCCTCCAAGATGGCTTCAAGGCACCGCTAGGAAGGTTCATTCCATTTTAAAGACTCATTTCTCTGCCCATTTGCTCTTAACACATAGTAGGAGAGTTACCATCCAAGAGAATAAGCGCTCCTGAGCCTTTATCTAGGATGTCAGCAATAGTGGCCTCCGAAGTTAGTTTTCCTAAAATCGAAAAGAAGAAAAAGAAATGACACAGAAGTAATACAGAAATACTTACAGGCCTCCCAAGAAAATCAATAGCTAAAGTTTGCAATATAAAATCCACACACACCCAAGAATAGCATGGCATGATTTGAATTTTGGATCAAGTATATTGTAGAACATACCAAATCATGAGAATTGAGCTGGAAGGTGAGAACAGAGCCTTGGCCCCTGACACATGCATAATACAATAAAAACCTCCCCTTGAAGGGAGAGGATATGAGAATCAGTTCCCTGTATAAAGAATGGGCTGAAGGCTGTTTTTTGCAGGTAGAGAAACTCCACGTGAAACTGTACAGAGATCATGAAGAATAATACTAATTACTCTTGGTAGAAACACCAACAGAGTCCTACACCATATATATGATTATATATATATATATATATATATACACACACACACACACACACACACACACACACACACACACACACACGCATACACACACACAAAGATTAGTTAGGGTTTCTGAAGTCTTACCCGATGTTGGCAGAGGTTTATACACCTCCAAATATTGCTCACCATGTAACACCTATAATAAGACAGAAATTTGCATCATTTGCACTACTGTCAGAAAACTGCAGTCTATACTGCTGCAGTTTTTAAAACGATATAAAGAGATTAAGTATGTTTACTTATTTATTTTTTTACTGCGTTAACACATGACAACGCAATGTATCATTATTTTATTTATATTATAGTATAGTATAGTATAGTATAGTATAGTATAGTATAGTATAGTATATTAATTATATTATATTAGACCCTCGGGTAAAGACAGTCTATTATTTGATCTGGAAACATGATGTGAATCAAAGCACAAACACTTAGGTCGCTTTTCCTCAAAAGGGTTTGCACTTTGCCCATTAAGAGGGATAATAGTTATATGTTTTATGGCCTTGTAAATTTTCAGTCTGAGGTGGGTAAACTATCAGATACATAGCCGCCATCCCTCACCTTTTTCTGTTTAAAGAGTAATTCTTTGTCCAATTCACACTTTGCTTCCATTTTGTTAAACAGGTAACACCTTAGGTATTCTTTATGGTGGTGGTGGTGGGGAATCTCACCTCATTATTAACATTATCTTTGCCCTTTAACTATTAAAGAAGAAGGTTGGAAGTCTCTGGATGCTTTCCCCAGGCCTCTCATGGGTCATAGGAGAAACTTGATGCAAGTTAATGGTGAAGAATTTGTGGCTTTCCAGATAAAGGATCCCTGGATGGTTAAGTCCAGTCAAACTTGACTATGGGGTTGCGGTGCGCATCTCGCTTTCAGGCCAAGGGAGCCAGCGTTTGTCCACGGACAGCTTTGGTGCAACAGAAGACCATGACGAGTGCCAGAGTGCAAGGAAACGCCATTTACCTTCCCGTCACAGCAGTACCTATTTATCTATTTGCACTGGCATGCTTTCAAACTGCTAGGTTGGCAGGAGCTGGGACAGAGCAACAGGAGCTCAGCCCATCGTGGGGATTCGAACTGCCGACCTTCTGATCGGCAAGAACAAGAGGCTTGGTGGTTTAGACCACAGCACCACCCACTCCCTCCAGATACCGCTAGAGTCACACACCCTTTCAGGCCCATTCAGACTGGCCAATTGTGAGGGGAAATGTAGCCCAGAAAAATCTGGAAAGATGATAGGTTCGCTTCCCTGATGCAAGTGAAATGCATAGCACATTATTTTCAGTTTCTTTGTTTCTCCTTTGTATCGTGACTGACATTGTAATGTTGAGATATTGAGGAGGTAATGAGTACCGTATTTTTCACTCTATAGGACGCACTTTTCCCCCTCCAAAAATGAAGGGGGAAAGTGTGTGCGTCCTATGGAGCGGATGCAGGCTTTCGCTGAAGCCTGGAGAGCGAGAGGGGTCGGTGCGCACTGATCCCTCTCGCGTTCCAGGCTTCAGGAAGCTATCCGCAGGCTTGCGGATAGCTGCCTGCAGCCCAAAGCCCGGGGAGCGCGGCGCTGTGCACCCCAGGCTTTGGGCAGCTCTCCGCAAGCCTGCAGAGCCCGGCGGGAGTTCCCGCCGGGCTCTGAAGGCTTGCGGATAGCAGCCTGCTGTCCCCGAAGCCAAAACAGCGAGACGGAGCGCTGCGCAGCCCTCCGTCTCGCTGTTCCAGCTTTGGGATGGCTGCGCAAAGCCTCCGCAGGGCGGTGGGGTGAAGGCACCCCGCCACCCTGCGGAGGCTACAAAGGATGTCCCCGAAGCCTCAAGCCTTTGGAGTACAGCTGCGCTCCAAAGGCTTCAGAGATCTTTGAGGCTGGCGATGGGAGAAAACAGCGCTTCCCCCCACCACCAGCCCCACAAGCTTGGGGGGCAGCTGCAAGGCCTCCTCTTGAACGCACTTTGAACGCACCATGTTTTTGAGGGGGAGAACAAGAAAAAAATTTTTTTTTCCTATTCTCCCCCTCCTATGGTCCGGTGCGTCCAATAGAGCGAAAAATACGGTATTTCTTTACCACTCGCATTTGGAATTTGCCATGTGTTGCAGTCGGTTGGGCTTGCTAGGCTCTAGTTTTCATCACTGTCCAAAGTTTTAATGGAATGTATCATCCGGGGCAACAGCAAATGAGGGCAAAGCAGACTGCTTCATTTCAAAGCCAAGCTATATTGACTCCATGTTTACTACTGATGATTAATGCATTAGATTTTCATGTATCCAAAAAATTTCCCCCTCTGTTGCTAAATCTGCATCTGCTATGCATGCTGTTTCATTTGCTAACAGTTTGATACATAAAATCAATTCAATTGTTGTGGCTCACACTCACCTTAGTAAAATCAATATTAAGCCCTGGAACGCTAGACAACCCACCATCGAGCATAGAGGCCTGAGCTGGTATAACTCCAAAGCTTGGAAGACAGCAAAACTCTTCACTTCCTTCAAACAGGAATTTCAGGTGGTCCGGATCTTTTGTTGACATGCCCACGCCAAGTGCATACAAGATGGGCTGCAAATGGCTGTACTCATAAGACATTGTAGGCAGCTTCTGGCCAATGCTCTGCGACTGTGGGTATTGAAAACAGGAGCGCACATTAGTATTATTAATTTAGATCTTCCGTTCCTACCAAAAGCAAGCTCAGAGTGATTAACAAGTAGTCTTTGGTGAATGAGAAGCACCTCAAGGCAAAGAGAGAAAGCTGTTATAAAAGGTGAAGACATTGGATTTTCTCTCAGGCCATATGAATGCTAAAAATAAAATAAAATAGACACAAGTGTGTATTAACCAGAGATGGAATCTGTAGCCATTCCAGATGTGGTGGAACAACAGTTCCCATAATCTTTGACCCCTGGCCATGCTGGTTGGGTCTGTTGGGAGTTGAACATCCACCAACATCTAGGAGTGGCACATGACGCCCATCGCTGCTTCCAATTTATAAGATGCTCATTTGTTTTACAGTCTAATAACTTTTATGGGTTCACATGTATGGCTGAAATATAAATAGGAAGGGGAAAAAATCTTACTCAATCCCATGCAGAGTGAAAATCTCATACAAATGTACTAAATTTGATTTCATCCATTAATAGGTCAGCCGAAAGAGGAAAGTCTTCACACCACTGATATCAAAAGTTGGGAAAAGGTAAAGGATGTGTGAGAAAATGTATCTAGAAGAGTTTGAATTTGATATCCCGCTTTATCACTACCCGAAGGAGTCTCAAAGCGGCTAACATTCTCCTTTCCCTTCCTCCCCCACAACAAACACTTTGTGACGTGAGTGGGGCTGAGAGACTTCACAGAAGTGTGACTCGCCCAAGGTCACCCAGCAGCTGCATGTGGAGGAGCGGAGACGCGAACCCGGTTCCCCAGATTACGAGTCTACCGCTCTTAACCACTACACCACACTGGCTCCTCCTTTCTTGTATATATCATATAGGGACACATACTCAACCTGAATACCAGTCAAGAGCGCAGAAACTCATTCATAGTTGATCTTCAAAATGGTGATGGGAAATTGAGAAGAGATAATCCCTTCCGGGTGCCAGTTAAATATTTTGTACCGATTCTCTTTTAGGACAACTGTTCTATGTCTAAACTACTACGGCTCCAGGGTATCGCAAAACTAGGATATTTCAAAACTCGGTGCCACTCCACTTGCCTGAAACAGGGTCCTCCAACTCCATCTAAGGCAGGCATGGCCAAACTTGGCCCTCCAGCCGTTTTGGGACTACAACTCCCATCATCCCTAGCTAATAGGACCAGTAGTCAGGGATGATCATTGCTCCTTCAAGCTTGCTACTGTCTACACTTGACTCTCAGCAGCACTCCAAGGTTTCAGATACAGGACATACCCGGTCCTACCCAGAGATGCTGGGGATCAAACCTGCGATCTTCTGTATGTAAAGCAGATACGCTGAGCTACAGCCTTCCCCTTTCCCCAGTGAGACAGCAGCCCATTAGGGACAAATAACCTTAAGGCACATATCTTTGTCCACAAATTATGCCAAGCTTCTCAAAATGCATGTTTGCTGCGCACACACACACTTAAAGAGAAATGTGATGCTAGATTTTAGCAGCTGCGGTACAAAACGAAACAGAGGGATCATTTATTTTTAACTTTCTGAAAGAGATGTTACTCTGCCCTACAAACCAATGCCTGGAGAAATTACACCTGACTAGCAAACCTGCAGGACTAGAGTGTCTGCATTCTTCGGAGAAGAAGTAGCAAATTCTCTAGTCTAATCAGTTCTCATAAATGTTACTTTACACTATGGAATAGTGTACAAGGGAACAGTGTGGGGGAAAGCACCGCCTTCTCCAGCTCACATTTTAAAATTGACCTTTTGAGACAGTACACTGCATCTTCCGATTCATGTGTCACAGTAGCTTTTCCTGGCTCCAGGCAACGGAATATCTTCAAGCCAAGTACCTTGCAGAAGCATTTTTACTTACAGGGTCAAAGCCTGTAGAGGATCTTGATGCACTGTGGCTTGTGGGATTGGGGGAGACATCTTGGGATTCTATTTGACTTAACACATCATTCAGCATGCTGACTGATTCTGGAAATACAGAAGGGAAATGGTTTTGAAACCACACACACACAAAAATAAGTCATTCCACAGCTTCATTCCAAGCAAAAATACAACCGTCACAAAATGCTAACATGACACTTCAACCTCACTTTTGGGGAAGTCCCTTATTCTTGAAGTTAACACAGTGCCTCCTAACCATTCGTATGCTTTACATTGCACTTGTTAATGTGAACCCTCACATATTAATTATAGAGGTTCCCAATGCTGTCTGTGGGCTCCAGTGCCTGCCAGTACAGTCGTACCTTGGAAGTCAAACAGAAGCCATTCCAGAAATCCATTCAATTTCCAAAATGTTTGGAAACCAAAGCAGGGCTTCTGATTGGCTGCCGGAAGCTCCTGCAGCCAATCAGAAGCCGTGGAAGCCCTGTTGGGCTTTTGGGTTCCAAAGAACGTTCGCAAACCGGAACACTCACTTCCGGGTTTGCAGTGTTCGGGAGTCAAAACGTTTGACTTGCAAGGCATTCGGGATCCAGTGTATGACTGTATTTCCTACAGGGCCTGTTAAAGGTCTCAGTAAATACCCCTTCAAAAATCCACAATGTGAGAGATGCGATTTGCTCTTTCTGCTCAGTTCTGCAACATAGAACAACCCATCTCCCCTTAAACATGCCGACTTTTTGCCGGGTTACACAATTGGACACCAACTCTTCCTTCTGTTTTGAACAAAGGAAAGATGTAAATAGCTTGTTTCTGTGAGCAAGAATGGTGATGGCTGGTGTGGTTGCCTTTTTCCCATTGACTGGGCAGGGGGGCAGGCCAGCGCTATTACGTGTTCCTATGATCCCCCCCCGCACTCTTTTAGATGTAGCAACTATTTTGTGTTACACAGCACATCCCACCAGCTACATTTGGAGTTGCGACACCTCCCACCCCATGGCAGCCATTTTACGACTGTTACCCACAGCAAACAGCACACCTCACCCCAAACACCCACCCACCTACCCCCTTCCCTCACAACCTGCTAACTGTTTAAAAGAGTGGAGAGTTTGGAGAACAGCTCTCGAAGTATGCCCCACTATCCTTTAAATATTGCTTAAATTAACATCAGAAACAATCAGTGTTAACTTAGTAATCGAGACACGGAAGGAAGTGTACTTGAACTGGCAAATTAAAAATACTGCCAGGTATCAGCTTTGCACCACGAAGTATTTGAACATCTCTTCCAAAGCTGGTATATTTTTAGTCTTCCAGTACTTACATCAAAGGGGTAAGGTTCCCCTCCACCCCCGTGTTTAGCATCTCTATCAACTTCTTTTCTTTTCCCCACATATATCTTCAGAACAGAATAATCTGCCTTACATCTGTGCCAGACTACTGGCTCATCTAGTATTATCTCCATTAAAAAAAAAAAATGTGGGGGATTTTTACATACATTATATTATCTTCTTCCAATTTTTAAATTTCCCGTACAATTTTTCCTTTCCCACCCCCCACCCCCCAATATCCATTGGAAGGGTTCAAACAATTATCCTCAGCCACGGGCACAGCGTCTTTAGTTTCCACTGAATGTCTTTTGTTCCAGTAGTTTCTATCCTTTGAAGATAGGAGTTTCATCTGTTCCTTATTGTGGTGGACTTGACCTTCCACATTGTTTCCTGTGACATTACTGCGACAATGTCCGACTGAGTACTGGTAAGTTCAAACAAATAACTATTCCATGCCTCTACTGTCCATTTTTCTCTATCTTTCCAACCTAAAGCTATCGTTGCCTTTCCCGCTAATATCATAGCTTTGAAAGTAAACTGGTCCCCTTTCTCTATAGCCGCATTTCCAAGTATACCCACTGTCATGAAATCAAAATCTATTGACAGCTTCACTTTAAACAGTTCATTAATAACCTTTGGATTTTATTCCAGAATTCCTTTACCTCTGGGCATTCCCAGTACATATGGGAAAACCATCCCTTGGCTAGTTTACAGTGCCAGCAGTTAGAATTCAATCCTGTTACCATATTAGCTAGCCGGGCTGGAGTTCTGTACCATTTTAGAACTTTTTAAAATTCCAGCTCTCTAAATTTGCTTACTTTAATCTCATCTATTCCTTTCATTAGGGGACGCAAGTGGCGCTGTGGGTTAAACCACAGAGCCTAGGACTTGCCAATCAGAAGTTTGGTGGTTCGAATCCCTACGACAGGGTGAGCTCCCGTTGCTCGGTCCTTGCTCCTGCCAACCTAGCAGTTCGAAAGCACATCAAAGTGCAAGTAGATAAATAGGTACCACTCCAGCGGGAAGGTAAACTGCGTTTCCGTGTACTGCTCTGGTTCGCCAGAAGCGGCTTAGTCATGCTGGCCACATGACCTGGAAGCTGTACGCCGGCTCCCTCGGCCAATAAAGCGAGATGAGCGCCGCAACCCCAGAGTCTGTCACGACTGGACCTAATGGTCAGGGGTCCTTTTACCTTTACCTTATTCCTTTCATTATCCTTTCAACCGTTGATTCGCTAACTTGTTCTTCCTGTATTATCTCCATTAAATGGCAGTGAATCTCCAAAAGATCAGACAGGTGTCTCTCCCAACCCTACCTGCAGATGTCAAGGATTGAACTTGCAGCTTTCTTGATGCCAAGCATTTGGTCTCTCAGTAAGCTATGACTCCTTCTAGTATTATTCAAAAGCACAACTTCTGGTGCAAATAGCAATCTGTCACCTATTCTATTTCTCTAGGCCTACCGATTGTCTGGTATGCAATTTCCTTCTCCGCTTCTTGGGAGTAACTTCTGCTATATATTAATTCTCACAGGGAACACAAACAAGAAGAAAAGGGGGGTGGGGAGAACTGCAATAGCACAGAGTGCTGACCTTCTGCTGTCTGGCATAGGAAACTCAACTCCAGTCCCAACCTCCAGCATTAGATTTGCAATGATATTTTAGCACTTGAATAGGCTGAGGAACTTGTGTTATGCAAGGTCACACTTCCAGTGTCTCCAACCAAGATGCTAAGGAAATTGGATTACATGAATTGCCTGAAACTTAAGTGCCCTGTGGCGGTTATCAGGTCTGGGCATTAACAGTCTGACAAGTAAAAAAATAACAGTAACCAAACTCACTATGTTAGAAGTGCTACTGGTGCATTAGGCAAAAGCCAGACACGAGCATTCTTCTTCTTCTTCTTCTTCTTCTTCTTATTATTATTATTAAAAGTGTGTATTAAATCACTGTTCTTCCCAAAAGGAGCTATACAGCAGAACTAACAATGCAGTATGAAGGCTACAGCTATACCTTGGGAATAGTGGTTTGAATCTCACCTAGAATTTTCTCTTTCTCTCTACCTCCCTCACGGAGCTGTTATGAGGCTAAACCACCACACTTAGCCCTTTGTAAAAAGGACAAGACGACAAAGTGGCGGGGGAATTAAGCATACCACAATCTGAGATGCAGCCTTCCACGTTTGTCATTCTGTTTCTCCACTTTCACATCTAAATTTTGGGAAATTTCTGATTTGTTTCACAACTTTGAGAGCCTATGCCTGTACAGTGGTGCCCCGCAAGACGAATGCCTCGCAAGACGGAAAACCCGCTAGACGAAAGGGTTTTCCGTTTTGGAGGTGCTTCGCAAAATGAATTTCCTATGTGCTTGCTTCGCAAGACGAAAATGTCTTGCGAGTTCCTGCGGGGTTTTTTGCCTGTCCCCCCCCTTTTTCCCAAGCCGCTAAACCGCTTATCAGCTGATCGGCTAAGCCGCTTAACAGCTGATCGCTAAGCCGCTTATCAGCTGATCGTTAAGCTGCTTATCAGCTGATCTTTAAGCCGCTTAACAGCTGATCCGCTAAGCCCGCTAAGCCGCTAATACTGTAGCGCTAATCCACTAAACCGCTAATGGGCTTGCTTCGCAAGACGAAAAAACCCGCAAGACGAAGAGACTCGCGGAACGGATTCTTTTCGTCTTGCAAGGCACCACTGTATAATGGACGTTTCTCTAAGGGCAGTGGCAGTCAACGCACAACATCTTTTGCCGGCCTCCTCTTACTGGCAAATGATATATAATGAAATGAAAAGGATGTTTAAAATAACCTTTGTTTTTTTAAAAAAAACCAGAAGCTTTTCTTTGGGGAATTATAGGGACAGAACTACCTAAAATGTATAGAAATCCATTCATGTATGCTACTACAGCAGCAAGAATGTTACTTGCCCCAAAATGGAAAGAAGCAGAAGTCCCAGCAAAGGAAGAATGGATACAAGAACTTATGGAATATGCAGAAATGGCAAAAATTACCGGAAGAATAAGAAATCAAGATAACTTCTTTTTAAAAAAATAAAAGAATGGAAATGGTTTCTTGAATATTTACAGATAAATTGTAAACAAATAAAAACATTGACAGGATCAATGTAATAACCTGCAGTTTCATAAGAGTATATATATATAAAGAAGATGATTAAATGAGTAAATTAAGTTAATGTGGTTATGCAGAAGATATTAAAAATACATTTAAGGAACCACAAAAAGAGGGGGAAGGAAGTCAAGTTTTGAAATGTCAAAATGATTGTTAAATTAGTGAAATGTATAAAATTAGTGAAATATATAAACTTGAAAAGTATGTGTGTGTGTGTTTCTCTCTCTCTCTCTCTCTTTTGCCAGCTACCTGAACACTGAGCGTCTCTGCCAGTTCCAAAGAGGGGAAAGGGTGGGCAGGAGTGCCAGCACAGTAGCAATGCCAATCCAACAATCCTCCCCATGCCATGTCTCCCTCCCTGTGCCTCATCCTTCTCCCAACCAACAGCAATGCTCAGTGTTTGGAAGATAGGTGTAGAACGTTTCCTTTCGACCTCTGCTTGTCAAGGGCCTGGTCCCTTCATGAGGAAATAAGATGGGCCATTAAACTGAGGACTAGAACAGAGAAGTGCATGCAAGCCTTGCCCTCCATGTCCCCAAGCATGCCAGCTACACTTTAGGCCTCCCCACAACTAGCAGAAAGGGGCTAAACATGCTTCAAATCTCTTCCCACAACATGAAACCCTGAAAAGGATTTGGACTGATAGGGAAATTTCTGGAAGTGCTCAAACATGCTTGAAAACCTTCAGACCTGCATGCTAACTGTGTGAAGATCTGAAGAGCAGCTGGACACATGGGGTGGGACTTGGGGGGTGTACCCCTATCCCTAGGGATGCGGGTGGCGCTGTGGTCTAAACCACTGAGCCTAGGGCTTGCTGATTGGAAGGTCGGCGGTTCGAATCCCCACGACAGGGTGAGCTCCCATTGCTCAGTCCCAGCTCCTGCCAACCTAGCAGTTTGAAAGCACACCAAAGTGCAAGTAGATAAATAGGTACCACTCCGGTGAGAAGGTAAACGGCGTTTTCGTGCGCTGCTCTGGTTTCTTCAGAAGCGGCTTAGTCATGCTGGCCACATGTCCCTGAAAAACTGTCTGCAGACAAATGCCAGCTCCATCGGCCAGTAAAGCAAGATGAGCGCCACAACCCCAGAGTCGTCTGCGACTGGACTTAACTGTCAGGGGTCCTTTACCTTTTACCCCTATCCCAGTTTAATGCTTCACATATTTAGGCAAATGCCTGAACATGCATAGAGTGGTTTGTCAGAAGCTGCTAGGTGATCATCAGAGCCTAGATGGGTTTTAAAACTTTAATCTGCCACACACAAACCAACATAGCATACTGCCGCCCAAACTTTTTGCCTCAATATATTTGGAAGGTCATTAGAGGACCGGCTATTGAATCAGCTTCCATCTAAATGGTGGGGGTGGGGGTGTCAAGCATAAATTAATTTAGAATTCATTATTAGTTTCTTTAATAATGTTTGGAGACAAATATGCTGTAACTCCAGCAAAGATACACAGAAAACCTCTTGTTTTGCCCTTCCCCGACTAAGACCTAAGCCTAATTAGAGTGAGATCATTATAGAGGAAGAAATCACTTTTTGAAAATGATACAGCTCAAATTTCAGTGCTTTTTAATCTGGGGTAAATGAAAATCAGGCCTACACACTCAGCATCTAAATAGCCACACACACCATTATAAGCCACATTTTGTGGTTCTAATTCTAGGCTATTCTCGCAAATGATAGGTAAATAATTACACTAATTGGCATTTTTTGTATAATTATATAGGATAGTTTAGTATATAATAGCTTTTCACAACATCAAATTACTTACATTAATGCTGGTAATAGTTTTTAATGAAATCTCTGGGGACAGCTTGAACTTGCAGATATAAAGTAACATAGCTTTCATTTTTTTAAATGTGAATACTCTAATTAGTTTTCCTTACTTAACAGTTCGGTGCCTTGAGGCACTAAGGAAAGGGACTTTCTTAACAAGGGAAATTTTCTAATGTCGTTCCACTGAAAAATTAAATGAATTAGGATGTCAGATATCAGCAGCATTTTAACAGGCTCTCTGCTAATTCTCACAGATGAGAGATTAATCAAAGGCACGTTCCCATCCAAACCACAGCCAAGAACATAACCGAATTCTTCACCCAGCAGAAAAAATGTAACAGCACACTGGATCGAGCATGCTATATACCCCTTGGAATGTTAACAACTAGTTTAACTTTCAGCCAGCAAAATAGAGTAGCTCCTGGGTGGAGTTTATTCTATCAGAATATTCAACGCATACTTATATTATTATTTTTATGTACAAGCCATCAGCCACTCAGCCCATATGGAAAATAGTAACAACATCATGGCCGATTCCCACATCTAGGGACCAGCCTGGCTTCACTGGGATGGAGAAGAGAAGTGGGGATGATTTCTCTAGTTTGAGAAATGAGTGCTTGGCAAAATAAATATGGTGTTGGACTAGGTGTTTGTATGGCTGACAGTGTCTGCTGCGACGCGGGTGGCGCTGTGGTCTAAACTGTGGGCCTCTTGGGCTTGCCGATCAGGAGGTCGGCGGTTCGAATCCCCGCAACGGGGTGAGCTCCCATTGCTCTGTCCCAGCTCCTGCCTAACAGTTTGAAAGCACACCAGAGCAAGTAGATAAATAGCTAAAGCTGCGGCGGGAAGGTAAATGGCGTTTCCGTGCGCTCTGGTTTCCATCACGGTGTCCCATTGCGCCAGAAGCGGTTTAGTCATGCTGGCCACATGAGCCGGAAAGCTGTCTGTGGACAAACGCCGGCTCCCTCAGACTGAAAGCAAGATGAGTGCACAACCCCATAGTCGCCTTTGACTGGACTTAACTGAGGGATCAAGAGAGGAGAGCATCCTACTCTCCTTCTAAATGTACCCAACTGCTCTTCCCTTAGTCTTTAGTAGTTGGCGTCCTTGTGTTAGCATAATCTGTTAAGGCTGTACCAGTAGTGGGGGGCATATTAATAAGCTATTTTGAGAGAGGCTGGGATGTGTAGCTAGATCTCCACTTTTTATTTTTAGTTAGTAGCCATGATCCTCCACACTATTAGTAGATAACTTGGGTTGCAAACTTCAACACAGTCCTCAACTGAAGGGTAAAACCTGAACTTTCTAGGATCTGATCAACTAGACCGCCACTCATAAACATATCGTCAAAAATCATCTTCCCTGGAATCAGGTATGAACAGTCCCTTGCAAAAGGGTAGCATTCCTGATTCTGACAAACTTAAAGGCCCATCAAGTCTCTTCCAAGTATGACTTAGCCTTGTACAGTTTGCACAATGTTTCATTTGTCTTTTGCTGCTTTCAGTTCCTAGAATCAAGAGTATATGCTCTGAAACGGAGAATTCTACTGAGTACCATATCTTCAGATTGACATATCTAATTTTTTTAGCCCCACCAATTTGTTCATCACAGGAGCAAAATAGATATATATAGCTGGGCAATATCTGGTTTTCAACATTGTGATATATTACCAGCTAAATATCTCAATATGCTGATATATCACAATGCCTGAAATAAGGATAGAGCTATGTAGCATTGGCTGGCATCACAGTTTTTCCCACTTCGTGATTTTTGCATAGCACACACACACACAAACCCCATGATTCGCAATATATTGCCATGTCAAAAATTATGAAACCAGTATCATAATATGGACTTCAAACTGGTTTTGGACAATATATCAATACATTGTTCAGCCCTAGTACAAACTGAGCTCCTAAGAGTCTCACTGCCAGACTACTCCAATTCATCAGAACGCAAACACAAGTGTCAAATATCTAAGACTGCTCTTCAAGAAATCTAGAAAACTCCTTGGAAAGAAACAGAGTTTCATGTTTTCCCTTAATATGCATTATGGTAAGACCTGACACTTCCAAAAGTGCAACATGAGTCATGTACCATGATGTTTAGCTGGGTGATTTTTTGATTTTTTTTAAAGAATAAAATTGGTTCTTCAATGAAAAGACCACCACACAATTATTTGAGAAATATAGTGAATTTTAAGTGCCCATACCCTGGATAGTTCGAGGTTTGTTGGCATTATTGAAGTCACAGATCGTCTCCCATTTATTCTGCACCTCCTCTGGTGTCATCGGCTGGTTCTTCTGTCTGACAATGGCTCCTAGCGATCGCTCCCAGCGTACTAAGCAAACAGCGATAGGAAGAGATAGCCATCAACTGTTGAAACTTCAGGACCACTGCTTCCTCGTAAAAGTAGTAGCCTTTCCCACCAAACAAAAGTCTAGATTATCGCTCCCTGCCAAGAACAGAACCTGATTTTTACATAATTCAGACCCCCCACGTAGAGCAGAAATTCTAGCTCAGACCTTTAAGAGCTTTGCTGAATATGGCTTTTTGCCATTTTGTTTATCTGCATTCACAGCTTGCATCATTTTGAAAGCTTAAAGAGAACAGTAGTTGTAAGAATGATAAAAGCACCTTATTCAGTTTCAAATAAGATCTGATAAAAACACACTATCATTTGCCATCAGTGACCAAAAAGCTGGTCCACATAACACAGAGTGCCCATAAAACACCTGTAAAGGGAGCAGAGATGGAGTTTTGAGGAACTGTTTCATGGATGTATGGTAAACTGCTCCGCTATAAGCCCTTTTAAAACATGTTGGCAGGATTATTGGGTTTTCTTGTTTTTGTTTTTACTACGTATTATGTGTTTTTGTATTGTGATTTTGTGTTGTAGCCCACCCTGAGACCTGTGGGTATCGGGTGGTATACAAATTTAATAACTAATTATAACAATAATAAATAATACTATATGCCTTTGTAGTATAAATGTGAGTTCAATCCACAGTTACTTACCAAAACGTGGTTTTAAAATGGCTAAAAATACCCCTTTGTATAATTCCGAAGTATTGGCATAAAGGTCCACTACCCTTAATAGGCAACAAATTAAAGTTTCCATATTCTATTTGATGAGAACATAAAGATTTCATTTCATATTAAATTCAGATTCTTTTGCAAGTACTAGACCAGATTGTACAAGACCACTTACATTTTCCAATCCATCCAGCTCCGACCTGCAATATAAAATTTTAAAAGTTAATATAACCTCAAAAAGCAAGCAGTGACAGAACTGTACTTCTAGCCATACTGGAGAGAGCAGTATGTTTCATTTCAATAGGGATGACAGCAATAGCCCGATTCAGATGATCATATCTTGGTTTAATAAGGAGATTATATGAATATGAGCCTTTTGCCCACCCACTCAACCTCTTCAGTCCTCCTCTCCCAGCTAATCTAATCAAGAAGCCTCTAATTAACTATCATCGCCTGCTTTGTCTGAAATGGGAAATTATGGTTACTACTTTGTAACAAGTCATAATATTAAACCAGCTTCAACCCTTGGTTGAACATCCTAGCCTGTTTCAAAGCAGCTAATCATAGTTTCCCGGTTTTGATGGAACAAGAAACAATGGTTAATAAGAGGCTTCTTGGTTTGATTGTTGTGAAGGCAAGAGTTGGGGAGCTGAACGGGCAAGCAAAAGATTTATTCATTATCCATGTATTAAGCTGAGGTATAATCAGAATGTAGCCAATACGTCAAACAGCTACAGTATATACTCTTAGTGTGGTATTCAATTAAGATTTACTCAGAGTACACCCACTGCAATTAATTAACATGGCTAAATGAGGTTCGTGAATATCAATAGGTCTACTCTGAGTACAACTTGGTTGAATATTGCCCTTAATTTTTTCTGCATTTTGTTTCTTTCACATGTATCTTTAACCCTAATATATTATTCTCCTAGCTTCAAGAAAGCTGTTAAGTGGGTAGGCAAACCCAATATCGGGAATGTAAATTCAGGTATCACTCCCCACCGATTACCTTATTCACCCTAATTTGGACACGCATGTACCTCACTTTAACTCTCGTTTCTCAAAGATTCACAGCTGACCATGTGAACAATTTGTTGCCGGGAAAGGATAATACAGGGATATTACCTCAAACAGTCCGCTATTCTCTTGACAACTTTCATGGCAAAGCCAAAGAACCAGAGGAGCCACATATTCTGGCTTGAAAGCATCCAGCATATCTAGGTTAGATGGAGTTTAAAATAATGTAAGTTTGCAAAAATATACACTCTAGTACAGACGTTGCACACCAGGAATGGAAAAACTGCTGTCCTCAGGTTGCTGATGGACTACAACTCTCATCAACCTCAACCATTCTCCATGGCTGACAAGAGTTGGGAGTCCTAGAACATCTAGAGGGCCACAGTTTCCCCATCCTAGTTGTATATAAAGAGAGAAAATACCAGGCTTAACTGATACTCGTAAGTGCATGCTCACATTCATCCTTTGTTATCCTTGTTTCTCTTCCTCACTTCCCCGTAATTTTAGACTGTAACCTCCTTGGGGAGAGGGGGCACTAATAATAAATAATAATAATAATAATAATAATAATAATTTATTTATATCCTGCCCATCTGGCTGTGTTTCCCCAGCCACTCTGGGTGGCTCCCAACAGAATATTAAAAATACAACAAAACATCAAACATTAAAAACTTCCCTAAACAAGGCTGCCTTCAGATGTCTTCTAAAGGTCAAATAGTTGTATTTCCTTGACATCTGATGGGAGGGTGTTCCACAGGGTGGGTGCCACTACCGAGAAGGCCCTCTGCCTGGTTCCCTGTAACCTCACTTCTCACAGTGAGGGAACCGCCAGAAGGCCCTCAAAGCTGGACCTCAGTGTCTGGGCTGAACAATGGAGGTGGAGACGCTCCTTCAGGTATACTGGGCCAAGGCCGTTTAAGGCTTTAAAGGTCAGCACCAACACTTTGAATTATGCTTGAAAATGTACTAGGAGCCAATCTGCCTCTCTTCTTGCCTTCAGAATTTAAGAGCGTTATGTGGTGTACAAAAGAAAACATTGCAAGTGATAACTTGCTGTCCAAAAACACCCAGCATGGAGTTTTCATCCAGGCATGATAGCACAGAGACAGAAGTTGGGACACATTTCAATGTATCATTCCACCTTTCCTCCAAAGAGTGTTACATGGCTCTCCCCATCTCCTTATCTTCAAAACAACTCTGTGAGGTAGGTAAGGCTGAGAGTCAGTGACTGGTCCTAGGCCGCCCAGTGAGCTTCATGGCTGAGTGGCGATTTGAGTCCCACCTTCCCAGTTCCTAGTCTGACACCCTAACTATTACGTACACTGCATGGTTTTTACAAAGACCCACGGGAAGAACAGATGTTGCACCAAGAGGCAGGAAATGGTGGGACAAGCCTACAGAAGAAATATGGTTGCTGCAGGAGCAAGCAGCTTATCAAGTTTTCTGACAAATTCAATAAACATTGGTTCACACGCACCAAGAGCAAAAAAACAACAAAACCCTCCCAAATTAGCTTTGCCTATATCAACGTTAGTCTGGCATGCGATCTCCTCTTGCTCTTCCTTTTGCAATGTGACATACATACTTTCTTTTCTTTCTTTCTTTTTCAAATGCTTTTTATTAATGTGACATACATGCTTTCAGTGGTGGAATTTGGTACTGTGGCACCCTAAGCTAGGTCAAAATTTGGCACCCTCCCCAGCAGACGTCCTTGTCAGTTTGTATTTCTTACTACAGAAAATATTGATCTGATGTGTTCCTATTCTGTTTAATTCAGGAGTGTTCTGGAAAGTTTCTTTCTGCATGAGAGAATCTTGCAGAAGGTTCTTGTTTGGGTTATTTCTTCTGGGAAGCTGAGTACAGCTGGTTTAAACTGGTTCTGTTATCTCTCTGTCAAGGTCATGCTGACTATAATAGGCCAGAAGGAGCCTGGCCTTCACTTTACTTTCACTTTTCCATCTCGTTGTTCTAGTGTTCTGTAGTGTGTGCTATAGCGTTAAGGTTTATAAGTATTCTAAGTTTTATTGTAAGAGCTGCAACTGGATTTTTATAGACTCTGCCAATCCTGAATGTACTGGATTTGTGACCATTGTGCTCATTTGCCTTCAGTAGCAGTAAAGCTCTGCTGGATGAAGTACAATTGCCTTTGATCTTTTTTCTTAGAAACTCTGCAACGTGTTTTAAGTTTTTCCTCCTCTGGAGACGGCACGACACTCCTGCCGTGCCAGGCTTTGGGAAGGAGGCATGAAGGCTCCAGCAGGGTTCAAAGTCCATCTACCTCCTTCCCAAAGCTGGGCAAGAACTAACTAGGCTTTGGGAAGAAGGTGGAAGGACTCAAGGACCCTGTCAGAGCCATTACAGCTCTTCCCGTAGCCAGGCAAGTGCTCATGGGGTGCCCTCCACTCAGCACCCAGTGGGAGGGAAGCAGTCGCACTGCCCTAAAACCTCCGCTGTCACTTTGGAGGAACGCATGCTGAAGACTGAAATTTCAGTTTAAAAACTCAATAACATGGTGCTCACATAAATTATGCTGGCCCTTATAGGTTCACATTAGAAGTCACCCATGTGGCATTAAGTTGAGTGATGAACAAAAATGTTGGCATCTACTTTTTATAAAACATGCACAGTTTTTTCTGAGCACTTAAGAGGTGGATGTCGACGCCGGGTACACTCAAGTAAATGTCAACTTTAACCTTAATCAGAAATGAAATGGGAGTCTGTGTAGGACACTAAAAGAATGTCTGTGGAAGAAGATGACAAAGTAACACTCCAAGATTAATATATTTAGGAGTTGGGGGAGAAAGGGAACTGGGACTTCACAAATGCCGTTGTATCTCATATTGCTTCCTTGCATTAGAACAAAGGCCATAAACAGGCGGAAAGCCATATCCAGTTAAAGATGATACAACTGTAGCTCGCTACAATTCAGGAGGGTGAATCTCGCACACTATGTCCTGAACAGTCTTTTCTCCCCATTTATGAGCAGATAACTTTGCTTGTATCAGATGGGAAGCTTTTAACTGCTTTCTTCTAACGTAGGAGCATCCAAACTTTTTTCAAAGAGGGCCAGATTTGATGAAGTGAACATGCATGAGGGCCAACCAAAGTTGTTGACCTTTTTTAGGATTGAAGTTGTTGAGCGTTTTTTAGGATTTTACCCTGGGGAAATAAACTGCCACAGGGGCCGGATTTAAACCAACCGGTGGGCCACATTAGGCCCCAGAAACGGATGCCTGTTCTAATGGATCATGCAACTGGTTCATAAGAGGCACTGTATGCTGCATTTGTGGATGTGCTTGAAACAATACCGCTAAAAGTGGTGAAATTATTTATTATTTTTAAAATAGGGAGATATTGGAAGGTTTGCAGCAGCCACTGGGCTGAATCGCTCATTGAAGAACTATTTCCAAAGTGCATCAATGCAGAACATTGCGCTTTATGCGTAAGTCCAAGTGACAGCACATCAAAGACCAAAAGCTTGATTCTGAGTCTTAGTGGTCTGCGTTTGTCTTTGGAAGACAAGAGGAACGATATGAAGATACAGGATTAAAGTGAGCTTCACACACAAGCACATCTATCCCAGTATCGCAAGCATCATGCAATGAAGCAAACGGAAGTTGCTTTGAAAACACCACAATCAGCAGCACTGGTGGTCTCATACAGAAGCAGTCAAATCCATCACTGCCAGGCAAGAGGTGGTCAAAAGAGGCGTGTCTCCAAACGGGGGGCAGGAAATTTTCTCAGGCCTCGCTTTTACTGAGCCTAGACCTATTTAATCCCCAGCATGCTTTGTGAAAATAAGTTTTGAGTTGTTCCTCAGTTGTTGTTTGGAAAAATAAAAGCATGTGCTTCTCTAAAAGTCTTATGCGGCACTTACGGTGAGTGAGTTACATAAATTTGTTCCCTTTGAAATCTAGGGAAACTGGAATCAGCTCATCTCTTTGCTCCTTGAAGGACTAGACTAAAAGTTTAATCTAGTTTACAGTTCCATTAAATCCCAGACACTGTGTTGCCAACAATAGCTTTTCCAGTGATCCAGGAAAAGGTATCATTACCGCAAAAGAGAAACAGAAATGCAGCTAGTGCAAAATTTCTTAGCACCCAAAGTTAAGCGACCAGGTCCAGAATTTTGATTTTAAATATTATGACGAAGAGCCAAAGGTAGATCTATTCTCTGTTACATTTTTTTCCATTCTTTTTCTCTCTCCTTCTTTTCAAAAAAATCTGAACTTGCTGGGGACCAGTCAAAACAAATAACATTTCAAAACTTGAAGTTCTAGTCTGCTTTTGATTCAGGGTAGTTAGGGACACACCAGAGTGTGGAACAGTAGTTAGCGTTCTGGGTTCATATTCCCACTCAGCCATGAGGTCACTTTGACCGGTCAACAACTCACAGTCTAACCTACCACACAAGGCTTTGGTGAGGATAACATGGGGAGAATTATGTACACCACTTTGAGCTCCTTAGAGGAGAAGTGGCATATTACTAACATAACAAATAAAGAAAAGGAAAAAGGAAAAACATTTGACTGTGTGATCCTTTGTAATTTTGCCACCGTTTCGGTGATTTAATGACACAGCCAAAGCTCACCTGAAATGGAAGAAATGTCAGGAACAGAAAAGCAGATGGGCAGTTCTGTGATATTAAATCAGCCACTTTGCTAATATTTAGATTGCTTACCCTGAGGCATGACAGTCTGCGTTAGCCGAGATCCTGCGGTGGGAGCAATGGTGTTGCAATGGATGTTGTACTTTCTGCCTTCGACTGCAAGTGTGTTCGCAAGACCCAAAAGACCAAGTTTGGCAGCACTGTAGTTTGCCTGGCCAAAGTTGCCATATATCCCAGCAGCTGAGGAAGTCATAATTATTCTGGAAAACAAAATGCAGTGAATTCCTGCATTAATGTGTCATGGCAGAAAACACTTTGAAAGGGGACAAGGGGAATAGGCCAGTAAAAGCAAGGGAGATGAATCCTGTAATGTGATAGGGCAAGTCAGCAAACAGCACCAGGCAAAATGATTTCCCCTCTTATCTAGTAAGAGAACAGCCAAGTCATTTAGCAAGGTTTGGAAGTGCAAGTTAGTGACTAGCAAATAGGAGATATTCTGCTATCTCAGGGTTGTTGTTGTTGTTTAGTCGTTTAGTTGTGTCCGACTCTTCGTGACCCCATGGACCAGAGCATGCCAGGCACTCCTGTCTTCCACTGCCTCCCACAGTTTGGTCAAACTCATGTTCATAGTTTCGAGAACACTGTCCAACCATCTTGTCCTCTGTCGTCCCCTTCTCCTTGTGCCCTCCATCTTTCCCAACATCAGGGTCTTTTCCAGGGAGTCTTCTCTTCTCATGAGGTGGCCAAAGTATTGGAGAGTCAGCTTCAGGATCTGTCCTTCCAGTGAGCTCAGGGCTGATTTCCTTAAATAAACCCTGATTATCTCAGGGTAGAGTCTCACAAACTATTGAAATGGCAGTGATTAAGAGAGACATTTGGGTATGTTACCATGATTGCTCATAGCAAATTTATTCTCACTCAGCCCCCTGCCCCTGCCTGGCTATTTGGGGCAATAATATTGGCTAACCTTAGTACAGGGGTTGCCAAGAAGGTGCTCTCCAGATGTTGCCGACTTTCATCATTCCTACACCAGCATGTCCGATGGGCAGGGATGAGAATTGTAGTCCAATAACATCTGGAAGGGACTATGTTGGCTATCCCTTAGGGGGCTGTTGTATGGAGGACAACTAGATAATACCAGTGTTCAAGGTTCCTCACATGCAAGTGCTCTACAGCTATTAAGCATTATTGTTAGTATTATTGAACAACAACAACTATTACTGCTTATATTTAATAACCATTACATCATGGTTTTGATGGTTGTCTACCACCTTAGGGTTCTTTTTCCTTTTTAAAAGGAAAGATGAATTCTTTTCTTATTTTAAGATTAAAGTATCATGGATTTTACAGAGAAACAGGTGGTAACATAACCACAGAGTACTTTAACTCTTATTAATTCAACAGAGTTTTGGATCCCTCCGGCAGTATGTTCAATGACCAATCCAATCTACTCACCTGCCAAAGTTCTGGTTTTTCATATGGTTCCATGCAGCTCGGGTTACCAGGAAAGACCCCCTCAGGTGAACTTTGTGAATTATATCTAGAAGGAATTCAAGCAGTTTAATGCATGTGTTTCCTGAATGAGTGAAAGAGGTCAATTCTAAAGCGCAATATGGATGCTTTTCTTTGGAACAATGGCCTGGAGTCTGACTAGCCCTCTGTGCCACTTCTCGTGCAGCTACGGTCGGTCCCCCAACAATCCAGAACAGATTTTCAAAGGGTCTGCAGAGTAAATGTAAGATCTGCAAAAACTACCATAATAGCTTCTGTTGGAAAAAGGATCCTATTAGTGGAACTCTGCTCTGCTCCATCAATGGAACCTCAGTTTGGATCTAAGCCAACAGGATGAACCTTCAGTCTGTGAGTTTAATTAGGCCCACCAAAGCTTCCCATTTGGCCTACAACGTCTTTTCAGCCAAACCCAACACTATATATGACATCAGGTGTGGGGCAGGTAAATATATGGCTCAGCTGAAAGGAATTTACAGGTACTGATGATCAACAACACCTGGAAAGTTCTGTGCTAAAGACTAGAAGATTATCAGGTCTTATGAAGAACTGTGCACTGGGGTTCATAATGCCCAGTGATCAGCTGACCTTTGGCACTTTGCAGGCTGTGCCTTCAGCCTCACTGTTTCATTTCAAAGTATGTGGGCAAAAATGGGTCACCTGATGTCACTGTTGCATCAGGTGATTGACAGGTGGCTGGTCCACGACAGGTGGCTGGTCCACCCGCCTGTCAAACATGGGGGGAGGGTGTTGGGAGATAATGATATGCCCCACCGACCAGATTCTGTTCCCCACCACTGATCCATGTCATTGAGCTTTGTTACTTAGTCAACTCACCCCAGTCTTCATCACTAATTCTAGCGAATGAACGGTCCCTCAGTATCCTAAATAGAAGAAAAGGAGGCAAAATCATCACAACGTCATGAATCTGCGGCAGAAGAAAAAGTTTTTGTCGGTCAGATCTACTTACCCAGCATTGTTGATAAGTATGTCTGCAAAATAAATGCACACAAAATGTTATATAGACATATACTCGCTATACATAGTTTTGATATGCATGCTAAAATCTTCACTACTACTTGAGTTGCATTTAATTTTGCCTTTAGCAAATCTGGCCAGTCCTGAGACACAGAGAGCGTACATTTCAGGAATGCAAAATGCTTGCACTTGTTAAAGGCTGGAAGTGACTCCAGTCTCTGGCTGCAGCACATCAGGTTGGTATAACAACAACAACTACTATAATAATAATAATTTTATTATTTGTATCCTGCCCATCTGACTGGGTTGCCCCAGCCACTTGTAACAGACTGGCAAGAGAGAAAAGAACGCCCCACATTTTTGTTTGGAATGAATGAACAGTTACTAAAATTTGGGCAAACGAAAGTGCTTCTTGGAACGTAACTGGCCTAACAGCCTCATTCAAATTCAGGGGCACTTGCATATCTAAATGAAGCAATGCCTCTCAAACAAAGGACAAGGACATGCTGATGCTTGCTATCCTAAGCATTTGCTAGAACAGCAAGTCCAAGGTTCAGGCCGCCAGACAACTTAGCATGAATATATAATGCTGTTGCAATGTGAAAAAGAGAGTTAATTCAAATTCAATACTCCTTACGTATTTTAAAGTGGCGCCATAAAACTTTGCCTTGCCGTTTTATGCATCTGTGTAAAGGTAAAGGGGCCCCTGACCATTAGGTCCAGTCGTGGCCGACTCTGGGGTTGCGGCGCTCATCTCGCTTTATTGGCCGAGGAAGCCGTTGTACAGCTTCCGGGTCATGTGGCCAGCATGACTAAGCCGCTTCTGGCAAACCAGAGCAGTGGACGGGAACGCCGTTTACCTTCCCGCCAGAGCAGTACCTATTTATCTACTTGCACTTTGAGGTGCTTTCGAACTGCTAGGTTGGCAGGAGCAGGGACCGAGCAACAGGAGCTCACCCCGTCATGGGGATTTGAACCGCCGACCTTCTGATCGGCAAGTCCTAGGCTCTGTGGTTTAACCCACAGCGCCACCCGCGTCCATAGTGACATTCAAAAATGTACATGGCTGGGCCCTAATGAGTAAGAGATTAACAGTCCTGCCCTAATCACAGTAGCTTCAGGACAGGACTCCTCAAATGCCCTGATGCCCACATGGTGCTCCAGGTGAGCTGAAATCCTCCCTCTTCTCATCAATAGGATGGTTGGCTCTTGATGACAGAAGGATGCCTTCATGCAGCTGTCCACCACTCAAGTGGATACAGAAGCCTTTTCATGAGCTGCATCTGAAAGATCAGGGCAGCTATGTGGGAGCTAACCTCCTAAGTCTGTCCTAAACCTCCATTTAGGACAGAAGCACCCTGTCTCATTAAAAAAAAAAAAATCATACCTATCCTCCCAAAAGCATCCAGTGCAGTTTTCACAAGCTTCTCGCCGGCTTCCACTGAATCTGCAGAAAGAAGTTATAGAAAAAGAACTTAAACCTCAATCACCAATGAGAATATTCTAGTTAGATAGAATACACCCATGCTGGTGGAAAGCAGGACACTAGAAAACCTGAATGTGATCCCTAGAGGCCATTACACGTCAAATTTTGCTCACGCACAAACTATCTGGGCTATGCATTTGCATGAACAAGTTGATTACCATAGACAGCAGTAACTCCTGCAACTGCAGCTACTGCGATTTCTTCCTGCTGCATTCATAATTACCAGAGACATTATGCTCACAAATAGATGCCTGTGGATAGACCCAATAGCCGAAATGGGGAAGAAAACACCGCCTTAGATCCTATGAGCCCTTTGGGTGAGTGGAAGCCACTTCTGCTTGTTCATAGCAGGAAGCGCCAATACCCATCCCAGCTGCAGCCTCTCCGGCACATGCCATTCCAGGGGGGTCTCCTGGCTCTCAGAAGTAAATTTGCAGAGAGGCACCAGGGGGTATGGAGCAGGAAAAAACCCTGCTTTGCGTATGGCACAATGTGTACTGCTGTTGTCTGGATCCAAGCCACTGTATGAGCACATGTCCTTGGAAGGTAACACATATTTAAGACCCTGAACCAAAAAAAAAAAAAGGCTTAAATGTGGGAACAAGCAGCATTTTGAGTGGTTTTTAATGCATCAAATATCTCCCGATGCCTGGGCTTCAGACATCACAATCTAAAGCAGGCTTCCTCAACCTCGCTCCTTCAGATATTTTTTTGGCCTACAACTCCCATGATCTCTAGCTAGCAGGACCAGTGGTCAGGGATGATGGGAATTGTAGTCAAGTAAGCAATATATTGCTTTATTATCTAAGGATAATTGCATGTGTCAGATGGGTAAAACACTAAGCTCATTTAAAGCACCAGACCATGATCTTCGGTTCCTGGCTGTGCCTTGAAGCTAGAAGGACATGAATCAATAAATTTCACGACACGTTGCAGGTTATTTTCTGACGTTCTTCTGACACAAGGGTCAGCCTACATCACACAGTTGCGCATGCATTTCATAGTGCTTGCCATAGTCTATGCAGGTAGATGGGAGCTGCAGGTAAATACATGCATGTCATATGTGTGTTACATTTGTGTGTGGACTTAAGCCTTTATAAAATGCAAGATTGGAAACCACTTTCAAAAGGCAGCGGCATGCGCTGCGAATAGAGAACAGTACGCTCATCCCATGGCCACTAAGAAATTACCAGATAGATCACAATGAAGCAGCACACAGATGCTTAAAGAATAAAGAAACAGAGCTACCATTTAAGGACTCAGCATAAATATTAGCCTTCATGACCTGCCCCAGGTAAGCTAAACGTGTACGTCTTCATTTAATGCAACAGCGTACAGCATGCTTCTGAACAGCACTGGCTGCAAAAACAATAATTGTTGGAAAGTGAATCACACTTACATAGCCGCAATGAATCGCATAACTTCAAATCCTTCTAAAATGTGTGGGCTTATCGTTCATGGCTCCACATTCTGACTTCCTAGTCACAGCAGACCCAATAATATTGGGTACTCTTAACCTTTCAGCTGGGTGACAATAATTCCCAAACTTTTCCCCTCAGTTCTGAGATTAGGAACAATTGGCAAGCAAAATTCTAGGAAACCACTAATCGTGCAATAGTCATTTAAAACTTCATTTATGATTATATATAATTTTGCCAAAAATGTCAGACCCTTCTAAGAACCTCACCTGGATTTACATATTTCAAGCGTTAGAAATAGTAGCTTTGTCAGCATGTGTTTTCTTGGGCAGGGGAGAGGCGGGATAGAGATGAGAGGGGAGAAACATACCATAGTTGGCCACTGCTTTTCCACCTTTGGCTCTGATTTCTTCAACAACATTGTCAGCAGCTGACGAGCTCTTTCCATGTCCCTTGAAGTCACCTCCGAGATCATTCACTGGTTATCAAACAGAGAAGATTGTAATGAGAATTAGGACCAGCTGCTGCAACTTAGGGTAGGGCCAGACTTAAAGATCAGCAGTGCCAACTTAAATATAATATTGGGGGGGGAGGTAATCCCCGCCCCACATAATTGATCGAATGTTGGGGTGCAACCTACAGCATTTAAATGGCAATGCCCATCAACTTTGGGGAGACCCAGGGCCCTCAAATATTTTATTACAGAAGGCCGAAGGGACCTGGGCCCCTAGGAATTGGCTCCTACAGTATGTTGACCATGACTCTGGGGTTAGATGACACTCTAAGCTAAACCTTGGCATAGTTGCCATTCTGTGTCCGTATAGTTAAAGCTATGGTTTTCCCAGTAGTGATGTATGGAAGTGAGAGCTGGACCATAAAGAAGGCTGATCACCGAAGAATTGATGCTTTTGAATTATGGTGCTGGAGGAGACTCTTGAGAGTCCCATGGACTGCAAGAAGATCAAACCTCTCCATTCTGAAGGAAATCAGCCCTGAGTGCTCACTGGAAGGACAGATCGTGAAGCTGAGGCTCCAATACTTTGGCCACCTCAAGAGAAGAGAAGACTCCCTGGAAAAGACCCTGATGTTGGGAAAGATGGAGGGCACAAAGAGAAGGGGACGACAGAGGACAAGATGGTTGGACAGTGTTCTCGAAGCTACCAGCATGAGTTTGACCAAACTGCGGGAGGCAGTGGAAGACAGGAGTGCCTGGCGTGCTCTGGTCCATGGGGTCATGAAGAGTTGAACACAACTAAACGACTAAACAACAACAAAAAAGTTCAGGGGTCGGAGCAAAGCAAGAGTGAGCTCCCCACTGGGAACTACGACTGTGCAAAAATGCCAGAAAGTCATGCTTATCAAGATGTGTGAGCCAGACCTAATATACAGTGGTACCTTGGTTCCCAAATGGATTAGTTGTCGAACAAATCAGCTCCCGAATGCCGCAAACCCGGAAGCTCCTGCAGCCAATCAGAAGCCGTGCCTTGGTTTTTGAACGGTTTTAGGAGTCGAACGGACTCCTGGAATGCATTAAGTTCAAGAACCAAGGTACCACTATATATGGGTCAGAATAAGTACGCATTTAGTCTGCCAATGTTAAGTTTTAATCTGGCATAAGGAATTTGCGGTCCTCCAGATGTTATTGGACTGGAGTCGAACAACATCAGGAGGGTCACAGGTTCCATGTCCTTTATTTAAACTAACACTTCCTAGACTGAAAAATCATGAGCAGATGACTCTGGGACATTTAATGTAATGTTTCTGGCACAGGGAGCTTTTCTGTAATTGGATACCTGTGCAAACAGGGAAGGCTAAGACTACATATAAACTTTGAGCTAAAATTGTCAGAAACCCAACAAGAGCTTACAGGGTGAGCGAAAGTATTTCAGGACCGTATGAAGGCCATCTATTGGCAGTCTCTGTTTAAAAAGCACCCTCAGTAGTTAAAACAGGAGCCCCCAATATCATGGATGTATGCAGTTATTCTGCAAAATCTTTTTCTTTTCTTCCCCTGCAGCGCACTAATTAGACTTCATAGCCAGGCAGAAAGAGTTTTATTTTCATCATTGCAATTCAGCGTTTTTGAACTGTAAGAAACATGCATGGATTATTTGCATATTTTCAGACATATAACAAGAGCATGCAGAAAATCCAGGTTACGTAATAATAATGCAAAGCAGCTCATCTTGGAGAGCTCAAAAAGGAAAGCAAATTGTGCTTGTAGATATGTATATATATCGTATTTATGAAGTAGGATTACCCCCATGTGGTCAAACTAAATAATGCAATTTAAAATTTGCCACTGTGTTCAATAATTCTTCAGGGTTAATGAAGTACATTAAAAAGGTGTCCATAAAAATTTGTTCTGAAAAATACACAGAATCAGGGGATAGCATAAAATTAATATCCTTATGCAGACACCTCATGATCTGTTTAAAAGCATTTTACTAGCCTAAGTGTTGGCTAAGGCTGCATCCCAACCTTACTTTACCTGAGAGTAAGCTCCACTAAATTCAATAGGACTTACTTCCAAGTGGACCATGTTAGAAACCAATAAAGAATACAGATTCACCAATGAGAAGTGGAGCACAGTAGCACAACCTTAAGCCAGGTGTTCGCAAACAAATTTACTGAAGGGAGACTGATCTTTGATCCAACAGTAAACGGAATCACATGCATGTGACAAATTACACAGACTGAGATCTCTAGTGAGGTATGTGAGTTGCAGATCTCCACAGATGATAGCAGCTAGAATTGCATAAAACAACAAATGTAAGGGAAACCTATAGAATGTTAGGTAAAAGGTAAAGGGACCCCTGACCATTAGGTCCAGTCATTACCGACTCTGGGGTTGCGGCGCTCATCTCACTTTATTGGCCGAGGGAGCCGGCGCACAGCTTCCGGGTCATGTGGCCAGCATGACTAAGCCGCTTCTGGCAAACCAGAGCAGTGCACGGAAACGGCGTTTACCTTCTCGCTGGAGCGGTACCTATTTATCTACTTGCACTTTGATGTGCTTTCGAACTGCTAGGTTGGCAGGAGCAGGGAACCGAGCAACAGGAGCTCAACCCGTCATGGGGATTTGAACCGCCAACCTTCTGATCGGCAAGTCCTAGGCTCTGTGGTTTAACCCACAGCGCCACCCACGTCCCTTATAGAATGTTACAGTAAGCTAAAGTTCTGATTGTATTGTTCACTCTTTTCAGTTGTGAAAGAAGAAGAGGAGAGAGGGGTAGAGTGAAGAAAAAAGTCTGTATCTCAAATTTAATTACAGTGTAATCCTATATATGTCTACTCAGAGGCAAGTCTCATTGACTTCAGTGGGTAAGAGGGTATAGGACTGCATTCTGGTATTCAGAATCATACTGCCTTTGGTCAAAGCACAGCTATCGCTACTAAGGGGAACAGAAAAGGCTTCGAGACTGCCAACTCTAATGCGATGACAAAAAAAAAATCAAAGCGGTTTCCAGAGACCGAGAAGATTTAATGTCCTCCGTAACAGAGCTTGCAAGAGGAAGCCTTGCCAGTTTTAATTCTTGATTTCACACCCTGTTTTTCCCCCCACAGCAAAATTCATTCTGCAGTAGCCTTGAAGCTGAAATAAGGAAAGTCGTGTCAGAGGAAGCTCCAATACATGCTCAGATCGCAAAAGCTAAAAAAGGAGACTTCACAGGAGACAACGAACAGACCTCTAGTCAAACTCATTTAAGGGCTCTTCCTATGACCTAACAGCAGAAAGATACCAATTATAAGTGGGTACCATTTTTATTGTTTAATGAATAGATTTATTGAATGTTCCTATTTTTACATATACTTCTAACATCAAAAACTGGGAGTGAAGGGGTGGGTGGTTATTTGCTTGCACGAGGCTTAAACATGCATATCTCTATTAGCATTCCAAATGTCAAAATGGGTAATGATTAATTGTAAGGGAGAGCAGTAAGCTCTGTAGCTGATAGACAGATGGACTGACAGGCAAGGATTATATTTCTGTTTCGTGCCAGTTTCAAGTAGCCATCTTAATAATAATAATAATTTTATTATTTGTACCCTACCCATCTGACTGGGTTGCCCCAGCCACTCTGGACGGCTTGCAACATATACAAAAACCTAGCAAAACATTTAAAAACTTCCCTATACAGGGCTGCCTTCAGATGTATTCTAATGGTTGTATAGTTACTTATATCCTTGACATCTGATGGCAGGGCATTCCACTTGGAGGGTGCCACTACCAAGAAGGCCTTCTGCCTGGTTTCTTGTAATCTTACATTGACGGAAACCGCCAGAAGGCCCTCGGAGCTGAACCTCAGTGTCTGGGCTGAACCATGGGGGTGGAGATGCTCCTTCATGGATATAGGGTCTGTATACTTGGCATCTCTGGAAACCCACATTGAAGGACTAATTTTATTTATTTCCTTTTTATGTTTATGGTGCCACCTGCCTTCCATCACTGACCCCAAGGCTGTATACATGAGATTCCCAGCTGTTACCCAACCAGGCACTAACCAGTCCCAGACTTGCTTAAGTACTGCAAGGCCTCACGTGCCATCAGACGGAGACTTGTACAACTCACAAATGAACTATGCGTATATAGAAACTATGCGCTGAATATATTTGCAGTGTTCTGGTCTTCCACTTATAAAACATTGACAGTTATGCAGAAAACATATGGCATTAAAGGCAGGACCTGGGGTAATAGCAATAGATCTCCAAGTCGTCTCTGCTGCAAATGTCTAGGATTATTTCCCAAAGGCTAACAATTGTTTGGAAGTGTATCATGTTAAACTAGACTGAAGTGGGTGGAAAGACTTGAGAATCACAAGGACAAAATACGACGCCAACTTAAGAAGGGTTTAAGGTTTGGTTCACTAGGCTTCTGTTCTAACAGTGCTGCAAAGCCTCTGTTTTTGAGTATGTTTTGAACATTCTTACATTGAAAATAACGAAGGCTCGCATTTCAAACAACTTTAACCACTTCCAGAATAAAAGCTGTAATTCAGAGCAGCTGTTAGCTAAAATGAAAAGGAACTGCACACATTTCTGAAGCTTTTAGAGCAGTTTGTGCTGTAGCTGCTTTGACAACTGCTTGGTTTAAACAGCTTGTCGCACTGGTTGTTGGAGCTGTGGCAGTGGAAGAAAGCCCTGGCTGCAACATGCAGTTTGCAATGCGAAACAGGAATTTTAGATTGTATTGTAAATTTGCAAGTTGCAAAACAGAATAGCTGCTTGGTAGAAAAATATGAGTGATATATATTATTTTCCTAATTGCCATTTATAAACTGCTAGAGTTGCCCACTGCTATTAGCAAATAGGATAGCAATTCCTGGCTACATCGCTAATGAAGCCTGAAATTCTGCTTAGTTCTGAGCTACCTAAACATTTGAAAAACATGTTCTCCGTGCCTTAATTCAGCGCCACCGACCCTTCTGTCACTGACTCAATTCATGATCAAATTACCATCCCCTCAGACATTACCTCCTTTTCCTCCAATTTTCCTTCCCTGTCATTTTCCTGTTTAGCACTGACTGCAGTTTGCTGTGATGTTCAAATGGCCTAACTATGGTTGTCTTCCAAACCAAAATCATAAACGATGGTTTGAAGCAAACCCTAATCAGGGTTAATGATACATGGTGCAAATTTGCAACCCACTATGCACCCAAATCAGTTTACGATGAGCTAAATTTAACACAGAGAGCGGAGTGTTAAATGGAACATGCTCAACTCACTCCCGCTATTGCATTTTCTAATTTTTTGCACTAATTTGTGAACTTTTGTCCATTGCCGCTAAAACCGAAGCTCAAAATGTTCTTGCTAAACAGGCATTGAAAAGGCATCTACCGTAAGTGCAATCCTGGGAAATTATACAGCTACTCATTGAAAGAGCTCTCTGGCCATGTGTTAAGAGCTTTGCTCCAGATTTCAAGGTTTCAAATTATGTAAACCTACATGAAAATTCAACACACACTTAGAAGTTGTGCAATTTGAAAAGTGCCCTAACTAGTAGAAGGAGGAACTCAAGATGGAACGCAAGTGATTATTAGGCCAAAACTAGGCCTTTCACTCAGAACTAATTTACTCAGAATGCAGTGAGTTTTATTTCCTAGTTCAATATTATTTCCTAGCTTACTTCAAGGTTCAATAAGCCTTGGAAGTGTCGTTAGCTAATTAGAAACGAGTTATTTTAATGGGCAGAAGGGGATTAACATACATTTCCATGCATGTAGGAAAACTAAGAGGACTTAATCTATAACACACATTTTATATTGCTGTTGTCTTTAGACCCTTCCATAACTTGGTTTATCCTCCAATGTATTAAACACATTCCAGAGTTTCCAGTATGTTCCAGTATGCTCCTAACCTATGTGCATATATGCGCACTCAGGAACTGCTTGGTTCCTTTTAATGAATCACATGAAGCTGCTGTTGCCCAACTATGAAAAACAAGTCAATTAATCACTAAAGTCCCGCAGTGTTGCATGAGCACCATTAACATGACATGAAAGAAATTACACACACACACAACACTCTTCTAAAATATTGCATGTGGCGTTGTGGAACCGCAAGTGTTTTTGTTTTCAGGAAACATTTCCTTACCAGTAAGTAGCTACCACTCCAACTTAACACCAGATTCCCCATAAACACGTTGTGCCTGTGGGCAAGAAGATGTACTACCCAAATGCCAGTATGCCATTATGTAAAGCCCCTAGCTGTCTTGCCATCGAAACTAGGTCAGAGAAATTAAAACGGAAAAGCTTAACAGTGGATCTCCACAAGAAAGGAATGCAACAACTAATAGATAAATAAATGAAGTGCAAAGGTTGCTGGGACAAGTTGCAGCGTTTTAAATCACAAATGACAAAGGTTGCTGGCAAAAGAAATCAAGTAAATAACTTACCAACCACAGAAGCTCCTCTTTCAGCAAACGCCAGAGCATAGGCTCTGCCCAGTCCTACCAGGGATTAAAAAGAAGTTCTTTTAGAATCTCAACAGTTTAAACACTGAAAAAGAAGTTGAGTTTGTGTGTGTGGATAACCCAACAAGAAAAGGAACATTTATTCTGAGGTTGCTTCACATCCATTTTTTGTGCAATCATCTGATATAGGGAATTAAGCAGAGGCTCAGAAAGAGATATCCAAAGCGAATGTCATCAGTACTCCTGGCTTACTTGCTGATCTTGTTCCCAAGAGGGCTATCCCAGAAGAAGCTAATCGCTTAAGTCCTTTCATCTGCAGAAATACTTGGAACAATCTATGTAACTAAGCTGTGCAGTAGAGAAGGAAATTAGGCAGTCATGGTTCATTCTGGGAAGATGGATGGAGTGAAGGAAAATAAACTTGGTAGATTAATCTACTACTTCCCAAGTTAATATGGTAGCCTTGCAAGTTTAAGTTTAACATCAGTGAACATTTTAGAATATGCCTCCGTCATGGAGATTGTAGTGGGGGAAGTTCAGTGGTACCTCGGGTTACATACACTTCAGCTTACATACGCTTCAGGTTACAGACTCCGCTAACCCAGAAATATTACCTCGGGTTAAGAACTTTGCTTCAGGATGAGAACAGAAATCGTGCTCTGGCGGAGCGGCAGCAGCAGGAGGCCCCATTAGCTAAAGTGGTGCTTCAGGTTAAGAACAGTTTCAGGTTAAGAACGGACCTCCGGAACGAATTAAGTACTTAACCCGAAGTACCACTGTAGTTTGAAAACATATTCTGATGCTTATGTTTTCTGAACATACAGCAGGTGTATGTTCATTTCAAGCCACCATACTTTAGAATGTATGTTCATCTTCACCCAAAATAGCGGCTATACTCATTTGTGAGAAAGGCTTTGGGAGTAAACCCTGAGGGAAAATTCGTACCTGCTACTTTGTGAGACATCTTTGTGAAAAGAAAAGGTTAAAGGGTAAACACTACACAAATCCGGAGCAGAGTCCCTAAGACAGTTGGGGTGGCATCTGGTACACCTCCTTCTGGCAACTCCTGCAGCCAGGTAAAAAGGTAAAGGTAAAGGGACCCCTGACACTTAAGTCCTGTCATGAAAGACTCTGGGGTTGCGGTGCTCATCTCACTTTACAGGCCGAGGAAGCCGGCGTTTGTCCACTCCGCAGACAGTTTTTCCGGGTCATGTGGCCAGCATGACTAAGCCTCTTCTGGCGCAACAGAACACCGACATCAGAGCAGTGCACAGAAATGCTGTTTGCCTTCCCGCCACAGCGGTGCCTATTAATCTACTTGCACTTATTGGCATGCTTTCGAACTGCTAGGTTGGCAGGAGCTGGAATCGAGCAACGGGAGCTCACCCCGTCGCGGGGATTCGAATTGCCGACATTTTGATCGGCAAGCCCAAGGCTCAGTGGTTTAGACCACAGCGCCACCAGCGTCCAAATGATTGCTCTGCTTTCCTTTGGACCACATCAGCAAGGCCGCGAGAGGGGTTCTGCCATCTGAGCAGCCCAGGACCTCCATGTACACTGCCCAGGCCTACACTCTAAAGAGGTCAGTTTGCTAACACAGCAAAAACAACACAAGAGGCAGCAGTTACAAGTTACCAGTCTCTGCAGCCGCAGCAGGCGCTGTGATTCTCCAGCGATCACCCCCAGAGGCACACTCCATTGTCTTTTGAAACAGATGGATGCCAACAAATACATTTACAGTGCAATCCTACGCCTGTCTACACAGAAATCCCACTGACTGTGTGGGTATGAGATTGCAACCTTACGGTACAATCCTAACCAGGTCTACTCAGAAGTAAGTCCTGGGGCTTACTCTCAAGGTAGGGGAGTTTAGGGCTGGAGCATTAGATTGCCTTCCTCATTTTGCACTAAAAGCAAAAACTCTTTCTTCAGTAGGGGCCATTTGTTCAACATGTACACAACAGCACTGTAACAGAATCCAATTGTCCTTCTCCTATTTTTATTTCAGCCTTGAGCCCATGGACAACTGAATTACAAAAGCCACTTTAGTGGGGAAAAATAATTGATCCTTGTGAAAAGTTTTTTAGAATGCAAAGACAGAACCTGAAGCCCTTTTTCATACAAATGAAGTGGCTTCAAAAACGAATTTGAACAGGCACTTGGCTAAGCAAAATAGCAACACACAACTTCAACAACCCACAATACCCAACTGTTGGGCTAATTCATGAGATGCCCCCCATGAAAAAGATAAGTTGGTAGTGCAGTGTTCTTAAATCTAAGGTTTCTTAAAAGCATTTATAAATTAGAATCGGTTATTCGCAAGTGACCAGTGCAGCGTATCTGTGGGAACTTGTTTTTCCAACAAACGCTCTGTGAATAGAATCAATGCTCTATTCAGTTATCAAGTGCATTGAGACACTGGCAGCTTTAACATTTATAGGCATCTTGGAGAACAAAGAGCCTTGTGCAACTTTAAAAACTCATTTATTATGGCCTAAACTTTTGTGGACTTCCTGAACATTTCAGGAAGGGCCATAGATCGGAGCATCTTATCTGGATGTAGAAGATACCAGGTTCAGTCCAGAGCATCTCCATGCAGAACAACAGTCAATCTGCATAGACAATTTTGAGCTAGACAGATCAATGATCTGCTTTGATATAAGGTATTTTCCTTTGTTCCTTATTACTATAGCATAGCTGTCAACTTACAGATTTGAAAATAAGGGACCAGCAGCCTCAAAAATAAGGGATCAGCAGCCAAAATAAGGGATTTTCCAAGCACAGGTATGTTCAACTTCTGAGTCCCTCCGAGCCAAAGGCAGAAAGCCCAGCCAGCAGCCAAACAAAGCCTCAAGCAGTGGTTCCCACTGCGCAGCAACCCGGAAAAGGGGATGCAGCAAGGGAAACCACCATCACCTCTCCTCTGGGAAGCGCTGAGCAAAGGCGAGTCCCCAGGCAACACAGCCAATTTGATCGGCACAAGGCATGCAAGCTCCAGCCCCCAGTCGTTCTTAGACTCCTTACTGGGTGAGCAACGCAGCCAAGCAACACAGTTGGAGCCTCCCTCCTACCTGGCCGGCAGGGAGGGAGGGAGAGGATCTGCTTCCTTTGAAACCCGGGAAATTTAAGGGACATCATCAATAAGGGACAGCAGCGGGAAACGGCGCTGGGATAAGGGACTTTCCCGCCAAATAAGGGACAGTTGACAGCTATGCTACAGTCCACTTTATCAGATGCATTTAGTGTTCTATACCTATAAACAGTACTTTTTTCTTTAAAAAATGTTTAGGGGTACTCTCATTTTCCTTCTCATATTGAAATACTGCCCCTCAATGAGGCCAAACTTAGATTCACAAAATGTTTAGGAGTATGTGTACCCTGTGCCCCCCCCCACCGAAAAAAGCACTGCCTATAACTCAGGATATATACACATGGTGCATGCAAGGGGAACTGTAAACAGTGAGTTCAGTGGGAAATTAAATGCAGCAAACAAAATGAAGTCTGCAAAAACCTATGACACTAGAATGGTTTACGCAAAAAACTGGAAAGAAAGGATTACTCCGACAAAGGAGCAGTGGTTACACAAATTAACAGAATTTGCGGAACTAACGAGTATGATGGCAAAAATAAGAAACTGGGATGAAAATACAGTAAAATAAAAAGTGAGCGGGATTGCTTTCAAGAATATTTAAAAAGAGATGGAATCAAGCAAACTTTCAAGTGGACATAAAGCAGGGGGGAAAGGTAAGTGAATCGTAGGGATAGAAAAGGTAGAAAAAGAAAGGTAATGTAGCAAATCAAAGAAAAGGGATAGGTTGGGAAGTCTAGGTAATAGTAAGATAAGATGGTGCATGTATGTACGGCAAAGTGTAAACTGAAAAATGCATAAATAAAATTAACAATTTTTTTTAATCAAAAAACAAAAAAAACCTTATTACACAATAGGTCTGTTAGACTTCACAGTGTCATGAGACTCTTTGAGCTTTTTGCTGCGACAGTTACCCCTCTTGAAGCTTGCATCTTGGTTATACCACGGTTTGTGTAGCCAATGGGCACCAAATAACTTGCTAATGTGACTCACTAGCAAACCTGAAGTGGCCTGATACACAGACACCTTCTCCCACAACTGATCTTTGTGCCAAAGCTGGTAACAAAGCCCTGGCAAAATGTACTTTACTTGGACGAAACTCATATCTCAAGCCAGTTATTAATTATGGACAATTCATGTCCCTCCCTTGGTTTCGTCTAACTCCTCTTTTGCGTGGCTTATTTAGCTGAACAACCTGCTCAAGAATCCTTATTCCAAACCTGCACTCCCATACCTCACGTGCAAAAAGATCTACAGCAGTTTCATGCAGCAACTTAGTAAGATTCAGGTGATTAATGAATCAACTAATCTCATACAATTAATTGCAATTTGCTTAATTGGGTCAGACCTAGCTATAGATTTTGGGAGGCCCTGGACAAGCAAGGGGTGGGGGCCACCAGCCCTCTCCAGTGCCTCTACTCCCTGCAGCAGCTAGGCTATAAATGCCCTCCTCTCCTTTACTGGTTTACCCAGTGGCAATGGCACCAAAATGGGCTGCGAGCCATTTCTGTACCCTAAGATAAAGAGCAATTTAGAAATGCTTTAAAGAATTAAATCACAATACAGCAGAGTCACCGCTGTTTCTGGGTAAGCGCACAAGTGTGCACAAGCAGGAGATTGGCATGTTTAGCAGCACTTCCACTTGAGGGACTCAAGGGGCACTGAGGGCATCCACCAAGGCAGGCATCAGCCCTGGCGGGCTGTGCCAGGGCACATGGGCACTATCCAATGTCCCAGTATGCTTGGTGCTGACGCTAAGCCAGAACTGAATGACTAAACCTGCCAGTTCATGAAATGCTTTGTGGATTAAGTGCACTTTTTGGCCCCGAGAAGCTCTCAAAGTCCCTTACAAAAAATGCTCACAAAACAAACACTAAAGTACCTTATTAGAGCCAGGATCATTTAGGTGGCATTTCCTGCCCTCATTCTTGGTCTTCTCAGGTGCTGCCTTTTGAGGGTTGCCAAACTTCAAAAAGTAAAATTCCTGACACACACAAATTTGTTTAGCTTTTTTTAGGAAGACCCCAGAAATGTGGAGCTATTTTTAGGAACAAACCCAAATTGTTGACCTGCCCCCAAAATAGTGAGCTGTTCCCGCTGCTTTTCCCATCGTGTTGCCATACATCCGGGTTCTCCCTGGCAAAATTCCCCCGATGCCATTTTTACACCCAAGAACCAGGACATGTCAGGAATTTTCCTGACGTATGGCAAGCGTATGCATTTTACCCTCTGCCTACTAAAGAGGAGCCCACTGAAGTCATCTTTTAATGTTTAATGTTTTGTTATGTTTTTATATATGTTGGAAGCTGACCAGAGTTGCAGGGGCAACCCAGTCAGATGGGCAGGGTACAAATAACAAAAATATTATTTATTATTATCTGAGGTAAAGGAGGCACATCTTCCCTGAGTCTTCCCACTCATGTCCTGGTAGTGGGGCTGAATAGTTGGATCTCACTTAGCCCATAGAGGAGGTGAATCGTCCCTTATGCTTTAAGCAGTAACAGGAATGTATACTAGAAGCTGGTAATCATTGACTCTGAAAAGATGGCTGTTCAGATATATGGCTTTAATACTAACTGAAAAGATATGATAGCAAAGTCATTAAATCATATATGATTTAGCTAAGATTCCTGAAGGAATCTCAGACTAGATGACCCTTGATACCTTCCAACTATACAACTGGATGATTTTATTATTCTAATAAAAAAGGATAAAACACTGGTACTAACTCTAGAATCAGAATACTTTGCATTACGGGCGCCTACACGTTGAATGGTTCAATAAGTTTGTGGCAGTACATATTGCAAAACAGAGGCTTGGCTTGCTATGCATGTTTATTATCTTCCTTGGGAACTGTTTCATCTGTGAGTGGGCAGGTTTTGAAACTCACGTATTCCCACCCACAATCTCAGGGATCTAGGCAATATTCTGAAGTGAAGTTAGGAACACTGCCTACCTTTTTTAAGAATATAAAGTTGAAAAGATTTGCAACTTAACAACTTACTCCAAAGTTTTTTTATTGTCATTTTTGTAACAACAGCCGTTTTGCAGGGTGGGGAGGTAAAAGGACCATTTTGCAGTCCCCGTGTCAGCAACAATTACATTATCACATTCAGCATTAAGTTGCGTAATTCACTGCAAACCGATGTGGCAATAAGCAAAGCCATTAGTGGTTGTTATTTATTTCGTTACCTATGTTTTCCTCTGAGAAAATAAAAGAGATGAGCGTGGTTAACCTCTCCCCTGCTTTAGTCCTCTCAACAGTCCTGTGAAGCAAGTTAGGCTGGGAAGTAGCTGAAAGGGAGCTTCATCACTGAGTATTTGATTTTGGGTCTTGTCATTTCTAGTTTGACACTCTCAACACAAACGGTCTATGAATACCTGCCAGCCATAACAGGTAAAAAAGAAGCTGCATATAAAAGGGGTTAGGATTTCACTGAACAATAAATTCTGGGAACAAACAAGACTGTGTGCGTGAGCTTTCCAGAAGAATCTGCGTGGACACTGCCAGAAACTAGAATGATCTTCTAGTACAAAAGTGTCTACTCAAAAATGAAACGTGGGTTAAATGCATAGAAGATCTTTGCAGCCTACTCAAAAGCAGATCCCATGTATTGCAGCCCAGTACATGTCTACTCAAAAGCAGATCCCAGTGGGACTTGCTCCCAGGTAAGAGGGCACAGCTTTAGTCTCGTCCCCCCAAAAAGAACCTCGCAAAGAAATGGCAACCTACTATTGACAGCACACACCTAGCAGCCTGGGACCCACGTCTGCAGACCCTGCAGGCGGCCCCCTCCTACCTGCACCCGGGCAGGTAACTAAGAAGCAACCTTGCAAGCCCTCGAGGTCGCTGCTGCTTACCTCCCCCTGCGCCAGTCACCAGCACCACCCGCCCGTCAAACCTCAAGGGAGCGGACATGCTGCTTCAATAACTCGAGAAACACTCCTCCCCAGCTGCACAGCGCAGAGGGTAAGCGGGGAAGAAGCCGGCCAAAGGGCAAGGGGAGAGCGCGTGCGCGAGTTGGCTCGTTGCATTCTGGGAACTGTAGTTCGTTGGAGCAAGCGGCCACCTCCTCCGAGCCGCGCAGCTTAAATACAGCACTAACGATCGGTTTCAATGGACCAGGATTTCCCCAAACGTAGGTCCCCATATGTTATTGTTGTTTTGGACTACAACTCCCAGCTAGCAGGACCAATGATCAGGGATGATGGGAATTGTAGTCCGAGATCCAAGTTTGGGAAACACTGCATAAACCAGTGATGGCCCTCTAGCTGTTTTTGGGACTACAGTTCCCATCATCCCTGACCACTGGTCCTGTTAGCTAGGGATGATGGGAGTTGTAGTCCAAAAACAGCTGGAGGGCCAAGTTTGGCCATCACTGGCATAGACCCTCTGAAGGGTTAGGGTTCTTGAGCACTTCCAAACAAAAGGTGGTAAAAGCAAAGAGAAGCCTTCCCGTTTTTTAAGAATGAAAAATGTAAGTGGTGGGGCCGTTTTGAACTGGCAGCTGAGCTCTCACTTGCGCCCCAGGAGATATTTAAAAATGGCAGCGCCCATGTGAACCAAGAAATCTGATTCCTTGTTCATGCAGCCGACTAAAGGTGGTTCAGGGAGGAGCAGAAGCGCACCTTCTGTCCTCCAGATGTTGTGCACTACAACTCCCATTATGCTTCACCATCAGTTGTTCTGGCTGGGGCTGATGGAAGCTGTAGCTCAGAGGGCACCAGGTTGGGGAAGGCTGGAGTAGAAACTGGCAATGGGTGTAAAAGTAATGGGAAGGGCAAAGGATGTGTAGGTTATGCTGTGGATAGAAATGCGTGTTGCATTTGTGCCTCACAGCACAATAGGGTACATGTCTACTCCAAAGTAAGTCTCATTGAGTTCCATGGGACTTACTCATGGGTAAAAGGGACATGGGTGGCGCTGTGGTCTAATCCACTGAGCCTCTTGAGCTTGCTGATTGGAAGGTCGGTGGTTTGAATCCACACAATGGGGGTGAGCTCATGTTCCTCTGTCCCAACTTCTGGCAACCTAGCAGTTCGGAAGCACGCCAGTGCAAGTAGATAAATAGGTACCACTGCAGCAGGAAGGTAAATGGCATTTCAGTGCACTCTGGCATTTGTCACGGTCCAATGTACGCCAGTAGCAGTTTGGTCATGCTGGCCACATGACCCAAAAAGCTGCCTGTGGACAAATGCCGGCTCCCTTGGCCTGAAACGAGACGAGTGGGTCCTTTACCTTTACCTACTCTTAGGTAAGTGGGTTTAGAATTGCAGCCTCAAACTCAAGTGCTGTTTTAGTTCTAGAGGAGGGAAGGCTTGGGAAAACATATTTATAAAAGAATACCAGCAGCATTCTGTTAATTTGCACACATTTTCTGAGAAGGCAAAAAGTCTCCTGAAAAATTAAACTTTGCCAGATGCTTTCAATTACTGCTATGTTGCTGTTTTTCAAGTTCACAGAGTTACTCAAACCACGGCAGATGTATCTTTCAAATGGAAACAGAAAAGGCACCTCTGATCTTGTCAACTCTGCTGGCTGGGTCATGGGACAATTTGTTCAGTTAAAGAGACCTACAGATATGTTTGAAACTTCGGTTCGTCAGAGGATGTTAAAAGTTTGAGAAATGCGAGGTGCAAAGCTTGGTATGAGGCATGCTTGTGGAATTGGAAGACGGGATCCATCCCTTCTCTTCGTAGCCAAGAAGTGCAAGATGCAGGATAAAAATAAAGACTATCCAAAATCCATGGCCAGACAATATTTGTTAAGACCAACTGAAATGTAACAAAACAGGGCCAATTTTTAGTGTTCCTCTGTTCTCTTATTAGGCTGCATGGGAGAAAGGGAGAGAAGCTGGCTTGGCATTAGAATATACATTTAGTCACAGAATGAGATAGTACAGCATACTCCAATTAATTTCCATATGGAAATTTAGATGCATGCATATGGTTAAGTGAACTACATAGTCCATATGTTAGTCATTAAGCTGTCTGGAGACTATTCAAGTTTCAGGTTACTGCTGGGACTAAAAGCCACCATCCGTTCGAAATACATTATTTCCCTCAACATATTCTGAGCACTGTCGTTTGTTAAGGACGCTGCAGATTTTTCTTTATATACCGAAAAGCCCAACCCTAGCCTCCTACAAGGAAAAGGTTTGTACCATAATAAACCGGTGAATCTTTTAAGGTTACGGCAGCTGCTCCGGAAGTTCTAAAAAAAAAAATGGGTAATACACTAGGTGCCCATCAGTGTTTTAAAAGCATCGCAATACTTTAGTCCTTTTCTGTAACAGTGCTGCAAAAAGTACTTTCAAATCTCGCGAGACTTGCTTTCTTCCGACAGAAGCCAGCGTGAGAGAGAGAGAGAGAGAGAGAGAGAGCGAGCGCACGCGCAGTTACTCTTCGATACGACGTAGTTGGCAGTTGGGAGTAGCAAGTGACCACCCGAGTTCTTCTGCCCAGCCAGCCAATGGGGGCGCTCCTCGCTCGGGCCGCGGGGCTTTCGAGGGCTCGGTCGGCGAGACAAGATGGCGGCGCTTAGCGCTGAGGCGTCTTCTCAGATGGGTAAGGCGCGGCGGCGGCCGGCAGGGCAGGGCACGCTCTTTTTAGGCGTGGGAGACGCGACCTGCCCGGACGCAGCGTGACGGCGACAAGGAGGAAGGGGAATGACTGCGCCCGCCTCAAGGGGGGGGGGGCTGGTGGGTGCCCTCTGCACATGGCCAGGAACGCTCGTGCTATTTTTTTTGTAATTATTCCCAGCCCAAAACCCCGCCTTTTTTCCGAGGCTCCCGGCGCAGTAATATAAATCTCAAACCCTTTTTAATGTCCAATTTTTCAACCTCAAAAAGCCACACAAGTAGCAACACACAGACTATGGAAACGTTTGAAAACGAATGAACATTAAATTAAATAAAACTACACAAGGGGATCTCTGCATTTTTCAAGGCCGGTGGTCCCAAACACAGGACGTGTAAGGGATATATGTAATCCTGCAAAAAAGAGAGCTGCATATTCTCTGATAAGAATACTATATCAAAATCTGATTTCCTCCCCACTAGGGGGAGTATTGTACTGCTGACACAACTACACAATTTTGCACCCTCCCAGTGCTTTGCACCAACCTCAGGATTGCTTTATCTCTAGCATCTTAATAATTAGATAACCTGATTTATTACTGTAGAAAGGACTGGCTGCTGGCATGTTTTCAGTTTCTGAAAGAGAGAACATTGCTGCTTTAATTTCAAGGTTTTTTGGTTTGTTTGTTTTTAACATATTAGAGAAAAAAGGGCCAGTTTAAAGGAGTGGATTCATTGAAGTATGTTTTACACCATCTCCAAGCACCATTCTAGCATTTCAATCTCTTCTGATTCAGATGAAACAGAACTGGGTGTCCTCCATATTGGTGACACCTCACTACGAAACACTGAGCAGTTTCACATAGCTGTTAAATAATATGTCAGCTTGCATGGAGCATTATTATTATTTATACTCCACCCCACTCTGGGTGGCTCCCAGCAGATTAAAAACAGAATAAAACATCAAACATTAAAAACTTTCCTAAACAGGGCTGCCTTTAGATAACTTGCATGGCACCAAACAATGATGCCCTCATAACTACCCTGCAGGTAACGGTGAAACTGCTGAAGTACAGTGTCCGCAACCTTGATCTCCCTGGGCTGTTCCAGAAGAATACCATTGGCAACCGTATCAAAAGTCACTGAGAGGTTGAGAAAAATAAGTAGGTATAGATGGCTCTACCTAACTGTACTGTCCTGCTTTGAATCAGCAATGTTGTCCCTAAAATGCAGAACAAATTTGTCACAGCAGGCTGCTCAGGGTGTCAGAGCAGCTCTCTTGGCCAGATGACAACAGCCCATTTGCTGCTTGGAAGCTCTGCTGGACAGCTACCTGCAGTTGCAGTGGTGGCCACTGGTGGAGGAAGAGGGGGCCGGGACAGCACACCGCCCCTGGCAGCGCGATCCCGGTGGGGTGCAATCACGGCTGCCCCGCCCCCTGCAGGCAGCACGCCACCCCCAGGATGTGTGCCACGCCCCTGTGGGCGGTGTGCCACACCCCCAGGATGCGCAGCAGCCACGCCCCTGCCTGTTCTCTGCCCCCCCCCAGTGCCAGAGCATGAAACTCCGCCACTGTGGGCGGTGTGCCACACCCCCAGGATGCGCACCAGCCACGCCCCTGCCTGTTCTCTGCCCCCCCCCCCCGGTGCCAGAGCATGAAGCTCCGCCACTGGTGGTGACACCAAAGGCACTCAGTAGCAGTTGCGTCAATGGCTCTGTGCAGCCCACCATTTCAGTGTGACAAGAATGACAGCCAACTGCTTAGCATCTTCAGTCTTTCATAATGTATGAGAGTTCAAACTATGTAGGGGTGCTGGGATGTGTATTCTAGCCCCACCCCAACATTCCCAACTCCTTCCTCTTCTGCCATTTTTCATTCAGCATAAAGGTATGCAGGAAGATTCTAACTGGAACCCAGATTGTGCAGGGTTCCCAGTTGCAGAGATCACATTCAACTGAACACTGTTATAATTCCCCTTTGAACCATTGTACAGAATATGTGAAGGTCAGCAAAGAACTCAGTATACAGGGGATTTTGGGGTAGGGCTTTAAACTTTAAACCTACACAGATTCTTCCAAATGCCTGAAGAGCACTTTTCTCCACTAGGCACCAGAGCCTAATTTAGGAAGAGATGTAGTAATTGTATCCACATCCCTCATTTGTATAAAGGACAGTGACGGAAATCATGCATGCAAAATCATGGCTAGTAGAACAGGCTTCCATCAGCTGTGTTTGGTTACTTAGTAGTGAGGAAAACATTGCATGTGCTCTGAGATATGCCTTTCCTGCCTGCCCCCAGACTCAAGCTACAACATAAAAATGATTTTGGAAGCTACATACACACTAGAGACCTTTGACTACTGTGTTGTATGTGTTAACTTCAGACAATTTATCATGCTTGCTTCAGTGTTTTTCATCCCAGAGAAGCAATCTTTATTTTCCTACTTCTTTGATTTTAGCACATGCCCCTGGAAAAGAGAGACAAAATTTTCATTGAATTCTGAAACCCTTTTAGGTTTCATGCATCAAAGCTAATGTCCTCCATGAATAAATCAAAGCTTGTACAACTTGTCTTTTAATGCAGAACAATGGCATACTCTTATACATTGGGTTGCACAGAAAAGGCATTTTCTGCCATGTAAAAGACAAGTTACAACTATTGATAACAAACTGAAAAGTGTATCTTGATGAAGGAGCTGTACTTATCCTAAATTCAGTTTCCTGTCTGAAATACCTTTCATAAGGAGGGAAAGTTCCTCCCTTTGTTTTAACAGCTATTTTTATGTTCCCCCAGTTTGCAATATATTTTCTGAAATGCCTGCACTGGAAGTAGTGTTTGTAGCAACTGTGGTGTATCACTAATTCAGTAGTGTCCCTATAGATTAACTATAAACATGTTATTTCCTTTGCTTCGTTGCTTCAAAAGCAGTGAAGTCAACCTCTTTTCAGATACATGCAGTTGATCATCTGTCAGCAGTGGTATCTGAAAAGCTGCTTCCTGGATTTAATGGCAAGCAACTGCATATTGTGCAACACAGAGTGGGAAGTTCTAAAGAACAAATTAAATTGGCAAAGGTAAACATTTGAGAAGCACTTAACTTTCCACTTTCATAGGAGAGGTCTGCTCCCCTGTTTTCTTGCAAGAACCAAGCTTTGCATTTGTAATGCATGCATTTGTTGAACTAGTTGTGCCTAAGGCACCAGGTCTGGCAAGCTACTGGTTCCACTAGTTAGGTTGTGCCCAAGGCACCAGTGTCTCATTGTGCTAATATACTGGTTTCACTAGTTAGGTTGGCCACAAATAATGTAACAAACAATTGTTACAACAAGTGCTGTATATGGCTTGCTACTATTAGAGATACAATGCAGTAGTCTGAATTATAGAGAACTCTTAGCAATCTACTTCTATGTATGTCTACTCAAATGTAAGCTCCATCAAATTCAATGGGGCTTACTTTCAGGACTGCAGCTTAACTTAAAATGGTAGAAATTTACAGCCATAGGGGGACAAATGTGGATCATTTGGTCATTGAGCGAATTAATCTGTAGAATTTACCCAGTGTGTTAAAACTACCACCATAATTATTGGTGAGAGGAGAGAACATTGGATGAAGTCACTGAGCTGTATTTGTAGTTGCTATTCAGAGATGGAGTTTGCATATTCAGACAGAATATGACAATTCCAGATAAATATTGACAGTTGCTCAGATAAATATTGACAGCAGTTTAGTTCTCTACTAGTTGGATCCATTGGGTCTGACCTGTAGGAAAGCCTCATTGTTTAATATGTAACTGATGGAAGTAGTTGAGTACATATGTGAAATGAAGTGGAATCAGGCTGCTGAACATATGGCTAACAATTATTCTTTATTCTAATGAGTTCAGTTGTTATTCTCAGTTTTTCAATTGAAATTCAGAAGACCTAAAGATAAAAATATTAAAGTGTTCATGTGGGGACAACACAGGGAGAAATAACTTACTTTGAATGTAGAATTTGAAGGACAATTTTTTTCCCTGTGGCAAAAGATAATGCAGTAATCAATACATGGTTTCTATTCAGATCTTGTGAGGGAACACCAAATCTATACTAGTGATGAAAAAAGCAAACAGAAGAAACGAAAAAAAATTACTGTGTTCTTGCTGACACTAACAGAAAATGATACTGGCTTCTCCATTTTGAGCTTATCCCAGTCAATAGTACTTAGCAATAAGGGATACTCCATTTTAAAATTTGCCATGAGTGTTTTGTGCCTAGCAAGTGTTGGTGTATTTCTTTTTCCTCCCCTCTTCCAGTAACTCAACATTATTCCAAATTGTTTCGGTTTCCTGTTTTCATTTCCACATTTCCCTTATTTATCCCTCACTTTTTCCCTTCTTCCCATCTCCATTTTACATACTATGTTATTTATGTTATTGCTCAAGATGGCCATCTATGTAATGACCTGGTAAGAATCATAAATCAAGCAATGCTCTTTCTATTGACAAGATATCATAGTCCCTGTGGTTTTTAACAGTAATGTTTTTTAGGTGGAGACTGAACCAGATCTCACTGGCGCATTGATCTTGGAACATCCACATCTTGCTCGATAGCCACTTCCTTAGATGGTATTGTCTTCCATTTTCCAGCCACTGCTTCCTCTAGCTCACCTTTATTTCTATAAAGGTTTATATTCAGCAGTATCAGGATTTGTGAGTGGTTTTTTGGTGGTAGCAAAGTGAGGCATTCTATCAATGTGAACCAGACAGAACTGGAAGCTCAGCAATAGTGTACAGTATTTTAGTCACTTGGAACCTTCTTGTGGTTGAACTAAGAGCCATTCAGCATCTGTGTCATCATTCAGATGTTGAAGCTTTACCAATGGTTTCCTTTCAAATTTATTTTCACTATTTTTTTTAATATATAATTTTTTATTAATTTTCCAATACATTTATACATCTTTAACCAAATTGTAACAAAACATCTCTTTTGGACTTCCTTCAGTTTCCCTGGCAATCATCCATGGTTATCTCTTAATTACACATTCCCTTAATTTATTTTCACTATTAGTCCCGATAGCTTTCATCAGTTTGCCTTTCACTGAAAAATTTTCAAGAGTTTTATTTGTGTCTCTGGAGAATGAGTTTGCCCTTGGTTTGGGGGCTAAACTGTGATGAGTGCCGTCTATTTCCAATGCAGGTAGTTAGATAGTTCAGGAGCCCAACCCTCCAGTCTGGAATCCTATACTGTCCCCGTTCTTCACCCTCACATTCCTATAGAACCCACAAGTTCCCTGACCATTCAGTTTTAATAGAAAATTCCATGAGTGCATATTTAAAACACCTTTTCATCCCCATATCCAATGGTACCATAGTAGTGCATTTTAATTATTAATTTTATGCTTTAATTCAGCAATTTTTGAAGGCAGCTTGCCACTTTACAGATGAGTTTTATTTTGTTACTTCTTTGAGGAGCTCTGCAGCAACTGTCATCTCCCTTTTTTTGCACTTTTGATTGCTTTGGCCACCATTTGATTGCTTTGGCCTATGAGATTTATTTCACATCAGCTGAAACAGAGGTACCAACTGCCATACAGTTTGCTGTTAATTCATGTCCATTACAGTGGTGCCTCGCAAGACGAAATTAATCCGTTCCGCGAGTGTCTTCGTCTAGCGGTTTTTTCGTCTTGCAAAGCAACCCTATTAGCAGCTTAACGGATTAGCGCTATTAGCGGTTTAGCGGCTATTAAAGGCTTATTGGCTTAGCGGATTAGCTGCTAAAAGGCTATTAAAGGCTTAGCGGCTTAGATAAAGGGGGGGGAAAGCGAAAAAAAAATCTCAAGACTCGCAAGACATTTTCGTCTTGCGAAGCAAGCCCATAGGGAAATTCGTCCTGCGAAGCAACTCAAAAACGGAAAACCCTTTCGTCTAGCGGGTTTTCCGTCTTGTGAGGCATTCGTCTTGCGGGGCACCACTGTAGCTAGTTGTCCTATGTTCAACATACACTTCCTGAGGCTGCTTCTTTTATTAAGGAGGGATGATAAAAGCCAGTGTGGTGGGCAGTTTTTCTGCTATGGGAGAAAACACTTATGCTTCCATCTTTCTTTGTGTGTGCACACCCCTTTTGCCTACCAGGTAATGATTACAGTATTTTAAAAAATTAAAAAGTGATGAATGTTATAGGACACTGATTCATTATCTTCTTGCAAGAAGGGGAGAAAACAGCCTTAGAAATAGTTGGTGTACATAAATAAAGAATCAAGAGCAATAGGTAGACAAATATAGAAATGTTCAGTAATTTATTCCATAGATTTCTTTTTCCACTAGATGATGCTTTGTATAGCTACTCTGTACCACTTCTGATATTCTAATATGACATTTTGCCAGCTAAAATGCAATTATAACACATTCAGAAACATGGTTGCTCAAAAATAAGTCCCACTGAGTTCAATGGGTCACCCCCAGTTAAGGTATGTACAGGATTGCAGCCTTAGAATATTATGTGCCACCTATATAACAGAAGTATTATACATTATCCAGGGTTTGATAGCACTCAAATTTCTAGTACAGTCATACCTCGGGTCGAATACACTTCAGGTTGAGCGTTTTTGGGTTGTGCTCCGCGGCGACCCGGAAGTAACAGAACGTGTTACTTCTGGGTTTTGCTGCATCCGCAGACGCTCAAAATGACGTCACGCGCATGCACGGAAGTGGCAAATTGCGAGCTGCGCATGCACAGACGCGGGTTGCGTTCGCTTCAGGATGCGAACGGGGCTCCAGAATGGATCCCGTTTGCATCCAGAGGTACCAGTGTATATTTTTTCTTAGGCATTCTCCATGCTTTGAATTATACCCATCTCAATCTAAATGTAGTGGTGTTAAGGGCAGCTAAATAAGTCTTAATAGAATGATCTCAAACTCTGCTAATGAGTGGTAAAACTTAAGGGAAATCAAGTTTCTTCCCGCAGCAATAAAACATATATTTTGCAATACCTTAGGGAAAGCAACTACCCATAATAGAAATGGCATGTACAAAAATTATTAGAGACTTGTCAAGAAGGAACACAACATGGCTTGGATTTAATTAAGTAGTGCATATCCATTTTTTGATTCGTTTTGCCATAGAAAATCAGGCACAGCATTTATAATGAATATATTCTTTTAGTAACAATTCTTTTTAAAACTTGGCAATCAGCAAAGACTTGTGTGACATACAAAAAACATTACATTTTCAGCAAATTCCTTTGGATAGTCCTATTTTCACCTCAATATTGTATTTTAAAGAAATCTTATACAAGCTGCTGCAGTTATAAGATGCATTTCACCATATTTGCTATACATTTATTCTAGGTTCTACACAGTGACTTCTGTTTCAGAGGCAATGTACACAATATCGTTCAGAATTTGGTGCTGGTACTTATGGTTTGCAGATTCACAATACCACCCATTTATATATACCGTATTTTTTGCACCATAGGGCACACCCAGTTTTTAGGGGGAGAAATCAAGAAAAAAAATATTCCCCCCCCCCAGCCCCAAAGAGCAGTGTACAGGCTGTGCACAACCTCTCCCTGCCGGAGGGGTTGAGCGGGGCTATGGCACAAGCCAAGGCAGCAAGCAGGATGGATCCCGCTCGCTGTTTTGGCTTCCCCTTTAGCCCCGTGCAGCCTCTCCTTGCCAGGAGATGCTGCCCAGGGCTAAGAATCCATAGCCCCGTGCAGCCTCTCCTTGCTGGAGGGGTTGCGCACAGCTATAGAGCAAGCCAAGGCAGCAAGCGGGATGGATCCCGCTCGCTGTTTTGGCTTCCCCTTTAGCCCCGTGCAGCCTCTCCTTGCCGGGAGACGCTGCGCAGGGCTTTACTGGGAGGTGGGGGGATTCCCTTACCTCTCCCAAAAGCCCGCAGAAGCCGCCCAACCCCTTTAAAGAGATCGTGGCTTCTGGCTTTTCTGGGAGGTGGGAGAAGGGACTGATGCGGCCAGTCAGTCCCTTCTCCCTCCTGGGGAAAAGCCCGCAAGAGCGCACGGAGCTTGTGTGCGGCTCTTGGGGGCTTTTCCCGCCTGCCTCCCCCCTGCATTCGCTCCATAGGACGCACACACATTTTCCCTTGCTTTTTAGGAGGGAAAAAGTGCGTCCTATGGTGCGAAAAATACGGTATATATAAAATAGTTACTGTATTTTGTCACCCCACACTATAGATTCTCATGTGCTCACATACACAAAATGTTGACTTGTGCATGCAGGGTGCCTCATTTTATTGAGGAACTTGATCTGGAAGTACCTTCTTCTACAGAAATAAGAAAAGGCATATGCAAACTGAACTCCATGTGCCCACTGTGGGATTGGAATATTTAGGACAATTTCTATTTAAAAGCAAGCCCCTTAGCGATGACAGTAATTTTCGATTAAGCTAATTTTTGGTTTGTGTGATGGTATTGTTAGCAGAATGGCAAAATGTATATGGGTGCTTCATTTAACCACACACTACTAATGTATAGTTTTCCTGGCCACACTTTATTACTGTAGCCAACTAAGAATAGCAATACATCAATCAAATCCAGACCATTCAGCTGATAAAGCACACAAAATTATGGTACTATAGATTAACAATCCAAAGCCTTAAATGATATGATTAAGGGTAGGGTCATATGGAAACAGCCTTTGTGAATTCCCTCGAGAGTACATGCCACGAGGTTTAGAGGTGGGATGTACTGGTCTTCCATGGAAGTATGTTATGTGAAACCATGCCAATACATGTGAAGCATATGCAGATGCAATAACCACAGGACAACAGCTTGATGAACTACTACTATCGTTATGGGAACAGGGACTGCCATGTACAGATGTCAGTTTATGCCAATGAAGTTTTTCCAGATGCATCTGGCGGCAGCCCTGCACATTTCAAAGGCAACTGTGTGGTCTCTTACTGTCTTATATGAGAACCAGCCCTACGAAGCAGAACTATTTTAACAGTATAACTAAGACCATGTGACCTAAGCATTTATGTATAGCATATATGGATCTAGATTAAGTAGCATAGGTTCTATTAAATCTAATTCCAGTTATCATATATGTGCCATAGTCATGATTTGTGTATATAAAAAAATATTGATCCTTTGTAGGATTATAAATACTCTTCTACATGTAGAAATATGCATTTTGATTCTGATTATCTTGCTGTACACTTTTCCTGTCTATTTTACAAAAGCTTTGTTTCACAAGTAATCCCGTTTCATGGCTTTATTGCTCCACGTTTTAAAGCAAAGTACTGCAAAAAAGAATAGCAATAGATGACTCCAAATAAATGGGTCAATTTGATGAAGAAATTTCTAAATATTTAGCATTTGTTTTGGTACTCAATTTTGCCATTACCACACACAGTTTTTCTAGCCCTCCTTCATTGAATCCAGACCATCAGTAGTCCTCAGCCTATGAATATACACCACCGATGCAGTAACTTATATATTCCCTTCATCTAACATTTTGTTGACACCATCACAGAGTCTCTGAAGGTGAGACTTGTAAGATCCAAATGGATTGTACAAGGCAGCCAAAAATTCACAATCTGAGAAGTGATCAAACACGTGGTTGACTCGTCCATGAGATTTCGCAGTTAGGTGACGCTGAATGATTTCATGAAGCAGGTCTCTGCATTCATTCAAGAGTTTTGACAAAAACTTTCTGTCAAAGGTATAATCCACTTGATGGAAGCTCACCACAGTTTTGGCCAACTGGTGAACTTTCTTCTTGAATTTCTCCATAAGGATGATCTCTTCTTCATTAAACTGGTTATTCCGGTAGAGGATTGCTAACTTGATTACAGTCTTAATGAGATTTTTAATGATCTTCTCCGCTTCCTTTTTGCTTTGTGTGTATTGCCTTGTCACTCTGTAAAGTTCATCCAACACATCACTGCTAGTGTCATCTATCAAAGCATTTGCTATGGATTTAGATGCCATTTTGCCAAGGATTTTCTTCTGGGCCTGGATGGCCAAACCTTTGGAATTGAAGACATCTGTTGCCACTGGAAGAAAAGGAGTAGATGTTAGTACCTTCAGACCATCTGATGCAATCCATTGAATGTGAAAGCATTTTAAAGCACTGTGTGAGGGGGAAATAACTAAAGTTTCCCACTACATATATTTCCTGTATTAAAATGCTGATTAATTTCCTTGTGTAACAATTAAAAGAACTAAAACCTTTATACTACTTAGGAGGGTATATTTTTTATATTTAAGTACTGATGTTGGTATTACTGTTTCAGTGAATGGTACCCTATATTGCTTACTTGAAATATAATCACCTAAAGGAATCCTGAAACCAATGGGAAGCTAATTACAGACCCTAAAAAAAATAAAAATCCTAAAAAAAAGATGAAGTACACCTGAAGAACACAGAGAAAGATTATTTATTTCTAGGCAAAATACCCAGAATTTTCAAGAAGCAAGGGTGGTAGCTACTGGGCAAAGCAGTTTATCATGAGATGAGAAGAGGCTGAGCAATGAAAGCTTCCCTTAAATTGGGCTGGGGGACTGATTGAGCGGAGGCTTATCTGTGCCAGAAGCCAGACTCTCCCTTCTGCCTACCAAACATACTGGTGGGAGCCATTAGAAAGTCCTGAAATGGGATATTCTGAGGGCTGTGGAATGGCTGAGCCAATCCTGGATTGAGTATATCCTGAGCCGGTCTCACTGCTGTTACATGATGGCATCTGGCTGGCTGGTGCTCCAGCATGGAGCTGGTGTGGGCATAGTGCTGCCACCGTTAGGCTCTATCATCCTGCCCTCTCCACTTCTACCACTATGAGCAGCAGGGCTGCAGATGTAGCAGTGGCCCTGTTGCTCTAAAAAGCAAAAAAGGTAGTTAGTGGGATCTTGGATTGCGCCTTGAATGTACATATTTGAACACTAAATGTGCACTTTGGTTGGTAAGGACAATTTGTTTGTTTTGAGTGGAATATAGGATTGTGGTTCTTTGTCTTAAGTGTCAGATTTCCATGCCTGTGCTGACATACTCCCCATAGGACACATGACCCATCTGCAACACCACAAAAAGCTGCACTGTATAAAGAAACACCTTGTCTGTCCTGAATCTAGTGCCAAACAATTCAGGATTTTTTTTGGGGGGGTGAGGGGATTCTTTCTATTCATCTTTTCCACATCACAACATTATTTTATAAACTTCTAATATGCTCCCTCAATTGGTTTTCCTAAATCCACAAAAGCTTTAGCCCCTGTTTCCCAGCACAGCAGCTGTGGGCACAATATCTGCAGAGACAAAACTAAAGTCCATCATGAGAGCCATCCTTATCTTGGAAAGTTACACAAGTGGGCTAATTCAGACACACTACTCCACTGGAAGAAAAATAGAGCAATTCTGAGAAATATGATCTGGCCCTCCAAAAGACAGTTTAGATCTTGCAACAGCTAAGGGGAATACTGCTTTATTTGTTGTTTTTTTAAAAATCCAGCTAATCACATGCATATGGATTAGCACAAAGCTTTATGCATGTCTACTCCTAGACAATATTTGTTGAGAGAATAGCTAATGAACTTTGAATAAAGTCTTACTCCAAGAGCAAAATATGTACATCTGGAAGACTCCTACCGATCAAATCCTGGAACTTGGAATGTATCCAAGATATCCTACTAGCGCTCATGACAAAGATTCTGCTATTAGACACAGTCTAAACAGTTTATTTTAACTCCCAGATCATTTAAACATGTCTTTTAATAGCCCAATTTTCACAGATGAAGCTACTCAGATGCCAGATGAACTATTGTGATCTATTTTAAGAGAAGCAACTGGGATCACATGATGGACAAACTTGTGTTTTAACCATGTGATGGAGGGAGAGTCAGTCGATTTAAGAAATAAATAGTGAACTTAATGGCTCACTTGTAGTCTCAATTGTAAGAATCAAAACTGCAAACTGGAGTCATGTTTGAAATGAAAGTTGTGCGAATAGAAGATTGTATCACTTGCTTAATACAACAAAACTGCATAGAATACAAAAGAGGCAGCAGCATGCCACACTATAACTAATAATATTGCCTGGATAGCTCCATTGGTTAGAACATGGTGCTGAAAATACCAAGGTAGCCAGTTTGATCCCTGTACGTATGGGACAGCTGCAGACAAACACAGCTTACTGCTTGACCAAAGATTTTAAACCAAATGAATGTGAGTAGACAGAGTGACAGTTGGCTATGGTATTTGTGGATTTGTTGCTGCAGGCTTTGCCTCAGCACAACCTCTGTGCTAACATTCCAACTTTCTATCCATCAAGCCTAGATTTTGCATGCCAATGGCAGTTGACAGTTTTAAAACCAGCATGTATTAACATTTATTTAACTGCAAAAGCACTCTGTTTTTCTTTGCACAAGAGTCACAGGGACGTTATCATTAATTTTTTAGTTGCTTTTCCTCACAAAAGTGATGCAAAGCGGCTTACAAAAATAGTATAAACATTAAAACCAGTTATAACACCCACACAACCAGTAAATGCCTAAAAAGCACATCTATGCAGATGACAGGTCATACATATCCCACCACACTAAAAGAGGCAACAAATGTATGAAACCCTTCAAATTAAGTAAAAAGGAAAGCTTTTGCCTGGCGCCTAAGAAATAAGGATGGCACCAGGGAGAGCATTCCACAAGTGGGGAGCCAACACTGAAAAGGTCTGTTCTCATGTGGCCATCTTCCTGCCCTCCTGTGGAAGGGACACAAAGAAAACATCTCAGACGACAATTTAAGGATCTGGGTTCATTCACATGGGAAGAGGCAGTCCTTGAGATACTGGGGTCCCAAGCAACTTAAGGCATTTCAGGTCAAAACTGGCACTTTAAACTGAGGCCAGAAACATAATTTGTAGCCAGTGCAGTCATACCATAATTGGTGTTATATCTGTGGACCGTCTTGCCTTGGTCAACAATCTGGCTGCTGAATTCTGCACAAGCTGCTGTTTCTTAACCATCTTTAAAGCCCCACATACAATGCAGTAATCCAACCTAGAGGTTACCAGAGCCTTAGCAATGGAAGCTAGGCTATCCCTGTCCAGCTGGGGCACCAGTCAAAGCTGACAGAAGACACTCAGTCCCACTGAAACCACGTGAACCTCACGTGATAGCAGTGGATCCAGACATTTTCTCAAGCTACGTACATACCTGCTCTTTCAGAGGAATCATAATCCCATCCAGGGCAGATTAATCCCATCTATCCGGTACCAACTAACACTTCCTCAGCCTTATCTGGGTTAAGCTTCAGTTGAACAAAGTCAAGGAAATGAGGGGTAGAAAAACATGGAAAGGAAAAATAAATAGTCTGGGATAATGGGGTAAATGAGGAACATGATAATGCATTTGGGCAGGTACAAGAGAGAGGAGCAAAAGTATGTATGTATGTATTTAATTTCTGTACTGCCCTATACCTGAAGGTCTCAGGGCAGTTCACATAAAATATCAAATACATAAAAATCAAAACAACAACAACCCAATAACCTCCCCACCCCCCACCCCAAAAAGAGCCAGCATTTTAAAAAGGGTATAGGATGTAGATCAAGTCAGGCAAAGACCTGGTTAAAAATGAATGTTTTGCCTGGCGCCTAAAGGTGTATAGTGAAGGCACCAGGCGAGCCTCCCTGGGGAGAGCATTCCACAGACAGGGAGCCTGCAGAGAAGGCCCATTCTCATGTTGCCACCCTCCTGACCTCTCAAGGAGGAGGCACATGAAGAAGGCCTCAGAGCATGATCTCAGGGTCTGGGTAGGTTTCATATGGGAAGAGGTGGTCCTTGAGGTATTGTGGTCCTGAGCTGTTCAGATCAAAATGAGGAAGAAGATGGATATGGGAAATAAAAGGGAAGGAAACAACTAGAGATGAAAGGACTATTAGGCCAGACACAAAGAGAACACTAGGCGGTGGAGGTGCAAACATATACAGAGCAATGGGTGGGGGGAGGCAGACGTGAACTGGATAAACACACTGGAGAGAAGGATGTCATTAACAGCCAGAAGAGACACAAAGATCAGCCAGATATTTCCTCTCCTCCCCCTCCCCCCCCCACCCGCCAACTACAGGACCAGAGTGATGCTAAACAGACACAGGCCACTTCTTTTAACTTGAGTTCAGACTTTTTCTTCTTCTTTTTTAACCATGTCTAATTCCACATCCTGACATTTGGATGCTGCTGTCAAACACCTGATAACCTTCAGTGTTAAGGACATATTTTGCTCTCAGGGATATAAAAGAACACTTTGGGCATATTTATAATTGTGAGCTAATGACCTGGAAACAAAATATAAAAGAACCCCAATGGTTAACTTTCACTTCATAATAAAGATGGCATTTTTTAACTCTGGCCCTGCCCAACACATTTTCAGCAGTCAAACTACTCTCACCCTGACGCTTTCTTTCCACTATTTGCTTTGGCATTTTTACAAACTAATTAGACAAGATGTAACATATATGCTGGAAACTGCAGTGGTTTGGGGTTTTTTTGCTCTACTGAAGCCTGGCTATAGACTACTGAAACCTCTGTTCTGAGTATTTTCAGGATCATAGTACCAAAGGTGACTCGCTGAGACCACTATATTCAAAATGCATACATTCAGAGTTGCCTTTCTACTATGACAGGTGACTATGACTAAAACAATGAATGGATTATTGTACATCACCGCTTCATGCTCCAAACGTTTTACCATTTTTTATCTCGAAGAGAATGAGGAAATTTTGCTTAATAGCAGAATTTGGCTGGCTAGCAGGGCCATCACTCATAATATCTGTTTATCAAACAGTCTGCTTCTGCACTCAAACCATCTCAATTCTGTATCATGTAAAAAAACCCCAAAGTGGCAGACACTGACCTCACACAATCACATGGTAGATTCTGCTGTTAGAAGACTGATAGTACCATAATGAGATAGCAACTTCAGTGATACAGCTTATTCCCAATTTGAGCTGACAACCTTAGAAACAGGTCCTGTAGCTGCCCTTTAACCACTAGCCAGGTCTGCAGCAGTTAGCAGGTGGAAATGTTTCGTTCCATGCCTTAAAAACCTTCACCTGCTGATTTGCATATCTCAAACCTTTTTTAAAAAAAGGAAGATGAGTAGGCCAAGCTGCTTTTATCAGGTCAGATGGTGAGACTGCAGTTGCCCAGGAGGATTATTTTATCCAAAAATTGCACAGAATTTTTCTGTCGGGGTCCTTACAGGTATGACACCTCGTAAAGGGGGAATGCCCTACCACACTGTATCCTCAAGTCAATAAAGAAGCAGCCTAGGCCCACTGATCCAGGAAAATCCTAAAGTCCAGGTATCAACCTCACTGCTAGTAATGAAGCAAATGGCTGTTAAGAAGTTTTAGTAAACTGTCCTACACCAGGCATGGGAAATTTGTGGCCTTCCAGCTGTTGTTGGGCAACTCCCAGCACAACTGACTACTAGGCCATACTGGCTGGGGCTGACGAGAATCAGACTCCAACAATATCTAAAGCCCCCCCCCCCCCAAAATAATAATAATAATAATTCCACATAGTAATCAGTACAAAGTCTCTGAGTGAGAGTTGCACCCTTCTGCATTCAAGTTACAGTTTCCTGAGTACTTCTAAAGTCATTGCTGCAGGATACATATGGGTTGCAAGCAAAGTGAGAATATTAGAAATATTATCTTTTTCCAAGAGGGGAACAAAACAGAACATGAGGAGATCTAACCACACTTCTTTTCTAGCAGATATACTCAAGCCTCTTTATTGCTCCATTTGAAAACCATAAGAGGCTGTGGAGGAAATTTGCTACAGGATGTGGGTAAAGGTGCAATCGGACAGAAGCAGGACGACACAGATTCACATATTACTCTGACAGTGCCATGCTATACAGTAATACTGATCTCATCTTCCAAGTGTTAATCTTTAGCCAGAAGAGGGTGAAAAGAACAACAAACTAGCCAAATGAGTACTGAGCATCCTCAGCTGGTGTGGGATGATGGCTGACTGTTGTGGGGTGGGGACCAAAAACCAGGATGACAAAAATGGAATGGAGTATCCTGGGAAAGGACACAACTGGCCAGTGGGCACTTTAAACATCCCCATGCTGCAACATGTGTTACAGGTCCCATTTGTATAACTAACCTTAGTTTAACTTCTTGGAGATTTTGTCTAAAGTTTGTAGGGCTATAGCCCTATTTGAGTGTTCCAGTTATTCTATGCAATTAGAATCACATGAAGAAGAGTGGCAACAAGTTGCTAGCTCAGCTCTCTGTCACTGTTCTCACCACTCTCTCCAAGTTAGAGGCAAATGTCTGCAATGCAAACCAGAGCTGGGTCCTAAACAGCACAAGGAGCCTATACATTTAGAAAAGATTCCATACTTCAGAAATTAATGCTCCAATTTGTGGATGGTACAGCATTTTGTTGTTTTTTTTGAGGGAGAAGGGAACTAGCCCACTAATATGAGGTATCAGAATATCTAAGTAGGGCTTAGATGGATGGACCAACAATATAACCCAGAAACACACATTTTATTTTAATCATACAGCTAAAGCATATACTTAGCTGTCCAAAGCTGTGGTTAGAGAAGGCTTAAGCAACATTATGTGAAGTATATCACAATCACCATTTTTATTATTGTGACTGAATTGCATATTCTGTTGAAATATTTACTGATTTTGCCTTGAAGAACTGTTTTAGATAAAATCCTATTTCCCCTTCAAACCATGACACTCACTCATTTCTGCAATACAAGAATTATAATGTGGACAAACACAGCATGGGAGCAACCTTCAGAACAAGGTATAAGCCTGTAATTCTTCTCAATACTCTGAATGACATGGATCTACTTAACAGGAGAGTGTACAGAGCGTTGTTAGTGAGACTATTCCTGTGAATTAGATGCGAATGATTAGTTTAAAACACACAACTATTAACGTAGCTAGCATTGGATTATCATAATCAAGAACTGCTCTTTTCTCATTTATGTGCAATGACTTTCTACCTTCTCTTACAACTAAAACATAAGGCAGTGATTCTTAAGTGCTTTAGCCTAGGCATTCATATATTCTAAGCCAAGAAATATGGTGTATGCAAATACAGAATGCTGATTCACAGTTCTTTCTATCTATATGAGGGAACATAACAGAACGTTAACACATTTCCTTCCTCTTTGCCTTTCTGTAACAATAAGTGCATCTGCACAAGTACTGCTGTGCTACAGTTATTAGTTGGTACCTCAGGCAACATTAAATTCTTAAACTTGCAGAATGATAAGCACTGCCATTCTGCTGGGAGAACCAGCATCAAAATGAGCAGGGGAAAGTCATGCAATGTGAGTAGTATCAATTTCAAATTACTAAAGCAGAGGTTAAAAAACTGCTATTACCAGCTCTACTGTAGCTGGGTAATGAAAATGTTTTTCAAATTTCAGATAACCAAGGCATCTGCCTCTTCTCAGGGGAGCTCAAGGCAGCATACAGGGTTCATTCCTCCTAACTGTATCTCCACAACAACCTTGTAGGGTAGTTCAGGCTGAGAAATAGTGAAATGCCCAAGGTCACTCAGTGAGCTTCACAGCTTAATACAGATCTGATCTCCCTGATACTATTCAGACACTTTAACCACTGCACCACACTGGCTCTGGATAAGCTTCCTGCCAGAGTGGTCAGCAGAGAGGGGTGACACTAAGCACCTAGCCTCCCAGCCGTGGTGTCTCTGCTGCTTGCTGAGAGTGACAGGGGCAAGGTGGCAGTGGAGATGGGAACTGCACGGATGCACCAGTAGAGCCAACCTGGTACTCCTGCCAATGAGCCCTCACAGACCCAACCTGGCATCTCAGCCCATTCAGTAAAGAGCAGCAGCAATGCTGCTACCAGGAGGCCAGATGTACAGCAGCAGCCCTTCCTGCTGGCCGCTCCCTGTCTCTTGACTGGAAGGCAACTAGCTCAGAGCAGTAATACATTGTGAGACTCAATGGGCAGTCTCTTCTGAAGACAGGCAACTCTGTTACATCTCTACACCTGGATTGATTGAATGATCCAATCACATCAGATGCAAATATATGAAAGAATTATCTTGCCCCAGGATGCTGTGGAAGATTACTGGAAGGAGGCAACAACAGGAAAATGTGCAAAATCACTGATCAGGCTGCCAACTTTGTGGGAGGGTACTCTAAATTAAAGAAATCCTCACTGCACTCTGGTAGTGGTCTGGGCACAATAGAATGTCCTTCTGGCATGTACACAATGAACATGTATGAAATACAAGCACTTACATTTTATAACCTATAGACAAATCTAATGACTGAAAACACCATTTTCAATCTACGAACATAAAGGGGTATTCATTCACCAAACCATAACACAATCCAGTCAAAATTTGGCATTTAAAACATAGGACAGTGGGCATGTACTGTGGAGTCAGGACTAATCCATGGCTTCATGATATTCATCTACCTTATGGTTGTTCTTATCTTGGATCATACATGATCCAAGTCGTGTTTGGGGAAGTAACATATGATCTGGGTGCCCATGCTGGGGTCCAATTCTCCAGAAACCCCGTTTGTAGTTTCTCTCCTTCAGGGGTATGTGGGGAGTTGTATAAAAAGCATGAGTGACAGCATGAACTCTGGGCTCAAACTTCATTTCCCTCACATGGATGTTGCAGTGAAACTGCTGTAAAGAGGGTTGTGTTTTTAAAGTACAGTAGACCCACAATTTATGAAGGGCTTATGTTCGGGGGATAGCGTGTAAAGCCAAACTTGCATATAGTCAAAACACATTGGGTGCAATGGTGAGTGGGATTGCCATAGTGTTTTCCCCAGATGCCCTCTCCCTTTTAATTTTTTTTTTAAATGTTTGCCAAGCACATAAAGCTGAATGCACACAAGTTAAATGTCCATAAGTTGTGAGTATACTGTTATGAAGCAGGGAGGCTTTTTCTTCAGTTTCAAAGCATAAGCAGCTGGTATAATAGTTTATTGCAGAGTTTCTCTTGAAGTTATCCTGCGTGCAATTCCATCCCTGCCACAGCATCACCCCCCTCTCATGAGCTCGGAGATAAAGTCATGACATACAGCTTTATGGATTCTCATCTAAAACTGCTGCAAACAAGCTTGTGACCTCAAGCATCTTGCACAGAAAAAGCTTCTGGAAAAGCCACAGTTATCAAAAAACAAAGGCTAAACCTCTCCAAAAAGGCATCAAAAATTCTATGCTGACCTCTCAAAGTAGTTTACAGTTTGCATTTTGACTGAGTCCACTGGAAAAGTGCCACATTCTTTTCCTGATCAGTGTAAGGCCAATTGTGAGTCATTGCTTCTGTTGCACTATTTTACTGTTCAGGAAACCAATGAGCTGTACAGCAGCTTCACATTTTTAATTTATTCATCTCTTTACCCCAAAGTGATGTTCCACTTCCTGCTGAACCAAGCAATACCTTTAGGAGGAAGCAAAGAGGGAAAAAAACAAGGTAAGGAGGGAGGAGAAACCCCTGGAGATACTGTGGGACTGCCTGAAATGAAAAGTTTACTTCCAAGGTTGAGAAAACATTTTCTGATGCACATCAGGTTGATTCTTCATTTCCTTTTGAGGTGTGTAAAAGCAGAGCAGGGGTTTCATGGTCCAGGTGTCCAGATCTGACACTGTTTCATGATCTAGATCAGGAGTCAGCAAACTTTTTCAGCAGGGGGGCGGTCCACTGTCCCTCAGACCTTGTGGGGGGCTGGAGAGCCTTGTCTGTTAGAGAGGGGTAGAGGAGGCTCTAACCCAGGTTAGGAACATCCTTGGTAGAGACATGGCAGGTTATGTTGCCTCTCTAGGAAGAAGCTCGCTGACTTTCAAGAGAAGTGATGGGGACCTGTGGCTTTCCAGACATTGTTGGTCTAAACTCCCATCTACTGATTTTTTTATCACGCTGGTTAGGGATGATGGGAATTTCCAGCATCATCTAGACCAGGGGCCGGCAACCTTTTTCAGCTGTGGGCCGGTCCACTGTCCCTCAGACCATGTGGTGGGCTGGACTATATTTTGTTTGGGGGGGAGAAGAAATGAACAAATTCCTATGCCCCACAAATAACCCAGAGATGCATTTTAAATAAAAGCACACATTACACTCATGTGAAAACACCAGGCAGGCCCCACAAAATAACCCAGAGATGCATTTTAAATAAAAGCACACATTCTACTCATGTAAAAGCATGCTGATTCCTGGACCGTGTGCGGGCTGGATTTAGAAGGCGATTGGGCCGGATTCGGCCCCTGAGCCTTAGTTTGCCTAACCATGATCTAGATTATATTCCAAGCACCCAATCCTTCAGATGTCTGTTCGGTTCAAGTGAACAACAGGTTCAGTGTCACCTCATTGGAAGGATGTGAAAGAATTAACTGTGGTAGGGAACATTTGGCCTGTGGGTTCCCCAATATTCAAAGCAGATTTTCAGGGAGCTCAAGAGATAGCAGAAGGATTGAATCCAAGCAATTTTTTTAAAAAAATAAAATAAAATTAATTACCATAAAAACTCATTATGGACATTTTAATATTTTACTGTTTTACCTAGTCATGGTATCTACTTCAATACACTGATTAATTTATGTATCATTTACCTTTGTATCCTGTACTACCTTGAATGGATATATGCACTAACAAAACATTTGGAATATTTAAAGTCACACTTGTAGCACTGAAATTTATTTTACAAATTCTATTTTTAAGTCAAAAATATGCAAATTTCCAAAACTAATTCAAGGGGAGTTTTTGAAGGTATATTTACTCACTTGGAGGGAGTTTGCAAAGTTAGGTGCAAATGCATTTATTATGTGCAACATTGCAAAGATAGTATTTGCTATTTAAAAAACCAACACCCTTATATTTGCTCAAATCACCAAACATTATCAAACATTTTTTGATAGTTGATCTAGGTATATTTGTACTAGCTTTTAGTGTACCTCGCAAACAAAGTGTTTAACATTTACCAGCCCATGAAAAAAATGAAGCCATGTCTCTATTGTTGCTGTGTAGATGTTACTGTTCACATGCTTGAATCCACATGCTTGAAGGAGGAAGTCTCAATTTTGTGTTTGTGTGTGTGCATTAACAGTATGTATATTTGCAGTGATCCAATGAAAAGAAGTGCCCCTGAAGAAGGAAAAGAATAGTGAAATGTCTTGGACCTTTAAACTACAATAAACTTTGAGAACACTTCCCTCTTTCATTTTCTTGTTGTTCACATAACTACACAACCCAGAAATTATAAAGCTGTGAATGTGGCTAGCTTCATGCTAAGACTGGCTAAGGTATGGGAAGTACATTGCTAACCACTTAGAAATGTTTTGCTACTTTTAATGGTAGTGATTCTAAGAGAGAGGTGAGCCTCAGCAACGCAAATGGCCAGTGCACATGTAATTTGCGTAACCACATGCTCCTTCCCAATCCCTCCTTGTGGAACCTGGCAAGCCTTAACCACATAATCACATTTCCCATAGGGACATTATTCCCTGTGTTTGTGGTGTTCTTTTACGTTGTGTTAAAATTCATTTTGTGTTCAAGACTGCCTTCAACCTTTCACAGGGCTGTACTGTTCCCCTGAGGAAAGGTGAGAGACCTTCAGCTCCCAAGGTGAACTTCTGTATCTCTAGATCAGAGATCCTCCTTTGGCTCATGGGCCGATCTTGGCCCACCAGACTTCCCCACTTGGCACATGAGTCCACCATGTGTAAGCCATGGCCACCCCCATGACACCTGATGTCATACAGTTAAGGGTGGGGCTTGACCAAAGCTGCTTTGTCCAGCTCCGAAAGCAACCGGCAACCAGTTGGTTGTCAGGAGCCTTTGAAATGCTACACGAAGCAGGAAATCAGTGCTGAGCAGGATCACTCTCCCTTCATATCAGCTGATCCAAAGGGAGATCAAATTCTAAAGAACTTCTGAAGTTCTTTAGTTTATTAACTTCTCTTTCTCTCTCTCTTAAATCTTTTTCTATTCCCTTTTCTCTTTTTCTTCATTTTCCTTCCTTCCTCCTCCTTCTCCTCTCCCTCTTTTTTGCCTTTAATGTTTCAGTTTGGATAAAGAAAGTATGTTTGACAATAATTTTTGTATTTTTCTTTATAAACCTTAATTATTTTAAGAAAAAAAGATGGGGAGATGCTGAGGTCAGGCTTTTGTGGCAAAAATAACATACTCATTCAACATATGTTTCATTGTCCCAAGCTCATCTGATTTTGTTCCTAACATAAAAAAAATTTGTCAGTTCACCAAATGACAAAATAAAACTATGAATAAAATCAAGTGCCATTAACCTAGTCTCTATTTTCTTGGAGAAGGTATTTGAACACTAGAAGAAAATTAGAGAAATTCTGAGTCATTGTGTGTTTGTGTGTTTTAAATTGCATATCACCCTTCATCCATAGCTCTCAGGGCAGTTTGCAGCATAAAAACAAAACAAAAAACATGTAATATGTAATTTTGAAAAGCTGTTGCCAAGTAATGAAACTTTGGAAAATTATGATATTGAACATGTTAGCTATATATGGAAACGGAAAATGTGTCTGCAGGTTGACATTTTAACAGAATTACAGAAATCTGAAAGAAGGACATGAACAGGTAACTTGAAGGTTGTGAACATAAATTATTACTGAAATTAAGTAACCATTCAAATCAGTGCAAATAAGGATGTAGCAAGAGTCCTGCTGGAGGTTGGATCTGATTTAGTTCAACATCCTATTTCTCAGAATGCCCAGTCAGTTATCTATGGGAAGCTTACAAGAAGGGCTCACTTCTAAATACATGCAGAAGAAGGCTGATCGCCGAAGAATTGATGCTTTTGAATTATGGTGCTGGAGGAGACTCTTGAGAGTCCCATGGACTGCAAGAAGATCAAACCTCTCCATTCTTAAGGAAATCAGCCCTGAGTGCTCACTGGAAGGTCAGCTCCTGAAGCTGAGGTGCCAATACTTTGGCCACCTCATGAGAAGAGAAGACTACCTGGAAAAGACCCTGATGCTGGGAAAGATTGAGGGCACAAGGAGAAGGGGGCGACAGAGGACGAGCTGGTTGGACAGTGTTCTCGAAGCTACCAGCATGAGTTTGACCAAACTGCGGGAGGCAGTGGAAGACAGGAGTGCCTGACGTGCTCTGGTCCATGGGGTCATGAAGAGTTGGACACGACTAAACAACAACAACAGATAATGTGGATGTTTAATGTAATAGTTACATGAAATGTCCACATCATTCAATATGTCCAGACTATCATTCATGCTGCGTTATGATGTAGTGTGTTTGCAAGTTGGTTCAAGACCCATTGAGGTATTGATTGGCTTCTCTTATTTAACTCTAAACAACAACCACAGGTCAGATTCTGACCTTATAATGTTTGCCACCTCAGTTCAGTCATTTGCAGAAGAGTAAATGGTCAGACTATCGCAGAATAATCAAATAACTTAAAGCAAATGCATACTAACATTGGATCCATTTCCTCTTTCTACAGACATTGTGAAAGATTTATTAAATATTTAAGCCATAGCAATTGCTATATTGATAAACTCTGTGTCATGGACTGGCTGGATGCAGAGGAGTACAGCAGGCACCAGCGGGTACCTTCAGTTCTCGTAACTGCCTCATTGGGGCAAGATCTACTGGAAAGAGTTGCTGCGCTCACTAGGCCTGAGCTGCTGTGTTTCTCTGAATAAAGAGAGTTAACTTCACTGACAATGCCCCACACCCAGCGCAGCCAGCTTTTATGGCTGATGGTGGACCAAACAGAAGACTGGGACTGTCAGGTCTGCCACTGGGGCACTGCGCCCCCACTAGGGTGCCAATTGGTCCATTTGCCAGCTCCCCACAGCCGTCAAGACCATTGCTGACATCAGCTGGCTATGCAGTTGATTCTCACAACAGCTCTCCTCGTGGCCCCATGCCAAGCTGCAACAACAACCACTGCCTGAAGATGGTAAGCAGTTTTATTATGAACCACAAGCACCACCACAATTCTGGTGTGACTTTATTGATCATACAAATAATGAAGCATTAGTAAGTTCTAATTAACTATGTCCTAGTAGTTCGAATACAGTTTTCCATGTTACCCAGAAGTATACTGTGAAAAAGCACAGAGGTGAGGCTGCACACCTAACAGATTCAAACCCAAAAAATAAGTGTCAAAATGCCTCTTTTTAACGTGGGATACACCATTTAGCAAAGAATGTCCCCCAACCTTTCCCACCCCATCTATCCCAAAATCAAGGAAGTAGCTGAGACATCTGTCTGACTTAACTCTAAACCTCCTCTAACTTTAACCCTGCCCACACTATACTGCAACATGACTGTGCTGTGAAAGAAGGAGAAGCTTTACTACTAAATTGGGGAAAATATGTGTTCCAGCACAACTAAGAAAGGAATTACTCTAACCAGGATGGCAATTTTCACATTAACTCACTCCCCCCAAAGTATTTAAGGGAACATGATGTTACAGATATTTAGCTTAAAATTAGTTGTGCTGAACATCAGTCCAGTACAAATACCTCTAATAATAGTTTGTGGTCGAAAATTTAATACAAAATTTAATACAGAATGTAGCAAAAAGCACAATTCTATTGATCCATTGAGGTTTAGAAATCAATTATAATGTTCCAGTGCAATTGCTCCTTAGCAGCATCATTTGTTATGAGATATTAAAAGGCAAGTATGTGAGCAATTTTCATCTGGAAAATACAGAAAACAGTGAAAGAAACACACAAATGCTGCAAAGCCATGGAAGAATGAAATGAACAACATTAACAAGACCTCTGCCAAAACAAAAATTAAGAGCCCTATTTTCCTAACTCAAATTTCCTAACCCAATACATTATTTTTATTTTTTATCTCTCCCCTTGCAGCCCTTCTGAAACAGCTTATAAGACAAACACACACACACAAACACAAAATGCAGCTTAAATAAAAAGCCACACACACAGTAATCAGAGTCAGGAATAGGATCAACACTGTCCAAAGGCCTGTCGGAAAAGAAAAAGCATAGATGGCCAGCGAAAGATGGAAAACAAACAGGCCTGATAAGTCTTTTTAGGAGAGTGTGACTACCAATATGCTACTGTTCCTTTTAACTTGCTGTTCAAGGCTGGAGTCCTCTGCACTCTTACCTAGAAGCAGCTCCCCATTGGGAACAGTTATTTCTGAGCAATAATGCACAGGATTGCATTGCAACTGAGGCATAGCACTGGCAAGGGGAGCTCATTTATGATCCCAGCATCTACAGAGGAACAGGTAAGTTATCAGGCCCAAAAGTTTACAATGCTTTTTTTGTAATGACATACATCAACACAATTAGCAAAAGTTTGTGGTCTTTAATTTAAACACCTGAGTGGAACTCTGGATACACCTCTTTATAACAAATATATTGTTTGGTTTCATCATTATTTTCCTTTTTCTCCATTCTATGTCTCACATCGTAAGATCTAACTACAACAGCCATCAATCCCGCTTAAAACTGAAATATTGCAACCTAAATTTTGGGTGGACAGAAGAAATCCATCAACCGAATTGGGGGGTAGGTAATTTCCTGCCATTCTCCCCTCTCCCTATAGCCCCCCACCCAATGTGCCCTAGAGGTGCCCCCAACACACTGAAACAGGTTTGTAAACTGAGACACAATATACTGTATTCAACTTTTACAAACGCCAACATGTGTTCTACTTTGTTTTCCTTAATTACCCCCCTTGAGAGAAGTTTCACCTTGCTCCATGTGAAACTCATGAGTTTTGTAGAAAACAGAAGCACATAGGGGCATCTCAAGATGTCAGCAGAAGAACAATCACCCTGTAGCAAAGATAGCAGGGGCAATTTGGATGTTTTATCTTAAATCAACTGAATGTTCATGTGAAACGAAGGTCACTTTCAAAAGGTTTTCCTGCAATCCTTGTGTCATGTCATAGCATGCATGCTGCTTACTCATCTCGCACACAGGAGGGTTGGAATGAACGTGCCGCCAGGAGAACACTGCACTGAGGAGTTGCCAGTGGAGAAAGGTTTAGTACAGTTTTACAACTGTTCAATGGAAATGGATTCACATTTATCCTCTTGGTTGATGAGGAAAGGAAAGGGATGAGTATTAAAATGTTTTTAGCATCAATGTATTTGTTAATTAGCTATGCTGCAGTTTGTGGATTTCATTTAGTAGGCTGTGTTTTTTCTGTGCTAAGAAATACATACTCCTTCAACTCCAACTGGAAGGATAAGAGCTATGTTGAAAACACTGGCAAGGTGGGGGTATCAGATAAGCCATGGGGAGAATAGAGGAGCATTCCAGTGTTTTGAAAAGTTTCCTGATTTACTACAAACTGGTGCTCTGACTAGCTTATACCAGCCCTTTATTTAAGGCAAGTTTATCTGGCTTCTTAACAAGTCAGGAAATTCCAGTTTTTAAAAGTGTGCCCACATTTTTTAAGGCATTGTCCTTACCCCATTCCCACCCCTTCACCAAACCTCTGATTTAAATGGGTTTTGTATTAACATTTCAGAAAGCCATTTCTTCCCTTCCTCCACCAGATACCCACTCCTCTGTGTTTACACAGATAATTGGGGTATTTCCAGCTCTCCACATGCTCTTCCATATCATAAAAGTAAATGAAATCGTTTTCCACATTGACAAGCTTTGTTTCAGACCTAGCCTTACTTAAAAGCATACATACATCAAGAGTATATACCCACACTGGAAAAAGAAGTTGTTAACGCCAAGAAACCTCCTTCCTAAAAATAACGATCTTTCAGTTCTCTGTATTACACAACTTCCTTTTGCAAAAGGAACACTGCATCTACTTTAAAAAAAAGTATCTTCCCCTTTCAACTTAAGCCATTGTTGCTTGTGTGAATACATAGCACTCAGCCCTTTGAACATTAATAATACTGTGTATTGTATATAGTTATCATTGCACAAACAAAACGCCATTGGCATCAAGGCTCGTGTTTCTGCATTTTCAGTGAAATCTGAACAGCAGTCTTTAGATGCCTTTTGCTTTCTCCCCTCCCCTACGAAGAGCTCAGTGCTACAGAGAGCACAAATCTCTATTCATCATCTCATATTGCTGCCAGAAGCAGCTCTGAAGGAGACGCGAACTTTTTCAAAAACAAAAACCCAAATCTTAGAAAACACTAAAGTCATACCTTCTTTAGATTCATCTGCCTCGGCGCTCATGGTATCACACTAAATCTCTGGAGATTGCAGATGACGTGCGCGTCTGAGAAGCAGCAAAGTCAACTTCTCAAAAGAAAAAAAGGGGGGCTGGGATTAAGAGAGGAAAAGTTCTGTGAAACCAACGAATCACAGCTCAGCTGCTCTAAAAGTTTCCGCCTCTTTCGGAATGGCATTCTGAGCAACTGTCTGAAAAGGAGCACCTTTGCAGACACCCATTTCATTTGCTAGGAATCACAGTTTATATATTTTATTCTATTTTAGCCTTTCAAATGGTGGACTTCTACTCGTTAGAGCCTGCTAAGCAGTGTGAGCGCACACATGCACATGAAAGGCAGTTAAGACAAAACAGCAGAAAAGCCACTAAGTTTTTAATATCTCACTAAGAGGCTGGCAAGCAGCATGGGCCTACAACCTCCAACTGTAATTGTCTAAAACAGTGTTTTGAGCTACTAAGAATTAACTTGATATTTGAGTATGAATTGCTTTATAGGGTGGGTGTGGGTGGGAAAGACTCAAGGAAGGAAAAGGTATATTTAAAAAAATAAAAATATACATGCTTCAGCATTGTTTCTTCCAGCTTTATTTCAGACTGTGGCTTTTTATCTGTCCACAACAGGAGCAATTTTGGTGAAATATTTTTGCCCCTGCCCCCCTTATCTGTGCATTTCACACCTTTAATGTCTCAGATCAGATATATCTGGTGCTAAACCACTGTTTGTTGTAAGCAGAGTTTAGAACCCAAACCATGGCTTTGAGAGACCTCCGGGTATAGGGTGGTATATTCATCATCATCATGGTTTGTGCTTCCAAATGCACAAGGGAAACCATGACTTGCAGTACCTTGTCTGCTTTTACATTCTGCCCTTCAGCTTTGCTAAATTGAAAGGGCCAGAAGCATATGGAGACAATGTCTGCAACTGTGGTTTCAGAGGCATTACCGTGGTACCTCAGGTTAAGAACTTAATTCGTTCTGGAGGTCTGTTCTTAACCTGAAACTGTTCTTAACCTGAAGCACCACTTTAGCTAATGGGGCCTCCTGCTGCCGCTGCACGATTTCTGTTCTCATTCTGAAGCAAAGTTCTTAACCCGAGGTAATATTTCTGGGTTAGCGGAGTCTGTAACCTGAAGCGTATGTAACCTGAAGTGTATGTAACCTGAGGTACCACTGTATACCAAATCGTGGGCCTGGTTTAGATGATACACACCTGCCTCATCTACTGGATAGAGAGGGGAGAACAAGCTTGCCTGCCAACCTCACCCAGACAGCATGCAAGCACCACTCGAGTCTCACTATGTGCATGGTCGAGCATGTGTATGATATTATGCCTATGCATATACCAGATTTCATTTAGGAAATCAACTGGGAGGTCTTAGTGTATGTATGTGGGCAGCATTCACATATTATGTCCCCACATGCAGGTGTGGAGCCACCACAGGTGGGTCAAGTACTCTGGACAGGCAGGTATGTTCATGGTTCTCAAAGTACTTGGAGCCCTGTCTCAACTGGCTCAAATTGAGTGTGAACCATAGTTTCCAACCCCACTTCAAACTATGGTGTCCAATTGCAAGCAAAGGTTCATCAGTTCAGACATGATACAGAATCATAATTCGGATTCCTTAACCATCATTTAGGATGGCATCTGTATTACTACTACTACTACTACTACTATTACTTATATACTGCCCTTCATCTGCAGGTCTCAGGGCGGTTTACAACATAAAATTACAACATTGAATATTGAACCTTTACTGTTGTATGACCTATCGGTTTTACTGATAGTGACATAGCTCTGTAATTAGCCTATTCTTAAGTTGTTTAAAAGTTTTATGCTTTTGTTTTGAAATTGCTTCTACTGAAGAATGCCCTAGGTAAATTGTTTTAATGTTACAGTTCAGGATGACAATATCATTACTAATGTTGCGCTTTCTTCTTGCAACAACTCTGCACAATCTAAGTGTCTTCTTCAATAGGCTTTTGTGATGCTTTGTAAGACCAAAGGCTGCTGCAATTGTGTCAGTCATGGTAATTGCCATGAGATGTATTGGTCTCTTGTGGAAGAGGCACTGTTCGTACCAACAGTGCCCGAGGTGATTGTTAGACTACATGTGAAGAAGCTCTCCCTGTGCCTTGTCAACTCAAACAGCAACTGGCGAGTTACCAATCTCTTGAGCATTAAATACTGTTAATGAAAACAAGCAAAACAGAAAAATCTAAGTTATGTTGGTAGAGAATTTACTTGAGCAACGGAACAATATTTAACTTGGTTTTTTTTAAGAGTGCTGTATTTTTCCTGTAACAGCAAGTTCAAAGCTCGGGAGTGCTTTTGAATCTGGCCTTGTCTTGCCCTGGTAACATCCAGACTGGATAGTTTTTAATTCATGACAAATAGGGCTGCCTTTTAAGTGTTCACAAAGAAACTTCATCTGGTTCTGAATACAGGAAGATATTAACAGGGGTTTTCCACAATTAACATTTTGCCACTATTGAAATATCCCTATTGTTTTCCAGTATGTTTCTGACCTCAATCCAAAGTTCTCCTTTTGATCAATAAGGTCCAGCAGTCCTCAAAATTCCCTCCTAGGGCTCACTTGAGATGGCCCATGACTCATAAAATGGCAGTGAAGGAGCAGAGTTGATAACAAAATGATGGTCAATATGTTACCATAAAGCACCAATGCTGCAGCAAGCAAAGGCTCTAGCAGCTCAGCCAGCTGCTTGTGGCTGGAAAGCCAGACAGGATGTTTGTGACTGTTGCCATGGGAACAAAGGGGCAGTCCATTCTGTACTGAGCACCGGATGTTAGCTCAGTGTGTGTGTGTCATATGACCCGTACTGGATGTACTTGGGAGGAGTTTCTTCTTGCTGTTGTTGAGTGCAGACATGATTCTCTGTACTGATGTAAGAGGCAGAAATAAATGATGTAAATAGTTTTCTGTCTGCTTCTTTCCCCTCCCTGGGGACACCAAAGGGAGAGAGGAAGAACGGTGTGTTCCTCTCATACATCTGAGAAGAATCGCCGGACCTCGCCTGCTTATCAGCAGAGTGGAGACGCGGGGAGGTCGACAGGAATATCTGCCGGTGCCTACGCTGTGGCACATTCCTCTGACCCAGGCAGAATTCCAACAGTGGTAGCAGAGGATGGTTGCGATTCATCGGACATCTGCATGAGAGGCTGGTGGATTGTCCTCCTCTGCTCCAAGGAGGAAGAGAAAGCGTCTGAAAGAAGCCAGAGGCTCCACAGACAGCTGGTGGAAAGAAGAGGTGTTTTCCAAGCAACGCAGCTCAAGGTATGCTGCATTTCGGGCTAAAAGTGTGAACGCAGGAAGATTAATTCCCTGGTTCACGGAGCTGCGTTTCAAAGAAAACAAGAGCTCCGGGAGAAGAGGCCTGCAGCTTGAAGGCTGAAGCCTGCATTCCACAAATTTTTGTGGTAGATAAGATGTCCTATTGAAATGCATTGTTGCTAGGTAACGGTCCTGGAAAGTTACTGGCAAAGGGGCTGGACTCTGAGTGTGAGCCTGGGAAAGCGAAACAAAATCAGAGAATGTTTTGGCTACAAGGTTTACGAGCTCTTGGAAGGGACTTTTCAATAGCAGCCTGAGTTTAGCTGCCAGGTGCAAAGAGCGTAAACAATTTGCAGTTGCCTGCGTGAGAAAGAAAAAAACAGCTGTTGGATTTTGCAGCTTGTTTGGAGGTGAGAGAGGCTTGGCTTCAAGATGGATGCCAAGAAAGGGGGAGGTTTGCCTTGCCCACCTCCCTTAACCAATGACAATTATTCATCTTGGTCTGTAAAGATGAAGGCCCTGCTGCAGAATCAGAGGCTTTTTGATGTAATTGAAAACCCCATCCCTGCAGCACCAACCAGAGGTTGGGAGTCACAGAATGTAAGGGCCAGGACTGCTATAATTCTGTGTGTCTCAGATGATCAGTTGGTGCATGTTCAGCATTTAGAAAATGCGAAAGAGGTATGGGACACGCTGCGTACAACGCATCAGAGAGATGCTGGTTCTTCAGCGTTGCTGTATTTTGAGAAATTGACCAATCTGAGACTTGCGCCTGATGGAGATGTTCAAGCGCACCTGACAGAAATGAAGTTTCTGCGTCAACAGATGGTGGAACGCAATTTCCGTCTTCAGGAGGAAGTGTTTTGCTTCATGATGATAAACAGCCTTAGCCGCACCTACAAGGTTGTTGCCAGTCAGCTTGGTTCCCTACCGGCCGCGCAGCTGACCGCGGAGAGAGTTTGTGCTGTGGTCCTGAATGAACACGACAGACTTGCTGCACTGGAAGAAAAAGACAGGGGGAGGGAAGAACAGAGTTCTAATTCCCCACTGCTGATGCTACTGGAGAGCATGGTGTAGCATTGAGTGCTGTCCGATGCTACAATTGTGGACAGACTGGGCATCTACAGCGAAACTGTAAGAAGCCGCGCCAGTCAAGAGGAGCAAAGAGCAGCTCTACGAAGCCTCAGGCGTCAGGCAAAAGCCGTTCCAAGTGCCAGGTGAAACCTGCAAAGGCTATGATGGCGAAAGGAACCACGCCAGATGTTGGGAACTCGTTCATAATTGACACGGGCGCAACGGTTCATATGTGCCCGCACAGAGGACTGTTTTCGACGTTGAAGAAGCAAAGCTTCACTGTGAAACAGGCCAACGGTCAGGAGTTGGAAGCGACTGGAATTGGGACTGTGTATCTTGAGAGTCTGAACTTGACTATAAGTGATGTTTACCTGGTTCCAGAACTGAGATTTAATCTGCTGAGCGTGTCGCAGATTGCAAAGAAAGGACTGAAACTGTCCTATGATGCTAAAAGCTGCAAGATCTACAAAGATGGAGAACTGTTTCTTACTGCCAAAGAGAAAGATGGACTGTATTTGTTGACTTTTGATCAAAGTGATTACATGAAATGTAATTCTGCTGTTTCTAACGAAATCTCTCTTGCAGGAGTGACCAGTGTGAGCACCAGGAAGGTGACTAAGACGAAGAAGGTCAACAGAGCATTTCAGCGGGTGTATGCTGATGTGATTGGTCCTCTAGAACCATCTAGAGGCGGTGCACGATATTACCTTTTGTGTGTGGATTGTTTCACTAATTATTCTTGGGTTTATATGATGGAGAAACCGCAAGAAACTTTAGAAAAGTTTCAGGAGTTTTGTGACAAGGTTAAAAGTATGCATGATGCTAACATTGATTGTCTTTTCACAGATGACAAACAAATTTTTCTGTTACAGAAGTTTCAGAAGTTCCTGGATGGAAAAGGGATAGACCACAAAGTTGCAGTCTCGCAAGAAGCGTGGAACAGGGGGGTCTGTGTGAGAGTGAACAAAGAATTGCAAAAGGGGATGAATGCGCAATTGCTGAGTTCACATTTGCCACATGAATATTGGGCTGAGTCGCTAGCGTCCTATCTTCATGTGTGGCTGAGAAAGATCTCAAAAGACTTGGGATGTTCTCCTTTTGAGAAGCTGTTCAATAGAAAACCTTCTGTTGCCTATTTTAAGGTTTTCGGGTCTCATGTGAGAACAGAAGCTCCAGGTGGAGTAAAGAATGCCAGAGGCATTTTTGTGGGTTATGAAAAAGGTCTCTACAGAGTAATTTTGTCTGAATCTGGTCAGGTGATTCTCACAAAGTTCCTAGAGAGTGCTCCAAAGCAAGAGCGGATAGTACAGACATTTCCCACAGGAAACGATTCTGATGATGATGATGATGATGAGTTTGATCTTATTGAGTTCAGTAGTACTGATGATGACAGCGATAGCTCAGACAGCTCAGTTGTCACAGTCATTGAGAGGAAATCTCACACAATGGATAGACCTTCACAGGTGAAGGAAGAACCACTGATTGCTACTGGTTCTCAACAGAGTCCAAAGGTTGAACCAGTGAGCACAGAAGATCAGAACCTCATACGCAGGTCTGAGAGAGTTACAAAGGGTGTACCACCAAAGAGGTACTCAAAAGAGTTTGCTAACTTAGCTGTTGCATGTGTTGCTATTGTTAACAACTCAAAGCAGGTTGAAGCAGTGTCTACGTCAGAGACAAAGACACAACAGAGGGTAGCTAGCCAAGGTAATGCAGAAGCACTCATTCCTTGGAAGCCAGACAACCAGAGAGGTACATTGGTTAAACCAGTGGCGGGTAGTTCCAAGGGTGGAACTGACACAACAGGGGATGTTATAAATATAACAACTGTTTGTTTTCTTCTCTGGATGACGCTTTGCTCGCGGCACACATTGATACTTTAGGGGGGTATGTTACCATAAAGCACCAATGCTGCAGCAAGCAAAGGCTCTAGCAGCTCAGCCAGCTGCTTGTGGCTGGAAAGCCAGACAGGATGTTTGTGACTGTTGCCATGGGAACAAAGGGGCAGTCCATTCTGTACTGAGCACCGGATGTTAGCTCAGTGTGTGTGTGTCATATGACCCGTACTGGATGTACTTGGGAGGAGTTTCTTCTTGCTGTTGTTGAGTGCAGACATGATTCTCTGTACTGATGTAAGAGGCAGAAATAAATGATGTAAATAGTTTTCTGTCTGCTTCTTTCCCCTCCCTGGGGACACCAAAGGGGAGAGAGGAAGAACGGTGTGTTCCTCTCATACATCTGAGAAGAATCGCCGGACCTCGCCTGCTTATCAGCAGAGTGGAGACGCGGGGAGGTCGACAGGAATATCTGCCGGTGCCTACGCTGTGGCACATTCCTCTGACCCAGGCAGAATTCCAACAGACAGAAATAGGTATAATTGATGAGCAATTACTGACACTTCTATCTAATCTCTTTGTCACAGCAATTTCCTTGTGGCAGGGAAATCCAATAGTTAAGAACAGATATTGGCTTCGAAGGCAACATGATTTAGACTCTCCATTTTATTTTATAAATTTGTTCTTAGTCATACAATTATTTATAGACTATCTTTTAGGAACATCCATGGTGGTTTATGTTTTATTTTAGGCAGAATTTGCTGATTTATGTCTAAGCAGAGATGGCTTTTATATTTTCACTTCCACATGCGACTCAAAATAGTTTTACCCATCCAAAATTTCATCTTCCCCTCTCGTTTCACCCCTTTAACTTGTACCCTTTCCCCACTCCACAAACTGTCAGTTTCTTTAATCTCTCCTTTAACAGCTTCCCTTACCCTGCTTCCCCTTTATTCCCGGTTTATCAGTACTCATATTATAAATACTGGATTTCTCCTAAGTTCCTTTAATCCCCCCTCTTCAAAGGAGGCTCAAACCATCCATTCCTTTCACCAGCCCCTCCTCCTTCCTTCCTTCAAAGCCAGTTAACCACACTGCCCATTTTCATTTTCTCACTTTCCCCCCTTTCTTAACCTCCAGCTCTGCATGCTACAGCCTCTCTCTTGCTGGAAAGCATAGGGCATTCTGGGCACAACAGCCTAAGTCAGGCAGCCTCCCCCCCCCCTCCAGCTGGCTTAGCCTTTCAAAGCCCAGGGCAAGTGTACCCAGCTACTCTCCACTAAGCACAGGCAGTATCAGAAAGCAGCCAGGCACAAGGCACATTTTGCGACTGGTGCGGGTCCAACTGTGAGCATGCGGAGATCTCTGGATGCCAGGCTGGCAACTAAACTCTCAATCTGGCTGGCCTCTCCAGCTTTCTTAAGCAGGTAAACAGAAGAGATTATTGCATTTATATCCCACCTTTTTTTCTCCAAGGAGTACTACGTCCAACCCTCTCCTACAACAATCGTGTGAGGTAGGTTAAGAGGCTGTGACTGGCCCAGGGTCACCCAGTGAGTTTCATGGCTGAGTGGGGATTTGAACCCTGATCACCTAGGTCTCAGTCTGACACTCGAACCACATTGGCTTCCGAGAGTACTTCTGCTATGGGGCAGCTATATAAATTAAGTAGGTAAATAAATATGGGGAAAACAATATGTAACTTAGAGAAACATCTGAAATATTTTCCTTGAAGCTTTTCCTGACAGCAGGAGGAGGAGGCGGAGGCGGAGGAGAGGGTTCCACTCCACACCAGCAGCACTGCCACACTCCTCCCCTCGCCAGGCCAGGAGCCAGAGCTACCAGGCGCACGTCAGAGCAAGTAGTCAGCAGGCGTTAAAGTCTAGGGAAGGAGAAGCACAGGGGCGCCAGTGGTGGGTGGCTGCACCACGCGACTTTCCCCAGCCTGGTGAATGCTTCTCCCCCGCCCCCCACACCAGCAGCATAGCTAGCCTCTCGAGCACCCACATGGGGGATGGGATGAGATACCATGGGGGCAGAGCTAGCTGCCCACTGGGCAGCGTGAGCTGAGGCAGGGGCCAGCTAGAGGGCAACCGTGGCAGGGAGAAAGGCGGCAGCTGGGGCAGTCTACAAGCCACGCTCCACATGCGTCCCATGCTGCATTTTCAGGCAGTGCTGGGCCCATACACTGGAGGGTACCCTGCAGCCCCAGTGCTGCCCGTGTCACCCCCCCCCCCAAACACACACACTCCCTTCCTCCGCTACTGATGCATCCTGTTCTGGGTGTTTTCCCAAGCCCTCCACAGGAGATGGGGTGGGTATGGAGAGGGAAGTAAAGTTCTGCTGTGCAAGCAAAAGCCTTTGTGCAAATGGTACAACTTTACTGGATCCAACCCTTAGGCTACAATCCTACATCCACTTAAGTAGGAATAAGCACTATTGAATTCAAGGCGCTTCTTGAGTATACATGTATAGGATTGCACTGTAAGTAATGTAGCTGAGAGTGGCAATACATTGACACTGTAGTGCACAGTAACAGACCATGACATGTCAGCCCCTTTCCTACTAAGGTTCACAAATTTCCAAGCCCTATGGTTCAGTATTTTGTGTAGTAGTAGTAATAATCATCATAATAATAATTTATTATTTATACCCTGCCCATCTGGCTGGGTTTCCCCAGCCACTCTGGGCGGCTTCCAACAAAATTTTAAAATACAGTGGTCTGTTAAACATTAAAAACTTCCCTAAACAGGGGTGCCTTCAGATGTCTTCTAAAAGTCTGGTAGTTGTTCTTCTCTTTGACATCTGGAGGGAGGGCGTTCCACAGGGCAGGTGGCACTACCGAGAAGACCCTCTGCCTGGTTCCCTGTAACCTGGCTTCTCGCAGCGAGGGAACCGCAGGAAGGCCCTCAGCACTGGACCTCAGTGTCCGGGCCCATCACAACGATGGGGATGGAGACACTCCTTTAGGTATACTGAGCCAAGGCCATTTAGGGCTTTAAAGGTCAGCACCAACACTTTGAATTGTGCTCGGAAATGTACTAGGGGCCAATGTAAATCTTTCAAGACTGGTGTTATGTGGTCTCGGTGGCCGCTCCCAGTCACCAGTCTAGCTGCCGCATTCTGGATTAGTTGCAGTTTCTGGGTCACTTTCAAAGGAAGCCCCACATAGAGTGCATTGCAGTAATTCAAGCGAGAGATAACTAGAGTATGCACCACTCTGGCAAGACAGTCCACAGGCAGATAGGGTCTCAGCCTGCGTACCAGATGGAGCTGATAAACAGCTGCCCTGGACACAGAATTGACCTGCGCCTCCATGGACAGCTGTGAGTCCAAAATAACTCCCAGGCTGCACACCTGGTCCTTCAGGGGCACAGTTACCCCATTCAGGACCAGGGAGTCCTCCACACCTGTCTGCCTCCTGTCCTCCAAAAACAGTACTTCTGTCTTGTCAGGATTCAACCTCAATCTGTTAGCCACCATACATCCTCCAACTGCCTCCAGACACTCACACAGGACCTTCACCGCCTTCACTGTTTCTGATTTGAAAGAGAGGTAGAGCTTGGTATCATCTACATACTGATGAACACCCAGCTCTAGACGGTCCAGAAGGATGTTATGGTCGATGGTATCAAAAGCCGCTGAGAGATCCAGCAAAACTAGGAAACAGCTCTCACCTTTGTCCCTAGCCCGCCAGAGACCAGTGCGACCAAGGCAGTTTCAGTCCCATGATGAGGCCTGATTCCCAACTGGAAGTTATCCAAATGATCCTTCTTCTTCCTGGAGTTGTTCAGCAACCACTCGCTCAATCACCTTGCCCCAGAATGGAATATTTGAGACTGGGTAATAGTTGGCTATATTGGCCGGGTCTAGAGATATTTTTTTTAAGAAGTGGTTTAATGACTGCCTCTTTCAGCAGGTCTGGGAAGGCTCCCTCACAAAGAGAAGCATTCGCCACCCCGTGAAGCCCATTGCCCAGCCCTTCCCAGCTAGTTTTATAAGCCAGGATGGGCAAGGATCAAGGAGACAGGTGATTGGTTTCACTCGTCCAAGCAGCCTGTTCACATCCTCAGAGGCAACAGATTGGAATTGATCCCACACAACTTGACTAGACAGGACTCTAGCACTCTCCCGCCCTGGCCCTGCTCCCACAGTGGAGTCTACCTCTTCCCTGCTGCTGTTTTCTGCAGATGCAATAGAGGCAGTGAAGAATGTCTTCTTCACCGTCGCTATCGCCATTTGGTAGACTTGACATTGAGCTCTAAGCTGTGTCCGGTCAGCTTCAGAATGAGTTATCTGCCACTGGCACTCTAGCCATCTCAGCGATTGTTTCATTGCCCTCAGATCCTTGGAAAATCATAAAAATGCAGAAAAAAAACACACAAGCTTCCAGATTCTTGCAAACCCCTCCCCAACACCAAGTCCTTGAATTCCAAACACCCCAACCCAAAATCCAACCCCACCCAAAAAAAGTTTTAAAAGTTTAACTTACCAAATGGCGGCAAAAGAAGTTTTGGAAAAGCTTCAAAAATCACCAAAGTCTTTAAAAACCTCAAAAAAGGCTACCACACCACGTTCTATGAGTTGCTCCTCGAAGTCAAGTCGCAACTGTATTAACGGTGTTAAGAAAAAGGAAACAAACTTGCAAGACGTTTTCGTCTTGCGAAGCAAGCCCATAGGGAAATTTGTCTTGCAAAGCAGCTCAAAAAACGCAAAACCCTTTCGTCTAGCGAGTTTTTCGTCTTGCGGGGCACCACTGTATATATGTGTGTGTATATATATATTCTTACTATATCAGTTAAAACGATTAATTTTCAACAAGGTTATTGGAGGCAATCCACATAATCACACAAATCCATGAACATAAATATCAATTTCTTTTATGGCCACATTCACTAAAATACAGGAGAGAAGAATTAGATAAGTTTGACACAAGTTACTATGGGTTGCATTCAACTAAAACATTCCCAGAGTACACCTATGGAAATTAGTGAACCTAAATTAGTCATGCATATTAACTTCAATGGGTCTACTCAAAGTAGGACTAGCATTGAATACTACTCTATAGTAGTATCAGAAGAAAAGTCAAAATTTCATCAAGTCTTTCCTATATATAGTTTGAGAGACTTTCTAAGTTTGTTATTAGTATCGATACCACATCCCAAATGGTTTGAATCCAAGTGTGCTAAAAACCAGAGTGAAAAGCTATTTTGCAGCCGTTACATTTGACCTTAGGATTCTGCTTTCTTCTTGTTCAAACCAGATTATTCCAATAGCCATGTAACAAAGCTTATGCACAGTGCAAACAAATACATCTGAGCAGCAAACAAAGTATATGTTTAGTCAACAAAGAAATAAAAGGTGGTACTTATTTTTCTAGATGTTTAGCTTCAAAACTCCTCAGGGAAGCTACCTTACTGTGCTTCTGTATAGCACAGTATTTCAAACTCAGTCCAATCATCACTTTTTAAACAGGCTCGCAATGCTTCTCAGATATTTGTTAGCCACACAGCCTTTCCCTTTATTCATGCATAGGTGATTTCACAGCTGGAGATACACATAAGCAGCTAGGGATGGGGATGGATGAAATTTCAAGTCTGGACACTAGATTTTGGAGAGCCTGTAGCCCTCCTGTTTTATTATCAACAGGTCATTGGAGTACCAAGGTGACATACATGCTTAACAGTGATGGCGAGGAGTAATTGTGTGAAAATCACACATACTGAAGTCCCCCCAAACCACAGTAAAAGCTTTCTCCAACACCACAAAAACTCATCTGCCCAGGTCTCAGCTATATATGCCAAGCCGGCTCCCTCTTTCATGATCAAACTCTGGATGATGGATGTTTTATTCTGGACAGACCCATCATTTAACATCACCACCACCACGAGGCCACGAGAACAGCTGATAGGCACTCCCAGATTCTGAAGTGCAGCAGTCAAAGCAGAGGGGCAAAGGGCTTTGATGTAATTAGCCCTTCTCTCCCACTTATATACTTTCACCCACCTCTGTATGTCTCCCTATCTACAATCATCATTGGGATGGAAGTTTCACTTCTATCCCCTATCCTTGGCCCCAGCCTAGATACAAAACTTTCCTTACCCTGACAGTTCAGCCCTAATCGTTTAAGGCTTGGAGAGAAGCAAAGCATATATGGAAGAGGCCAGAAGACTCTGTCTTCTACTGTACCAGCTGGTGCACTGGTGCATCAGTCTTAAGTACTTAAGGCACTTCAGCTTTAGCAGCCACCAGGATATGCAGTTCTACGTCTAAAAGCAAACACAAGCTGCATACGTTATCATTAAAAGTGGAGAGAGTGTGAACAGAACAGGCAAATCTCTGATCAAACTGATGAAACTTTGTCAACATTTCCATATTATCTGGATTGAGATGAAACATTATTCTAAATTATTCTGCAGAATTATATACCTAGTGATAAGATGCAATATTTGATTGTTCCCAGTTAGAGAACAGCCTAGTATTGATGCAACCATGACCATGGCATTTATCTTAAGTGGAAACTGATGTAGTAAGCTGGAATGCAATCACAGTTCTTGCTCAACAACAATAAGCAAATGCATCCCAAGTAGTAGGAATGCCACAACTGAATTTAAGCCTCCTTGCAAATAAGAACAAATATGAGTCATGTTACAACATGGGTGTTCCCATAGTATCACTGCTCAAACATCTAATAGTCACAGAGTGAATTCCGGAAACATTAAAAGGGAGAGTCATAAAGACTCTTAAGAACACAGGAAAGAGAGGAGTGAAAACATAGAGGAGTGATGTGTTTTGTAAGCTCATCTAATGATTTCAAGGATCCTGCTATAAAAGTGTTCCTTAAAGTACAATGATTCAACAACAAAAATGAGCAAGACTAGAATTGTTGCATTATTACATTTGGATTTTAGTGGTCTTTTGAGCACTAACACACACTTTAAACTGGCCCATTAACAGGGGAGGGGCATTTGGGTCACTGAGCATTCAAGAAAATAAATTGAGATATTAACTGCAAAATGTTAAGTTATGCTGCAGAGTTCATGTTCTTACAAATGAGGTATTATCTCTTGACTTATACTTTGTACACAAATGCAAACCACACAAATAGGCACCTATGTGTTATGTTATCGTTCAGAAATAATAACCAATACAATTTACTGTTCATGCATTTCTCATTGCAAACTCTTATTTATATTGAGCTTAATTTGAAGTCAGGAGTCGAAAACACACAAAAACTTGCCTCTACCTTTATTAGGACCAGTTAGAATGCTGGTCCTACTAAAAGGTTCTCATTGGCCACATTTGCACATCACAATAAATCACACATGAGCCACAGTGAGATTCAGTGGTAGAGTGTTTGCTCAGCATACAGAAAGTCCCAAGCTCAATTCTTGGCATCACCAGGTAGGGCTGGGATAGACCTGAACTCTGAACTCCTTAGAGAGCTGCTGCCAGTCAGTGTGGACTATACTGAACTGGATGAACCATAGGTCTGACACAGTTTAAGACAGCTTCCCAAGTTCCTATGCTTTATGTGAAGCTTTTAGTTTCACTTTTTTTAAGCAATGGCTTCTCATCTCTTTCAAACTGGGGAGTATGGTTTAACAAGCTATGGATTATGAAGTTGGCTTGCTTAAATTCCTTCACCCAACAATATGGCAGGAGGAGAGGTGGGGAGCTAAGAAGTCTGGAGTTTGCTGTAGCTCATGTACATAACCCATGCTTTTTTACAGGTTACAGGGAACCAGGCAGAGGGCCTACTCGGTAGTGGAGCCTGCCCTGTGGAATGCCCTCCCAGCAGATGTCAAGGCAATAAACAACTATTTTACTTTTAAAACACAACTGAAGGCGGCCCTGTTTGGGTAAGTTTTTAATGTTTGATGCTGTATTGTTTTTAATATTCGGTTGGAAGCTGCCCAGAGTGGTTGGGGAAACCCAGCTAGATGGGCGGGGTATAAATTATTATTATTATTATTATTATTATTATTATTATTATTATTATTATTATTCTGCGGGTACTCAAGGGTACGCAGTATCCACATCTCTCCCCCCCCCCCATGTTAAAAGTGTGGCACTTACTGTAACAATTTCATGGTGAGTAAAGGCACCTTTTTTGCTTAAAAAGCACAGCACATAACAATAAACCATGGTTTAGCATGACATTCAAACTGGGTCACTGTCACTTTATTTGCATACTACTTTTCTAGACTATGTAATTTATTACCCATCCTTCACGAACAAGTCTAGGAGGGCTGCTGCTGCTGCAATAATTTAAAATTCAGACATATAAATACTTAAAACAAATCACAGTTGCATGAATAGGATGGGTCCTGAAAATACACATCTAAGGTGTCAAAGACCAGGGTAAAGAGGTGCATCTTCAGTATTTGCCAAAAGCTGCATAGCGAAAGTGCTAGACATACTCAATATTAAAGGAATACCTGACAGACAAATGGCAACATGGAGGGCAGAACACTAATTACAGAGCACTAAAATCAAAGAGAGAAAGCACAATTCGCTTCTCTGACCTCATTTGGAAAGTATGCAACTACAGCATTTCTCTTAGTATCAATAGATGATGTTCATCCCTCTGGCATATACATAGATACACACTGGTAAGCTCTATATTGTTTGCCCTTCCCAGTTTAGCTCTCTGCAAAAACTACCCTCCAGCATCAGCCAGTGGAAAAACACGATCAACAAAAGTAGATAAATAAATAAACAAGGGTCTGGACAACACAAGGCCTAACATAGAGCCAGGGGGATTAGGGGTGCTTGACGTGCAGACCACTTGTAGCAGCTTACACAAAACCTGGAGTTCATGTAATATAAAGGCAAACGCTCTCTAACATAAAATAACCAGAAAGCTTCTACCATGGAAGAAGACTCTTTGTTCCAGCAGAGGTTTTATCAGTGGAAGAGAGAAGGAATGTGATTTTCACCCTTCCTTTAGCAGCACTGATCACCTCCCAAAACCTTTTCCAGAAGTTTGGCAGTTCTTTTAGAACAGCATGGGAAATGGTGTGAGGAGGAGTACAAATTGGTGAAAATAGCCTCCTTTCCTTTTTGGCTGACAACAACCTCTGCTGGAATCAAAGAGCCTTCCTTTGTTAGAGCAACCATACTGCATGTAAACCACAGTGATTTCCCCCATTCATTCTGTGAATTTTTGACTAGGGGGCAAAATGTTATTTCACATACAGTTCATGTAATTCTTTCAACAACTTCACTACTTATTTGCCTATTTATTCTGGGAAACCTTTCTAGAAGTCAGCCTAACTTGTTTGTCTTTTAGGTTATTATGTGTTAACTAAGTATTCAAATAGCTCCATTTCCATCTGCAGCACAAAGCTATTTCCCTATTATTCAAAGAAAAGACACTGATATGCACATGGATGCATTAAATACTAGGCGAAAACATGAAGAAAATCTACTACTAAGCTGAAAATATATTAACTGAGCAGAAGAAAGGACAAAGACACAATATGTCATTTTGTCACAGCTGATCGCTTCCTGATTCTTTGAAGATTTATTTTAATTTATGTATTATTTTCTTATATATTTTAGTCTAATAAAGTATTCTTTATTAAGTAAACTACATAGTTTATAATATATATGTGTATATATATGTGTGTGTTATAAAATGCTAAAAAATATGAATGTCTTTATTGTCCTTTAAAGCTCAGAAGTATTTGACCCATTATTTTGAATAATGTAAAATTCAGTGCTCCTCACTTCTTCACACTCCGTTTTCTAACAGGTAAAAAGAGGGTAAGCCCACACCCCATTCCTACTGCAGCCTCCCAATTATCTTCTGTGTTCTCCGACCACTGGACCCCTCCAGCTCAGTTGATGCCCCTCTAAATCATCCCTCACCACCTCCATGTCATAGAAGCCAGTGGTTACAGAAAAAGACAATGGTCTTTTAAGAACAGCTCCTCAGAGGAAATAGGGGCTATGTGGTGGGTTAGGCCAGCCAGCCTTCAGGAGTCCTTAAAAGGCATCAGCATGCTACTGAGACCACAGCTCTCCCAGAGAGAATCCTAGTCAGTACTGGCCAAAGTGAGCTCTCCAGGGTACTAACAAGCTTTCTTTTGCTCTTAGGGGCCTTGCTGTCTTTCCTAGTTGAAATGTGGCAATGCCAATTTTGCCACTAGTCTACTGCCTCTGCCCTGCCCCTACTCTTCAGCACATGGCCTCCATGGTGCAGAGCATCAATCCACCCTCGGATGCGGCACTATTTTGCTTCCCAGGCTCATTCAATAAACTGAAAACTTTGCTACTTTGGAGTCATGCTAGGAGTTTTAGTCCAAAGCACCCAGAGGGCAGTATGCTAAAGGACATACGGCTCTCTGGTCTAAAAGGATGGCTGTCAGCTTATCATAGAAAGGAATCGCCATGGTATTGGAATACAAAGGAATACAACTGAGTATTTTGTGTGGCAATTTTCTTGACTTCTTTTTGAAGGCACTCACTTTCATCCTGCACTGGGTGGTGTTGTGGTAGCTCCATTGCACAGGTTCTTGGAGAGGCAAGTGAACTTGAAAAGGCAGCAAACAAATCGTAGTTAAGGACAGAACACTAAGCCATTGTTAAAACATAGTCAAAGTTTGTTCTTAAGAACAAACTATTGCTTCATACTGCAGTTCGCTGGACATTAATAAACCATAGTTAAGCCTCTGGGCAGAGTTCAGATGATGAAAAAAGCCATAGTTTAACAAACCATGGCTTAGTGTTATATACTTCTACAGCTTGGTTATGCTTCTTGCCACTCACCAGTATCAGATGATAAAAATAAAGTGCTCTATATTAACAAAGTCAAATCTTAATGTCCAGTAACTTTTCTCATTCATGAGATGGCATTCTTCTTTTGCTACCACCATACCATGTTCAGTTTAGACAAAGGCCTCTTCCATATTCAGAATGAAGGCCTCCCACTAACTCTCTTTGCATACACCAATTGAATTATATGCTTAATTCATTTGCGCAGCTCATCCACAAACTAGTTCCAGAATCTGCTATGCAAATCTAAATAAGGAGCTATGCAAAGAAAGCCCTGTTTGCACTGCTGTAAGCGTAGACAGAAGATTAGATGACAATATGAAATACAGACACCATTATGAAAATGTATTCCACTTGTCTCTATGATTCATGTTTCTCTAATGAAAATTATATTTTTGTTTTTCCTCCATCTTATATACAGCATCATTAACATTCAGGTGGAAAATTCAAATTTAATATAAAAGTCAACAATTGGGGGGGGGGACAATGCAGCTATATGTTTAGTCATACTAAGGAAAAGAAAAGCACCAGTGCACCCCACACTGCTAAGTGAAGCCTCCCCTAGTACCAAAGGCAGGTGGATAGGATCATTTAGGATGAGGTGGGGGACCCTGGACCAAAATCAGCCTCCTAGGCCTCTCTATTCAGCCCTCTGGAGTCTTCCCAGATGATGCCTCCCTCATTCCTAGGCTACACATCATCATGCTTTTATGCTCTTAAGTGCTTTTGACTGGCTGTAATATGCCCTTTAACTGTGTTAATATTACCTGCTTGCCTTATGGCAAGATCTGGGTGTAGTAATTTCCGACTTGTGTGGCTAGTGAATATACTGCCCATGGATCTCACTGAAAAATCTGAATGTGCCCATTGGTCTAAACAGGTTGGTGACTTGTGAATGAATGTTACAACAGGCTTTGGCCAGTTTCCAATGATCAGTGATGGGGAGAGTTTTAGCCGAAACCTACAGGCTATACATAGAGCTTGCTCCATAATAGCATTTTAAATTAACGCAGTAGCTGAAGAAGCCACCAGCAAGCACCTCTTGAAACAGCACCAAGAAACAGTCTTGTTACCTCCGAACACTCCTTGGTGCCCACAGAAGATGCACTAAGGAGGTGCCCAGATAAGCACAGGTTACAGATGTAAAAGTTCCTCACTCCCATCACTCTTGTCTTTTCAACATCTTGAAAGTCTAAGCTGTGAACAAGAACTTAGCAATTATGCTCATGTAAGGAAAACATTTCTTTAACATTAATCATCATACACCCTCTTATTAAATGGTTATGTTGGGAAACAGCCAAACACTTTAGGCTTTCTGCACAGTTCCTGGGTTCCACCTTGCTAAATGAAGGTGCTGTTCCTCCCAAACAGAAGCAAGATCCAATCTTCTGGCCTGCAGGTGCCAGATGGTACAGCGCACAGGCACATGCAGAAGAATGGAAAATGAAGTAAACAAAGAATCTTCTGTACTTCATAGTATTTTGTAGTCCCATTCATACAGGAGACTTTGCCCAAGAATTCTGCTATCCTACATTGTGTTGAGATGAATGAACACGCATACACAGGAAATGCCTTTACACATGTGTGAAGAAAAACCTGGTTTACATCATACACATAATGTACATATTTTAAGGCAGCATGGCTTTTAATGAATTTTAACTTGACACTGGAGGTTTTAACTTTGTCATGGTATTCAGTGTTTTCTGTTACTGTTTAAATTTATTGGTTTTTGTATTTTCTTTTCTTGTAAAGTGCTTTGTTAGATCCACTGAGCCATCCATTTTTGTTGCTTATGCACATCACCTGGGAGCTAACATTTACAGCAAAAAGTGTACAGTACACATGTAAAGACAACTGAATCTTCTCCCACTCACCCTCCAGGGGCTTACCATCTGAACGACGCTAGAAGCGCACCAGGTTGAGGGGAAAGGGCTCTTAGCAGTGGGCCATGGGAAGATAAGGCATGTGAGGGTATAGCTGTCAGCTATACAACTCTTTTTGATGTTAAATATTACCCACATTGTGCTTTTTGAAAATACAAAAATGGAACAGATATGTGAACGGTGAGGCTGCCATAGTCACATCTAGTTTAGCCTTTGAAAACAAAGGATACAGTTCCTCAAATGAGATCAACTTCCTTACCAAGGACAACTTAAGGTAATGCTTCCTATCAAATTCCTTACTACATGATGTACATGGAGCTTCACCAGCATAAGAGTATTGACCTAACTGTCATTGTTCATTTTCTCCCCACTGAAGCGAAAAATCAATAACTTTTCCAAACCCATTTGCCCTTGTAACAAGCTCTCCGGAAATACAATTCTTATTAAAATCATGGTAATGTATTTTAGATTTTACTTTTCTCCCTTCACCACATTTTGGGCAGTGGCATGTAGAATTATGTCTGCAAGTTCATGTGGTAAGGATAATAGACCCTGGAATACACTAGGACTGCTAATGGCTGCTTTACATACTAAAATATTTTACAAGTACACAAAAAGGTTACATATGTACATGGCATGAACACCCATGGCTTTATATAAGACCCAAGTTCCATGTCACATGCACACTATGGAAGCAAATACACATTTGCTGCTGAATATTATGTGTTGTTTCCAAATTAATCACTGCTGTTGTAAAGGCAGAAATTCCAACAGTAACTGAAAGATTTTTTCTGAAGAGTATACTGGTATAGGGAAGTATGCTACCTACTTCCATCAACAGTCAGGAGAGCTGTCCAGATGGTCGCTGGAAAGACGACTAAACCAAACATTGCTTCAAATTGTGGGAGTGTTAAGCCATAGATTTGTTGATCAGGCAAGAACACAGAATTGTAGAGTAGGAAGGGACCATGAGAGTCATCAAGTCCAATTCCCTGCAAGGGGGCCCAAACTGGGGCTTGAACCCATGTCCCTGAGATAGCCATCAACACCCTGCAGCCCTATTTGGAATTAATCTTCATGAGAATAACATTCAGATGAGAGGCTGCACCCACTGGCCTTGTACCAGTATCCCTACCAACCTAGCCCCATCATCCACTTGCTGCAGGGACATGTCTGTGGAGGAGCCTGTTCTCAGTGCACAGTCTTGCTGCACAATCATGGTTTTAAGTCTGAGAGGGAGTCTACTCAGGTAGACCAGGCTCCTTTCTACAGTTCACCCCCAAACAGGGCTCCAAAAGAGAGGAAATTTCTAATCACAGTGCTCTTACTAGTTGCTGAACTTACAACCAAGGCCAAACTGTCTCCTATCAACATCCTATTTCAAAAATTATTCCAATCTATCCAAATCTTGCAAAACTTCAATCTGATTTCTGAATGATTGCTACCTGTATCTCAAATATAAATAAGGCTGTTCACACCCTTTCCAGACATTTCTTCTCTAAGCAGTGGGCCAGAAACGCCTCAACCTGTATTACTGGAATGTTTGCCTATCTTACAATTGCCACACATTACATTGCCCCAAGTCTTTTCCTTTCTTGAATTGTCCTTAAAAGATCCAGGTAGTTCACAAATCACATTTCACAAGTACAGAGATGGGTACTGGAATGCTAATACTGGGGGGTATGATTTTCGTTTGGTACTATGGTATATATTTTGTGTTTTATATTTTAAACTGCCCTGTGACCTTTGGGAAAAGGGCAGTGTAGAAATTTACATACATACATACATATATACATACAGGAATATAAAATTGAGCATCCTGAAAATCTCTTTTTTCTTTTTAGAAACAGTAAGGATAATGCCTAGTGAAACCTCTGGTATGAGAGAGCAGTAAGCAAGATTTCTGGTTACCAAGAGGCTTATATAATGTTTTGTACCTCCACTAACTAGTGGAAGCAAGGTAATATACACAAATCAAATGTATAAAAAATTGCACTGTCACAGAATTTAGCTTTCCTTGACAAAGAATATGGAGTATCAGTACCTACTCTATTCTTTTCCCATTATTTTATTTTTAAGTGAAGAAAATACAGAGCTCTGGATTACTGGCATGCAGAGAAACATAACTTTGGCCTACGCAGGATTTTTGGTTCTAATGTGGGTGCTTTCACTGATAGTTAAGGCAGGAGTCTGGTACAAGGTGCAAGACAAGATTGTTCTGAACTATCTACCAGAACAAACCTGAATCATTGCCAAACTCAGGATGCATGTCCTATTCTTCCTGCACTACACCCAACCAAATACACATTATACATACAAAGCAGGTGTATCAAGTATATACCTATTAAAAAGCAAATATTTGCTTTAGATGACAGGAAAAGCAAAAGAATGATTACATTGGTCACCTTAGTTTGCTTACAAATGGAAAACATTGACCAGAGAAATCTGGTTTAGCCACATCACCCAAAACATGTTATACAATGTATAACAGATGTGTGCATGCACATACACATACACTTATTCAATTTTTTAATCTACTTTTTATCTTCTTTCCGAACAACTCAAGAAAATATATTTTGGCGAATGAAGCAAAATACACCTGTTTGAATACTTCCATTTCCCCCAGTTTTCCCATGGCAGAAACCCATGAAATAAATACTTTGATTACAATCACCATCAAACTTAATATTTTTCCCATTCTACAAACTTCATCATTAAAACACCACCATGTGTCAAGCATTATGATCATGCCTTTTTTCTTTTTACAGTTTCACAGCAGTAATTTAATTTGAACAATCATTGTTCTCGGGAGGTTAATCAATAATAGACATTATTGTCTAATTCCTTGAATAGGTTAATATTGTTTCCTGCTTTTAGGCTTGCTCAAATTAGAAATCAAAATGCATTTATTTTGACAGAATATGTAAATTTCTAATTGCACCCATAAAAAACCCAAGGCATTTGTTTCCTTTCTTCTCATGCACACACACCTTTCACATATAGTAGACATGGGGAAGATGTGCCTTTCCTGGTGTTGCTGGGCTATAATTTCCATCATCACTGAGCACTGGCCATGCTGGGTGAGACTGATGTGCGTTGGGGGGTTTAACAACATCTGGAGGATCCCTGGTATATAAGCTGCAGAAGCCTCCCAAAACTTGGTGCCCTCCAGGTGTTTTGGGCTGCCACTTCCATCAGCCTCAGCCAGCAAAGCCAATAGTCAAAGATAATGAACTGCAAGTTGGAGATGGTCGATATAGGTAAAGTAAAGGGACCCCTGGCCATTAGGGTCCAGTCGTGGCCGACTCTGGGGTTGCAGCAATCATCTTGCTTTATTGGCCGAGGGAGCCGGCGTACAGCTTCCAGGTCATGTGGCCAGCATGACTAAGCCGTTTCTGGCGAACCAGAGCAGCGTACGGAAACGCCGTTTACCTTCTCACCAGAGTGGTACCTATTTATCTACTTGCACTTTGATGTGCTTTCAAACTGCTAGGTTGACAGGAGCAGGGACCGAGCAACACGAACTCACCCCATTGCAGGGATTCGAACCGCCAACCTTCTGATTGGCAAGTCCTAGGCTCTGTGGTTTAACCCACGGCGCCACCCGCATCCCTGGTCGATATATAGGCTGCATTTATTTGCATGGGAAGCTGCCTTAAACCAATTCAAACCACTGGTCCATCTAGCTCAGTATTATTTATATTGATTGGGAGCAGCAGTTCTCTGGGGTCTGAGACGGGCATTTTCCCAGCTTTACCATTAAATGCCAGAGATGAAATTTAGGATCTTTGCTCTAACACTGAGCTATGGCCCTTCCTATTATTTGGCAACTGTCTTTTGAACTGCATTGCGTGTACAAATGCAGCAGGCAGGACAGATAGTACAGCACAGAATGGCAACCCCCGAAGCTTTTAAATTGGTATCCATTTGCCTTAAATAGCCTTAACAATGTACCGTACATTTAACATATATTTAACATTAAATATTTACGGCTGTAGTCCTGCTTACACAGTGCAGTTGCTTAGATCCTAGCGACCTCTACAGCCACACTTAGAAGCCTCTCTAGGCACATTGAACAACAGGCTAGAAGTAAACCCACCATTCAAGTGGTGTGTATGTGTGTGTTTTTAAAGGCCAGCTCCACAATGAACCCCCCAAAAGGACGAGAAAAGAATAGAAAGGGCTCTGGAGCTGCAAGCCTCTGGAAATTCCAGAGCAGCAGCCACAATATGCCTTTCACAGCTACACAAACTGACCCAGCAACCCAACCTGTGAGAGTTGGGCAGACAGTCAACTTCAACAAGAGGCGCCCCTTCCAATGATCCCAATTGCTTAATGGGATTGCAGGAGCAACAGCGTCTTATTCTCTCCCCCGCCCGCCCTCCAAAAAAGAGGAGTTTGCAGAATTGTAGAGTTGGAAGGGACCACAAGGGTCATCTAGCTCAACCCCCCTGCACTGCAGGAATATTTTGCCCACAACCCCGAGACGAAGAGTCTCAGCTAGCAAGATTTCCAGCTTTCCATCTTGCACCCCATTTTTTGCAGTCCTACTTCTCCTTGGTATTCCAACTGGGGTGCCAATGGGGGACAGATATATATTGCATATAAATTCAATAAATAATAATATCTGTGAACTGCCCTGAGACCTCTGGGTATAGGGCAGTGTATAAATTCTAATAATAATAATAATTGGGGTGAAGGTATATATTGAATATAAATTCAATAAATAATATTTGTGAACTGCCCTGTGACCTCCGTGTATAGGGAGGTATATAAATTCAATCAATCAATCAATCAATCAATCAATATAAGCCCTGCCTGGAATAGTTGGTCACATGGTGCAACACACAACACAAACACACAATTTGAATGGCAATGTCCATCAACTTTGGGGGAGGGGCTGGCCCCTCAAATATTTTATTTGGGGAGGGGCGAAGGGGCCTTGGCTGCTCTGTATCCCATACCAGCAGGACTATTATGTGAGCGTCATCTGGGGGTGGTTTTCGAATAAGACCAACATGGTAACCTGTGATTTTTATTTTTATTTATTTATCTATGTGTGTGTGTCTACTACTCACTATCCCACGAATTCCTCAGCGAAGTCTAAGACGTTTCCCCAGCCAAGAAGGGAAGCCTCCCCTCAGAGCGCCCCCCCACCCACCGTAAACTATTTAAAAAGAACATTTTCCCGTCACGGGTGGGGAGAAGCTGCCGCTGCTTCTTTCTCGTCATAAAGGACCCCCCCCCCTCACACACCCCGACCCCTCCCTCCAGGGTCGCGGCCACGACGTCACACTCACTGTGTAGCCCGTGGAGAAACCGTTGGGAGGGGGAGGGGAAACCCAACGGCGGCGGCGGCAGCACCTTGACGACTCCTCACAACTCTCCCAATTCCCCTGGGCGTGCGAGAGAGCGCGGCTCGGAGTGACAGGCGGGTGAAAGAAAGAGGTTTGGCACCACAGGGGGACAAGGAGAGGCGGGGCTTGAGACTTCGGGCCAATCGCAGAGCGGAGGAGAGGGCTGGGGGCGGGGTCTCACCGGAGGTTTGAAAGGTGCGCCGCGTGAGGTTTCGCCCTCAGTGGCGGCAGGGCGTTGGCCGCTGCTCGCCAGCGGGAAAGGGGGAGTTTTGTTGGCCGCGTGTCTCAGGCGCAAGAGAGCCGTGGTCTCTCTCTCTCTCTCTCCATGGTTTAACCCTTTGTAAAGAAACGGGAATGCGAAACACGTGTCTCTCCTTTCTGAAGTGCCCCGCCTTTGGGAGCTTCTGCGCTCCTGTTCCTTCAACCGGCACAGGACGCCCGTCTGTCATCATCCTCTTGTCTATCAGATCCGGAACGAAATGTCTCAACTGTTTGTAGAGTTGGAAGGGACCCAAGGGTCATCTAGTCCAACCCCCTGCCATGCAGGAATCTCAGCTAAAGCATCCATGGCAGATGGCCATTTAAATCGCTTTCTTTTGACCCCAAGTGCTCAGGAAAATCTGTCAGAATCTTTCTACAATGTCTACTTCTAGTTAAGTATTTTTATTTATTTACTTGATTTTTTTGGGGGGGGGTAAGCGGCTCCCCCCAGCAACGACCAATGTTGCTAGGTCATCTGGCCTCGTTTTGCAAGGCCCCCACCACCCCATTTTGTGTGCGCACGTGCAAATACATTTATAATTATATATATAATATAAATGTGTATTCTTTGCTACCAGCCATTAGGGGACAGTGCACTTGGGTTTATGGATACTAAACCTGGGGACAGGGTGTTAGTGAGAAATAGCCCCCAGTAGTCCCATTGCATGCTCAGTGGGCACATCATGGCTGTCTGACTCTTGAGGTGGGGAAATCAAGATTTTACTATACAGTACTGAAGGGTATCTCAATGTGTAAGTAAAGGGACCCCTGACCATTAGGTCCAGTTGTGGCCGACTCTGGTGTTGCGGCGCTCATCTCGCTTTATTGGCCGAGGGAGCCGGCGTACAGCTTCCAGGTCATGTGGCCAGCATGACTAAGCCGCTTCTGGCGAACCAGAGCAGCGCACAGAAATGCCGTTTACCTTCCTGCCGGAGCCGTACCTATTTATCTACTTGCACTTTGACGTGCTTTTGAACTGCTAGGTTGGCAGGAGCAGGGACCGAGCAACGGGAGCTTACCCCGTTGCGGGGATTTGAACCGTCGACCTTCTGATCGGCAAGTCCTAGGCTCCGTGGTTTAACCCACAGTGCCACCCGCATCCCTATCTCAATGTGTACATGCCATCTATTTAAAGTGCATGACTCCCCCCAAATATTCTTGGGAACTGTAGTTTAAGAATGCTGGGAATCATAGCTCTGATATGTAAACTAAAGTTCCCAAGGTTCAAAAAGGTGTACCAGACTGCCTCTTCTGGGGTCTGGAATATGCTACAACATTTTGCTGCAGTTTCCACTTGTGTATGCATAATACATACCCCCAACACACACACAACACAATAACAAAAAATCAACAATATATCCAGCTGGGCATACAAAACCTAAACATATTAAATAATGACACCCAGTTTAAAATCACAACCATATTTCTCTAGATAGTGTGGTGAGAGATACAGTTTAGCTTCAGATTTACAGGTATGTGCTATTTTTCTTCAATAACTAAATCCCAATGGATTTTTTACGCCATAAGGGTATAGTCCTTTTTAAAAAAACAATTTTCACTATTTTGCTATAGGGATCCTGGCAGCACCCATGTCACAAGTTTCTTTTGGCAAAATGTATTCATGGTGTATGCCCTCTTATTTAGTAGGGATAACTGGGGAGAAAAATTGAATATGTGTTTTAACAATCTTCCATATTTCCTGAATAACTTCATTCCAGAATAAAGCAACCGGTAGGAATCCCTGTCACCATTCATCCTACAGTTTGGTGATGTATTGGAAGTAATATTTGGAAGTGCACAATATTTATAAAGAGGTAGTGGGCTTTGGGTTTGCTTTGTCATGAAAGGAGTCTTGAAGGATCTTGAAACAACAACAAAAAGTTGTTGGTATTCTCTTTAGCATTTATATAGCAATATGGGAAGTAGACTAAACTTAGACCTGCTGTATTATATGGTCCCAGATAATTTGCCATTATTGTAACTTCAGCTCCCCGTCTGTTAAGGGGGGAAAGCAACAAACAATCTTGGAACTAGCATTGGAAGTGACCCTAAAGGTCACCTTGTCTTCAATATACCACTTCAGACTGTAATGAGGCTGAGCACAAATACAAACTTTTAGAAGTCCTAGGAAAACAACATGAGTAAAATTCTGGGTTTTAGCTCTTTAAATAAACCACACACTTTTTCTACTAAAACATACAAAATACTATACAGAAGTTTAAAAACAAGGAGAGAACTGTAAAAGGCAGAAAGTAAGAGGCTGTAAATTAAGTTTAAATGCTATTTTTCATAGTAAATGGAAACATTGAAATTTCTGGCTTTTAGGAGCTTAATACCCTGGCTCCCCTTTTCTTGCAACTACAGATTCCCTTATTAATCAGCTGCACTTCCAATTTAAAACCCTCCCTTTAGATCCACAGTCTTCACCTATTTAGGAAAGCCTAAAAAGACCTACCTAATCCTGAGAGAAAAAAGAGACGACTCATCTTCTGTCTGAAAAATGCAGTTTTAAATTGCTGTCACAGGTGTCAGGTCTCCTGTTTGTCTTGCTTTATAATTTTGCAACGTTGCAGCACTTATCTCACAAACTTCCTACTAGTACACAGTAATTAAAAGCATATTAGTCTGCTTCAGGTGAAAAGCTTCTAGCAGTCCTAGAGTTCATAAGCCTGAGACACAATAAAAATCCAAATGTTTTATATATGTGGCACAATCAAAGCTCAAGTAGAGTATTAAACATTGGTCATAGGACCCGTTTGGAGAAAGATATTTTCCTCCTCCTCCTCACCCGAGAAACTAACTTTGCGCTTGCTCCACTCTGTTCTCATAGTGTTTAAAATACAAAATTTGAAGATGGGCCATAGCACTTGGATACATTAATCACTTGAAGGGGGGAGGGTGAGTACAAAGGATCCTTGGCCCCAACATCCACATGCTGGGCATAGACACCTCTATAGGTCAGGGTGGAGAACCTGTGGCCATTCAGATATTGGATTACAACATCGGCCCAGTATACCTGAAGGAGCGTCTTCACCCCCGTCGTTCAGCCCAGACACTGAGGTCCAGCTCCGAGGGCCTTCTGGCAGTTCCTTCATTGCAAAACTAAGGTTACAGGGAACCAGGCAGAGGCCCTTCTCAGTAGCGGTGCCCGCCCTGTGGAACACTCTCCCACCAGATGTCAAGAAAATAAACAACTATCTGATTTTTAGAAGACATCTGAAGGCAGCCCCGTTTAGGGAAGTTTTTAATGTTTGATGTTTTATTGTGTTTTTAATATCCTATTGGAAGCTTCCCAGAGTGGCTGGGGAGGACCGGCCAGATGGGCGGGGTATAAGTAATAAATTTTATTATTATTATAGCTAAGATTCCTGACCATTATGCTGGCAGGATCTGAAGCGAGTCCAACAAGATCTAGATGGCCACAGGTTCTATACTGAGAGAGCTCAAATATGCCATTTAGGTAAAGGTAAAGGTACCCCTGCCTGTACGGGCCAGTCGTGTCCGACTCTAGGGTTGCGTGCTCATCTCGCTCAAGAGGCCGTGAGCCGGCGCTGTCCGAAGACACTTCTGGGTCACGTGGCCAGCGTGACGAAGCTGCAGCTGGTGAGCCAGCACCAGCGCAGCACACGGAAACGCCGTTTACCTTCCCGCTATAAAGCGGTACCTATTTATCTACTTGCACTTAAGGGTGCTTTCGAACTGCTAGGTGGGCAGGAGCTGGGACTGAACGACGGGAGCTCACCCTGCTGCGGGGATTCGAACCGCCGACCATGCGATCAGCAAGTCCTAGGCACTGAGGTTTTACCCACAGTGCCACCCGCGTCCCTAATATGCCATTTAACTTGCATCAAACATTGATTCCCATTTTGAAGGAAACTAGTGGTTTGGAGGGGAGGGAGTTAATAGCTCTTCCTTTCCTTCTATATATGTATTTATTTACACAGTACTTTTTGTCTGTATAATTCTAAGCACCATATCATGGGTTCCCTGGTGGTCTCCCATCTGGGCACCTCAGCAGACCTGCCAAGTGTCCCTATTTTCCAGGAACAGATTTACAGAAGCCATTGTGACACCTCCTACTACTGGCTCACTGGTCTCCAGAGTGCTAAAAGGCCTGGTGAGGTCCTATGGTTGGATCATTTTGTGTTTGTTACAGAAAGAAGATAGACATGTAAGTAAGATTTCTCTCAGCATCTGCATTCTGTGATGATAGTGAATTCCTCTTGAGCTTAGAGGCGTGAATGCCAAAATCAGTTTAGGGACGTAGATCAGGAGAGTACTAACTGTGGGCCCCATTTCTCACATTTTTCTCTTTCTTTTCTAGGCTTTCAAGGCTGAGAAAAGTGTTTTCCTGGTTGGGAAGGAGAAATAAGATTTCACCTCTCCATGAGACCTGCTCCTCACCCACAACCTCCTCCTCCGCCTTCCCCTTTGGACATAAAAGGTAAAACGCTTCTGCATATAGATGTTGCTTCCAGAGTAATATTAGTCCCTAAGTAAGGCTTCTTACGTGGGTGGCGCTGTGGGTAAAACCTCAGTGCCTAGGGCTTGCCGATCGTATGGTCGGTGGTTCGAATCCCCGCGGCGGGGTAAGCTCCCGTCTTTCGGTCCCAGCTTCTGCCCACCTAGCAGTTCGAAAGCACCCTAAGTGCAAGTAGATAAATAGGTACTGCTTTCTAGCGGGAAGGTAAACAGCGTTTCCGTGTGCTGCGCTGGTGCCGGCTCGCCAGAGCAGCTTCGTCACGCTGGCCACGTGACCCGGAAGTGTCTCCGGACAGCGCTGGCGCCCAGCCTCTTAAGTGAGATGGGCGCACAACCCTAGAGTCGGACACGACTGGCCTGTACGGGCAGGGGTACCTTTACCTAAGGTTTCTTAGCAAAGGTCTCTCTGTAACTGTCTGAGTCCTGTTTCGAGGCTCAGAAAATAAACATATCCCATGTGACTCTTTGTTTCCCTGTAGGCTCTGCAGACCTCCTGCCAGCCAGAACTGAAAACCCCAGGAAAACATGAAGGCAATGTCTATTTCCAAGGATAAGTTCAGGGTATATAAGAAAGTCCCTAAAACAGTTATAATTGCTAGCCTTCTCTTCTTTTCCATTGAGATGACATAATATCTGAAGACCTGGAGGGAGAGCAGGGGCAGGACAGCTTTTATACTAACACCATGAACCACAGAACCTAAACATGGAGTTTGCCCTCACTCTCTACCAATGCTGGGCAGAGCTCCACCATGGAACGAACCTCGCCATTTCCCCAGTGAGCGTGTCTCTTTCTTTGGGGCTCAAGGAAGCCCATTGGCTCAGCTGCATCATGCTCTGGTATACAGCACTCATGGTAAGGCAACCTTCTGAGAAACAGCTTTTCGGTGAGCAGTGCATGCTGTCGTGAACTTCACCTTACAGTTTGGACTGCCTTTCCTCTGAGATGCCGAGGAAGCTGCCCTCCTGGGGCACCAGGGCTGCCTGGGTCACAGCGGGGTCTGGAGAGCCAGACTCCGCATAGCCCAGCAGGAGCGGGGACGAGGGAAGCGCCGGGCATGTCCTCTATGGGGGGGTCTTACAAGCCCAACTGGGGAGAATTTAACATTTTTAAAGCAAATGTCCTGGATTTGGGGTTTGGTTCAGGCCCTGACTCGGCAGCAGTGGAGGGTCTATCGGGAGACTTCGTATGTCTTGAAAATTGGCAACCCCAGATGTTTTGCTTCCTTGATTCTCAAGACAATACAAACTGATTGTATCGCACACTCTTTTGCACTGACACGCTTTAAGACATTGCTATGTATAAATATGCTATTAAGCTAGAGCAACTGTTCACTCATCTGATGAAACCTTTTAAAATAATTGTTGTTTAAGCCTAAGCAATCACCTAGCATAATTACTTTTATTTTAAATTGTAATCTTACAATTCCTAAGTTATTCCTTATAACAGAAGGCGATGGGTTATCGAGTAAAGCTATCAGAGTGCAACTCAAAGTAGAAATATTGCACAGCTGGGCTGGATGCAGATGACCACATCTAACACCACAGAAAACAGATGCCCAGTGTTTTTAGCGCAGGTAGCATATTTGATTAGACATATTTAACTGGTGGGCAGACAAGGCTGTTGTTTCAGAGGCTTCTTTCTTTGCATGTCTTGTTGAGATCCTAAAATGTCTGTCCAACAGTTGCTTGAAAAGCTTTGAGAGATTGAAAGCGTAACTTGGTATTCATGAATTACAACTGACTTGATTTTCTTTAATGATACATTTCAAGGCAGCTACTTTTTATAAACTGCCAATCTGCCTAGGGACAGCAAATCAATGAGTAAAACGAGTGGTTGCATTGCACAAACACACTGTATCCTAACAGCGATCTCCGGATCATTAGATTTGTATAGTATTTTCCACTAGTGCTAACGTAGCTGACTTGAGAAATTCTAAAGTAAAATTTTCCACCATTTTTTAAAAGTAGCTGTCAGGGCTGCCTCAAGTCTCAGCTCACAAAAGACCAACGCCTATCTCTTCTTATATACAAAAGTGTTTATTGCAGTTCATTGTTTGCTTCACATCCGAGGCGCGCAACCCTACGTCTCCTACGCTTAGACCGCTGAAGTCCCCTCTGAGTCAGTCCCTCCCCTGCACCAATTTAAGAGGCTTGCGCTGCTCCACCTCTTTCTCTCTTTCCTTTTCCGCAGGGTCTTTCTGCCCGCTGGGGTTTCGCCCCTCCTGGATTCCTCTGACGCGGAATCAGACTGCTCTTGCCCCCTCCTGCGGGCTTTGGGACCTGGCCCCTCCTCCGGGCTCCCTGTACTTCCGCGCGCCTCTACATTTGAACCTGATGCGCGCGCCCAACCTCTAACCTTCCTTTTAACAGCTACACTACTCCCTTCACTACTCCCCTCCCCTTCCGGGAGGGTGGCTTGCTCCGACCTCCCTCCTTTCTCTGCTGCCGGAGCCGCTTCCCCTGATACACTGAAACCTCCACCCCCTTCGCTGCACTCTGGCAGGGAGGCTGGTCCTGACGCCCAGCTGCCACTCTGGGATCCCCCGCTGGCCCCCTGCTCCTGACACGTCCCCCCTGGGGCTCCCCTGGCCTTGACCACCGGCGCCCCCTTCTGGGAATCCTCTGATTCGCTGGAAAGACTCATGGAATCTCTTGAGTCATTGTCATCCTCTTCCTCGCTGGCCTGGGATTCATCCCCATCGCTCTCCATCTCCTGCCTACCCTGTGCCTCTGTCCCTGAATCCCTGACAGTAGCATAATACACTGAGACTTAAAAAAAAAAAAAATACTGCAAGATCTTGTGTAATATCTTCAGATGCTCAAAAACAAAAAAACCCCTTCTTTCCCCTGCCCTTCCTGGAAGGCATGAAGGCAAGAAGTGGTGTCTGGTGAAGCAAATTGTGCAACATTTCAAAGCAGTATTGCCATTGAGAAAATGGCAAAATGTTTTCAGTGGAAGGGAGAGAGAAAAGAAAGAAAAATACACCACTGCTGGCCCCCTTTCCCTTCATAAGAAAATTCTGTAACTAACAGTCCACCTTCAGTGCAAGCCTTCCACATGAACTATTTTTGGAAGTTCATAGTTTCATGTGATTGGAGGGGGGGAATAGTAATTCAGTAGCTTCTAATTTAGAAATTGAAATGATGATTTTGTTTAAGCAAGCAATACAATCACTTGAAAGGAACGGGGTTTTTTTCTGCCAGGGATCAAATCTAAAGGGTTCAGGACCATCCACATATGCAATAGGGCTAAGTAACTGCTGCAAGTAACACCTAAGTCAAAAGCTGCTGTTCAGCTTAAAAACACAACTTGTCTTGGTCAGTGCCAACTGCTACATCAGAGTGGGGAACCAGCATAGGTCCCAATTTGGCCTGCAGAACCATTTCCCTCAAATCCTGTGACCCACACCTGATGTCATATGTGATGTTAGGTGTGGGGCAGGCAGAGACTGGGCAGGAGAGAGCTGCAGAACCAAGTTCCTTATGGAAAGTTTGTGCAGCAGAACCCTGTGGAAAGCAGGGTTGAAGTCACCACTCATCAGCTGCGTGACTGAGTTTCCCATGGGAAATTTGACTGCACAGCCAATCCTTACAGAAAGCAGCTCTGCTAAACATAGGGATTGCAAAGCCCCTTGCACTGCACAGACACACCAAAACAGCAAGCAAAACTCCTGTTGCATGATGCTGTCTCATACATAGGCAGGCCCCTTCTCTGGATCCAAGCCTTGATGTTTCACGTTCGATATTCCTAGATTCCCAACTTCCCATCAGCCTCAGCTAGGTGTGGGCCATTTTCCAATGCTCAGGGATGGGGAGTTTTAGCTGAAACCTACAAGCTCCATGGGACGCGGGTGGCGCTGAGGATTAAACCACAGAGCCTAGGACTTGCTGATCAGAAGGTCGGTGGTTCGAATCCCATGACGAGGTGAGCTCCTGTTGCTTGGTCCCAGCTCCTGCCAACCTAGCAGTTCGAAAGCACGTCAAAGTGCAAGTAGATAAATAAGTACCGTTCTGGTGGGAAGGTAAACGGTGTTTCCGTGCGCTGCTCTGGTTTGCCAGAAGCAGCTTAGTCATGCTGGCCACATGACCCGGAAGCTGTACGCTGGCTCCCTCGGCCAATAAAGCGAGATGAGCGCCGCAACCCCAGAGTCGGTAATGACTTGACCTAATGGTCAGGGGTCCCTTTACTTTTACCTTTACAGGCTCCATACAGGACAGCAAGACTTTTGTTCAGCCAGAACTCACTGTAACCCAGTTCCAACACCTCTCAGGTGGGCACCATTGTCATAAGAAAATAAGGGAGGCGTTCATGGTGAGTTCTGACACCTCTTTTTCTAGAATATGCATGATAACATTCTTAATGACCACAGTAGCTGAAGAAGCCACCAGCAAGCACCTCTTGAAACAGCACCAAGAAAGAGTCTCATTACCTCCGAACACTCCTTGGTGCCCACAGAAGATGCACTAAGGAGGTGCCCAGATAAGCACAGGTTACAGATGTAAAGTTTCCTCACTCCCATCACTCTTGTCTTTTCAACATCTTGAAAGTCTAAGCTGTGAACAAGAATTTAGCAATTACGCTCATGTAAGGAAGAAATTTCTTTAACGTTAATCATCATACACCCTCTTATTAAATGGTTATGTTGGAAAACAGCCAAGCACCTTAGGCTTTCTGCACAGTTTCTGGGTTCCACCTTGCTAAATGAAAGTGCTGTTCCTCCCAAACAGAAGCAAGATCCAATCTTCTGGCCTGCAGGTGCTAGATGGGACAGCGCACAGGCGCATGCAGAAGAATGGAAAATGAAGTAAACAAAGAATCTTCTGTACTTCATAGTATTTTGTAGTCCCATTCATATAGGAGATTTTGCCCAAGAATTCTGCTAATCGACATTGCATTGAGAGGAACAAACATGCATACACAGGAAATGCCTTTACACGTGTGAAGAAAAACCTGGTTTACATCATACACATAGCGTACGTATTTTAAGGCAGCATGGCTTTTAATGAATTTTAACTTGACATTGGAGATTTTAACTTTGTCTTGGTATTTAATGTTTTCTCTTACTGTGCCAGTTCATTGATTTTTGTTCTTCCTTTTCTTGTAAAGTGCCTTGTTACAGCCAAACAGTGGCATAAAATGTTTTAATAAATACTTTATATGCCGGTAAGTAAAGGTAAAGGGACCCCTGACCGTTAGGTCCAGTTGTGGACGACTCTGGGGTTGCACACTCATCTCGCTGAATAGGCCGAGGGAACTGGCGTTTGTCCACAGACAGCTTCTGGGTCATATGGCCAGCATGACTAAGCCACTTCTGGCGAACCAGAGCAGCGCACGGAAACGCCGTTTACCTTCCCGCTGGAGCAGTACCTATTTATCTACTTGCACTTTGACGTGCTTTCAAACTGCTACGTTGGCAGGAGCTGGGACTGAGCAACAGGCGCTCACCCCGTCACAGGGATTCAAACCTCTGACCTTCTGATCAACAAGCCCTAGGCTCTGTGGTTCAACCCACAGCGCCACCTGTGTCCCCATGGATCGTGGTGTCTAGCAAGCTGAAATGTTTGCACTGACAAGTTTTGCATCAGAAGAGTGTGACACTGAATTCCTTCCTCTGCTATCAGTCTGATGTGTTAACCACTCTTGGTACAAATTCATGATCATGTATGAAATCTATATTTCAGCAACAAATTGATTAGAAGGGTGGGAAAAAGTGCACACCTTACCAATCTTCAACATCATACCATGGTGTCCCCAGTTTGTGAATGAGCCAGATTGAGCACTGAACTAAGTATACCAAAAGATGAGTAGAATGATCCAGCTTAAACTGTTACACCCAATTTCAAGGAATTATGGTTTGTTTAAACTACGGTTTCATATCCTGGGCATTTGAAACGAACCACAATTCCTTGAGTTCAGGATGTAAGAAGGAACAGTGGTTAGTTTCAAACTCGGAAGTTGCATGCTTCAACCTCTTCACTAGGAGCACAAAAAAGAAAGGTGGGAGGGAATATATTAAATTGAGGGGACAGACATAACATGATTACCTTTAAAATGACCTTCATGCTAAGGAAAGAGTCTTCATAAAAAGTTCATAGCAACTATGGCATTTTGGAACAATGATTCTCTACACGACTTTTTATTTAGGCATTATGGGTGGGTACTAAATACATGACAATATTACAAAATTTGAGTTATTAGCTGAAGAGTATTCTTCACAAACACACTCATTCACCCATTTTCCTTGTAGAAGTGCAGAACTGTACACAATATTGGAATATTGGCATACTTAAAGTGCAACTTGTCAAAAGGTTTACTGAAAAATAATAGTACTTCTCAAAATATAAATTTCCATCTTAAATTTATTTTTTATTTTTTTAAAAAGTCTGAACTGCTGGTACCCTGAACTGTAAATTTTCAGTATGCTTGGCTGCCTTTGTGATTCAAATATAAAACTCAGAAACTGGAAAATTAGGGTTTGTCTCTTTAACGTTGAAATCATTTCCCCATATTTGTCTTTTGAATTAAAATGTGAAGGGCGACAGTGTTTAAAGAGGAAATGCTTTAATACATACATGAAATATAATCGTCACAGCACTCAAACTCATGATCTGCTCCAAAGTTCTGCAGGCTTTCTGTCCAACATAAGCATAACTTTCCATAACCCTAGCATGTATCATCCTTGTTGATGACTGTAATAGAAGCCCCACAAGGGACATAGGCCACTCTACAGGCCACTCCAAGCACTTATTTGCTGGTGCTACTTCCTTCACAAGCAGGGTATTAAAAGGCATGCCTTCCAGTCATGTGACTGCTTCATGGCACATGATAGAGCTATTGTCACCAAGTCACCCCATGGCCTGATCATTGTGTCTTAAAACATCAATTGATTCATGGGAATTTCAGAGGAAAAATGATTAAAATTCAATGTATCAAACAACTGTGCTAGTTCTTTGAAATGCCACTGTGCATTTCTTCTCCGCAATAGTAGCATATATGTTATTGCACAAATTTAAATGCAGGCTAAGTGCTTAGAAACCACCCCTCTGCTCCTTGCACAGAAATCTGCAAAAAAATACATTTAAAATCATATAAAATGTTACAAAATATTAAAATTAAAATGTTAAAGTATGCGTCCTGAGAATATTACAAAATTCATTATACAAGCCCTTCATTTTTGTTTTATTTACAGCATCCATTCCCAGACATATTTTTTTTTTTACAATTAGCATTGTATTGACACTGTTCCCACCCCCCAATATTATAGCAAAAAGTATATTATTTGCATTTGAGTAACCAGTCTCTTATCTAGTTTACATACTTTTCTACACTTCTAAAATGAAAGAGTAACCCCAGAATAGTTGTTTTAGCACATAGAAAACGTTGAAGGCTTTGTGCATTTCTATATTTTGGTCAAAACAGTTAGTGTATACACTTTTTACATTTTGGCAAAAGAAATGTGAAAATCTTATTTCAATATACTTTGATTTCCCCCATTATAAATCTATAGTATATTTCATACCCCAGATTAGTCATTTTCTTTTGCAGTATTTTCTAAATTTGCTTCAGAAAGGCAGTTACAAGGTAAACACTATGATCTAAGTGCTGGGGAGAGAACAGCATCTTTGGGCTAAATGAAAACAAATTCACCAGAAAGAGTAAATCGCATTATTTGTCTATTTCCTGAAACACTCAGTGTTTTACAAAAGAACAATTCGCATTCAGCATCCTTATCAGCACATTCCTATGGTTCATTTCATCAACACTAAAGGTTCATGTATTGTTTTCTTTAAATATAATTCTTAAACAGTTTTATGAGAGAGATAATCACATAATATTTGCATATTTTTAAACAGGGCTTAGATAAAAATATATATTCTGTATGTCTCTTGGTTTAAGGAAAAGACTGCCATCCTGATAGCAGCCGTTCAAGCATGGAAAGTTCCGACACAAAGTCTACCCTTCAATTCTTAGCTCTGCATACAGAGTTCAAATTGCAACAATGATCAACTTGGATTCCAGGGATTAGGTAGCAGCGGTGGCTCAACTCTCAAGAGGTGCTTATTTTAGACAAGTACAACCCATACTCATAGCTAGCTAGGAGGAGGAATTTGGCAACAGATAGTTGTATTTATCAGGCTAACATCATAAGGCTTCGTTATGGTATGGGTCTTTAGAGAAGAATAAATGAAAAAAAGACCACGTTCACCTACAAATTAAAAACACAGCAACGTACATAAAAAACTTCAGCAACATACATATTTTAAACATTTACTGAATGATCGCATATGGTTTAGGCAAAACCAGAAGGAACTTATTAAATCCTTAAGGCATCAGTGCATTGAGGACTGAAGCGCCAAGAAATAAATATAAACATCGAAAAATGTTATTGTGGTGTTATCTGTACAATCATCAACATACTTTACATACAATTGTTACCCACTTATAAAATATATTTCAGTATTAACACCATACTAGAGCATGAATTTCACATCACTTTTCAATACTTCACTGAGTGAGCTAAATCGATCTGGCAAGATTCTCATCTTTACTGTCCCATCAGCTCCACATGAGAATATGTGATTTGCTGGTCCTGTCTCAATCTGCATGACACCCGTCCCAAGATTTCTGAAAATAGACTGTCGAGAATGTTCATTGATGAAAGTGTGAAGAAGACCAAAGTTAGATAGACTCCATACCTAAAAACAAAAAGAAAAATATTTCAATATGTGGGTTTGTTTTTGCTATTACAAGGACAATACTGTTTGCTTAATCCATTATCTCGTACTAAAATTACTTCATCAATACTGTAACTTTGGTTATTGTGTTTTTTAAATATATTTTATTTTATGGTTTGTACTGCAAGCCTACTTAAACTTCTACAAAGAAAGGCAGGGCATAAATATTTTAAATAAAAATGAATTTATAGTTAAGACAATACTAAATAGTCTTAGGTTTAAGGAAAAAGCAGAAGAGAACGAAACATGAAAGTCCTACTCAATATAATTCTTAGGCAATGCTCTAATGAAAGTGTAATAAATTTATATTTATCAAAGTCTTAAAAAATGGAATTTTACAATGTGTTACCTTTATGTTTCCTTCAGCAGATCCTGTGACAAAATATTCTTCTGTAGGATCCACAGCAATTGCTTTAACTGGAGAATCATGACTCTGGAAAAATTGTCGTTGTTGCTTTTGCCGAAGATCTATTAAACAGGTATAGCCTTTTCTGCCACCTGATATTAATAGCTGGTGTTTCGGGGCGTATGCTAAGACAGTTGCTCCAGTATCATGACAAGTAAAGGCTAAAATCCAAATCAATAAAATAAAATTAGTATTAGTATTTTTATTTGCAGTCTTGTATAAAGCTTTGTGTAACAACAATAGTGCACATGAACTGCAATATGAAACCTAGGTTTTATAGTGCTTAACTCAAGTCCAAAGAAACTAAAATGTTACTGATTCTCCTGTTGGCTCTCATGCACGTGGTTCAGAGATTTCTCCTCCCTAAGCAAATGACTACGAGGAACCACTTAAATCAAGAAATTTGCCCTCTATTAATAATGCACGTATTCAACAAGATGTTGCCAATAAGCTCTAGCACAAGTTCCAATAATCTATTGGTCAGTTGATTGCATGTAAAATGAATAGTGATTTGTGAGGATTTGTGAGGAACAAGAATGTAAATCTAGACCACAGTATTTGTTTTGCAGAAGCTCAATAAAGAATGTAGTGAACTTTAAGGGAAACATAACAATTATCTGAAATGTAAAAGCTCTACCTACATATAAATATGTAGTTTTAAATTGTTTGTATGTATGCATTAAACTTACCATGCACTAAGCTACTAGAATGTGCAACCAGAGTATCCCACAGACAAATATTTCTAAAAAAGAGAAAGATAAAAATAATCAAATAAACTTTTCTGAATTGCACTTGCTGGTGCCCTCCCTTTTTATACACATCAAATAGTGCTTGTGTGTATACAGTGTGTCTACTTCACTATATCAGGATAACGCTTCCTGCATTGGATAAAATGGACTGCCTATCTGCAGCCCCTGAAAGATTGCCTCTGAGGGAATGACACTGTTGCAATAATAATTAAGTTCTACTCCAAGTAGACCCACTGAAATTCATGGCTATAATTTTGATGCATTAATTTTAATGGGTCTGCTGCGTTTGGTGGTTTTATGCTTGTAGAAATCATTTGTGCAAGGCAGGATAATGCATTTTTGCCAATTCTCTCCTACCTACTGTAGTTTCCTGTACACTCCGATAAGCTGGTCTCAAGGACTGGAGGGCCCTCCTAAGTAGTGTGAAATATGGGGTCGAGGACTTGCAGAGGGTTGGTGGAACTGGTGAAATTCAGGTGTCCCACCTTGTGCGAGCAGAAGCACTTTCCCCTACTGCAAGCCACCACTGGCACAACCCAACATAAAAAGTACTTTCTTCATTTGCACTCAGTTTACCACTGTGATCTTGGAACAAGTTTAAGTACCTGTTGTCAGTAGACTGCCCAGCTGTGGCTATCAAAGATGAAGAGCTGATGAAAACGAAGTCACTGGCTGTTTTGTTATGGCACTGCCACGTCTGAAAATTGTAACGGGCATGTAAAGATTGGAAATAAAATTAATATATAATTTGATCTTATAAACAGTAACATGTATGAGATTGTCTAAGGGCTTTCCACTGTCATAGTAAAAACCTGAATTTGGCCCAGTAACAAATCCTCAGCCAGTATGGCAGGAGTGTTAAATGCTGATAAGATCTCGCATCTGTCAGCAACCATGCAGCATGCAGCCTTCTGCTCTAACTGCAGTTTCTGGGGCAAGTGCAAGGGAACCGTAACATTCATAGTGCATTGCATTAATCCCATCTTGAAGTCCCAATGCCACAACTATTGTGGTCAAGATCTCCCAGTCCAGGAGTAGTCACATCTATCATACCAGCCAAAGCTGGTAAGGTGTTTTTTTTGTTTTGTTTTGCTTTTACTTCTTTTCATTGAACAGAAGGTCCCTAAAACCATATCATAGCATACTTTTAGAAAGTCCCCGTTTCAGAAGTGGTTTGCCATTTGGCTTGTGGGTTTTTGTTAGAGAAGAAGAACGAGCACAAAACCTGCAATTTTTCAACCAAGTATATTTAACAATAGATGTCTAATGTCTTACAACAATTAAAATACAGCTTTTCAATGTCATGGTGCTATCAAACAAAAGCAAGTTGGGGGGGACTTTTTAGGCTCACCAAATATGGTTTGGGTGTGCTTCCATTAAGTAGAGACGTTTTCCAGTTCGTTTGATACAGACTTATAAACCCATCACCATCAACGATCCCAAACTGGGGGGGAAAAGCAAAATTAAGAATATGAATATATATGCAGTTCCAACATATATTGTTTGTGTTTGTGTGTTTATATATTGTCCATACATTTAAACTTATTGTATCCTAAACATTTAAACCTGTGGTTCCCAATGTGGGGCACACACCACACAGGGGGGCCACTTGATTTTTAAGGGGGGCAATTCGAGAATGAGTTATTAACAGTGAATGGCCTTTTAGGCTTCCTCCACATGAATAGGACTTCACTTTTTGAATAATAAGAATTATATGTCACGGGGGGAGGGGTGGATCAGGATTTTAGAGATTATTAGGTGGGACATGGCCCAAAAAAGGTTGGGAACTACTGAGTTAAACTTATTGTATCCTAAGCTACTGGAAGGTGCAACCAGAGCATTTCATAGAAACACATTTCTTTTTTAAAAAAATCTCTATGAGATGCAAAAGGGATGCTACCTTATTGCCTTGATAATTGAATCTCATCCGTGTAATCCTGGAGTTGCCACCAGACCGGAAACATGTAATTTGCTGAGAATGGCCCCACTCAAACATTCTCACACTGCCATCCTGAGCACCTGTCAAATCTGGAATAAAAAATAATCCATAAAACTTCAACACTTCTTTAAAACTAAAGTATAGTTAAAATAGCCAAAAAATAGATTCAATCTGAATTAAGAATTACAACCGCCTACAAGTATGCTGGTTTTTTTCTCCATCTTTTTAAACAAGGGGCACTTTTCCTCCCTGGATATTTTCAAACATTTTCCCCATACGCTGCATAATAAATTGGGACTATTGCAAACATCAAAATGGCCTAGAAATATTAAACTTACAGTAAGGTAGTGTTGGATGGGAAGCCATTCTTCGAACATTATTGATAGCCTTCTTGATCATCTGTTAGATGTGCAAAAATAAATAGGTAAGATGCAAAATTGATCAGAAGCCTTTAAAAGTAATTAGTGATGTAAAATGCAGACGCTACTAAGTTTGTTTACCTTCATGAATTTGGGGCTGAAATATGGATGGAAGTCAATGAAAGCTACATAATTCCCTCAGCATTAGTGCACACTGATATCAACAGAACATAACCCCTGAGTGTGGGAGCTTTCGTTCCACAGGACTAAGGGTCCCAATAGAGACACTCTAGGCTGCATTCTTACCTCTTTTCTTGCCAATTCCTTTCTGATTCCATTAAAATTATTGGAATATTCCTGTATATTGTAAGGTAAGTAAGACAGAGGTAGAAGCAGAAGCATGTAAGAGAGAGGCAAACAAACTTTTACAGAAGTTAACTAGGAATGAAGAACATTATGTTTTGCATTTAATCAATCACAGAAAATTTAGTTGTGACTTATTTGCATTAACTGGAAAATTATGTATCTAAGTAGCCTTCGGTTAAAGAGCATGTATTACAGCAGTTAGTAAGGTATTGACACAGCTATGTGGCACATTCATAAAGCCTAATTTTTAAGGAATTTCCTAAATACTCCTGCAGCTTCTCCTTTCACACTTAATTTGTCTCCCCTGCCCCCATTACTTTTACATATGCTTCTTTCTTCATTTCTTATCCCCATCTTCTCTACTCCAAGTTTATTTTTTAATATTAACCTTTTATCTCCTTATTTCCCATCAGTACCCACTTTGCCTCTTTGCCCCTCAGAAGAGGGAGGAGAAGCATTCTGATTTGGTAAGTGATTAGCAGGAAGGATGGGAGAACTGGAGTGTGGATGTGGGATTTGGAAGGGCCAGAAGATGCAGGAGCAAGCCCCAAATGTTTCCTTCTCCCTCAGTTCATCCATTCATTCCTCCTCCTTTTCTCATATTTGGCTGGGCACTCTGTCCTCCTCTCTCTCTCTCTCTCTCTTGCTCCTTTCCAACTTTGCATGGTACATCTCACTCTCCAACCCCCTCTTGCTTCTGTGTGTGCTTATGCACTCAACGGTGCATGTGAGCAGCTACTGGGAATGGTGTCAGTCCCACGAAAAGGCTATGAAGCCCACGGGTGGTCCCTTGCCCACAGTTTGAGAAAAAATGTAGAACAAAAACAGAGTTTAAATTATGTCAAAAAGGCAGACACATTAAGGAAAGTGTTTCATCCACCAATGTCATTTGAACGAGGCATTATTCCATAGCTAGCAGTGCCTATTTCTAGGTAAAAGATTAGGTAAAACAAAACATGTACACATCCAGCTTTGCTGAATACCGCACACTTGCTTTGGTCTTCCTAGTGTAACAGCTGAAGGGAGTACTCAAAATTCCTTCTACGTGGATGTGTAAGTTGCGCCAATACTTTAGCATGGGCAATTTGCCCAAGTTCTCCCTTTGGATGTTACATAAAAACCATAAATTTGAAGTAAGAATTCAACCTTGCAGCAAAAGAAGATATATGATAATTACAATGCATAGGATCACAGCCTTGCTACTGTCTGAGCAATTACTATCTTCCTACAGTATCACTGGGCTCAAATATACACGCCTTAGAGATTATTTGAGATCTTAGTGTAATCCATTTTACTTTTGCTCTATTTTCTCTACTTTTTGCAAAGGCAAAAATGACTGAGCATGGATACAAAAATCAAAACCAAGGATACATATAGAACCCTTTCAAGCAGTTATTTTAAGTAACTAGTTCCAATATTTTATAAACTGAAGCTAATCCCTGATAGTTGTATCAAGTTTTATTTATTTTGCTTTGTGTTTGGCAACTTTAACTCACTAACTGCAGATAAACCTGCCATTTTTCCTCCATCAGGAAATAAAGGGCATGAATGAGATTTGTAAAATATATCCAGTGCCCAACATCTTCTGGACCAATATACACATAATAGCTCATGCATGTTTCTTTAAAAGAATCATCAACTGAAGAGATTAAAATACAAAAACAAGTGAGCTTTCCTAATGTAATAGCAAGCAGCTTGCACAGCCTCAGATTCCTACTAGCAGAGCTGATGTGAAAACTCAGAACTGGTGAGGATTTAAAACGTTGGGGAGTAAAAGTAGAGAGATGTTTTCAGAAGTGTTCTCTTCTGAGGAAAGTGTCAGAGCAGTTGGACCAGAACTAAAACTTCAGAATCGCTTTAGAGACAGCATGGAAAGGTAACCAAAGCTAAGGAAGAAGAGGTCCTAAGAGGCTGGGGAATCCAAGGGGATGTTGATGGAGTCAACAGTGGACTGAGTTACATTGGACCAAATGAAACACAGATGGAGAAAGAATCCTGAAGAAAATGCAAACAGAAAACGCACAACTGAGGACTCTAAGTGACTCTCAGTTTCAGCACTCCCACCCCACAGTAAGGGCACAGAAATACTTGCCCCTATTGTAAAGAGTTGTTGTAAGGGTTACAATTAGATGATGCATGTAAAGCATTTTGAAAGCTCTAAAAGGTACTATATTGATGCTGTTTTGTAATGAATTATTCTGCTTAAAGGAAATTGGGCTAGGCAGTAAATAAAACTAGCTGGGAGTAACAGTGGCTGTAGTAACAAAAGGGACAATTTTACAAGACACAGCTTTTCTATCATTGTAACACCATGATGGGAAGATCCACAGCTAGTAAATTCTCCCCAAGTACAAAGGTCATATCAAGAGCCAGACATGAAGATCAGTGAAACTCAAACAACAAAAAAGGAGAGCTCAATCATGTGTAAAATTTGAAATAAATGGCCAAGGAAGGAAGGCAAGGAAGTAAACCCTAGGCTGAACTCGGATTTCTCTCGATGTTTATCCTTTGCACAACATAATAAACTTCTGAATACTGGGCATCAGCACCAGGCTCTGCCTTTGCCTCACTTCTCCATCTCTGCCCTTTGAAAGGAACCGATGGCAAAAGAGGCAAACTGAGGAAACTTAGTATTAGCATGGTACCTTTTGGAAGGTTCAAAATGCTTCATGAATTTGTGTCACATTTTCAACCACCAAATATGGACAGATTAGTTTTATAATTTCTGTGCTACAATTAGGGATTGAGAATTCAACCAGCAACTTCTTAACTGATATATCATGCTCTTAGACAATGCACTATTACTAAACTTTGCTTTTTTTCCAACAGCGTTTGGATTGTCTGCACTGAAGAAAACTGTTAAATGTATGGATTCACACAGTATCAGAAGTGCTGAGAGTTTCTTAAGTAATTACTAATGTTTTAATCTTTAATAGCATTAGAAGTGTATATATTCTGAATATGATTTATAACACCTAATAAAACTTATATATTCAATATTAAGTGTGTAACAGTGTGTAATTCAAGGATTATTCTATCGCAGGTGACTCACCACAGCAGCACCTCTGCCAGTCTGGGTACTACCAAGCCAAGGCATGTTGATCGGAGTGCCAGGATTGCTGTGAGTATAAGGAGTAGTTCCCTGAATGTTTCCCAAGTCATCACGAGCATGGATAACCAAGAAATCATCAGCTCTATAAAGGAAAATGTTCTAATGAGAATTTTATGTTGCAAGAAATGGCAGTTGTTCAGCCCATCTGCATCTACAAATTACAATGCAACATCTCTAAGTTAGGCTACTGTGAAATGGTAAGAGGGGGCTGTGTCAGGCTTCGGGGAATCAGCTTCCTCCCCCCCCCCGGTAGTAAATAAGAAGATCAAACGAAAGGAACGCCTTACCAATTAGAATATTTAATAACCACAGCAAGAGAACTAAGAACACATCTCCTAGAAATTGTAAGGATCACACACCCCTCTGTCCCTATTAATCTACATCACTCCTACATCTTGTAATCTGTGCTTGTACCCTCTGCGCTTTCTGTTCTGAGATTTTCTGAGCTCTTTGTGACCTTGGGGAGGGTGGTGAAGGAATGCTGCCCAATGACTGTGAATCTGTCAACCCTCTCTCTCCCAGGGTTGTTTCTTCTGCTAGCTGTTCCCATTCGTTATTTCCCAGCTTCTGCCTTCTGAGCTATGTCCCTCTGCAAACCACTGTTCCAAATCTATACTGTCTTCCTGCTCCTGGAAAGGTTCAGGAGCAGGGGGAGGGGGTGGCTCCCACCATTTCTCCTCAGTGCAGCCCTCCTCAGCATGGTCCCTGACAGTCTGCAGGGTCTGGCCAATGGTCCATCTGGTCCAGCATCCTGTTAACATAATGCCGTTAACCAGATGCCTGCTTATACTTGGCTCTTTGAGTTCAGAACTAAGGTGACCATATAACCACTTCAGTGTCTGGGTCAAAGCAGGCCAGTCTTTTGAGACAGCATGACAGCTAAGCCAACAGCTGCCAAGGAGGGGAAAATGATTGCTTTTGTCAACACAGGTGGACTGTAAAACCACAGCAAATAAGGGTAACAGAAAGGTGGCGCTAACATTGGGGGAAAGGTGGTCTGGGAACTGAAGCAAACAGAGAGGGGGAAAGTCCAAGGCTGAGGAGATAAAGAAAATCAGGATGGAGATCCCATAATATTCTTAGATAAATGTTTTAATAACTTTTTAAAAACTAGTTGGATTAAGAAATTAACAGTCTATCATGTATTATTATTATTATTATTATTATTATTATTATTAATTTCATTTCTATAGCGCTTTATATTTTTAAGAAAAAAATAAATTCATGTACAGAAGCCAATGTTAGGAGATACAGCCAACAAATGAAAAAATATACCCTTTAGCTTCCACTTCTACATCATCATCAACCCAAGTGTAGATCTGTGTAGCAAGAATTCCAGAAACATCTAGTTCTTGAACATCGTGACTTGAAGCTATTGCAATACAATTCCTGTTGGCCTACAATATACAAGTGTAAGGGGAAAATAATAAGCACAGGACACCACCAGTTAACAATACCTTTAATTCCACTATTGCCTGTTCACCACTGAATACAAAAGCCCCATGGAAGCGTGAAGTTATGAGTGTGACAGGGTGTTTAAATGAATCCGCATTGGCAGAGCTCCACATAGCTTCATATCATTTGGGTCCCCAACCACACCAATCAACTACTCTTCTTTGGGTGGAAAGTGCAGAAGGTTAAAAATATAATATCCATGCTGCAGTCAGGTGCATCTGGTTCAGCAAGCTTGTTTCCAAAACTGACCAGCCAGATGCCCCAGGAAAACCATTATCAGGGCATGATTGAAAAAGCTATCTGCTATCAGTTTTTCAGTCAGTATTATTGCATTTCAAAGGTTCAACTGGATGAAAAGCTGCCCATATATATGACTTTTCATTTATGTTGTACCCACTCAGTTCCATTGCAACCATCTATTTATGTTGGTAGTAGACCAAAGTTTCTAGAACAGCAGAGTTACTGCAACAAAGATCACTGTGCCTTTTGTGCATGCAGAACACAACATAATATTGACTGTAGGAGAAATAAAAATGGTGTTATTACCTCTAGCTAAGGTCTGACTATTTTCTTTAAATATTACAATAGCTCTTCCTTCTTGTGAGCCTGAACTACAACATTCCAAAATATTCATTTTTTTAAAACACCCCATTTGTGTGCATACCTTGTTGACAGCAAAAGCAGTGATAATGTCAGACTCTTTATGGATAATTCTAGCTTTACTTCCAGGGTATCCCATATCAGTCTCTATCTGTATATAAAAGGGAAACAAAGAGAGAGGGGGTCACACACATACCCTTTTTTAATCAGTAAGATTTCTATCTTTCTAGCTCATGCTGAAATATAAAAGCTACATATTAATCAGGAAGAGTTCTGTGCTACTTGAAAGCATGTTACTTTTAATTAGTTCTAGATAGTCCAGTAAAAAAAGGTAAATTGTTATAAAAAATTAAAACACATTTTAAAAGGTGTAACAACTTTGCATCCTGTCTACTTTATAATCATTTATTGTCCCATCACTGTTATATTTAGTGCATAACCAGAAAACTAGAGAAAGAAAAGCAATTTCACAGAAAAACGAACCATGTCTACCTATGAAATATTTAAAATTGACTCGGTATCTACCATTTAATAGTTCAGAACCAGTCACAAATAATGTGAAATTTGTCAAGAGCAGCAATAACCATATGAACAATTCTACAAGTCAGAAGGTTATAGAGGGAAATCTTCTGTTTTTGTATGTTAGGCCTCTGTTACCAAGCACAGAAATACCAGTATACACATTACTTATGCACTTGTCTGACACATAGAAGTATCTATGAAGGTTTTACAGGTTGCTGGTTGTAGCCTTTAAACATAATTACAATTAAAGTCTGCATAGTTTATCAAATACAAATAAAATTAATCCACAAATCTGCAAGACTTGACACAGTTGACTCTGGGGGGGAAAATCACATACAAAGGAGACCAGACGATTGCTGGTATTAGTCCACTCTGTATCTTCCCAATCAATACCAATGAACCACATAATGTGTTACACAGTTAAAACACACACACACAAACAAACATTTTGAATGTAGGCTATAGTTTTCCCATATCACCATTTATTTTATTTCACATATACCTTATTGATTCCAGGCTCCTCCACTGAAGTACTTTTGATATGTTCGTTTTGGTCTTCTATTGACTACACCAGAAAAGAATAAATCACATGACAAAAGACAAGATGAGACTAACATGCAACTATGAGGCAAGGTTAACAATTACATAGTAGTTTTATGAATATGCAACAACATTTAACTTAGTGGAACAAAATTGTGGAATGCTGCAATAAACTTCTTTGAAGTACATTCTCCGAAGTACATCAGAAAGAGTTCTATACCTTAGATACTATGGTGAAGACTTAACTCTCAGTTCACAAATGGAAACTGGACAAACTATAATAAATGTATTTATGCCAGACAAATAATACTCTCATTATATTGTTCTCCAGCCAGTGAACTTTACTGCTTACATATTAAGCATATGCAACCTTTGTATTTGAGGAATGTGGTGCCTTGGAAACTAGAACAAGCTTGGATGGGGGTTGGGGAGGAGACCCTGTGAGTTCAAAAATTTGAGGAACACTGGCTTAAGAAAAGCCAAGTAATGTTATTAAATTTCTGTATAAAAACATACAATACATACCTCATTCAAGCACCTTTTCTTTGAAAATATGTTTCTGATGAAGGTTTCCTGGATCATTTCTTGTTTAACGAGGTATTGCCAAAGTCTCTTCACAGATAGTGCATTATTACTTTTAGACCTAAAAATGAAGAGAAACATGTTTCTAAGCATGCTGCAGTTTCAGAAGCTTTTTCTGTAAGCCCAGTTTAGTCCCACTACCTTTATAAATCTGGCAGAGGAGAATCCAAATTTGCTCATTGCTCAAATCAATGCCAGGGAGGACGCAGATGACCGCCAAAGAGAATCATTTTTTGCCAGCATGAAATTAATAATCATGTTAACCTATTCATATGGAGCCAAAGAACTAATCCCTCAGGTTTGTTTTGTTTCAAGGAAGCTAGGTTTGAAATTAAGATGACCCAGTCTGAGCAAGGAGTGCAGATGTCATCTGGAAAAGCAGCAGAGCATCTTAGCAAATTTTGATGAAGCACAACCAAAGGTAACAGAAAGAAGAAGAAAACGCTAAGTAATAGTGTAAAAGATAAAATAAAAGAGAAGAAACTGGATAAATAAAAATAAGGTGGGTGAAGAAGCTCTCTTATTTCCATAAAAGTCCTTATGTTTCCTTGCACATTAAGGTGAAACTTCCTCCAGAAAACAGCAAAAGGTATTTCATTAGATTTACTTACTTGTTTGTATTTGTAGTGTTTGGTTGTGGAGGACTGATGGAAAGGCACAACAATATATAACTTAAAGCAGCAGACGGGGTCAGAGCAAAAGTCAGGTTTGTCACCACCTACAGTCCACCCCAACTCCATGTTTATCCGCATGATTCATGTTTGCAAACTTGTGGTTGCTTTGCCTTTCCACTTTTAAATATACAGTTTTAAGTGTACATTAAAATACAATCTATACACGCACACACACAAAATTAGTGAATTGTCCTTAAGTACTATCAGCAGAGGAAACTTGCTTTGAGGTAACACATCCACACTATCCTGAGGTACGCTTACAACACTAATTAGAACGTATTGCCGATATGGAAATGTGACAACCGGTTTACAGAGCATGAAAAGTACAAAAACGACGGAACCACTGCGCACACTTACTTAAAGGGGGTGTTTGTTGGCTCTAGCAGGGCTTTGTGGCGAAGTAGTGCAGGGCCAGAAGAGGATGCATCTTGAGAAGTATGAACAGAAATGAAGTTTTCTGGTGGGCCGCCATGCATCTCAAGTCGCCTAAGAAGAACTTGCTCCCAGCGCTGAAGTATCTTTAGTACTGCATGACACAGCGGGGAACTAACTGGAAGCTCTAAAACAAGAACAAGTTTTCCCTTAACTGCAATATATTAAGGAACTTTACACTCTATTTTCTGCTAAGGTACTGCTGTCACATCAATTGCAGATTTTACTCTATGGATGGAGCCTGCACATTTTCCTGTCAAGATGCACACAAGCGAGGCAACCAGAAATTAAAAACAAAATCAAACGGACACATAAATTTACATGCTAAATTTGGGCATGGGCATTTATATGTGCTAATGAACTGTAGGAGTAGCTATCAAAGCAAAGCTGGAGATGGCAAACTGGTTATGAAATGAGGAATAACAGTTCTTTAGCCCAACCCTAAAATCCTTTATATATGTTGTTCATGTATGTACCTAAATATTTTTAGGTACATTTGATCCTGCCTTTCCTCAAAAGAGCTCAAGATGACATAGACACCTTTTTTTTTAAATCTCTGTGAAATAGTGACTGGCCCAAGGTAAGCTAATAAACTTCATGAATAAATGTACATTTGTATCTTCCAAATCCTAGTCTGGCACCCTCAGCTAGTACAGCACACCAACACCCTGGTATTAAATGGAGCTTAGTTCCTCAAAATTATCCTTAATATGACTTAATATGATAATTATTTTCAAGATTTAACACAAAACAGACCCTTTTCACAGTTACATAGATTCTAGCCTGTTAGCTGGCCGTATGTGCTTTTAATAAAGGCAGTATAAAAATATTACTGCTAGAACATGGCTTGGTATGTAATATAAATATATGCTCGTTCAACGGGAACTCAGGTTTAGCCACATTTAATATTTTAGCTGGCTGTTGTACTGGAGGATGTAAAAAAAACCAGCCTCTCTCTTTAAGAAGCTCTGTAAAGGGAGGCTTTAGCATCTGTGGCTCATGATGACATTCTTGCAAAACTTTAACCCTTAAAACTCCTCTCACTCAGTCCCTTTTGAATATTCACTCACAAAGTTCAAGAGGGATCATTACTTCAGCATCTGGACATTATATTAGCTTCTCATCCACATATTTCAAGAGTATTGTCCCTGTTATACCTAATTGCAAATTCAAATGTATGCCTAGCGAGTTTTATGGCTTCCTTGATATTGTATGTGAGCTGGAACTGGTCTGTGACCGAAATAATAAAATTCATTCATTCATATTTCAAGAAGGAAAAAGAGAAGGCTAATTTTCTCAGTCCTTAAACAACGCCATCCCACAATGCCTTTCAGGAAAACGAGTTTGCCTTTTACACCAACTAAAACTCAACTAGGCTTCTAACTGCAAGCAAGGACTAAAAAACATTTGCAGTATTATGATAACAGATAGAAATGTATAGATGGAAAATAAGATATGGACATGCATGAATGAATAATAAATATAATGGAACCATGGAGAGGGTAGAGGGAAGTCAAGGGATTGGAGAAATCCCACACTGTGATATTGTATTGATGTTTATTTTATATTGTTTGTTATGAATAAAACCATTTTTTTAAAAAAAGTAACTGCAAGCAAGGATGTACACATATGCGTACACATATGTACACACTATTTTTTTCATAATCAATAGTTGTATAAATTTTATGAAATAATAAAAATATGCACCAGTAAAATGGGTTAATTAAGGAATATGAGGAAATTCTATATAAACAAATCCAAAAACCCACTAAGACAGACTTACCTGAAAGATCATGCCCAGCCATAGGGTAGAAAGTCTTCAAGTTCTGGAGGACAAGCTGAACCATAGCCAAGCGCATCAGAGACCAACTAAACAGAATACACAAACAAGTATACACGAGCTGTGAAAAGATCATACTGCTTTCCCTTTCCTTTTTATTATTAACTAAGGGGTGTTCCTCTGCTTGTTCCATACACCAACTCGCTTCTCCCTGCCTCAGTTGTCTTCCCCCGAGTTTCCCTCCTCAGAACCCAAAAATTTCTCCCACCTGCTTCCATATTCCTCCCCACGACTACAATGCGCTCTTCCTTCCTCAACTTCCAAACCCACAAAGGGTTGCAATATCACTCCACGTCCCCCCTCTCTCCCACCCACAATGTAATCTCCCCCACCTTCAGTTTTCCATTCTTTCTCCTCCTCTCTCACTTTCCACAAAACCGGCAAGTTCCTGTTTGTGTACAGAAGCACTTAGGGAGTGTGCAGGAGAGAACTTTAGATGGAAAGGTTGCCTCTTCCCTAGATGCCTCCCATTTCATAGATGAAAACAAATGTAGAAACAGTAAAGGAAAACAAATGAATCAAATCATTTCATACCTATATGAATTTGAATTTGAATGTTCCTGACTCTTTAAGTCTGGTGAGAATTCATCATCACCTTCATCATCGCTGCTTTCCTGACTCTCCTCTGAGTCATATTCAATTCTAGTTTGCGATGATGGAAGAAATGGCTAAAAGGTAAATGGAAGTCTTAGTCGAGGTAAACACAAAACAAAATACACCTGCTTCAGATACTTAGGGAGATCTGCTTATCATTTCAATTTCAGATTACTTTTAGTATGACTTGGCTTGAAAAGGGTAAAACCAATAAAGAAGAACTTAGTATTTTTATTTCTTTTAACCTTAGAAATACAGACAGGAAAAATGCCAGGTTCCCTCTTTCATTTATACTTACCTTATACTTATACTTTCATTTTTCCGTCTATAAAACACCCCTATGTGTAAGATGCTCCCTATTTTGGGGGACTCAGATTTAAGAAAATGGGGGGAGATGTATCCGTGTATAAGACACCCCCTAATTTTTGACATTATTTTTAGGGGGGGAATCTAGTCTTATACACAGAAAAATACTGTAATTCATATATTCTGCACATCTTTCTTTTTATTTCTTGGCGCCATTTCCTTTTAGAGTTGCCTCCTATGGTCAGTCCTTAAGCTACTTTACTAATTACCTAGCTTTTTACAAATAAGATCAGTCCACAGCTGATGTGCTCGTTTTTCCACCTGCTTAGCCAATAATTTAAGGTTAAGAGATTGCTTTTCAAGCAGGGTTTTTGGAATACAGTAATTCAAGTAACATGTCATATTAAAACACAATTTTAAACCAGAGGTGGAGAGCCTTCTGCTCACAGAACAAACTTGGCCTGCTAGCCCTGACCATTTGGCCCGCAAGACTGTTTTGGGGAAGCCATGTCCATCTGCCCTACATCTGATATTATACATTTCATCAGGTGTGGGGTGGGTAAGGGCTTAAAAGATGCATTCAGTGGTGCTGCTTGAAGAATCAAGAGTTGATTGTGCTTCTTCTTGAAACTGGATTCTGTTTTTTGCCAAGAAAAACTACCTCACCCGTAAGGCCAGTATGTGACAGAATGAGAATCACTTTTGCTTATGGAAAATATTCCAAAAGTGAATAAAAATTAAAATAAAATACCTTTGCTATAAAGTAGTCCCAGATACTAAGTTCCGGAGGAATAAATTTCTCTTTGTAATTTGGGGCATCTTGTTCTGTTGAAGGTAAAGTAGTCTGTGAACTCTCTTTTAGAGAGGATTTTGATGACATTCTTAAAAACTTCTGTTGCTTCTCACCATCATCTGGGGGAGAAGAGGCTGCAGAGAGAAAAAGATGCATCTTTTTAGTAAAGTTTGGAAACCATTTACCAGATGTCTATCATCAAACTATTTAAGAATAAATGTTAAAAATCAATGTCTTAATTGCAACACCAACCACCAAGAACAAGTCTAGTACAGTATTACAGTATTAGCAATTTTAAAAATCTCTGGCTTCCAAACCCTAAATACTTTATCTATCCTCTCCCTTAACCCTACACCTCCAAAGAGGTGCAATTATACTGCGAAAATTCTTAGCAAAAATTGTAACTTTCATTTCTGCATACCTGAGAAATCAAATCTCCAAGTATCATATTACAATGCAGACTGTCAATTTATATCCCCACAGAAGAGCAGCATGTGGTGCTGCTATTTGCTAATAGTAAATAAAATCCTCACTGGCATGCAGGTATTAAGAGTACATAATCTATAAATGGAAGTGCACGATAACACAGAAATAATTCAGATTTATTTTTCCAGCATATAATTGTCGCAAAACATGCTCATAAAATTCTCCTTAAAAATGCAACTCACTTACCTTAAAGATAAAAACATATCTGTTATAATAAAAAGTATTTTAAACTTTGGTTTTTAGCTAGCACATCAAACATGCACATGCATTGCTTAATATGGTGCATTAGTTTTTGAGCTCAACGAAAATAACAAAGCTTTCTTATGTTTGAAATGAAGGCATAGGAAAATAAGCTTACAGAAAGTGTTACATGATACAGAACTTGAGAAATAATGGATCTTTTGAATACTTGCTTCCACTCACCCCCATCTAAACAGTAACCACTGTGCTTAACTGCTTTCTTGATTTAAATTTTACCATTTAGGCCTGCAGCACTAGTAGGCTATTTGTTATGGAACTACAGACAAATGCCAAACTTATTACAGGAAATGAAGTCTCACTGACAAAGTTCCTGACTCTACAAAATAACTAAGGAAATTTATCTAAAAATGGTTTAGGATTGGTATCTTAAATGGTTAGGAATATTCTTGAGGTGCTTTTTCTTATACATGGCAGAGAAACAGAGAAAGAAGTTAATAAAACATGTATATAACAAGACTAACAAAAGAACATAAATAAGTGACAATATAAATAAGCGACAAATTGAATCTAAACATCACTGGATAATTTAGATTGTTCTATTGTAAAAAAACCTGACAAGTCTTATGTTAATAGTCTATTTAAATGTATAATATGAATTAGGCAAAAATTCCAAAATGCCCTTTTCTTATTAACCACCCCCGGCTGTATCATGTTTTACACAAGCAGCAAGATTTGAGCATTCCTTAGCTTGCACTGGAAAACCGCAACCGCACAGCCAGTTTGCATTCCATTTGCTATCTAAAGTCCCAAATTGCTTGAAATAACTTTAGGGAGGTTGCTCCCACGGAACTACTTTGGCATGGCACTTTTCTGTTTTACTTTACTATTCTTTTGTATTGTCAAAACAACTGAGCACCCTAAATGAAGAGGAATATGGGCTTCTAGTTATTTTTTAAAGGTTGACAATTTGCACTGTACAATATCCTTACAGCATTCTGGACTTCTCAGCAGGTTGTTATAATAAAAGAAGAAGAAGTGTCACATCTATATATTAAATACTTAAATATCTGAATTTAGCCGAAGGACAACCAGCAGAATCCAAAATGGGTTGGAATAATAAACTTCTGTTTTGTCTACCCCTTCTTCCAATTCACAGTGCAACACCCATTTATTAGTATCTATATCCTCCATTAAATCATCATCACTTTAGACATTTCAGGAATACAGATCTATTTATGGAAGACTGCCAATCATTCACTGTGGAAGATTTCTCTTTCAGAAGTACTGTTATTAAAATATTTAGTCCAACGAGTTAAAAAATAAGAATTTATTTTCAACCTAGATGAAAATGCTAACACACCAAAAGGAAAGGAGAATTCTGATTATGGTGTGTGTGTGTGTATTTTGTTGTACTCCATCCTGGAATCTGAATTGGATGGAAGGTGGTACATAAATTCTTTAAATAAATGTGTGTGCACATATTGGGCTGGATCTTGGAGGTTTACTCCCCCACCCCCGGGTCTCTGTCATCTTGGCCTCCTCCAATTAGGCTCCTCAGTGTGAGGCCATCCCAATTCACAAATACAAAAAGAGTAACTTTTTACAAGTATTAGACCTGTGATATTTTGGAAGACATGTGAACACAAACTTGCTTTATACCAAATCAGAGTACAGTGGTACCTTGGTTTAAGTACAGCTCAGTTTATGAACAACTTGGATTAAGAACGCTGCAAACCCAGAAGTACGTGTTTTGGTTTGTGAACTTTGCCTTGGAAGCAGAACATGTTCCGCTTCCTGTTGAGTGTGTTCCATTTGTAAATTGAGTCCATCACTGCTATAGGAAAGCACACCTTGGTTGAAGAACGCTTTGGTTTAAGAACGGACATCCGGAACAGATTAAGTTCGTAAACCAAGGTACCACTGTAATTGGTCCATCTAGCTTACATGTGCCCCGACATTCAATGGCTTTCCAGTAATGGGCATCCATTTCTGGATCTTTCTTCCTCTGAAGCTGCTGACAGTGATTCCTGCCTTCAAACACTAGTCCCACCTGAAATCTTCTTACAAGCATGGGAGGAACACAATTTTATCACTGAAAATTCCATGGTAATCCAGAGTTAAGTACAGACACTGACCGAATGTATTTCCTCTTTTCTAAAGTGAGCTGTCCAATGAAAAGCAGTTAATCCTAAAATATGTGCTTGCATGCAAGTTCTAATGAAGTCGGTTTTGCTTACTTCCGAGTACATTCACAGATGGCAAGAGCTATAAATTTTACCCTAAAGCCACAAAGGAATCCATTATCAGAATCCTTCAGAATCTAAGCATTGACATCATTCATATCTAATCTGCATACCACACAAGTTTACTGTAGGTTATAGATAATAGAAGGGACCATGAGGATCATCTCTACAGGAATCTTTCAGAAGAAGAAGAAGAAGAAGAAGAAGAAGAGTTTGGATTTGATATCCCGCCTTTCACTCCCTTTAAGGAGTCTCAAAGCGGCTAACATTGTCCTTTCCCTTCCTCCCCCACAACAAACACTCTGTGAGGTGAGTGGGTCTGAGAGACTTCAAAGAAGTGTGACTGGCCCAAGGTCACCCAGCAGCTGCATGTGGAGGAGCGGAGACTCAAACCCGGTTCCCCAAATTACGAGACTACCGCTCTTAACCACTACACCACACTGGCTCTTTCACCCAGTGTGGAGCTCACACCCATGACCCTGTGATGAAGTCTCATGCTCTACCAACTGAGCCATGAACTATTCCTCAGGATCATTTGTTTGGTGTAATTAAAAATTATCTATAATGGATTATATGTGAACATTTGAATACAAAGCAGCATTTTGCTGTGGTCAAATAAGCAGGCTATGTGAATGATGATGTTTAAATCAACTCTTCTCTGCCAAGGCCATTTTGTGTCGCCTATGCCAATCACAAATCAAATTATAAATCAGCCAAAATGAAATGTTAAGCAGGTCACATTACCAGAGGATCTGTAGACACCAAGTTTTACACTTATATTATTTGCTGCCCTAGAACAATCTTTGATGGCGACTGGATTCATTTTTGCTACGAACTAAAGGCGGCTTTTATATGCTAAATTAACAGTTAGAAATCCACAGCCATATGCATGGTCATGTGACACAAAACAAGCAGTCTTCATGAGCAAAAAAATGTATTGGAAATATTTCTGGTAATTGCAAGCCATGTTCTTCCTTCAATAATGAAGTCATTTAAAACTGATTTAGAAGGGATTGTTCCAAATGTATGAATGACCAATGTGGTGGTTTTTGTTTTGTTTTCTAATTTTCAACTCCAATTCACATAGTTAACATGATATAAATAAAACACAGTAAAAACCTGAGGTCACGACTTACAAACAGAAATTTTTCTTTGTATCTTTATTCCTACATATGCAAGATCACATATCAGCACTGGATTTAAAAGCCTAAGACTGAAGCTAGTATCTTGCCTGCAGGTTTGGTAGGACTATGAGTACTGATGGCAGTTAGAGATTTGGTAAACCCCACACATTCCATGGAGAATACTACTACCTGGTGTGGGCTAGGCATAGGGAAGTGCCTACCTGCCAAAAAGAGAAAACATAGGCTGCTCTTAGAGTAAAGGAATATGGCTACATCAAACAAAAATAAATTATTTTTTCACGAATCATTTAAATATCATGACAATATTTTTTTAAACTGGCATTTAATAGGCTGCATAGAAAATTAGTTTTAGACTATCAAATACTGGAACACCTAGAACTGTTTGATTAATTTCACATGTAAGGTATGAAATGGCTATTTCAGCTACATTAGAAGTATTTACAGCACAAACCAATGTACATTTACTTTAGAACCAAGCTCAGCTACTTCCATGTAAGAACTACATAGGATTGCAGCCTTAATGCAGTTATTTACTTAATTTAACTATAGCAGATAAGAGGAAAGACAGTGCCAGACAGCCTAGCCAGTTTATGCAGCAGGAACAGGAAGGAACAGAGTTCACAAAAGTTTTATAGGTAAAGAAAACAAAGAGTGAACTAACCCATCTTTGATGTTTGTTGCACCTGGCCTTTCTTTGGAATCTTTGCTCCTCCACCAAAGACAGCAAACCACATTTTGTCATTAAGAGGATGGGCCACAATTCTGTACAGCTCATTGCTGGAATGGGTGGCGAGACCATGGATGAAGAGGCTAAGGTAGACTGCTGTCAAAATTTCACAGAGCAAAACTGTGATCCCAGATTGCGCTTCTTCTCCAGTATGATTTAATAACTGTATTAAAGCCATTATACCTAGAAAGAGAAAAAGCACTATCTAGTTTTTAAACACACACAAAAACCACAAAACAATTCTCCCCAGAGACAATAGTAAACTTACTGTGAGCTATTTAGGGTGTTTATTTGTTATTTGTGCAGTAATTGCTGCAACCCACCCAAACCAACTGAGTATAATGGTGTAAAAATGTTTTTTCGACTGACACTACATCAATGCATCCTCAGGAATAGGCCTGTTCCCCAGAATGCACTTAACAGAATCGGAGTTTTGGGGTGTTCTTGGAAGCTCAGTTACCCTCAGTGGCTAGCAGTGACTTTTACCAGCTCCCGCTGGTACATCAACTATGGCAGTTTTTGGATAGGGCTAGTCTGGCCATGGTAATTCATGCCATAGTACCACCTCAAGGATTGATTGATTGCTTGATTGATTGATTAATGCAATGCACCCTTGGGCCTGCTGTGGAGGCTCCAGTTAATGCAAAACACTACAGCTAGATTGTTGATGGGGACAGATAATCACCAGCACATAACTCCGGCAAATGCTTGTACAGTACTGGCTATTCATATGCTACTGAGTCAAGTTCAAGATTCCTGTATTAATTTACAAGGCCCTTAACAAGTTGGGCCCAGGTTACCTCAAATACCACCTAATCCCTGCCCTAAGGTATTTGCGGGAGTCATTGAAAGCGGTCCCCCATGGCTCAGATATAAGTCTTGTATCCACCAGGAGCTATGTGTGTTTAAGTCCTGTATCCCCAATTTTGGGGAAGAGGCTTCCTCCTGTTCACATTCTGGCACCAACTGAAGTATGTTTTTCTTCCAGTAGACATTTCAACTGAAGTCCGATTTTGTAGTTTTAACTGATTTTTACCCTTTCTCTGTTTTTTTTGAAGACCTTTCATAGACAATTGTAGTTATACAGTATATATTGTTTAAATAAACCAAAAAAAGGAACAGCACTGATTGTCAAGAAAGCTAGATAAGACAAATAAAATAAAATCATTACTACCTGGCCACTGAGATGGTGCAGTATTGGGAGTTACTGTTTCATCTAAGCTTGCTGTCCTTAAGGAATGCCGGTGAGAAAGCAGCAGTGTTTGGTAAACTGTTCCAGTGAATTGGTTTGCTTGTAACGAGCTATTAAAAAAGAAAAGTTAAAATTAAATTAAATTAAGCCACTATTTCTATTAATCATGGCACTTCTTTTATTCTTTTAGAGCAGGCATAGGCAAACTTGGGACTACAACTCCCATGATCCCTAGCTAACCGGACCAGTGGTCAGGGATGATGGGAATTGTAGTCCCAAAACAGCTGGAGGGCCGAGTTTGCCTATGCCTGTTTTAGAGTGTCTTTCAACCTACAAACCCGGTTCATATAATGCTAAACTATAGTTTGTTTAGCTTAAGTCTAATTTCCTTTTCCACCAAACTCAACCAGGATCGCTACCATGGTTTGAGGTAAGCAAACCAGGATCATACATCATGGTTTGAAGTTGGTTTGTGAATCTTATTTTACACTGTAGTTTGTAGTTATGCACAAACTTTGTGTGCTGGTTTAATCAAAGATTGTTATACTACTCTACCCCTACTACCCACCTGGTTACAGAGTCACAAGCAAATATAAAAGGGTGGAATCTGGGGTCTATAACTTACATCTCCAGAAGGTATGAATAGTAAAAAGGACCAAATGATTATCTTACCATAAGTAGCTATAGAGCTGTTAAATAAGAGATGTAATTAAGTTTGTCCATTTACATCTAATACTTCAAAAGACCACAGAACATCATAACCCTTTATCATAGAATACACACAGAGGCAGAAGCTGGGGGAAAAAGATTTGTGTATTTTTATACCTTAAGTAGGACTGCAAATAGGGAATTATTTCTCTCAGTGAGCATCAAAGCTCACATTCATTTATTTTAAAAATCATTACCTGTAGCTGTGACCACCACAGAGAGACTGGTATATGCAAGCTGACAGAGATGCAGCTAACGTATGCATTACATGGATCTGGAAGAAAGTTTTAGAGGACACATTACACATCAGGCAAGAATTGTTGTTTATGTAATGTTGGAACCTCTCGTTTCCAGAAACAAATTATCAAGTCAAACACAGTATGTCACATGACGTAATGTGCCAGCATCTATTTAAAAATGAACGAAACACACTCGCACCAATGTGGTCTTAATTAAAGTAATTCCAAGGGCAGACTTTTGTGCCAGGGAATACATGTGCGTAGATATAAACGGGTGAAATGCAACATAGCATTTAGTGCAGTATGCGTAAACAGAAGAAAGTTCTGTTGTGCAAGTGGAACCTGTTTCGCTTGCGCAGCAACTTAGTCGAATCCCACCATATTTTCAATTGTTAAAAAAAGACTTATTCAAAGACAAAAAAGAAAGTTACTTGTAATAAGACTTGCCTTATTATTTTGTACATCTGGACTGGGAGGCGCATGAAGGTTTACTATAGCATGTAGTATGTCATGAGTCAGGTTACTAAGATGTAGCAAAGGATTGGCCACCACGGTTTTGGCACTTGCAGTACAGGCAAACAGAAGCGGTATTGAACTCTGCTCAGATACGGTATTAGTAGGCAAATGAAGCAACAGTTCCTTGGGGGTGGGGAGAATAATAGAAAGCATATTTTAATAGCTGAATTCTGGAAATACTAGCATAGGTTATTAACAGTGATTGCTTCCTTCTTACGGAATTCCTGCTGATGATACATATACACACTTGAAGTGATAACGTTAATGGTTTGCCTCTTCCCTCTCAAAAAATTACCCAAAGCTAAACAGGAATCCAGTATGTTATTATATAAGCTGGTGACCAGCCTGGCAAATTACTTGCCCTCTTGAATAAGCGATGTTTTGAAAGTGGCCTTGTGATTGGGCAGGGAGCGTAAGGTTTCTGAATTGGCCAGGCTAATTTATGATCCATGTCCGATCAGCAAAACTTTCACCTGCTGCACCCCGAATTTTCAATTTAAGCCCCAGCTCCAACAAATGACTATTGAGACCTGAGATTGGAGGGCTCTCTCTAGATCTGGTTGCAGTAAACTCTGCCTCAAGCTGGCCCCTATTAAGTTTTAGGCATTGCAACAACAGTAATTGTGTTAAGCTAAATCGCCAGTTTGTGTCCACACACAGCAATGAATGTTGCATGAAGCATGTTTCTCTTGTGAAATTCTGTGCCACGTGGTGATGTATACAGAGGGAGGTACAGTAGTGAGTGGCAGTTTCAGAATCATTTTTTCTCTCTTATAAGAGCATGTGCACCTTTGCCAATGGTTACCTGTGCAGAGAATTTTGGGAGTAGATTCACTGTTGCCTCTTTTTGGTGGTTTATCTCCCTTTACCATTTAATGTCCTTCAATTATGCAATTTTGCTGTGACTGCCTTAGCTTCTCCCTTGTTGTATTTTTATCTTTTTGCTAAGGTAGTCCTCCATGTCACTGTTTAAGATTACAATTCATCTATCTGAGAGCAAGTCCAACTGAAATCAATGGGTCTGACTTGTGAGCAGACATGTAGAGGATTGAACTGTCGACTTCAGACTAGTTTTTTGAGGAAGGGGAATGAGAAATGGGAGGTGAAACTGACATTCCAAGCCTTATTTCCCTCAAAGGAGGAATTTGAAAGGGGAGAATGAGAACAGATCCTTTAGAAATCACAGGATCCCCCCCCACAGAATCTGTGATTTTTATAGTTCAGTCCATATGCACGGATATAATGCATGTGTGATATAATGGTACTTCCAACAGTATGCTTTATTAACCAGAGGGGTCTACTTTTGCACAAAACTGAAGTTATTCCTGCTTTGCTGCTGTGCAGATCCATATTGAAAAATGTTGCCCTCCCCCCCCTCCCAAAAAATAATAATTGCTGACCATCTAGTATTGCAGATGGAAGTAGGGTAGAGGACAAATTTGTGCTCTTGGAGCTACTCAATGCATACACAACATACACAACAGTGGGAAGGTGAAGATGCAGCAGAAAGATTGCCAAACTAGTTCAGCAACCTGAAGGCACTAGTCCCAGTAAAGTTAGAATAAACTGTTGCTTGTATCTGTCTACTTTGTAAACAAAGCGACAGTGCAATAAACAGAAAAAACATGTCTAAAATGAGTTGATTATTGTGGCATGTGGCATGGAGGTCAGCCTCCTGTTGCTACAATAGGAAATGTCACATGACACATAAGCTCACTTATAATTCAGTAAGCTTCAACATGACAAACTGCTCCTGTCTTTATCCGAAAAAGGGTGAGGCATCTCCAGCCCGCAGGCCAATCTCTGCCTGTCAGGGGGTCCAATTTTGCTTGCTGGCCATTTCCCTCAAATCATGCTCACCCACCCAGCAGCTAACACCACCAGATAAACGGATACTTTCTACTTCTGTTCAGCAAGGAACAGGATTGTACAGCCAAGGCAAGATTTTAATCTCCACTTATTAGCTGATAAGCAGGGATTAGAGTACTTCTCAAAAATGCTTCTTAAAGCAGTTCATGTACTTCTGGAATTAAGTGGGCACCAGTGGCAGCAGTGGGGAGAAAAGAAGTTTCTCCTCCCCTCTCCCCAGTTACCACCCACCTGGACAAGTGTGTGAGCTGCTTCAAACAGCCCTTTTGTGAAGTAATGTAAGGCACCCCTCATGTTCCCGTGTCAGCTACAACAGGAGTGTGGGGACTGCCTTAAAGCGCTTCCCAAAAGGGCAGTTTTATGCAGCTGCCCCCTTCACTTAAAGGAGAAATGGTTGAGTGCTTCAAAAAGCGCTTTTGGAAAGGGCTTTAATAGAGTCCCCATGCTACTATTTCAGGCTGAAATGGGAGCATGGGGGCTTTCTTAAAGCCTGTGCAAGTCTCCCCATACCCCCCTGCTAATCTTCTGAGATTGGGAATTTAAAATGGGAAGGGTGAGACATGCAAAGTAATACACCTGGCAGGTGGATCAAATTTGGCTTGCAAAGCCAATCCTGAGAAGCTTCTGCCTCCCCGTCCTCAAAGAGCTGTGAGGATACTAGATATGATAGTTAAATACTTATGTGTAGATGCAAAACTATTTAGACATGTGTTATTTGAAGAAATTATAGAGATATCTTTATATACTGAACCAGAAATACATTACTGGGCACTATAATTATATTTTGCCAATAATATACTTTTCCTCTTAACTATTCATATTTTAATACTACATCTATACTACAAGGAGAAAACTCCATACCTGTTGAGATTCTTGAAGCAGTAAAATCAGTTCCATACGTACAGATGCCAAGCCTCCACCATGAGATCCATGAAGGATACAGTAACTTAAAAACATTCGCAAAAGTGATTGATATTTTACAAGCCACTGTCTTCTCTGAAGGTATTCTCTCTGCTGTGTATTTTGCTGTGTGTCTGATAGTTCTTCGGTCATTTCATTTGATGAAGCTTCATCCATTACTGGGCTAATTCCTGGCTGAACATCTTCTGTTTCAACACTATAGTCACAGGTTTTCTGAAGAGCTACCACTTCTCTTTCAAGCCAGTGATACAACTGGTATCTTAATTTTCCACCATCTACTTCATAGCCGGTAGATAATGTACGAAGCTCCACTGTAAGGATCTTCAAGCATGCCCTAAATTTCAGCTGTGCAGAAATGATGTCTTCTGATGAAGTGAAAACCTCATTTTCAGCACCTGAACTGTAGGTTTCTGTATAGCTAGAACTAACTTCATTTGGTTTCTCACTCACTTCCTTCTGCAAAGGTTTCATTACAATACAATCTTCACTTTCATCATCTTTGTCACTGTCCCACTTTAGCTCAAAAGGCTCATCCTGGAAAACTGTGCTCGGTTGACTCCAGTCAAACAAAAGAGCAGAATTTGAATGTTTACCTGATGACCCATCTGAAGATGATTCCAGACCATTGACGATAGGTTGTGACCAGTCAATGCTGAAAGGTTTGTTATCCTTTGATTCCAGTGGTCCTGGAGAAGAGGGTGAGCAGCCTTTACTAGTGTCCATTAAGCTAGATGTTCTTCCTAAAGGCTTTGACTTTTTTACCACTTTGGGCATCTTCAATAACACTTCCAAAGCCAGCATGGGACAGCCAGCTTTTAAGTGAGCATACGCAGTCGTAAAAAACAATCTTCTTTCCCTTAAATTGATTTCATCTGCCAGCCCATTTTCTCCTGTTACACAAATCCTCGTGGAAGATAAGTCAGAAGACCCAAAATGGCGTCTCAACAAGAGAGGATGTGTCCTTAGGTAATTATAAAAATTGAACACTGAAGGGTTACATCTTGACACATTGCCTTCATCTGTAAAGACATTGCATCAGAGATTATTGTTAATGATTTATTTATTCCATAAAAGAACTTAACCATTTCCAGTTCTAATACAATAAATCCCCTGGAACTACGATTGTATGTAATATTATCCCACCACTATGTTTATAATGTGCAGTAGGACTCCCCAAGAGGTTTATATTCAAAACATGTAAGAAAATTATATTTGTATCTGCCTTATAAAAAGAATCACATCATGAATTCATTTAGCTCAGTATTGTCTCCATTTCAAACAATAAACAATTGGTTTATCATTATGTGTAAGAACGCTGGATTAATGCGCTTTGTACTCATGTACTCTTGCTCTCTTCTCATATTCTCCAGTGTGACCATGTGAACAGACTTGTATTTCTGAAAAATTATTGTTTCTACAGAAGAAAGAAGTTCATGTCAAAGAGAAAAAGTAAATAGCAGATGTCTACAGATATTCTTCAAATGATATGATCATATCAAAGTAAAGGTTTTCAAATACATAGTAACATACCTGAGAATCAGCACTGTAATGATCACTCAAAGCTCCCATTTTGTAACTAGAATGAGACGGTGACAGATTTTCTTTCTGACCCTGCCCACTTTCCCCTTAATTCCATTGTTGAGAGATTCATTTCTTATGTAGCTAAATGTTCATTCACTGTTGTGAACAATGTCCATCTGGACTACCAGTCTGAACCAGAATAGCAATTCTTTGCTGTCTTTTACTGATATAAACTCAAAAGGTATTTTTTTCAGGTGATAGATTCTTTATATGTTTCCTAATGAACAGCATATATAAAGTGTCCCAGCTTACCTTCCTCATCCAAAATGGGTTGGCTTATAAGAGTATCAAGAGCATGGCTATAATCCTCCAAAATCCAATAAGCCATACTCCGAAGAAAAGGATCAGCATGTGTGCTTGATGGACTCTCTTTAGTATGATGTCTGCTTCCCAGAATTCTCTTCTGTAGAATTGATTTGTAAGTTCCAGATACTTCAAACTCTGGCTCATAAAGTCTTGCTATTATAAGAGCCAATTGAATATCATTTAGTTTCTCTAGGCAGACCTTTTTGAAACAAACATAGGATTACTTTTAAAAATTGTTTCTGTCAATTTGTATCTCCACTGGGTTTTGTTTTAAGAAACTTAATATGTAAAGGGAAAACAAATGTTGGATTACAGCTCATTATTTGGACAGCTTTCTAAACAATCTACCTGCTGATATTTTGCAGTAATGTCAGAAAAGTATTCAGCCTAATACCCAACAAGCTAATTAAAAACAAAGCTGGCTTATGAAGCTTTTCCCCCCAATAAATACTGTTCTTACCTACAGCGTCCGTTTTCAATTAACTGCAGTTTATTGATTTGTCTGAATTTGGAACTGCAATTAGTTGAATTATGGCTTATCTCCAAAAGCCAGAATCAGAAACCAGAGCCTGAAATTGGCTTGTTCAGACAACTATGAAATGACCAACTGCAGTTTGTTGAAAATCGAAGTGGGTGCTTTTAATTTTCTTACTGGTGGAAGAGTGGGGAGTGCCCGCTAAACCTAAATGTAATCACTATTTATTACAAATGTATGTTGATTACCAGAGAACAGTAAATACAAAGTGTCAAAGTTATATACACAAGACTCAAAGAAAAAGACAAGCCTAGACCCAGTACCTTAATGCCAGTAGTAGCTAAGTCCTTGAAATAGGTTATTTTTTAAGCAGTACAATGTCACTAACTTGAAAACATGAATATCAATATGCACATTTTGAAATGAGTAGAACACTGGGTTAAAGAGAAAAATCATAAGTGCATTGGAGATGATGTCACAGTCCCTTCTTTGATTCAAAGTACAGAGGCATTTGAAATCTTTAACCATAGTAAGCCAAGCCAATGATGTTTTTCTTTTAAGAATTCAAGCCTAATATTTTTCCTGTAACAGCACATTACATAATTATGGTAATAGTTATAGCCCCTGTTCTAAATATTTATCACTAGTCTCAAAAGGTAGTTTTATCCTACTTACCTCAACAGCATCTTTCAGGTGACCAGCCAACAAGAAAAATGCTGCAGAATGTTCAAAGCGTTGTTTGCCTAGCAGTGAAAAAGCATTCTTCAATGCAGCTTTACGCCATCTGTCTTCAGTAAAATTGTGTCCAAAGAACTGCGTCATCTTAGTGTCATTTAGAGATCTGAAAATGCAAATATTTAATACACTTGATTAAATCAGAACGTATTCTAATAAGTAAGTGATTGGTTCAGGAGCATCCAGGGGGAAAAAATACTGGTAAGCATATTATCCAAATACCACAGGGTAGACCCTACTCAAAGTTCAAACAGCAATTCAACTTGCTTCTGAAAATTTCTATACTTAGGAAAAGACAGGACCATTGGTCTTATCTGCAAGTTATTTCTATGTGCATGCAAATATGTTTTCTCATGGGTCTCAAGCTCACCTAAAGGATGAAGAAAAGAACACTGTTTTGCTTCAAAATACCTAAGTTTCTAGATTTTACTCAGTCTGAAACTATCATCAGATCATTCATGCCTTTGAGTGAAGCAGATGATGAGTGTATTCTCTGTCAGGTCTTCCATGGCTCAAGCCGGTATACTGCAGTGTGTGCAATTAGTTTTCAACATTTGCTTGTCTGTTACTTTGTACCATTAGTCTTTGTCTATCATTCCTGTTTTTGTTTCTGAGTTGCGACTGTGGTCTATATGTTTCTCCTCAGTGTGAGTCTTTCTAGTCCCCTCCTGGCCCTGGTGTGATCTAACTCAGTTTATCAGTACTGTATTTTAAGTAATCCCTGTATTCCCCATTTTTTTTGAAGAGTCCATTTTTCTGAGTTGCTGTTGTTAAAAAAAGAGCCATTTATATTCTCACATTTTGTCTGTCTCTCCTCTATTTTTATGATAGTCCTAGCCCTAAGTGTTTTGTTGTTGTTGTTTTAAACTTGCTCCAGGCTTTGATCCTTTAGTAGTGATGAACAAAATGTACAATTCAGAGCTACCAGCTAGAACCCCAACAGCTTTCTTGGTAATAGATGAAAAAGAGTAACAGAGCTGCACGTCACCTGCATGCAAAATCCTCAAATGACTTCTCTCAGTAGTTAACACAAAGAGATGTTGAACAACATGGGAGACAGAACAGATTCCTGAAGTAGACCATGCATCAATGGCAAAGGTGCTAAAAGGAATCTAACACCTCCAGTATGACTAGTCAAAACTTATCCAACATACCAGGGTTCAGAAAGGGCTTGTTAAATAAAGGTCCTATGCTGCCAGCTTAAGGTTAGCTAGAACTACACCTTCCTGAATGTCTTTGTAAGTGGGACTAGAAAACATACTTCCTATTTGGGGCCATAATATTTAAAGTTCTATTTCAGGCACCTGAGTTTTTTTGACTCCTGCTTGCAAGTTGGCCTTTGTAATACTATTGGCAGAACAGGTGTGCTATGACATCAGTAATGAACAGCTACTGGAAATCACAGAAGCTTCAAAAACTTATAGTAAAAAAAGTAAAAGTAACCAAGTTAATTATCCACATGTATTGAATTAAATCCAGTTATAAATCTTTACCTGTATAATCCCCAAATCACAGCCTTCTTTTTCATTGCAAGGTAAAAAATGGCCGCATCTAAGGGGTCACTGTTTCTTTGAAAGGCTGCTTTAGCGACCTGTAAAGATAATGGTGTACCTAAGCATTACAGATTTCATACATTTCTATCTAGAGGACTGCAAGCAATACTGAACAATAATATTTGAGTCAAGGTAAAAACATTTATGTCAGTGCTGTTCATTGTTGTGGTTCGAGGACCCGATCCCCGCAAAGTGGAATGAATACACAAGGACACATGATATAAGGTTAATGGGCAAGAAAAGGCCACAACTTTATTGATTACAGCCGAGGAGGGGCTGGCGCCGCAGCATTTAGGCTGCTGTACACGCCCCCTCGGAGGCACCTGGTTGGGTGCCTGCCGATGGGCGTGGGCGCCAGCCAGGTGAGTGGGAGGCAGCGGGCTAACGCCCCCTGCTAGAGGCGGAGCTCGGCTCCCGCCCACAACCACTCCCCTCTCTTCCAGGAGGAGAGTCTTTATAAGTCTTCTTCTTCGGCAATCACTCATAGCCATGAACACGGTCTTAACGTAAATGACTGTGGAGGCTAATTCTGGATCCACACATCCTTCCACAGTGGGAACATAGGTTTCGGGGCGGGGGTTGATCATGGTGAGGGTTTGCCAAATGTGCCTTCCTCTTAAGGGACATAGTATGAGCTGAATGACATTAAAATGAATTAAAATAAATTCCTACAATGTCTTGCAACAACAAAAAAGCAACCTGAAAACACGTGGTACAATGCCTATGATAAATGAGAATTAATGGTTTGTAGCCAACACTGTCCATGTGTGAACAGAATGGACTTCAGTTTGTGCAATTGGACTTTGCCTTCTACCCCTCCCCTCATGCATCCTCAAAATCCAGGAAGAGAGATCAGGGACAGATTCTCATACCTGGCTCCCCACTCCCTTCACTGTATGGAATGATTGAACTAGGAAAATCAGTGTTTGCTTGACTACGGAATCTCCCTTCACATTACAAGAAGAAACCCTTTTTTAAAAAGGGAGAAGTTAAACTCAGGGCCTTCTCCTGGTCTTTCACTTGCAGGATGTGAACATACATGTGTGGCCTTCCAAATACAACCATTACACAATGGTTACACAACCATAAATTTAAATTCAGCGTCAAACGCAGGCAGAGATCTTTGAAAATGTGGTCTGGGCTTAAAATACAGTTGAAAAGATATTTTCTTCCGCTGCAGTCCCAGCTTTAAATTAAGCAGGGGCTTCAAAAAGAGAAAGAATGAATCAGAGAACACTTATGAGTGTGCTTACAACTGAATCACCTTATCACCTTTAAAGGTGAATCATATGATGCCCAGTGATAGAAAGGTAAGTGGCCCTGTCCACCTGTTGAAAATCATGGATCTAGCTCACTGGGTGGATCCAGTTCCTCGCCCCTGATTTAGCAGAAAAGGCTGAGTGTGAAAGATCCTTTCCATTGGCTTTACTGGTAAAGGTGATACATGCCACCTTCTCCTCTCAGACTATCAATGACTGCAGGACTAAGCTTCCTTTCCATTTGTCTAAATTGGTTCATTTGTCTTTTATACAGTGGTGCCCCGCAAGACGAATGCCTCGCAAGACGGAAAACTCGCTAGACGAAAGAGTTTTCCGTTTTGGAGGTGCCTCGCAAAACGAATCTGCTATGGGCTTGCTTCGCAAGACGAAAATGTCTTGCGAGTTCCTGGGTGTTTTTTTTCCTTTCCCCCCTCTTTTTCTAAGTCGCTAAGCCGCTTATCTGCTTATCCGATAAGCTGATAAGCTGCTAAAAGCCGCTAAAAGCCGCTAAAAGCGCTAATCCGCTAATCCCATCAATGGGCTTGCTTCGCAAGACGAAAAAACCGCTAGACGAAGAGACTCCCAGAACGGATTCTTTTCGTCTTGCGAGGCACCACTGTATTTCTTTTCTTATCTACTTATCTTTTTCCTATTAAAAAGGTAAAATATATAGAAAGTACACATTTTAGTTTTAGTTACCCATGCTGAAAATACGGATGCTTTTGCTTAAGAACATTCCAAAATCATAAAGCAACATGCTATCAAAGTATTTACCTTCTCAATGCATCTCCGTAAGCTATGGGTATTTCGAACCCACCATCCTACACCCATAGCTCTGAGCTCTGACCATGTTGGATCACCTTTTTGCATTGCAGGAAGCATGTTTAGCAGTTCTTCTCCTGCTACTGAATGAAACGCCCAGGCAAAATGACTAGAAGATAAGCCTAAATTGTTCAAAGAGATTATATTGTTACAGGTGTATAATTTATAACATGCTATCATGCTAAATGCTTATTTTTTTGTTTCTTGTAATCAACGTTTCAGAAGACTTTGGAGATCTTAGGATAACATCCAAGGGATCCACATCACATCATTTGGCTTTTTGCACATTAGATTTGCCAGTCTAAATATGTTACATGGGCATTTGATTGTTAAATTGAACACAGAATTATGCCAATCTCTATGAAGCCCCCATAATCCTTACATCAGGGATGGGAACACTTTTTTCAGTCTGAAGGCCACAGTCTTACTTTGGGGTAGCTAGAATATAGCCTACAAAGTCAGACCACATCACTCCATTCAGGAAAACAAGAGGCATTATTAAGAGTTAAACGACACATTCCAGTCAGGCAAAAGCATGAAGCAGTCAGTGCCAGTGAGGGGATGTGAAGTGAAGAGGGTAGATGACTTGGGGAGAATCCTAGAGGCTAACTGAGAGGCCTTGAGAGCCACATCTGGTCCCTGGGTCTGAGGTTCCATATACCTGCATTACATGAAGAGCCCCAAACCAAGCCAAAATAGCAATTGTCCAGGCAGCCCTAGTTGTGCAATCATACAAAGGAAATCCAGTTGCTCAGTGGAGACTATGAAAGCCTACATCAGCACAATGACGGAGCTCCCGAAGGCTAACATTTCCTCAAAAATCAATTGTTTCTAAAAATGTTGCCCTACATAATGTAAAACTGATACCATAGGCAGAGTGAAAACCATTACCTTGGTGAAGGAGCTGGGCTCTGTGAGCAGGTGGCAGCGAAGTTGTCATAAATGAGTGAAGACGTACAGCCAAAAGAAACTTTAAACCACATTCATCAAGTGTTTCTCCTCCTATGATTAAATGTTCAGTGTATATAATTTAATTCTTCATGGAAAATGTAGATATTCATTCCACCCTCATCTTGTTTCACATCATTTAAATCGCATTAGGAACACATGGTTCAACAATTTTATAATGTCAGGAAACCAGTGTACAGTAAAAACTGATTTACTAGCAATCAAAAACTATTCTAAATTAATATTGTAGACAATTATAGTGTTCATTAATTTGCTCACAGGCAATAAGTATAGCTGAAGTCCTGCGTAATTATATTGTGATATTTTTCAGTGCACAATTGTGTTACATATTACATCCAGAAGGAATATAGTCTGGATACAAAGGAGATGAATGTTGGATATTTGCAAAATAATACAGTCCAGATACAACATTGGGTAGCTTAGAATGACTCTCTCCCTCATCTCTAAGTACCTACCACTAAATCAAAAGCTGTAACTGCTCTATTTCATTCACAGAACTCTTTGATTCTCAGAGGGCAGCTATCATGTTATATGCCTAAGCAAGTGTTTCAGTGGGAGGCAACTTCTGAAACCATTCAACTAACCATATGTAAGAACTGACAACTATAAAATAAGTATAAAAGGTTCCTAAAGGGCTGAAGCCTACAAGGGCTGCCATAGTTGAACTATATCCCAATAAACCACTGTATCCTTCAAAACCAATCCAATTAAATCCTTTCTATAGTATGCCTGTGGAATTAAGTTTCACCTACTTTGGTCCCTCAGATTTCATAGACTTCCAAACCCTTTCATAATAAACAGATACATTCTGTGACTATTAGCAACACTAGCTAATGGATTATAAAAGTATTGGCCTTTGTATTTCAAAGTGCAATCTAAACATGTTAACTCAGAACCAAGTTCCATTGTATTCCAGGGAAGTATTCAAAGGTTTTTAGCCTAAGGGCCACATCCAACATCACACAATCACAATTCTCACAACAGAATGTCCCCTTCTTCTCTGCCCCCTGCAGCCTCTGTTCACATGCCCCAAAATCTGCTCCGGGTCCTCAACCTTCTCTCCACAAGCAGTTTTCTGGGGCACAGAGGGAGAGAAGGACTCCATTCTGCCAGTGGTGTCTGTTCCCCTGACAAATGGATATCATTTGATTTCTAAAGCTTGGTTTAACTATGGACTTTTAAGTATATAGCACATCAGATGAGTATCTAAACAAGCATACATAGAAATTCTGAAACAGTTTTGAGAAGGTGAATATCTCATTTAAACAAATCATGAGAAAACTCACCCTTGCTTTTGTCTCTGCTTTCTCCTATATCAGTGCTGGTAATGGCAATTGTATCAACCAAGGCCATCAAAGACATCTGCTCCATCCTGGTGAGACCGGGTAAGCTAGCGTGAAGCAAGTGCCGCGAAAGAACTTGAGCATGCTCTGGTCCAAAGTAAGTTGGACTGTACTGAGAAAGATCAATAACCTTTGGCTTTTTATCTTCTTCATCTACTTCAAACATAGTGAGATCATCCGTATGTAGATTGGAATTCTGAAAGAGATCGTCATAGTTTTCATCTGCCACCTCTTGCTTCTTAAGGGTTCTTTGGTTATTCGACTTCTCTGTACATGATGTATATGAGCAGTCCTCATCTGCGGCAAGCAATGCATATAAAGGTAGTGGTGGAACAGAGTCTATTTCTGTATAGTCTGTAATAGTACATTTGCTAAATGTCATGGGGTCCCGCGTACTGCTCCCACTGGCACAGATTGAGAGAGAACGGTACCGCTTTTCATGCTCAGGATCGTCAATGGCAATAACTTCTCCAGCAATGCATTTCACAAGATGAGAGAGGATGGCTTTTGCTCTACGCACTTTCCCTAGATCCATGAGTTCCAAAAGCTGCATAGGATGGTACTGAGGTAAAGTAGGACATAATGTATGAGCTGCTTCAAAGAGGCCAGAATCTTCCATCTCCAGGGACAGATCATATACAGTTCGTTTCCCACTCAGTTTCTGAGCGAGACTTGTCATGGATCTGGTCAATGTCCTCTTGGGTGGGTGACCACCAGATGACTGACTTTGTTTCATTAAGCTTATTATGGATGGTGTACTCCCACTGTAAGAGTCTAGAGTAACAGGTTCTTGCTTTGTAGGGGGCTGCCACTGAGAATAAACATGCATTTCACAATCCATCCCAACTACGAGGATGCCATCACGAACCCAAGATAAAGAAACAGGTAAAGGCGGTGAACCTTCTACTGATGAAACTAAATCCACACATCTTAGCAATATAAATCTAGAAGAGCATGACGTTTTAGCATTTTCCCACACAGGCAATACGAGCATCTCCTTACCACTTTGTTCTTGCATCTTCCCAGACAGCTGACCAAACATATACAGCTTTGCCCCAATGCCTACTGTTAGGATATGCGAGCCGTCTTCTCTAGACATCCAGTCTAAGTGAACCATATGATTTGTTCTAGGTATTAAATTCTCATTTCCATCTATCACTGAACTGCTGTCAACACCCAAAGAGTCCAATGTTGGGTTTAGCTCATCTAAGTGAAGCGTTTGTTCCAATATCCAACAAGAGCCTCCTGTAGATTCGCATTCAAAAATTCCAACCGTCACCAAAAAGTCTTGAGATGAACGACTGTTTACAGTTGGTGTTCGCTTATAGGCCACAGCTAAGCGATTTGTATGTGCACAGCTGATTTCCAGAGCTTGGCCTGGCACAAAAAGAGCACTACTGCTAAGAAGTCCATCTTCTATTAGTAATGGCCATTCTTCCCATATATACATGCCACTGTTCGTAATACTCTCTGCTACAGAAGTCACACCTGATTCCACTGCTAATCTGCACCTCCAAAACCTAACCTTACCATCTGAGCATAAAGTTGCCAGAAGATAAGGTGCACGACATACAGGATAAATGGAAGAAGAACTCAGGTGACCTGAAATTAGGAAGAAAGAAACCCTCAGGATAGCAGATAAATATATTTTTTAAAATACTGTAAATCTCCTAGGAGTGATCAGCATTAAATGATCAACAAGTTTAATAAAGTATAACAAGAAAAATACAGAATTCCAAACTGGACCACCCCCCCCCCGAAATCAGGACGTTCAAATAGAGTGGTACCTTGATACTTGAATGGCTTGGCTCCCAAATTGGCTGCCAAACACCGCAAACCCAGAAGTGAGTGTTCTGGTTTGCAAATGTTTTTTGGAAGCCGACTGTCCGATGCAGCTTCTGCAGCTTCTAATTGAGTGCAGAAAGCTCCTGCAGCCAATCAGAAGCCGCAACTTGTTTTTTTAATGGTTTCGGGAGTTCAACAGACCCCTGGAAAAGATTAAGTGCGAGAACCGAGATACCACTGTAAATCCAAAGTTACCCCCCACCCACCCACAATCCCCCCCTAAATTACAAACCTGCTGATGGTTTGATGCTTATGATCTCTACTCCTTCTGGTAAATTCAATTCTTGACTATAGACAATTTCTGAAGAAAGAGTAAGTTGGCTGGTACTTTGAAGGTTCTCTTTGCAGGCTTGATATTTCTGAGTAAAGGAAGACTGGAGCTTCTCTTGATCTGGAGAAGTGTAAAGCTCTTCTTGAGATGCTGCTTCACATGCCTTGGAGTCTATTTTTTCATCTAAAGAAAGTGGACATTTTAGCTAGATGTATTATAAAAGCAGGTTTTTTTTAAAAAATAAAATAATAAAAATCTATACCCCATGTATTCAAATTCTAGCCTAATCCTTGCATTGATGTTGACCTATTTTCTTTCAATGGGTTTAACATGTTTGTGAGCTCGGGGTCATGTAACAGCTATCATGAACTACCCTTGGCACTCTTAAGACTTCAAGTATCCGCAAGCTGTTACAACTATTTATGTAACGGTTTAGTAGTCTGTATACTATATTTTAATACTGAAATACATTAGCAAGGGGCAACAGTCACATTCTGTCCCCATAAGCTCTACATAGGCAGACCCTAGAGATAGTGAACTTGACTTTTCAAAGCCACACATAGCAATAATAGCCAAATTATCAGATGGAGCTGTTGACAGAGTTCTTCTTTCAGATACGGGAAAATGGGTAGCCCACAGCAAATTGTTTCAAGACTAACATACCTCACATGACAGTCTGAAGATAAATGATTTAAGAACTGTAATGTATTCATTCTTGTACTGGAAATGTTATGCTGTCTACAATGCACCATTCTGCACAACGCAATCATTTTGGATTATTTGCACCAATGCAAACTGCCATATTTGTATTGATCAAATTAGCGCTACGAAGCACCTTTTAAGGCTCTTTTAAAAATATTAGGCTGCACCCAAACACTGGATATGATTCAGCCCTTACTTTCAACAGGAGGTGTGCTTAATTGCCTGTTTAAAATCAAACACATGCAATATGTTTAACTGAAAACTACCCATGGCTGGATTTCTACCCATTGCTTTTTAGGCAGACACAAACAGACTGAAAATGACTTGTTTTACTTTACTAATATTGGCCTGGGTTGCATCTTCCAAGAATTCTCTCGGTGTGCCTCCCTTCCTCTTTCCACGCTGCTGCTGCTGCATCACTGACAAGCTAAAATCTACTTTGTTTTGTTGTTTGAACCCAGGCTCACTGTTTGTTTCCTCCAAACTAGCATCAAGTCATACTATGACCTAGTATTTTCTTAGTGATGAAGCAGCAGGGAAGTAGCAATGTAGAAACTTTATAATAAAGGATAGCTTATTTGAGAAGATTTTGAGGCAAGGACAAAAAGAAAAACTAAATCCCATGCGTGCGTGCGCGCGCGCACACACACATTTGAAGAAGAACCAAAAATATTATTGAACTACAGCATTGCAATAATAATCAAAATAAGCAAGCATTCTATCAATAAATGTGCTTTATAACTTTAAAATTTACATTACAAATATAAATAACCTACCTATTGAGACTGGTATGGACTTCAAATGTAATTTCCACATATGTAACATTGAACAGTTCTGAGTATGTTCAATTACTATTAAATAGAAGTTTTCAGAAAACCCATTTTTCTGATATCCTGCAAAAATGTAGACAGATTTAGTTATTAGTAGAGGATAATTTCAGCAGTTGTTAACAACTGACTGGATAACGTTCATCCCTCTGTTTTATGGTATGTATGCATTCAATTTATATACTTGAAGGACCATCCTTTGTATAAAAAACTACAGAGTTTTTTACTTGTTAAGGAATCCTGTTTTTGACACAGATTTAGTATGGCACAAGCTTTCACGGAATCCAGTCCACTTATCAGATGCATGAAATGTTATCCTGGGTTGTAAGTACATATAAACATTTGGAGGGGGCAGAGAACAATAAAGTCAGAAAGAAACGGGGGTGCAGAGTAATGGGAGTACAATATGGTGTTAATCGTGCTATTTTATTTTATTAGCAGTGGCCATTCATACACCAAACACACAAACACACACACACAATATTTAACAAGCCAGATACTCTGGTACACCTGGTTCCATACATTGCAAAGGGATTTATTATTTCATGAGAGAGAATAAAAATTGAGCCTTAGGCCACAATTCTATGCACAATTAGTTCAGAGTAAGTCATACTGATTTCCGTGTTGCTAAGAGCCAAACAAGATGTGACAGTAAAGGTGTCGTTAGGAAAAACATTATTAATAATAATAATAATAAGAGCATGAGTGATTTTCATCAGGTTCTCAGCACACAAGAAGGGAAGATTCCGCTTTTACTTCCCAAAACAGTATTCTGATTAGGTAAAGGCAGGCTTCCTCAACCTCGGCCCTCCAGATGTTCTTGGCCTACAACTCCCATGATCCCTAGCTAGGACCACCAGTGGTCAGGGATGATGGGAACTGTAGTCTCAAAACATCTGGAGGGTCAAGCTTGAGGAAGCCTGGGTAAAGGTAAAGGTAAAGGACCCCTGGATGGTTAAGTCCAGTCAAAGGTGACTATGGGGTTGCAGCGCTCATTTTGCTTTCAGGCTGAAGGAGCTGGCATTTGCCCACAGACAGCTTTCCGGGTCATGTGGCCATCATGACTAAACCGCTTCTGGAGCAATGGGACACTGTGATGGAAACCAGAGCGCACGGAAATGCCATTTATAATCACACAACCACCCCAAATTGGCTTTGAGAGGAAAAAGCTCCCAGAAGTGAAAAAGGGACTTTTCCCATATGTGGGAGGGATGATTTTCACTGTGATGGTAGCTAGGGATTTAAGTCTCTTCCTTCAATGTGGCTCTGTTGAAAATTCGTTTACTTTTGCCACACTAAAATAAAAATTAAAAAATGCAATTTTCTAATGATGCATGAGTTCTGGGAACTAAGGGCTGACTCTAAACATGGGAATGGAATGCTGTTCAAACTCAATCCAACAAGTCCCTTTAAAAATATACAAATGATTATACATGCCATGGCAATTTGGCACTGTAGAATAGCAGCTTCTGAACAAAAGGACTACATATTCAGAATTTCAGATTACTCTTTTCTAGACTGAAGCCTGTACAATAACTGGTTTACATACACAGCGGAGTGAGAGGAGAATAAAATTAAACTGTAATACAATAAAAGAAATAAAAGCAGCAATAAAATACAATTAACAATCAGTATGAAAAATGGGATGGATGTGGTGTCTCCCATCTTCAACCACAAATCCAGACACAGACCACCTGAATGAAGCTCATTGACCAGTTTGAGAAACCCTGCTTTAGAGGCAATTACGACATTTAGTTTGGCTCTTAGCAACATTTGGCCTTCTGCATTGGCCAGCATGGGAAATCTTTGGCAGATATGCCTTGTGGACACGAACATTTGTGAAACTATTTTGTTTTTAAAGACTAAAAATGAATTTTAGGAGACACAATTATAACTAATAGTATACAAGTTAAACTGTCAAAAAAAACAGAAGTTAGTATAGTCATTTCAGAACACTTATCATTCCATAGAATCTGTAAGATATTTAAATTTTAAAATAAAAAGACAATTAAAACCATACCGCAACAGCACACCACATTACAACTGCTACAGCAGGTAGAAAATTTTTTAAGTGGTCCACCAAGACCTTCAGCAATCATCAAGTAGTCCATGGGGGCAAGTTTGGGAATCACTGCTCTAAAATATTAACAGTATGCTAGGATAAGCCTGTTGCTTACGGGACAGGAATCCCATTTTCTTACTATAATTAGAATACAATCACTGCTTTAGATTTCATATTTCCACAGATTGTTACACAGTCATAATGCCATTGTATTGAGAAGTTACTAAAGACGCTTTACCAGAGTCAGGTAACATGGTGTTTTTCTCAGACAGTCTATTTTCATGATTATTCAAAATGAAATCTTCTTGAAAAACGTGAAGTAGCTGCATTTTCCCACCACGCTAAATAATAAAAAAGCATATTAAAACACAACATTCTGCCCAAATTAAATTTAAATAGTCTCAGATAGAATATGTTGAAAATATGCAATACTTTGCTGAACATATTTTCAGGAGGCAAGGGGTGGATTAGCCCCTGAGAGGTTGATAGAAAAATCAGGGAAGAGGAGTCCCTAGAGAAGCTGGGAAGTGGAGCTAGAGCAGAGGAATCTGCAGCTTCTGTTGATTCTCTTATGATGGGACCTTCCCAGAGAGTGGTAATAATGCCTACTTTTATTTCTTTGTGGCCCAACCCTATAAGCCATAGAATAAAAGCAGGAATGGCTATACTGCTCCACCTCCACCAGTGTAACACTGCCTCCCTAACCTCCTAGATGATGAGCTGTTGCAGCCAGCAAAGAAAATTTGCCCAGACTTAGGTTCCTACCACAAGTCTGGAGTCACAAAGCAAGATGACCCGCTGTGCTGCCAATAGCATGAGAGGATGACTCATAAGAGGCTTCCCTCAGCATCACTGCCACCTCCTCCTCTTCAATGTGTTTCATCTTCTTTGCGACCACACAGGCTGTGTAAAAGCCTCATCCAACCACTGATTAAATGAAGTCTGTATTCCCTTAAGTTTTACCTCTTATAGTTGTTTTAACTGCATGTCTTTTAGTTCTTATCTGTTTTAATTATCAGTTTTTAGCCATCCATTATCTATGTTTAATCTCATATTCTATTCACATGTTTTATCCAATGCCTGTTTCTTTGTTCTTATTTGCTTTAACAATTATCTGTCTAAATGCTAACTGGTATTTTAGTTATATTTTTTCTTATGCTGGTCTGTGACTGTAATAAAGTTCATTTATTCCTTCGTTCATTAGAGAAAACTTCCAAAAACCTAACTTATTCACCAATTCATTTTTCTGGATCAATGCATATTGTCAGGGAACTGCCATCGGACGGAAGGGAGGTGAAAGGGCTCACACAGGTTGGGAGAGACGCAGCAGCTGAAGAGGAAACCAACAGGGAGGTGAAAGGGCTCACACAGGTTGGGAGAGACGCAGCAGCTGATGAGGGAACCAGCAGGGGGAGAGGAGCTGAGCTGGAGGGATGGCTCAGAGACACTTCCAGCGAAAACAGTGGAGAGGTTTCAGGACCTCCTGTAAGAACACCCACTCCTCGCCGGAAACTGTCACGCAGAGATTCCAGAAGACGTGTTTCCGTTAAGGAGCTTTTATGTTGGAAGCGATTACGAAAGCAACCACTGTCGGAATCTGCTAGTGACTAGAGTAGCCATGTCTGAGGGGCTCTGTCACAGACAGAGGTTTGTGGACTTGAACAAACTCTGAGGGGATACGATTTTACGCACAAGCAGCTCATCATCCCATCACAGCATTCCGACAGTCTTTGAAAGCAGCTTGTGCAGGAGAAGGTATCATGAGCAACCCAGCCGGAACCGGAGAAGCAGGAGCTGGAGCGGGTCCAAGCCTGGAAGAAAGGTACCAGATGTTGGAGGTCCAGCTAGCGATGCAGACGGCGAGGCTTGAGGAGAGGAGGGCTCAGGATGCAGACAAAGGGGGAAAGCCACCCAGTTCGCCAGAAAGGTACCAGGATTGGTGCAGAAGTTTGGGGGAGCCCAAAACTATCATGGTTTTCGGACAGAAATGCAATATGCCCTCAATCTGCAGTTTGATGAATTCCTGACGAGGAATCACGAGTGGCTTTCGTGATTGAGCATCTTGAAAAGGGGGCGAGAGACTGGGTTAGACCCCTGATGGCAGCGAATAGTGACGTCTTAAAAGACACGATGAAGTTCTTTCGCGCCATGGATCTGATGTTTTCCAGCGATATTGAAAAGGGAGTGGTGCGCAGACAGTTAATGGGTTGCAAACAGGGGAGCCGATCTGTCCGTGAGTACTGGACTGAGTTCACCATGCTTGTTCACAGATTGGGGTGGGACTTATCGGCGGAACCCATTCAAATGCTCTTTGAAGAAGGGCTTTCTTCGGCTGTGAAAGACGAACTTTCCCGGGCGCCCAGGGCGGAGTCTATGGACCAGCTGACCAAATCAGCGCTGGCCATAGGAGCGCGCCAGGAGGCGAGAGCATTGGAGAGGCGGGAAGGGAAAGGGGAACGTTGGAAGGAGTTCCGCATTCCAGACATTCCAGAGCCAACTTTCCCACCGGCAGAGCCGATGGAAATCGGAACAGCGGCGCGCGCGCAGTTTCAAAGCCCAGTGAGGGGGCAAAGAAGGAGGGAAAAGGCGCCCGGAAATGCTATCTCTGCCAACAGCCAGGTCACTTTGCCAGAGTCTGCCCCCAGAGGAAAGAATGGCAAGGGATGGTAGGGGCTGTGGATGGAAGAGAGGAAAATATACCGGAGCAAGTAAAGCCAACGCCTGGCTGCCACTGTCAGGCACAGCAGCCAGGCCAAAGAGCAGTGAGAGTGCCCACGCCAGAACCTCCTAAACCCGCCCTAGTGATAGAAGTGACGCTAGAGCTGCCAAACGGACACCCTCTAAAGATAAAGGCGCTGTTGGACTCAGGCAGCTCCTGCAATTTCATGAGCAAAGAGTTTGCAGCTGAACACCAGATACAGACAATCCGTTTAAGCAGCCCCCTGCAGGTGACCACGATCGATAGCAGGGAGCTGTTGGGTGGAGAAGTCAGCTTGCAGACCGTCCCAATGATAATGAAGGTAGCAAGGCACACCGAACTGATAGCTTTTAATGTGGCCACCTTGGGAGGAGCTCCCATTATATTGGGGATGAGCTGGCTAGCGTTACATGATCCGCTGGTAGGCTGGCATCAGAGAGTGGTTTCTTTTGGTTCAGCACATTGCTTAGAACACTGCAAAGAGGGAAAGGGTTTGGCAGGGGTCCAAGCCACCCTAGCAGGGACTGAAGTAACAGAGAACGTGAAGGTACCACGACAATATGCAGATCTCCGTGACGTCTTCAGCGAAAGGGAAGCTGACCAACTACCCCCGCATAGACCCTTTGACTGTCAAATCAACAGCTCCCTGTAGGCAAGCTGTACGCCATGTCAGACAGAGAGATGCAGGAGTTAAGAGAGTTCATTGACAAGAACCTGAAGAGAGGGTTCATCAGAGAGTCCAGGGCGGTGGGGGCAGCCCAGTGTTTTTGTGGATAAGAAAAACACGAACAAGCCGAGGCTGGTGTGTGACTTCAGGGCCTTAAATGCAGTGTCAGAACCAGTAGCCTTCCCTATGCCCAGGATTGACGACATTTTGACAAGGGTGCGGAAGGGAAAGATTTTTACAAAGCTGGACCTAAGGGGGGCGTACAACCTGGTACGAATAAGGAAGGGGGATGAATGGAAAACCACTATGTTCACCCCTTTAGGGGCATTTGAATATTTGGTTATGCCCTTCGGCCTACAAGGAGGCTCCGCAACATTTCAATCGTTTATGAACCACGTCCTGGGGCCTTTGCTTTACAAGAATTGTGTGGCCTTTTAGACGACGTGTTGGTGTATTCTGAGAATGAGGAGCAGCATGTGAGAGACGTCAGAGAAGTGTTGAGCAGGCTGCAAGCCAACCAGCTGTGGGTGAAACTGGAGAAGTGTCAGTTTCATACCAAGGAGGTGGAATTCCTGGGGTATCGCCTGTCAGACAAGGGATTGGCCATGGATCCCGGCAAGGTCCAGGCTGTGCTGGAATGGAAAACACCCAAAACAAAGAAGGATGTGCAGAGGTTCCTAGGATTTGGGAACTTCTATCGTAAGTTCATCCGAAACTTTGCCCACCTGACGGCGCCCATTACGGACTGTCTCAGCAGTAAGAAGAAGTTCGTGGGGACTGAGGAGGCGGAGCGAGCATTTGAGCAACTAAAACGGCCTTCGCCTCGGAACAACAACTCCTGCATGTGGATTTACAAAAACCGATGAGAGTGGAAACTGACGCATCAGACAGAGCGATTGGGGCGGTGCTTCTGCAGCCAGGCAAGAAGGGGTCAGAGTGGAGACCGTGTGCCTTTTTTCGCGAAAGCTGAACAAATCCGAGAGGAACTACACGGTGTATGACCGAGAACTACTAGCCATTCATGAGGCGTTCCGGAGATGGAGGCACCTGCTAATTGGCGCACAACATAAGGTGCAAGTGTGCACTGACCACAAGAACCTAGAGTATTGGAGGACGGCACGAGTGCTCAACCAACGGCAAGTGAGATGGGCCCAGGAGTTCTCCAAATTTAATTTTGAGATTAGTTACGTGCCAGGCCCAGAGAACATTAGGGCGGACGCTCTCTCACGCAAACCTGAATATTTGGAGGGAGGGGCACCCGAAGAGAGACATGTCATTCCAGAAGACCGCTGGGTGTGTGGGGCGGCATTGGTGGGACAAAGAGAACTGGTAGAGGAAACAGAGAATGATGAATACGCCCAGAATAAGCTCAGAGGTCTTAGGGGTGATGGAGAGGAACCAGGGGGTTTCGAGGAAAGAAATGGAGCTTTGTATTACAAAGGGGCACTGTATATCCCTGAAGGAGAGTTAAGGGGAGGGTACTCAAGCAGTTGCACGACAGCCCTACGGCGGGGCATTTTGGACAACACAAAACCATGTGGTTGGTCACCAGGGAATTTTGGTGGCCTAAGGTGAGGGAAGATGTACGTGAGTATGTAAGAGGGTGCGAGCAATGCCAGCGAGCCAAAGGGGAAAGGCGGGCGCCGGCGGGGCTATTAGAACCCTTACCAACCCCAGAACGACCTTGGGAGGCAGTGTCGATAGATTTTATGACTGATCTGCCGAAGTCCAAAGGAAAACAGCCATCATGGTGGTGGTAGACCTACTAACAAAGATGTGCCACTTTGTAGCTTGCTCGCATGCAGTCACGGCGGAAGAGACAGCGAAGTTATTTGTAGAAAACATTTTTAGGTTGCACGGGGTGCCATTGAGGGTGGTCTCAGACCGAGGAAAACAATTTACTTCCAGGTTCTGGAGGAAGCTCATGAGCTTACTGCAGGTGGAGGTCAATTTTTCGACTGCCCGGCACCCTGAAACCAACGGGCAGGCAGACAAGAACCGAAGGGAAGGTGAAACCATAAGGGTGGGAGATAGGGTGTGGCTGTCAACCCAAGGGTTGCCGTTCAAAGGAGGTTGTAAGAAATTAAGACCCAGGAGGTTGGGTCCCTTTGAGGTCATTCAACAGGTCAACCCAGTGGCTTTCAGGCTCCGGTTACCCAACCACATGAAACTGCACCCAGTATTTCACAGGTCGTTACTGTCACCGTACGAAGGGGACGAGAAGGGCTGGCCACTCGGGGACCGGGTCGTAGAAGAAAGAGAATGCAGCAGCCATGTGGCAGAAATCCTCGACGCCAGGTGGAAGGGGGATCAGGTGGAGTATTTGGTAGCGTGGGAAGGAGAACCGGAGTCAGAAAACACTTGGGTAATGGCTGAAGATATCAATGACGAGGTATTGATAGAAACGTTCCATCAAAGGTTCCCAAGGAAACCTCAGCCTGTGGAGAGGTTCCGGAGGGAATACTTTGGGACCACTGATGAAGGGGAGGAGTTGGAAGGATTCCCGGACTCGGAAGGGGAGATGGACTCTGAGGAGGAGGTGTACTTCGAGACCAGGAACCGCAACAGGTTGAGAGAAGTGTTCGAGACATCGGAAGATGAAGGAATTTCATTCCGGGTTTTGCCTCCTCACCGCCCGTAGAGGAGGGGCGAGAGGGGGTGAAGGGGGCCCTGGAGGGGGAGGTGGATGTCAGGGAACTGCCATCGGACGGAAGGGAGGTGAAAGGGCTCACACAGGTTGGGAGAGACGCAGCAGCTGAAGAGGAAACCAACAGGGAGGTGAAAGGGCTCACACAGGTTGGGAGAGACGCAGCAGCTGATGAGGGAACCAGCAGGGGAGAGGAGCTGAGCTGGAGGGATGGCTCAGAGACACTTCCAGCGAAAACAGTGGAGAGGTTTCAGGACCTCCTGTAAGAACACCCACTCCTCGCCGGAAACTGTCACGCAGAGATTCCAGAAGACGTGTTTCCGTTAAGGAGCTTTTATGTTGGAAGCGATTACGAAAGCAACCACTGTCGGAATCTGCTAGTGACTAGAGTAGCCATGTCTGAGGGGCTCTGTCACAGACAGAGGTTTGTGGACTTGAACAAACTCTGAGGGGATACGATTTTACGCACAAGCAGCTCATCATCCCATCACACATATTCATCCCAAAGAGGGAAGTATCATGTACTGTGAGGAACTCATTGGTTTGCATGTTATTTGACACGAGAATGCCAATTGATGCAGAGATGAGATGAGCTGAACTTAAGGTTAGGAAAAACCATCTGTAAGATTTGGTATTTGCCACCTATGTTCTCATCTGGTCAAATGAAGTGATGGGAAGTCCTGGCCAAAACAATGTGTTCTGCTTTGTGTATAAAGGATGTAGAAATGTTTGCTTGGGCACGGGCAAGCCATCTCCTTGCTGTGGTGGTCCATTCTACTTTCTTGGGGATGTGGCAAGCTGATTTGCTGTAACTCTACACCCTTCTTTTAATAAAATCTGAGGCAATTTTACGTGAGGTGGCAACTGGTTAGTAGCATCCCCTGACTCTGGGCAGAGAAGGGTGGGGTAGTACTGTTCTACCTACGCTAGCAGACTCATACCCAGTTAGAGAGAGCAAAGAGATCCTAGTTTTCCCCAGACCAGCTGCCAATGACTGGGAAACTCACTGCAACCCTGGCAGGATACTGTGGTTCCCTTTCTTCACTTCCCTGCTGAACTGAGCTGAGGGGGCCAAGGCTGGGAAGCAGTGTGCTTATGGCCAGTTTGGTGGTAGGAAGGAAGGTTAGTCCTTCTCACAACATAAATAAAAATACAATCTTTGCAAAGCTTGTCCCCATTCCTCAGCCAAGACCCTGTTCTTACAGTGCCAGATAGGGCCATTCTCATTCTCCAGGATGGGATCATAATGATTAGACCCTGCCTGGCCTTGTTGGGATGAGCTAACCCTGAAGATCTTGGAATGCCCTCTAGAATAAGGTTATCAGATTTTTTTCAATGAATCCGGGGACACTTTTCAGCTTCAATGAATTTTGTATGGGGACTGATTTGTAAATCCAGGGACTGTCCCTGGGAAACGGGGACGTCTGCTAACCTTACTCTAGGAACCACAGGAGAAAACACAATATTTTGCTCATTTTTTTCAGAGGCATATGATTTCTAGAAAACAGGTTATTTCTTTTGAATAAAATAAAACAATGATGTTTCCACCCATAAAATGCAAGCGCCTTACCAGCTCTGTAATGGAATTCAACTCTACAATGCATCCTGGTCTAGCTGTGGATTGTTGACTTATGATGTTAAAAACTTCACCAACGTATTTCTGTAGAGTTATAAAGGTCAATAGTTACAATTTTTGAGATTACATAAACCATTGTCTGAATCTTAATGTAATGTAATCACTTGGGACTTTATGAGAAGGTATTTCTGCTTTACTTAAAAAAGAGTGAGAATTTTTATTTTTGTGAATTCCTTAAGGCAAAACAAGTTTTGTTCTGAGAAATCTGGGTCAGGGATGGGGAACCTGTGGTTCTCTGTGATTACAACTCCCATCATCCCAGGTCATTGGTCATTCCAGGTGGGGTTGATTAGAGCTGGATTCCAGAAACATTTAAGGGGACACAGATTTCCCCATGCCTGATCTAAGCAAAGCTCAAAAACATAAAAATCTCCTTATAATTTCAGGAGCCAAGATAAATCAAGCCTGAAAAAGATTAGTCATACTTTATTAAACTACAGGGCAAGCTAGACTTGATGCATGTGGCAGGAGTTTAATCCTCCCCTTGTGATCTTTCTGTTAGATTATGTTAGATTTCTGTTAATTATGTAATTAACAAGCCTACTGGCCTTTACTTACAGAAATTCCTGGATTTGATAGCTCACAGAGAAGTTTTTTGGCATCTATTATAGCTTGATACAGTCTCAAATATTGTCCATCACTTGCAACAAAGCAAGCACTTGGTGAATTACAGTATGCACCTAAAGGCAATTATGAACAGTCTGATTTAGGTAAAAAAGATCAACAAGTACCAGTACATACACACAGTTTTATTCAGATATCATTATGAGTTGTTACTATGTTCCTTATTTTATTTATTCATAGGAGGGACTTACCTAGGCAGTAACTGGGTATAAGGGTAGGCAGCCATGCCACATTTGAAAAGGCAGAGACATGAAGAGAATTAATTCTTGCAAGCTCAGAAACTCCACCAGAAAAAGATAACGGCCCAACTGGATCAACTCTCCAAAGGATAAGTTCACTGTAAACAGCAGTGAGATCCTGTGATGTGCTTGCTGTGCCTTCATCATGAAGTCTCGATGGTGAGACATCACACGACTCTTTTATACTGTCAACAGCCGGTGTCCTTATTGCATTATGATGAGAGGTTGTAAGCAGCAATGGAAGTACTGAATGACAAGCCAAGTCATTAAGATGGAAGCGATGACCACAATACCTTGATTTGTGGGAAATACTGAGTACAACTGAAAAGGCAGATTCCTCTGCAAAGCTGACCAGCCATTGGTTTAGAGACCCATCTGCATGTTTGGAAATCATCATAACATTTGGGGTGAAGATGCTTAATTTTAAGCTGTTGGTTGATTTACTATGGCCCGAAGAGATTAACATCGAGCAGGAACGCCCAAGGCTAGATGGTTTCTGTTTGCCTTGTTGAAGAGCAAGATCCACATTCTTTGTACAAGCATACATCACTACACTTTTGCAGAGCGAATTTGCATCACCAGTAGGGAAGGCCACAGGAATCCTCGAAACAAACGATACCTAAAAACAGAAATGGTACGGAGAAGCATTGGAATCAAGTGGAACACCTCAAAACTATTTAAAAATTTTATTCAGAAGAGCCACAGTACCTGTACTTGGCGAAACATGCCCGGCTGGTACTCATCTAGCCAATCTACATGCCATACTAACAGTGACCCATCCATAGGATGAATACTAAACAACATGTCTGCATTTTTATTCCATTCAGACAGCTGCACTTCAATCTCATGATCAACAATAGAAGATGACAAGGGGATATAGCTTGAATTTGGAGCTGGTTTTTCACCAGCAAGTTCTTGATTTCCTTTTTGATCTTCTCTATTGCCATCGGTTTCTGGTGAGAGAAAAAAGTGTCGCTGTCAAGAGATCTGCACACTGAAACCATCCTTATAGTTACAGGCAATGTGACGTTTTACAGCATTTTCTAGAACTCAAAAAGTTCTAGCAGGTTGAAACAGACATCTCCTATACGCATACATTGACCTAGCACACATGTTACTTTAGACCACAGCTAAGTTTGACTGTGGTTTAAAGGTGAAGGGCAGTGTGTAAGTGAACAGGGAGGAAATAGTTGCCTCTTCATGCCACCCTTCGCTCCTGCCGTGATACTGGGAGTTAAATCAAAGTTACGCTCAAACCAAGACTCGGAGCTGACTCTCTCCAATCAACCCACAAGCTGTAACCAAGCCTTGTTCTTGACTTACACCTCAAGACTTTGTCTGGCAAAGACAAGCCACAAGTCCAGGTTCAGATGTAATGGTAGCGTGGCAGAAGTGGGAGAAGGGAGAGTAAATTTGCTGTTATTTTTTCCTTGTGCATCTGCATGCTGGACAGTCACCTTTAAACCATCTTTAAATTTAACTTTTTTCAAGTGACATGTGAATGAGACTACTTTGCCAAATATCCATGTTCAATATCTCTCCATCAAAAATTTTCTATGGCTGCCAATAATTTACTATGACTCTTTTAAAAAATATTTCATATTTGGTTTATCTAAGAAAGCAATGTTCACGTGAGGGATATTCCTTGTTCTGTGGGTAATTAAAGTCTGATTTAAAACGCTTTGAATGAAATATTCAAAATATAGAGGTCATGGCTTCAAGATTAAGTATTACACAGACAATGAACTCTCTCGTGCACTTAGGGAAAGAATCCAAAATTTTGCAAGTGGGCTTTCACACATACAATAGGACTCCTCCTTCCTCTCCTCCCCCTGCAACCCTCTGTGTGCTCTCAAAATCTTCTGGAGAAGATTCCAATGCTCTGGATCACATTTTAAAGGTGCCTGTTAAGACATACAAACTAAATAATAAATTAGTGTATTATAGGCATTACGTTGTTTCCAAAAAGAGTCAAACAAACCAACAGTAGGCACTTTACCTTCATCAGATTTTATCTCTGTCTGATTAGACTCTTCAGTGCTGACCTCTGAAGAAATATGCTCAAAACTCTTTTTTAGTTGCTGTAGAAAGACTTCCATTGATAGGGTAAAATGCAATTCTTTGTTATTCAGCCAGTGTACAACAAAAGGCCCACTCTTTTCTTCATTTTCATTAAGACTCAGAGACATGATGGAAGGGAGCAAAGGAATGTCTACAAGCAAAAGACCAAACTTACTTTCCCTTCAAGATGTACCATAACTTTTAAATTATTTCCTTTTTAGTAAGCAAAACTTAACTGCATTAGAAGATGGACATTAACACACACATGCAAAAATCACAGGACAGTTAATCCTACATTTCTTTAATAAAGCACACCCAGAGATATACATAGACCCCACTCCCCTCTGCCCACAAAAAAAGAGAATACAAATATGACTGCTTGAAAGTATGTTATTAACATCTCAAGGATTCATGTCCGAAATTCAAAGAGCTTTTTAAAGTACACCTGAAGATTTTGGGCATGCCCATTGGGATTTCTTATTTTCTTTTATTACCAGCAGAAACTAAATGTTATCTGACACAAGGAAGGAGGGCATGTTCAATGGACAAAGACCAGTCTGGTTTTCTTGTCTTTGGCTGCAAGGTGCCAACATAACCCAACTATGGCATGTGTGAATCACTGCCAAAGAAACTAAACAGATTATATGGCACAGTTTCATTTGAGGTTTTTGTTATTGTTATAAAATTTATATACCACCCTTCATGCAAAGATCTCAAGGCTCTGTTCCAGTTAACATAAATTATCTTCTGTTAATCATCTTCAGCAGTAGTCAAAGCCTCGAACTGAAGCTGTATATCATCATTATTTACAGTCAGACAGTATGTCTATATTACTTTTGCAGAAGAATTTTAAAATGAACTGTACCCACTTATAAAGCAAAAATTGGCATTCATAATCACCTGTAGCTGGGTTGATGCTGGCAGCAATGTGGAAGTGGCAAAGTGCATTTGATTGCAGCGGAGTGTTTCGATGAACTTCGTGAGCGTCTTGCTGATGCGGCAAGTATCCAGTATGTGCAAGTGCTATTGACCTCCTTCTTCCTCGTCGAAAGGGCTTTAGATTTAACTGTTGAGAAAATGACATGTTGTACAAAAGCAGAAAAGAAATCTAGCAGCAGCAATATAGCTCAGAATGCTATTTCTCAACAGTCAGCAAGTTAGTATGGTTGTTACTTTAAATACAAAACTATAATGATCTGGGAGGCTTACTCAGTCAGGTAATTATCTTCTTACCTCTAAAGCATTTTTCATGCTCTCTTTACTAGAAGCATTCCTCTTAAAGTTATTAGTTGACTTCACAGGTTCAGGCAAATGGTTGTATCCACCTCCATATAACAGACTGTCATTTGGCAACAAAGTCTCTGCCCAGAGACGGCATATATTATCTTTGCAGCATGTCAACAGCACATTACATACGGCACCACTAGAACAGGAAAAAAAGTTTTTTTAAAAAATTCTGCAGGGGTTTCTGAATTTTATACTGTGCTGCTACCTATACCAAGTCATATTTTTCTGCTTTGAAGTCAGTACTACACATGAATACTTGGAAATAACTTTTTAAAGAAAATGTAATAAATGTTCCTATTTCCTTACCACCCTTCTACAGCAGCAGTATGATGCAAGTTAGGGCAACTCAAGTCACAGTGGGCTTGGATATACAGTGGTACCTCGGGTTAGGTACTTAATTCGTTCTGGAGGTCTGTTCTTAACCTGAAGCACCACTTTAGCTAATGGGATCTCCTGCTGCCGCCACGCCGCCGGAGCATGATTTCTGTTCTCATCCTGAAGCAAAGTTCTTAACCCAAGGTAATATTTCTGGGTTAGCGGAGTCTGTAACCTGAAGTGCATGTAACCTGAAGCATATGTAACCCGAGGTACAACTGTATTAGGTTCCTGCTTTGTTTCCCTATAGCCAAGGATATTCGGATGCTATTTGTGCAACACTGGTGAGGACACAAACTCCTAACATCATATGTACAGTGGTACCTCGGTTTTCAAACGTAATCCGTTCCAGAAGACTGTTCTGAGTTCCGAAACATTTGAAAACCAAGACTCAATAGCAGACAGCTAGGTCTCCAGATCTTGCACTAAGCAGAAGCCACGTAGCACATTCAACTTCCGAGGCTTGTTCGAAAACCAAAGCATTTACTTCCGGGTTTTCGGCGTTTGAAAACCGAAACGTTTGACTTCTGAGATGTTTGAAACCTGAGGTACCACTGTATAAGATTTCCTACAATTAGTGTGATCGTTATTAAGTGACTCTCATTCGATGACTATGTTCCACTCACAAATCTATAAAACTAAGCAATTACTCAGTGCTGAGGCAGTGATGGAGAACGAAAATGTGGCCAGACAGCACGCTGCTGAAATCACTTACTAACTGTATTATAAGAACTTTTATGCCCACCAGCCAGGTAGATTAAGGTATTTTTCATTTAATGTCAGAACACATGTACGGAACCGATGTCAATGTTGCCAAAGTGTCGTACAGCAGACCTTCAGTGTGTTACAAGTGCGGGATGGTTCACAAGGCTTTGCACTGTGGCAGATATTTTACACGCTGCTTGTGACATTACGGAAGCCTATTACATGCAATAGCAGTGGATGGCATGGTGGAGGGTGCGCCACTCACCTGACATTTCTATGCTCCTGTTGCTGCTAAATACTGGGATGTAGAAGGGGAGCAATGAGGTGGTGGTAAGGTCAGTGCTGTGCAAACACACTGCCAAGAGCATCGTATTGGCTCCTCCAGTTTGCACTGCACTGACCTTAACCCTCCCATTTTCTGTCCTGATCGGCAGCTGCAACTCAGCTGGAGGGAGGTCAGGTGTGCAGCACAGTCCAACCTCAGGGTCTACTACTGATTATATAGCTCCATAATCTTATATTACCTGTTTTGGGATCACTACCGGTGAAGACTTACTTAGATTCATCTGAATAATTACTCAACCATGGCTGATTGGCACAATTTTGAGAGCACAAGGCAAAATTTGAAACCATTCACAATTTCTACCAATTCAAAGATGGAACAGTGAAAAAATGCTCACCGTGGCATGTAGTTACTTGTCTTTCGCCAGGAGAACCCATTAACAGACCGAGGATGAACCAAGTAGATAAAGGAGAAGCCTACTTCCTGTGTGATTGCTTCTGGTGCTGTAACTGGAGGTGTGACTGCTGACTTCCAGCTATCAGTGTTATACCACACCTTTACAAGACAATCATCCTAGCAAAGAAAAAGTGATATATATTAGAACACTATTTTCCATAATTGCTACACAGAGCTAATTCTTCCGCTTTTGCTCACTCTTAAATAAGCTTTTCAATACAACTGAATAGAATTATTTTCGACAGAATTATTTAATCATGTTGAATGGAGGATGAAGTCACCTTTTCCCCATAAAAACAACTTTTAAAAATTCTTCTTAATCTGTGGTTCATAATTTCTGCCAATTATTTTTAATGAACTCCATCCCTCACCAGGGCCACTTCTTTTTGAAAAATGTAAGCAGCAGCAAAAAAAAAGATCATACTCTTTCTGCAAGAAGAGCCAAAGGAGACTCCATTTCTCTCCCGAGTTCTCTGCCCTTGTCCAATCCTGGTTTCTGTAGATGTTTGATTCCCATGACACTCATCCACCCTCTGGTTGTGAGTACAGAAACAAAAATATAAAATGCTTTGCACTAAATGCTGATCTCCCTCACCTTGCATGAACTTCTCAGCTATTGACAGATACATAGCTGGCTTATTTTAACTGAAACTCATAACTCATTTCTATGTGTGTAAATAAGGGGAAAATTTGGTATTTTAGTATGCCATGCAGTTAAGATATCTGAACCATAATCAGAGCCCAGGAAGAAAGAATCACTGAAAAATCCAGTATAATAGAAAAACGGTTACTGAAAATAATAAAGAGAAAATGGAAGGTGAATGAAGAAAGATTAGCTAAATAATTATTCAAGAAAGAGATAAGCAGTTGTAAAAATTACAGAATTAACAGTCTGTAAAAAAAAATGTAGTCTATAGTCCAAGGATGCCAAGAAGTTATGACTACATGAGATAACAATAGAAAAGCATGAGCATAAAGATATCAATGAAGCTCTAGAGAGAAGCTGCTGAAGGACAAGATTTATCATGCTGTTTTGAAGGGCTGTTAAAGGCTCATTTGGAATTGAAATAAGAATGTGCATTGGCATAGAAGGTGCTATTAAAATAAATTTAAAATCTGAAAAAAAGAAAAATATCAATGGAAGTTTTCATAAGATTTGCTAATTACAGAGTAAAAGATGCAATTCAGATAAATGTTTGGACAGGGTATTCACTTAAAACAGACAACACAGAGGCTGATGTTTTAGCAGGTATGCATCTGAAAATATTAAGAAACAACCAGTAATTTTTGACCATTTGTTTGAGAGAGAGACAGATGAGGGACTACTTTTATTTTAAAGTTTTTGTTTGGAAAAGAATGGATTGCACTGCAGAATACCAAAGAAGGTCAACATAATCAAGAGTTCTCTCCAACAAGCAAATAAAACCTAACCACTTAATGCTAGGCTGATGTTATTAATCCTTTCATCTCTCTCAAGCAGAAACAGAATTTCTTGAGAAAGTAAGGGAAGGGAAGGGAAGGGAAGGGAAGGGAAGGGAAGGGAAGGGAGAAATGAAACATGAACAAGTAAGAGTAAGAGAAAAATGTATAACTGAATAATGGATAATTTAAGATTATCGTCTGTTAACGTATGGAGTCTGAATTAATAAATGCATAAACATCATTAGGCTATTGAGAAAAGAAAAAAAGCTTCAATAATTCACCTCCAGTATTTGATGTTCACTTCATCAAATCTGCCCCCCTTGGAAAAAAGTTTGGGTACCCCTGTATTAGAGCAACTACTGCCAGTGTCAAAGTATTTTCTTAAATGGGCATCCAATAATAAATAGCAGCTATCCATTTCCCTTAATTTTGGCACTATAGCCAAATATGTCAATTTCACAGAAAGTCATTCTGTCTGAAAAACAAGCATCACATGATTGCATCTTAGGCCTTAGGGGAAGTGTTAGCTGCTTCAAACAGATCACCATGTTATTGCAATATTATGCTTCTGTGCTGATGATTATTCATCCGAAGAGCACAAGAACTGTGAAATCCAATACATTAAGAGAAAAAAACATCACACTGGATTTTAAGTTAGCTGATCTTTTGTCCAAAATTTAGTTTATAAAGGTGGCTTATTATAACGAGCAATTTATTTTATTTATAAATTTGCATAGCACTCTTCATCTGAAGATCGCAGGGTGGCCCACAACATAAAATTGGAAATTATATTGTATGACTTATTCTTAATATTCTTGGAGGAAACTAAATTATGGTTTGTGAAATCTGTAATTTCCTCTTCTTTCAAGCAATTTATGACACTGTTGCAGCATCACAGTTGCTCCATGGATGAGTAGAGTTTGGGAAGATAGGGGCTTTCGCAAAACCACAGACTTACATAGCCGATTAGCTATGTGGACTACAACTTTCCAATCTTTGGCTTGTTAACCACATGTGACTGTGTCTGCATGCTGAACATTCTACAAGGCATAGGAGTATCACAGCTAAGCTTGCTTTGCCCTGCCTTTAAAAGCTTGGTGGTGGTCATGTTAACCCATTGGGACAAATGAGCTTCTTGCCCTGAACTTTGACTCAGGACTACTGCTTCTAGTCCAGCTAGCCCTGTCATTCCTGTTGCCTAGTCCAAGCTCTGAGGCTGTTATGATACTATGCTTGTTGCTGAGCCTGTACCTTTAATCTCCCTGTATAAAGATCTCTTCCTTACTCTCAAATAAGAACCTCTGTTGCCATGGTCTGAGTGGAAGCCAAGATAGGTAGCACCTATGAACTGCCCTCCCCTCCTCTTACTATAGTCACATGAGATGGAAAATGACTTAAAATGTGTGTGTAAGAATATCAACATTGTATCCCTGGTTTTATTGGTTCTTTTCATTTTATTGCTTTTTTTCAAAAATGTTTTATTGTATTTTTATTGTAATTACTCTTTCTTACTTTAATGCTATATGCAGAAAGCCTAGGTGTGAAGTTAAAATAAGAAATATATTTCAGATCCTATGAAACTGGTTTACCTTTCCTGCAGTAGCAAAAAATTCCCCATCTGGTGAAAACTTCATTAGCTGAACTTCAGAAGCAGTTCTGTGAAAAGCAGAAAAGAAAAGGGGTAAAAGATGTTCATCGTGATTTGATACCTCAAAAGCTTAATAAAACTGAACTTGAGTTAAATATTAGAGTTAGCAAAATCACTTATTTGAAATTCAATTATTTTTGTTTTAGTTGCAGATGATTAATTACAAAACTGATGATACAACTTATGTGGTTTACTTGGCTGTTCGCCTACCAAAAACAAAGTTACAACATTAACACAGGCTTTACAATTATAAAGCTTAGTAAAATCTGTTGAAACCCTGTTTCACTTCTTAGTATTTGCATTGTTTGCTTTATTTATGCTGGATCACCCTTCTTAGAGTAAAAGGGTGCTAAATACTCATATGCACTTCCATATGTTCAATGTTGTAGAAATGAAACATCTACTACATATTTTGGAAAGTATCTCATATATAACACTTTTTAATCTGGGAAACAACATGCAATGATTGGCTCACACCGAATGCACTGAATTGCAGTTTACCAAATATGAAATTAGACCCGTGCTGAGGACAAAGGAAGTCAATTAGAAAAGAATAAGAATTGAAACATGGATATACATTTATTATTTGTTTGTATTTTTTTAAAAGTCTGTTCATTGTGTGTGTTTGTGTTGTAATAATAAGCTAATAAAAAGCATATATAAAAAATGAATTGCAGTATACTTATCATTTAAATATACTGCTTTGGAGTAATGCACCGGTCCATGGAGGTACAAAAACAAGTGTAAATTAGTCTTAATATATTTCTTACTTGCACTGCCAAATGATTCTCCAATTCCGAGCTTCTGTTTTTTCAGGATTTTCATCTTCTGATGGGTTTTCATAATTGACATTGGACCAAAGCTGCAAACAACTGCAAGCCGTCAATAGACGGGAGCCTAGATTTTGAGAATGTGCACACATAAATTAGAATAAAAAAATAGTAGATAAAGTCAAGCTATAGACTCTGAAATAACTGTAACAAACTATATAACTATAAACCAACTATATACTCTGAAATATACACCTGAATCTATAAAGTTTTAGGTGATCAATCTAAACTGCTCATAATGAAACCACTTCATTTGCATACACAAAGACTAGAACTGGCAACTGTCCTGTAAGATGGCAAATTGGCAAGAAGTCAACTGGCAAAAATATGCATGCCAATCCAGCTATCAGAATTCCATCTTTATTAGTTGTCGCCTAGAGGAAGGGAAGAGATCGATCTAGCTTCACTTACCAGCAATGTACTTCAGCAGCTTCTCTGACTACACTGACTCAGCTAGTAAAATTCCATTTTTAACTGCCAAGTGCCTTATGAACAGATGGAACAGGCCTGTGTAAAGGATTCTCTTTATGAGGTTAAGCATTAAGGGATGGTGGGAACTCAGTAGACACATACATGAGGAATGATAGATCAGAAGGATTTGGAAGCATGGAAGAACAATGATGGCTGCAGAGAATCTCAATGTCACTCAACTCTTGCTAACTAGTCAAAGAACAGCTTTTTGGTGTCCAGCCAAAGAGTAAGGGATAGTAGGAAGAACCTCCAGATCAGAGTAGCCAGATGTTACTGGTCTCCAGCTCCAACCAGTCCCAGCCAGCATAGCTAAAAGTCAAAGCTGAGTCCAACAACATCTGGGCATCATTTTGGCTAATTCCAAGTTAGATACACTGAAACCTTAACTGCACAGCATCATGCATTGGGGCGAGAATGAGGCTTTGAGTTTGCTAGGAATTCTGCAACACAAGTAAGGTGAGCAATATGCATTGTCCTGGTCAATTTCTTTCAAATTAAAAATACTGATAAAGTAGCATGAGAATCCTAAGATTTAGGAAGTGGGGACTGTGTTGTAAAAAATGACTGAAGAGCAATGCTGTTTATATCAAATTTCCATAGAATCACAGAGTCATCTAGTCCGACCCCCGTTATGCTATTTAGACGTGTGTGTGTTTTCCAATTCATTCATATAAATGTCTCTTATTCCTCCACCCCCAAGCAGAAAAAAATAATCAGTTCTGCAAAGTATCATAAGCTTCAACATATATTCAAGTCAGTCAGTTACAGGGAAACAGAAAGCAAGGTTGGGGGTGTGGTTTGAGAGGAAGAGAGGAATCTTGGAAAAGAAGGGTACTTGAGAATAAACAGGGAGGTCCACTTCAGGGGAGGCTCGGGTTCCCCTGAATTCAAAGCACTCCCACTCCCCAGGCATACCCCTGGGATGGATGAGTGTGGAGACTTATGCCATTCCTTCAGCTAACACACTTATTTTCCCTCTAGCCACTCCCTATTCTCCCTAACCAGCATGAATTTTATGTTGTGAACTGCTCTGAAATCTACGGCGCTATACAAATTTAATTAATTAATTAATTAATTAATAATAATAATAATAGCAATGAAGCATGAGATTGGGTTGTTGTTCTATTACATATACTCCCCCCACTGTCATCCTACAGGATTGCTCTGCCCAACAGTACACTTCCTTCCATAGAAACATGCTTAAATGTGAATTAGATTATTATTATTATCACAAGATAATTCATTGAAAGGCAGGGAGAAAAGAAAGGCAAACATTCAGCTGATTTTGTATTTACCTGTTGGATCCCATGTTAAGTTATGCACCGCATCTTCCAGTAAAATTTGATCTGACTTCTGCCACTGATGATGTAATCCCTACAAACGAAACACAAATGCAATACAAATTGTTTCTAAACACCTATATTCAGTTGCCATAGTTGTCAATTAAAGCACAAGGAATTCAGAAGATTTGCCAAACTTCCTTCAGCAACTATTGGATAATATTTCCAAATAACTGAGATAGCAATAACAAGTTCTATAAGTTCAATTCTATAAGCTGAAACTGAAACTTCATTACAATGAGCCCAACACTTATGCAAGGGTTTTGTTCCAGGAGTCCGCATGCAATGGGGAAAACATTCAAAATCAGGAATCCCAGGAACCGTCCCACCCCACCCCAGTGAGGCAGAGGACTGCTCCCCAGGGGCTCTGGGAAGGTCATTGCCCTCCCATGACTTTCCCAGAGGCCAGTAAGCAAGTCGGTGCATCTGAAAGAAACCGCTCTATGTTTGGAAATACCAGTACTTGCATCAAATCTACGCAAAAGAAACTGGTCTATGTCTAGAAATATTTGCACCAAATCAAGAAATAAACTGGCATGTGAAAATGCAGAAGTTGATTTCAATAGTAATTTGTTTTACTACCATTTTGATGGTTTCTGTTTTTTATGTTTTTTGCCTGCTCATTATAAAGTGGCAAAACCACATAGATGCTAGTTTCTTACAGTTCAGCAGCTTGTAGCTCCATTTGCAACAAAAACTTAAAAAAAATTAATTTGTAATTATTGTCTGCATATACTGTACTTTCAATATACCAGAAACAATAATTCTATGGTAAATGAAGTTACACATAATGCATTTTATGTTCCTAAAGCAATAAAGTTACTTTTGATATTTAAAGAGTGCATAAAGAACCAAGTATTGCATTCCCCCCCCCCCCAAATTCTGTTCCCTCCGGAAAAAAACCCACCAAGAACATTTTCCCTCCATGGCTTCAAATAAATACAACTCACAATGCAAATGCTTAGCAAAGATAGAAAAGATAAATTACTTACAGTATGATGACTACTCTTCTGTTTCAGGTGTTGAACTGGCTCAAATATACAAATCACATTCCCATAAGAAGCTGCAATCTAAAGCAAACAGCATTTTAAAATTAGTTTGTACTGTATTTACTTGCAGGTTGTGTTACTTTCCTTCCATAGCCATAAACTTCTTTGTATCTCCACGCAAAGAGTCGCCATCACAGAAATGGCAACTAAGTTATTTTGAAGATACACAATATTCATTTGGTTAGATATGGCTACATAATAGCTTTGTTAAGACTCACAATATATCTAATTACCCTGAGGCTGGGAGCTAAAATGCACAATTACATTTGTTCAATTTATATGGTTCATGTATTTTAAATGGGGTGAGAAAGTGATATGCATGTAAAAGATACTCTGAAACATGATAAGAAATGTGTGATACAGATCAGAATTCAGCAATCCTGGGTGTCAAGAGTACAGTACTTTGAAAAAGAATACATACAAGACGTTAACATGCAAGAAACATTTAAAAATCTAAAGCAAAAAAAGCTCAGTCAGTCCGAAATAAAAGGATTAAAGACAAGCAAGGGTAAAAAAAAAAAGCAAAGAGAAACCACCTATGTATATTTGTATGTGAGGCAATAACAGAGACATATATAATCACAATTTTACATATTGCACAGAACTGGAGAAGCAGATCCAAAAAACGTAGGGGAAAATAATGAAAAGAAGTTTAAATATTTTAACTTCAACTAACATCTGTCAGAACCATATTCCACTTTCATGCACAATATAAAATAATATATATATTGCGTATAATGCACTATTATTTTCATGGACAGATCTTTTTTTAAAAAAAGAAAACTTTATAATGTTACTTTTGCAGAAATTCTGGAAAAATGCAGTGAGATGCAGGTTCAAGATTAAAAATCTATTACAAAAACAAATTACAAGGCATAGCAATCTACACATGAGCATGACCTAAAAATGCCAACTAGAATCTTGTCAGAACTGCACAAAATCTAGAGTAGTAAAGACAATAAGAAGGTAGAAAGGTATTGCGCGCTTAATAAAGTGATAATCTCCAGTATTTCATTCTCACGCGGATCTCAACTGTGAAGAGGAGTCTTATGTTGGGGAAAAGTTTATGAATTTGGTAGTGTGTTTAAATTCACACCTTTCCTAACAGAAGGATGTTCTCCTTTCATGATCTATGCTTCTGCAGTTTCAGAAATAAAAAGAAAAAAGGCAAGAAGTTCAGAGAGTGGATGTATGAGCAAAATCCAACACACCTTATCAGCAAAGGAGAAAGCAATGTTGGATAATACAGAGAATCCAGAGTCCTAAGATAGTGTCTTAAACTTCAAGAGAGGCCAAGAGAGATCATCAAGAAATCTGTTCCAAGGTAACTCTCAGTTGATTTTTAAAATTGGTTTTAAGTTTCATTTACAACAGTAAATTACTATGTGTGTCTCCTACTATATGACCATATCTTACCACTCCTGCAGACATCTGAAATAGCATGAAGAGACTTCTCTCCAAGGTGCTAGGTTTTGATGCTGGCATGGTTCACATGTCATATTCAAACACAGTTAAATATTAACTATGGTTTAATGCATATCAGCAGAGTGCTGCTGCATGCTGCTCTAAGTTTGTTTCACTTTCCTCCCATCCTGGCTATGCCAGGAACAACAAACAGCAAAGCCTTGTATAGTGTCATCAAAATCATGGTTTGTTTCTTGCCTAAACAAACAACATGTGATAGCCAAGAAAATGAAAGAGGATAGTCTCATGGAAAAACCTGTACTATCTCAGCCACAAGATGTCTTAGCTGGCTATGTACCCACCGCTGTAGGAAGTGCCTGCCTTTGTGGGGGCTTGGGCCCACATTCACAAAGAACCTTGTAGCATAATGATGACCAGACTGTTCTTCAAAACACAGTACTCTATCAGACTCTAGAATATAAACAGGAGTCTCCAGCAGAGGAATTAAAATAGCAGGATAGCTGCAAGCATAATTCAATCTTCTTACATGCAGGTCCTTGTGAAGGGTTAGTACTAAAAGTATTTGAAGAGTTTAATATCACCTTCAGACAGGATGGCATTGCAAAATGCATATTACAAGAACAAATAAGATAGGTATGTTTAACAAGAGTACCACTTCTACTTACCTTCCCTTGTTGCATAGAGCAATCTACACATCCCACTTGTATATTTCCATGTTTTGCTCCAGGAATTATTTGTAATCTTTCAAAATCAGTCCCCAATATCACAATATCACATCCTGATGCATATGCCTAGAAAAAAGTAAATTGTATAACTGCTCTGCCTTTTTTGTATTTGTAAGACAATTCGAAGAAATGTGTATTTCAGTAATTACCGGTAATCTTTAAAACCCATTTACCTAATCATCTGGTTTATAAGTGTATCCACATATTTAATCCACTGAACCATCCCTAACAAAAAATTAAAGCTTTGTATTGCTGCTATGTGAAAAGCCACTTTGTAAGTAGCATACACATCCTGACTGGATGCCAGTTAAGTTATTTCAATAATTACTTTCACACAAATTCAGCAAAATACATCTCTTGTGAACAAACACAAGCATCTATACACTTATACAAAGTCAAAGCCAATAACAAAGTTCAGCTTCTGCTTATGGCCTGCTTAGAGAGAGACAAACCATAAGCCTGGGCTCAAACATCACAACAAACCATACTCAAGACATGTTTGTGGCCCCATGCAGCGCAGTAAGGAGAAAAGGGGGGGAAAGCACTTGTGTTTAAACTATAGTTTATTTGGAACAATGGTTTAATGTTTTGTGAGAACTTGGCCTATATGGGGGTGAGAAAAATTTCTGAAGAGTGTGGAGAATGAAGTGTGCCCTGTTTCTCTCCTAGCTCCTGCAATCTCCCTGGAGAGGTTAATCTCATTGCACATATACCTACAACACTAATCTGCTTTTAGAATATTGCTAGAGACTCAAGTAGGCCAATAAAATGAACTTCTACATTTAGGGACAATGTTAGTTAGTTAGTTAGTTAATTTATTATTCTGCCCTTTCCTCCAATGAGTTCAAGATGGTATACATAGTTCTTCCCCTCTTCCTTTAACCCCAACAACAACCTTGTGACGTAGATTAGGCTGACAGGTAGGAATTGGTCCAAGGTCACCCAGTGTGCTTTACGGCCAGGTGGAGACTTGAATCCTGGTCTCCTAGATTTTAGTCCAATACTCTAACCACTATACCATACTGGCTCTCTTTTGATTACAGGATGCTATGAACAAAAGTAGATTGTTATATCATAATCTGCTTGAAAGCTTCCAGAAGCACCTAACTGGTCGCTACTAAAGACACACTGCTACTGCAAACTAACAGGAAGAACTCTTATGGCCTTGTCACGCATTAATGCAACTGTAACATTATATTTTGGGTACTTGCACAATATAATGAACACAGAACACTTCTTAGAAATTCAGCTGTATTATAAATTGTGGCTAACTGAATCTGGAAGTGAAAGCTTTTGGTTTCCTCTTCACAGCATCACTGGAGAAGCATATGTAGTTTGCTCAGATAGTGTTACAAGAATTATTGTTTGAGCGGCTCCCAACCCCTTCTCTCTTTTGACAATCCCTTCTCTCTTTTTGACCAGGAGCCACATTATGCTTTGTTAAAAGAGCATAATCATAACATATCATAGAAGATGTAGCCCTTGTAGAAACTGGGCTGTGCATTGTTTTAAACCTTATCAAGATCTTCCAGGGCAGCTTTGGAGGACCAGCCCTGTATGAAAATCCTCATTACAAGTCTCCAAATATGTATTGCCAGGTAATGAGACTAGACACAGCTGCTAAATTCAGAGAGAAGCAACAAATAAACAAGCTACAGAAATTGCAGTGTTTCTGGAACTCATATACTGTAGTTCTTAACATGCAATCAGTCAGATTGGCAGCCTCTGTAGGCAGTCCCCAAATGGGACAACAGACCACCAATTCTACTCCTCAAGTAAGTTATTAGGAAAATAGCAGAGACTGATGAAAACCAAAGTATCTCCAGCTCAGGCTTAGCAACCTGTTTACTCTTCAGTCCCATTCTGAAGCTGTACCCCATCAACCCCTCAAATGGGAGCGAACTCGAGATGCATGTGCTGCTGGCCAGCACTGAAAATGCGATGCTAGCACTTTAAAATGCTGTCATTTTGTTCTTTTTTGCATGTATCCAGTACCTCAAATTGTTATGCTGGCTCCTAAAGTATTGATTCTGATGCCCAGGAATTTAAATATGTTGCCAATGCTGAGCCACAGTTTTTAATACACTGGCTGAAGGAATTAATAGCCTGTTCAGTGCAATAAACTTAACAGAAATCAATTAATATATTTATACAGTTGTGTTAGTCAAGTAGAAGAAAAAAAATATATGTACGTAATGATATGGTTTTTTTCTGTAGATGTGTGCTTTTTCGTTTTTGTTTAGTTTTGTTTTGTTTCCTTTGCTTTTTTTCCTTTTTCTTTTCTGCTTTTTTTTTGGTATGTTCCATTCTTTTTTGTTTGTATAGTATTATTTTGGATTCAATTTTTGTAATTTTTGTTATGATTCTGCATTGAAAATTTGGAATTTTTTTTAAAAAAGAAAAAAATCCACAAAGCAGTAGTGAAGTAATACCTCCACTAAAGGTAAAGGTAAAGGGACCCCTGACCATCAGGTCCAGTCGTGGCCGACTCTGGGGTTGCGGCGCTCATCTCACTTTATTGGCCGAGGAAGCCGGCGTACAGCTTCCGGGTCATGTGGCCAGCATGGCTAAGCCGCTTCTGGTGAACCAGAGCAGCGCACGGAAACACCGTTTACCTTCCCACTGGAGCGGTACCTATTTATCTACTTGCACTTTGACGTGCTTTCAAACTGCTAGGTTGGCAGGAGCAGGGACCGAGCAACGGGAGCTCACCCCGTCGCGGGGATTTGAACCGCTGACCTTCTGATCGGCAAGTCCTAGGCTCTGTGGTTTAACCCACAGCGCCACCCACGTCCCAATACCTCCACTAGGACCAAGTAAAACTTCCCAAAACAATAAGCAATCTATTGAGCTTATCAGATTTTTTCTTCAGGTTACCTTAAACAAAAAAGAGTGCGTGGGACTTCTTTTTTGCTGGGTATAATACAAATACCTGTCTTAGTTTTTAATAGTCTAAAAATGGAAATAGAGAAGGACGCTGTCACCTAAATATTTGGTCTTGTCTGATAATAGGCACATTTCTACTTCCTAATGAAATTAATGGGATTTACACCTACATTTAAGGGATGAATCTTAAATTAGATGGTGCAAAATAGAAATGTTTAGTTTTCATCTGAAAAGCAGAAGCTGGAAGACATTCAGAACATTCTTTAGCAACACAAATCAATGCATATCATTGCTATAATATTATAGCAACAATGTCCATGCACTCCCAGTTGCACTGATAGTCAACACTCCTGCTTAAAACAAAACACCCAGAGTTTTCCTCATTGCATCCCTTGACATAACATAGAAAGGGGGGTTGGGAGAAAGAGCTTTTCCTATGAAAAAGATACAATCTTAATAAAATATCAACTTATCCTCCATGCCAGTGGCATTTTTTCCTACTTCTAGAAACTTTTCACAACAGAAAACCTGTGAATAAATAGTTGAATTTTCATTTAAACAAGGAAAAGGCCTTCCAGGTCACCTCTAAGATAAAAATGTCCCAAGCTACTTGTGATGTAATCACTTCCTTGAATTCACACCAACAAGCAGTTACTGTTTACATTACTACGTTCTTGGACTATTTGATAAACAGTGCTTATGTTCATTTGTTCATTTTTAAAACAATGAAGAACCTGTCAGACCTTGAAGAACTAGAATTTTACTAGACGGTGCCATAATAAAAACATGGAGGGTGGCTCATAGAACTCAGCAAGCACAAGGTCCCAGTTTCAATTCCTGACATCTCCAGTTAACCATCTCAGGTAGAAGGGCAAGGAGTGGTGAAATAATTCTGCAGGGGACTTTAGAGAACTGCTGCCCATTAGAGGAAATAAATCTAGGCTAGTTGATCCACTGGTTTGACTCATAAATGGCTAGATTTGGAAATTTGAAGCATTTAACAATTTTAAGAGTGTATTTTTTGTTTTCTCTCATAGATTGATTGTTCTAACTCCTTTCAACATGTCTTAAGAACTACTTGCTATTTTGCCAATCCAATACTTTGCACGAGCAAAAGGAGTGGAGTTACTTTCATGCCCCTTAGAATATTATGCAGAAGACCATATTTTTATTATTGTTTACCTAATTCCACAACTATTGCAGGGACGGGAAATTAAAAAGATAATATAGTATTTTCCAAGACACATGCTACAACTACTTTGAATTAATAGCTAGTCTACAATTTGCATATACCATATTTTTCCATGTATAAGGCACCTCCATGTATAAGACAATCCCTATTTTTTAAACCAAAAATTAAGAAAACAGTATTTAAACATCAAAAAGGGTGGGGGGTGCACACCCAAGATATCGGGCAAATTTGTTGAGCTTTTTTTCAGAGATCGCCAAAACTGCGCTCCTGGGGGGGACAGTGGCTATGATGTTCCGGCAGCTTCTTCACAGAAGGTAAGTGGTGTTTTTTAAAAACAAAAACCCTGTGCATTCACCATCTTTGTATAAAACAACCCCCAATTTTTTACTAAATTTTAAAAGCAATTTTAAAAACTTATCTTATTCATGGAAAAATACGGTAATTTTAAAAGATCAGTTGTGTTTTACTTAAGTTCATAACTTGGAAAACTTACACTTTTTCCTGATGATGTACAAAGTACTGGCAAAAAAGAAATGCTACGAAGTTGAATATAGAGAGATAGAGAGATAGTTACACACACACATACACACACCACAGCAAGTCTAGAACACACATTCCAAAATAATACTTCCCATGTTTCTATTATGGTATAACAGCTGGAATCAACACAGTAGGTTTTCAGAATTTCCAGCACTGTCTTAGAACAAGTGTTGCAAATTCTCTGAAAGACTGTAGTAAGACTCATCAGCTTTTTCTGGTCTACCTCTGCAACAAAACTTAAGAGTTTAACCATTTCATTCCAATAAATATGCAGACAAAATCTCAAATAATTAAATGTTGCAGCAAGGAGATACATGGCAGAAGTAGCCTAGAAACAAAACACACTTAGAAGTTTAGGCCCAAGTAACAGAGTTGTTCAATAGTGGAACAGACTCCTTTGGGAGGTGATGGACTCTCTTTCCTTGGTGGTTTTTAAGCAGAGAGTGGATGGCCATCTGTCATGTATGATTTAGTTAAGATTTCTGCATCGCAGGGGGTTGGACGAGATGAACCTTGGGATCCCTTCTAACTCTATGATATCAAGAAATGTATTTTATTGCCATCCTATTGTTAAAACGCAAGAAAAAAGCCTCACTACGAAACAAGTTATGAAGAACAAATGTTTCCAGAGACCACCAAAATATGCTTTATTCTCATTATAATTAGTCATAACTCAGGGAGGCCTATTGTTTCGTTTTTGTCTTATTATGTATGTTGTGTTCTTGTTTGTAGTTTATGTTCGGAACCACCTGTCATCCAGGAGTTCAAAGAATATATACATGCAATGCTAATCCCTAAGGAAAGTAGTAAGATCAAACTGTATTTATACTAAGGGTTTCCCGAGGGAGGTTGAAATGTACCAAAAAATGATTCTGGGTGACCACAGACCAGTTTTCAAACAGCAGTTTTACCCTGGGCTGAGTCAGTTTACACCACAGTTTACTGTTGCACTGGGAGCCCATGCAACACCTTGGACTCAAGCAGTCCACATTCCTTTTCCCACACAGCTAAAAGGAGGAATTAACCATGTTTCAGTTTCTCCATCTCCAATTTCTGACTTGACATTATGTATTAAGCAGGAATTGTGGCTTACAATCAATTCTAATCAACTGCAAAAGCAAGTCAACTTTAAAATACAAAATGAGAGCACAAATACAAAAGCAAACCAATAACTCCTCTCCCACAAACACATTTAATAGGCCATATAATGTTTAATCAGCCAAAGTCTGGTTATAGAGAAACATTTCATATGTATGAAGGTGTCAGGTGAGCCTCTCTGGGGAGAGTATTCCACAAACAGGGAGCCAACACAGAAAAGGCCACCCTCTGGGACTCTTTCAGAGAGGGAACACCAAGAAGAGACTCAGGTGATGACCACAAAATAGTACTAATAATTAAGCCATAAGGAACTGTATATGCCCAAAAGTTGTTTCTAGCATGACCCTTTTTCTTGATTGCCCAATCACACACATTTTGTCACAAGCGCACAAGAATGGGAGTACTGCATTTCAAACCTCAAAACCGAATATATAAACACCACACTCAAATGTCACTTCCAGTTGTTTTCGATTGGAAAGCACAGCTGTTAGTTACATAACAGGCAGGCTGATCAATAACAGCCTCAGAAACAAGACAATCCAGATGTTTCCTGGGGCCCACAAGTGCCATATAGGAGCCTAACCCTATCTCTTGGCCACTTGTCCTTGATATCCCTTAAAAAGAAAAGAAGAATTCTTCCTCCCGGAACACGTCTTGAACCGTCGGGCTCTAAAGCAAGCGCAGCTATAATAACAACAATACAAATGAATAATAATAATAAAGGGAGATACCTCTGAGTATGTGGAGAATGCCTCTGTGGCATTAATGCAACCGGACTCACCTTACGCCCAAGCACTTCGGAAACTAACCACAGCTCAGATGAGGAGTGCGCATTATTGGGGGGGGGGGGGGAATGTAGAGAAGTGGCAAAAATGCTTGCAGCGGGAAGCGAAATAAAGGGAATTGATCTGCCCCGTCATGGCAAAGAAAGGGCCCGGTCTCGTGCTCGCTCAGCTCCCGACGCCCATACAGGCTCGGCTCCGGTCGAACCGGCGAATCTCGGGCGTGCTTCAACAAGGCACCTGCCGAGCGTCCCACCCGCACCGGTGCCACCGTCCCTGACGCAAACTGCCCGCCCGCGCGCCCTCTTCGCCTGCCGGCTGAGGGAGGCCGAGCGCTGCCCAGGGAAGGTGCGCCGTCGGAGGCGGCCTGAGGGGGGGGGGAACCCTCTTGTCGCGGTGGCACCGGAGCTGAGGAGGAAGGAGACTCACCGTGAAGGGATGCCCGCCGACGTTCCCCACGGAGAAGCAGTTGTCCCCGGGGTTGACAGCCCCCGTCAGCACCTGGTGCAGGTTCATAACGGCGAGGCTCCCGCTTTCGGAGCCGACGCTCTCCGCCAACGGGCAGGGCAGCTGAGGCACCCGGAGCCGCTCGGCCGCGGCTAGTCCCGCAGGGGGCGGCGGCGGCGGTGGCACATAGTGGGGGGCGGGGTCTTCCTCCGAGGCTCCTCCCCTTCTCGGGCAGAGGCAACGTCCGCTCGCGACCTCAGGGGGCGGGCGGAGGAGCCCCTCTCGCGCGCGGACTTCCTCCCTCAAAACCGGCTTCTTACTGGCCCTCGCAGAGTTCTCTCTCTCTCTCCCTCAGCCTACAATAGCGGGCCGACCCTCTCCTGCGAATCGAACCATCGCGAGAGCGGGACCGGCCATGACGTCGCCCGGTTCACCCAGCAACCCGCGAGCTCCCTCCTTTCCCCCCATTAGGCATCGTTACGTACGCGTGCGCTAGGACTGTGAGCGAGCGAGGGAGGGAGGGAGAGGATAAGGTTCAGAGCATGCGCGGTTGAGGCTGCGTGCCTCCGCGAGGAAAAAGACGCGGAAGCCGGAGCCGCCCGCTCGTGCGCAGGCGCAGGCTCGGGAAGAAACGTCGACTTAAGGGAGGAAGGAGCGCAGGCGCGGTAGAACCGTCTAGTCCATGGCGGGGTGTGGTTGTTGTCACGTATTCGTCATGACCGTGAGGAAGGGCGGCGTGTGTTGGGGGAAAAGAGTGTGTGTGTCGGGCTGGGTGTGGTAGAGGAGCCGGTGTGTTCTGTTCCCGCAGGGAGGATCCTGGAGCCAAGGCTTCAGCTGTGAAAGGGTCCAGTGAGGATGTGGGAGCAGGATGTGAGGAAACTGGGAGCAGCCAAGGGATGGACGTGGCAAACTGGGGAAGAAGCGCGGCTCTGCTGTTAGGAAATAAAGCCTTGGAGAAGAAAGTTAGCTAAAAAGTATCCCTACCTTCCTCTCCACCAAAGTCTCGATCTGGATGTTATAGAATAGTATGTTTAAAGTTAAAATGACAAGAAAAAAAGATGTTAAGTGATTAAGTTAGTTTTATGAGAAATCTGTTTTGGAAAACTGTTACAATGATATACACTGAAATTCAGCCAGGCGGATTTGAGGAAGTCACTTAATGTTACTAAGATTGGATTAAGCAAGGTTAAGATCTATGTTTGTTTGTTTAAAAATTTTGGGAAATCAATTTTAAAAATTTGAAAAACAACAACAACAAAGTCTCGATCCGGATCTTCTAATTCCATTTTTTTAAAGCCGCTAACAAATGTCTAGGAAGCAAAACGCCGTTAGCAATTGCATGAATGGCACTCCATCTGGTCTGGCCCTAAAACGACCTGTACCCTGGTTGGTTGGCATCTTGTCTGTCCCGGGATGGCTTCGTCTAAACCGTTGGAGAATGACATTCACCTGCTGCAGCTTTCATAACTGCTGCCTCCCGCATTGCTTTTGCTGCATAAGCAGCATCGAAGTACCAAGGCAGTGTGTATGGAGAACATGGGCTGCCCAGATGATATAAGACCCTGCCCCCCCATACCTCCCTGATGTGGTCCAAAGGAAAGCAGAGCAATACATTTGACACAAGCTTGGCAGCAGGAGTTGCTGAAGGAGGCAAACAAGGCACATTCCAACCGCCTTACAGACTCCACTTTGGATTTGTATAGGATTTACTCCTTAGACTTCTTCTCTTGAAGATGTCCCACAAGGCAGTGAGTACAGATGGTTCCTCAGAGTTTACTCCTGAAGCCTTTCTCACAAATGAGTATGACCACAAGGCAGTGGAGGTTTAGGATCGCAGTTTTTCTTCTCCTATATGGGGCTACCTTCCCATGTTGACTAGCCCCATCTGCCCCCCTCATTTCCCTAAATAGCACATGTAGAAGTCCCCTTCTTAACTATTGGATCCACTATTGGTGTTCACTCAATCTGCTGGAGTCTGTCTTCGCATGCAGGGGATACCTTAATGTGTGGCAAGCCCTAACACTTGCTTTCTGTTTGTTCAAAAACAAATTAACAATTCTGGATAACCTGTAAATAGTAACTGACCACCTCCCCCACAAATTGTAATCCTGGAGCATGTCTCATTGTTACAGTATCATTACACACTCAGTTTCCTCGGCACTCAAAAAAATAGTTCAAACTGTTCCTATTATTAGTCTGCCACTTTGAAATATGCAGTAGGCATACAGTGCAACCTTTTTCATATTTACTCAAAAGTAAGCCCTGTGTTCAGTGGGGCTTACTGCTGAATACGTGTAAATAGGATTGTAATTATATTAAGTGTCACTGTAGTTTGAATATATTTTCAGAAAAGGTCAAGTTAACTCATCTGATGCAACTGACATTATGAATTTAGCTTTAAGTCTTATACAAATGTGAAGTAACCTTATTGTGCTATATGTCCTGAGCATTGTTTTAAGGCAAAGCTGGCTTAAAAACATTTAAAATCAATAGAGGATATTTTCCCAGATAATTTGACATGACCTTGTGATCCTGGAAGGAGAAGGTACTGGGGTAAAGTGAGGGAAAAGTGCTGTGTAGAGAAAATAAAAATGTGTTTTTATTTTTAAAAAGTCTGAGTTCAGGTCGGTGGAGTATAAGAAGAAGGGGTGTATACATGGAATATAGTTAATCCTGTGCATTTTCTGGTTATCCCAGTTACTAACAAATGCTAAAGAGTTTATTTAGTTTATCCCACTGTGTTAACTGCTAAGTATGCATAGGTTTTCCAGAATAACCTAAGCACATTTACTCAGAATTTCTGATGAACAGTACTAGCTCCACAATAATCTACTGTGTGGAAAAGTCCTTCATCTTGACTATTTTCAGCTGAATTGAGGTCTTGGTATAAAGAAACATGAATCTGTTTCTTACAGTTTAGGATTTCATTGTGAACTTAAGCAACTTGCTATTTTAGTGTGGCAGCAATTTTTTCTGAAGTTCCCCTCTTGATTGTCATAAGCAATTAACTCTATGGCTGTTCATCATCATATGTTACTGACTACTGAAATCCATGGGATGGAAAGCAGAAGGCTTAAATGAGAATGCAGAAGAGAAGAGTTTCAAATTCGGGGACTTTCCATGGTGTTGGCAAACCTATTTAACAATTATTTCTTATACTATAGTTAAGGAACATCTTCAGTGGAAAAAAAACCACTGAGCTGCAAAAAAAAAAGAAAGAGTAATTTCTATGCAGTATTTGAGAACATATTGACAGAGCTATTCATGGAGAACATTGTTTTAAGAAGTGAAATCATGGTTTTGAAGTTTCAGTACCAACAAAATTAATCATAATCCTGAAATATCGAATAGATTTGGGGCAGAATATTTTGTTCTGATTTTTTTCTGTGCAATACTATACCTGAAATTTGTCATGCACATTTGAATGTAACAAATGTATTCATGAATGCCTATAAAACATACCTTCAATATCCCACTACAGAGATATAAGCATTGGTGTGTTTCAAAAAATACTTCACTATACCATAGTACAGGAATGTAACCTTACAGTACCTCTCTGTCTCAGACATAGTTCTTTGGGAGAACCTTTAAGTGGAAACTGAACCTGGAACCTCATGAATGCAACTTATGAGCTGTACTAACGAGCTCTAACACCACCTCTGCAGTCACTAACTTGCATGCTTTGGAACAAACACACTAACAGCCTAGTACTGTACTAAATGTCATAGATGTAAAGGAATTCCCCTTCTTCGTGTCTGCTCCATGAGATGTCCAGAGGGTGGCAAAACAGGAACAGGCTTTTTTCTGCAGTAGCTCCTTGCTTCTGGAATGCTCTCCCCAGGGAGGCTCGCCTATCACCTGTTACATATCTTTAGGCACTAGGCAAAAGCACTCCGCCCATGCCTTTGGCTAATATAAACAATCTATAGCCTTTTAAGCTGGGGGGGGATATTGTTTTTGTTTGTTACTGTGTTGTGTGTTTTGACACTGTAAACTTCCCAGTGCTCCTTGGATGAAGGGTGGTATAGAAATTTAATAATTTGTAGAATCATACAACTGTACAGTTAAAAGGGACCCAACCCTCTGCAATGTAGGACTTTCAGCTAAAGCATCCATGACAGATGGCCATTAATTAAAATAAATAATAATTACTTAGTAATACGAAGCAGAAATATTTTGGATCTTTTAAAAATATACCTGTGTGCCTAGAGAGGGATAGAAGTCCTGCCTAGGCCACCTCTTTGGTGAGAGCCCTCCCTCGTTTTCCCAGTCTGCATCTGTAGCAAACTGTTCTTCTGATGTTTGTTTTTAAGGTGTTTTAGTATTTGTTGTTTGCTGGCCTGAGCTCCTTTATTTATTTCATAAATAAACAAACAAACAAAAAAACAAACCTGAAGTTATTGGGAGGAACTGATGGTCTGGGGGGGTTGGAATTTACTCCTGAGGAGACTGAAATGGAAAAGGGAAACTTTGCCACTCTGGAGAAAGAAGCACACTGAAGCAGCCACCCTGGGAGAAGAGGGCTGCTGAAAGCTTTGTTGTTGGGGAAATATGCAAACCATAGAGTGGAGCAGCATTTCCGAAATGAGGGCTTGCATACAGCTGGCCCGATGTGTTCAGCTGCCTCCTTTGACCCCTTTGCCAGGTATGGTCCATGTGCCCCTTCCCTAGAATTACAACACACAGTGTATAAGCAATTGTATGCAGTTAGAATATCTTGATATTCTATATCATTGATATTAACTTCTCTTTTTGTTGCAGATCAGTATCGTGCCATTTAGTAATTTTATTCAGTTTCAGTTTTCACATTGTTTGGATGTATTTGTATTGAAAACACTTTAGGGCCTCCCTGGCTATGTTGACACATGATACTTTGGCACACAAAGTCCTTGCATGTGAAAGCACAGTGTGGATTTCTGGGCAAAGGGGCTGTTTACTTCTTAATATTAGCAGCACAGAACCTGTTGGCATGTGAAATCTTACTTCTTTCCCCCCTGACACTGCAAAGAAGAATTGTGCATGGGACTTAAGGAAATAAGCTCCCATATCTGCTGTATCAGATGAAAGGCCCATCTAGCACCTTATTCTCACAGTGGCTGACCAGATATCTGTTGAAAGCCCACAAACAGGCCATAAGTGCAATGAACGCTTGTCATTCATAGCAACTGGTATTAACTGGCATATTGCCTCTAACATGAAGGCTCTAAACTTAGCCATCATGGATAGTTGCAACTTTATATACATTATTTACACAATGGGTCGCACGTGATTGGCTAATTCTGGGATTCTCCTGTAGGCCAATCAGGTTGCAGATTTACTTCCACCTGGAGCTGGATTGGGTGGCTGCTGCAGACCAATCATACTGCTGCATTGTTCTAGGACCAATCAGACTGCTGCATTCTGGGCCCTATTGTTCTAGGACCAATCAGACTGCTGCTTTTTGGATCCTATTCAATTCAGTACATAACATCCAGGTTGGTGGCCATCACTACATCTTGTCAGAGAGAATTCCATCATTTAACTATGCATGATGGGAAGAAGTATTTTTTTTAAATTGTCTATCCTGAATCTTCCAACATTCAGCTTTCTCTTTAGAAGTGACCATAACAATAAACATCATCCCAAGTGTGGTTGCACTGTAGTTTTGTAGAACGGTGTGACAATACTGGCAATTTTATCTTCAATCCCTTTCCATTTATCCCTTTCGTGGAATTTGCCTTTTTCAAAGCTGTTGCACAGCTATCCACTGTGACCCAGTGGTCTCTCTCATTCCTAGTCAGCCAGCACCAGTTCAAGCTCTCTTAGCATAGCACAGGGGTCTGCAACCCGCGGCTCCGGAGCCGCATGTGGCTCTTTTACACCTTTGTAAAGGGGCGGATACTAGCGAGGGGAGGAGGCGCATTGTGCGCCCCGACACTCCCCACTGTGGCGGGCGCTGTACTGGCTGTGACGTAGCATGGGGGCGGTGCGTGCGTTAGTCACGCACCATCCCCTTCCCGCCCGCTGTCAGGTCGGAGGGCAGCGGTGCGCATGCTTTAAATGTCACAATGGTTTTGCGGCTCCCAGTGTTTTTTTCTTCGGAAATGGGTCCAAGTGGCTCTTTTTGTCTTAAAGGTTGCAGACCCCTGGCATAGCATATACCTGTGAAATTAGGATTTTTTGCCGTAATGTGCATCAGTTTTCACTTGCTTACACTGAATTCCATTTGCTATTTTACTGTCCATTCAATTTGGAAAGATCCTTTTGGAACTCCTGGCAATCTTATTTTAACTGCCCTGCACAATTTGGCAGTTATCAGGAAACAGGGCTACTTCACTGCTCACTTGTAACTCTATAGGGGTGTTCTTATGTTACATTAAGTGTGCAGTCTTTGTACCTTGGTACACAAGTAGTAGAGCTGTACATTCGTGGTTATTCACATGTAACATTCAGCAAGTGAACAATCTTTAGTCTGCACACATCTGCTGCAAGCAAAAGGAAATAGATTCAGTGACTTATTACAATTGAAACAATTCCATTTTACTGGCAACAAGGCAGGGAATGTCAGTCATGTTTTACTTCCTGAAAAAGTTTCTACAAAGGTTTACTTTCAATAATAAGAATTGTGGCAGTGTGGAATCTAGCGTTGCTCTTCATTTCCCCTCTTTTTCAAACTTGCTCCAGTGAGCTTTGCAACTGAAGTTGACCAGTGGGGTGAAAATAACAGAGTTCCTAAGTCCAAGGTCTAAAATTAACTAGCTTCACCACTGGAGCTTGGAAAACAGGGAAAAAAATGAAGAGCAACATTGCATGCCACTCTGCCACTATTCTTACTTGGTAGGAAACTGTTTCAGGAAATACATCAGGACTGGCATGTCCTGCCTTGCTGCCAGTAAAAGGGAATTGCTTCAAGGACGCATGTGACATTTCCTTCTGGTGGCATCAAATGCATGTTGGCTAGCGATTGCACATTCTGTTAATGATGCATGTGAATATATGAATGAGTGTACACTCCTTGAATGTAACGTGTGAATATCACTAATGAGCAAGTTAAAAAAAACTTGTTCACAAAGCTGATCTTTGGAGGATCTGCACCTCCTACACCCCTCCCCCTGAGAAAACCGTCCATGTTCTTATTCTCTTAATCATTAACTGATCCATAGGAGAACTTGCTGTGCCGCAGAACAAGATTTCCTGGACGTTACTACAAGCGGAGAACAGATCTGAACTCGTAGAATCCGGGTAAGGCGGTGATTCGCGCCCAGCCCTTAGCACGGGAATCTCCCGGCTCAGGCAGCATTCTGCGGGAACAGCCAAAGCCTTTGAAGAGCACGCTGCTTCCGGATTGGCTGGAGCCGCGTTTCTGATTGGCTGAGCATGTCCGGCGGGGGCGGGAGAAAAAGGAAAGCCCTTTTCCCATCACACGGCCGGCGTTTCAACTTTCGGGGCCCGGCGGGGTCCTAGCGCCCTCTCTTGAACGTTCCGCCGCAGGGCAGAAGCGATGGAGGGGAGGGAGACGCCGGCAACGGACGCCGCGGGGGGCAGAGAAGACGAGGAGCCGCTGCTGATGCCTCCCGCTCCGGCGAGCGGCCCCGAGGAAGAAGCGGAAGACTGCGGGGGCCTCTGGGAGCTTCCCGTGGAGCTCAGCGCGCGGAGGCCGGAGTGCGGCCGTTGCGGGTGAGTGGCGCGGCGCGAGGAGAGAATGAAGGCAGGCCGCCGCGGCGCGCGGAGGTCACGTGACACCGCCTGTCCGCCCGCGCCCCCTAGTGGCGGAGAGGCGGCGGTGCACCTTCGCCGCCTCTTTCCACCCCCCTGCTTCTCAGTTTTATGGCGCCTCTGGGGAAAAGGAGGACCTTTCCCTCCTCTCCCCGTTTTGTTGCTACCTTTAAATGGAGAAACGAAATTTTAAAAAATCGTTCCAGTAGCACCTTAGAGACCAACTAAGTTTGTTCTTGGTATGAGCTTTCGTGTGCATGCACACTTCTTCAGATACACTGAAACACAAGTCACCAGACCCTTATATATAGAGAGAGGGTGGGGAGGGTTATTACTCAGAAGGGTGGTGGGAATGGCTGATAGGTGTTGACGACTGTCAATGACTGCAATTGGTCTTACAGGAAAAAGCAAGGGGTGAGATGGCTAAAAACAGCTTCACCATGTATAATGAGATAAGAAACCAAAGTCTCTATTCAGACCAGGTCTCTCCATGGTTTTAAGTTTGGTAATAAGTTTCAATTCAGCAACTTCTCTTTCCAGTCTGTTTCTGAAATTCTTTTGTAATAAGGCAGCTGCTTTGAGATCTTGTATAGAATGTCCTGGGAGACTGAAGTGTTCTCCTACTGGTTTCTCTGTCTTGTGATTCCTGATGCCAGATTTATATCTATTTATCCCTTGGCGTAGGGTTTGGCCTGTTTGTCCAATATAGAGAGCTGAAGGGCACTGTTGGCATTTGATGGCATACACAATGTTAGAAGATGAGCAATTAAATAGTCCTGAGATGGTATGTTTGATGTTGTTGGGGCCAGTAATGGTGTTATTCCCACCACCCTTCTAAGTAATACCCCTCCCCACCCTCTCATTATATATAAGGGTCTGGTGACTTCTGTTTCAGTGCATCTGAAGAAGTTTGCATGCACACGAAAGCTCATACCAATAACAAACTTAGCTGGTCTCTAAGGTGCTACTGAAGGGAATTTTTATTTTTATTTTGTTTCAAGTATGGCAGACCAACACAGCTACCTTCCTGTAACTTTAAATAGAGAGAGAGATTAGATAGTCGGCTTGTTTGGATAAGATAAGATATGATAAAATACTGCTTTTCCCCCCCTGCTGCTGCAAGCAAGCCAGCTGTGGTGCTTAGTGGTTACAGCAGGGGTCAGCAAACTTTTTCAGCAGGGGGCCGGTCTACTGTCCCTCAGACCTTGTGGGGGGCTGGACTATATTTTTTGGGGGGGGGAAATCAACGAATTTCTATGCTCCGCAAATAACCCAGAGATGCATTTTAAAGAAAAGCACACATTCTGCTCATGTAAAAACACCAGGCAGGCCCCACAAATAACCCAGAGATGCATTTTAAATGAAAGGGCACATTCTACTCATTTAAAAAAACGCTGATTTCAGGACTGTCCACAGGCCAGATTTAGAAGGCGATTGGCCCGGATCCAGCCCCCGGGCCTTATTTGCCTACCCATGGGTTAGAAGAGCGTCAAACTGCGAAGCCCAGAGTTCAAATCCCTACTCAGCCACGAAGCTCACTGGGATGCAGTGAGGCATACCTCTGAGGAAATAAGCATAGGATCCCCCTGTTACATTTGGGTTTGACAGAATATTACATCTAATGATCTAACCATATAATGTGACCTTTTTGAAGGCATATGCGGTAGCCACTAAGCAACATGCATTGGTGACCCTGTGCTGCCATCTAGTGAGCAATTCTGTTCTTGCAAGTTTTTGTATTAAAAAAACACCCCTGAATCTAAAAACACCCCATGCATCTTATTTATTTCGGCAATTGAAGTAATCGTGGTTGATTGTGGTCCATGAATTTCATCGCATCTACTCAGAGTATTTACTTAGCAGTACGCTACCCCTTGCATGTTTATAGAGGCACATATGTGCTGTTACTGTTGTCAATTCCAGATACGATAGGATCTTGTTTGACGAAAGGTACTATTGGAGATGGAGGGAAAAGTCATTTCCCCATGTTTCTTTCACCTTCCACAAGCAGCCCATTTCAGCAGCATTTCAAAGAGAAAACTACAAATGGGACCTGCACAAAAAGTAAACTAAAATGGCTTAACCTGGCACCAAAATTGTTGTAATGTTGGCGGAATATTTGTCTCCTTGGGGTGGGGGGGCATTTCAAAGTTGGGTGTGCCACCACAGAAAAGGCCTTCTCTTCCTTGTGACTACATAAAAGTAAAACCAGCCTCTTCACCCACTTGCGCAAACTGGGGTGTCCCTCGCCCTTCTTGCACCCTTCCCCACTGTCCCAGGAAGTTTATGTGGTCCTGCAGGGAGCTGTTATAAAACTGCTAGACCAAGGATGCTGGAACTGGCAGCAAGGTCTTTGGAGAAGGTCGCAGAGGAGAGGCAAGCAGGTGCCAAAGGTCACCTTTCCTCATTTGGCCCAGGGCAGGATTAAGATACTCTGAGGCCTTAATGTCAAATTTAAGTGGCCACATAGGGACTCTGACCATTAGGTCCCGTCGTGGCCGACTCTGGAGTTGCAGCGCTCATCTCGCTTTATTGGCTGAGGGAGCCAGCGTACAGCTTCTGGGTCATGGGGCCAGCATGACTAAGCCGCTTCTGGCGAACCAGAGCAGCGCACGGAAACGCCGTTTACCTTCCCGAAGGAGCAGTACCTATTTATCTACTTGCACTTGATGTGCTTTCGAACTGCTAGGTGGGTAGGAGCAGGGACCTAGCAATGGGAGCTCACCCCGTGGCGGGGATTCGAACTGCTGACCTTCTAATCAGCAAGTCCTAGACTCTGTGGTTTAACCCACAGCGCCACCTGCGTCCCTAAGTGGCCACATAGCATTACCTTAAAGGTAATTGTTCAATGGACAATGTTCAACGGACAATTGTTCAACGGACAATGAAAATGGAAATAATGAAGTTTTGTATTTGCTATATAGGTATGTAGGTGAGGATGCAACTAAAAACTGACTATCTGACTAGCTTTTTGGGGACAGTGGTATTTAGAGGCACCTCATAATCTGAGGCCCTAAAGTGTCGACTACATAGCTTGTGCATAAATCTGGCGTTGCTCAAGTCAGATAGTCTCATCCATTTTCTCTTATTGGTGGGCTGCTGCAGTTGCTTAATTTGTTCTTCCTTTTGGGGGAGTTTGTGGAATTTTTTGGTTTCTCTTGAATTGTGAGAATGGTGGACTAGAAGTTAAATTAAATCAATATATACTTGGCCACAGAAGTTAGTCCTCTTACCTATTTTATATATCCTTGGGCGGACTCTGGCTTCAGTTCACCTAAGAAATTAGACATATATATATAATTTGCCTGTCTGCTTTTCCTCATAGGCTTTCTTGCTGCCTCATCAATTTTCTAACTGGATTATGAAATCTTAGCTTGTTTTCATGAAAGTAGAAAAGAAGAAGAAAGAAACCTGTCTAAAATTATTTATGTATTGTATGTATGTATGTATGTATGTATGTATGTGTAAGTCCAAGAAACTATGATTCTAATGTTTTAACAGACCAGATGGAGGATTCAATTAATTTGCACAGTGGAGTCTTGCAAATAACTGCCTTGTGAAGTTGACTGAACTGGTGAAATTTAGTAAATCAGAGTTCTGTTATAAACTATTATTCCACAGTCCCTCTGTGAACTTTCTATCATAATCATATGCCAGTGCTTCTGGGCCTTAGAGATATCTGCTAGCCTTGACATTTTTGCTCGTGTGAGTCACGGCTGTCATCACCAAGAGAGGTTTATTAAATTTAACTTTTGAGATTTGTCAGTCAAAGAGAGAGAGAGGGAAAGAGAGGAGTATTTGAAATAGCTCATTCGTAATTCAGCGGAAAGGCTGCCTTGATTTAGAGAATTAATGCACTGGCTAATGTGCTAGATGGTGGGAATAAGCTTTGCAGGTGATGAGAGATGTTTTAGTCCCTCCTAATTAAGTCCCTAATGGGTATGTTTACAAGCCATCAGGGCTTTTCAGATGTAAGCTTTTCAGAAAAAGATAGGCCTTTCAGTCCATCGCGTGCCTTGACAGGGTAGAATTACTTATATGTACTTCTTACAGTGCTTCCTCTAACATAAATTTGACCTGGATAATTGTTGCATGGTGATGTTAGGTGCTCTTTTTGCAACAATTTTCATCATTTAATAGATATATCTGTATAATCCACCAGTTCTTTGAAAGACCCTGCTATTTCAGGAAGCCTTTCTGAAGACATTTTTAGAAACAGTTTTTTTAGTTCCAGTCCTCTTTCAGACATCCCCTCCATGTCCGTCCTAGTAATAACCTCAGTTTGTGCATGTTTTGGTCTTGTAATAACAATGTTACTGTATGTATTGACACATGAGCAGCGTTTCCCAAACTTCTCCAATTCCATTTCCCCTTCTTAACCTACTCTACCTTTCCCCTTCTCCCAGTGCTTTGCACGCAGAAGGTTCGAAGCTCAGTCTCTAGCATCTGTCCCAAGCTGTGAAAGACCCGTCTGAAATCCTGTTGAGCCATTCCCAGTGCTGAGCTAGATAGATCAGTGGTCTCGATTAGTTGTTTGATGAGATAGATGAGATAATGGGATATTATTTTGTAATAGAATGTGTCCCAGTCCTCCAACTCTTTTTGCCCATCTTCTGCCATTCATCTGCTTATGCGATGCATACAGCTCTCAATTTAGTATAGGGATGAGGCTTTGCACTCCCCTAGAGCATTTAATGCATGGGTAGGCAAACTAAGGCCCGGGGGCCAGATCCGGCCCAATCGCCTTCTAAATCCAGCCCGCGGACGGTTCAGGAATCAGCGTGTTTTTACATACCGTATTTTTCGCCACCTGTGTCCCAATATTGGTATACTTGGGGCTTTTTTCAGCTGGAAGTTGCCAGAACTGAGTTCCGGCACCTCTCAGGTAGGCGCCATTGCCATTATAAGAGAACAAGGGAGGTGTTCATGGTGAGTTCCAGCACCTCTTTTTCTAAAAAGATTACACTGGGTATACAGCATGTTCAATTCTTAAATGTGGTAGCACAGTGAGTTAGGATCACATTTTAAGACTTGGTTGGGGGTTGATTATTACATGATGAGTTCTGATCTTTTCAGGCCACCAGCCCCGCGCTCATTCCATTTGGCTGCTACCTGTTTTGATCTGTTGACATTAAAACACACACACACAATTAGACATCATTGGATGGCCGTGTCCCTTGACTGATGTGAACAAAGAGCCTCTGCCTGTAGCAGTGACTAATCTTGTTAATTAATGTCATTACCTTTTGATTGGCTTTGTCTTCTGTGATTGTATTAACTGTAGTCTTGCCTTGAGGAGTATGGGATTGAGAAAAGAAGGATATTTCAGTGCAGACTGAAACATCATAAGCTGTATCAGTATTGTTATAAGAATCCTAGGGTCCCAAATATAAAATAAGCGTTCATAAATTTACAAGGCAAACACATACATAAGTATATAAACCACGTGTCTAAAATAGTACAGGAGAACAATCCTGAAGTCATTTTGACTCACCCAGTGACCTCAAATATTTCTCTGCAAGGAGGAAGGAAATGGGAAAGTCTCTCCATTGTCTTTTGCTTACCTGTCTTAAGGGCGTACTTGTGTGGGTGAACAGGATGAGCTTGTGACCTGGATTCAGGAATTAAAGTATTTACCACCACAAAAGAATGGCCTGGCTGTCCAGGTAATGCAATCAGTGACCAGTGTTCAGGTATCCTGGCAGACAGGCTTTCTTCTGTAGACCGCCTCTTTCTGTGATGTATGTATGGTGTTTTGGGGGGTGGTCTCTGGCTACAGGGTGGGCAACTTCAAAAGTCTTTATAAGAGTTTGCACACCATTGTTCTGGGTTCCTCTCCTCCCTCCCTGCATGGCAGGAGTGGGGGACCCTGTTGCAACAGTTTAATAAAGATCATGCTTACTAGCTGCTTTGCTTCTCCATATTCTCAGGTTGGTCTCTGTTATTTTCTCCTACCAATACAGAACCTACATAAGGACTCTAAACGGGCTCTTGGATACCCCATAAGGGATAAAGGAGCAGTTTCCCCCCCTTATAACAAGTATATTCACTGAAAAGATGACCTATTTTTGAATAACCTATTTTTTGCCTTTCACCACATTTCACATATTGTGGTAGTGGGAAAAGAGAAAGCTGTCCCCCCAAATTGTCCACTTACAAAGTGTATTAATATTTCCCCAATAACATTCCATTTAATGAGAAATTTGAAAAAAACCCAAAACCACTGTTCCCAAGATTTGTATTATAGACTGGAGGTGTCTTATTAAACATGTTAGAAAATGCTAAGATTTTTTCTCTAAAAATATGCACTCTGTTATAATTGGTGAAAAGCTTTTGTAGTATAGTTTCTAAACTCTTACAAAAAACAACAGCACCGACAGCAAAATAAAGTCAGTGCATCACAAATCTATTGATATCATTGGAACAATTATGTTTGCTTTTGCATCCAGAAAAATCCTGAAAAAATACATATTTGATTGACATATATGTTGATCATTATCTGGCTGTAAGAACCCTAATAAAGGTAAGTCGCCACTTGCCATTCTTTAGGCAAAAATGTCCGTCTTCATCAGCATTTACATCCTGCTTGATATCTCTTTAATCTTAATTGCTTCTGCCAAGTCCTCAAAGTTTAAACAAAGATTCTGGCTGCAGGCTGTGCGTATAAGACATCTAGCCAACTGCAGGAATGAATTGTTGCCCGAGACAAATGTGATAAGGCCTTCAAAATACTGAAAGAGAAATGTTCAAGAGGCTTTTGTTTAAAGCAGCAAACAGTGTAAAATACTTGCTATCATTCTTGCCCTGCCACAAAGATATGTCCTAAGTATCGGATGATTTTTTTTCAATGGAATATAGTGAATAGTTTTCAAGAAGAAACAGGCTCTTGGATAATCCCCTTTGCTGCTGCTCTCACAATCAGTTTAGGTACTTTTCTCCATTGGCTGCTTTTTTTCTTTGTTTTGGAAATTCTTGGCAATATTCTCAGATTTGCAGAGTAGGGATTTGCAGTGACAGAAAAGGGAGCAGTGAACCAAATGTATTTTCTCTGCAGGTACCCCTTGTAGAGAAATATTAGAGCAGGTGGGCCTGCGGCAACACAACCTGCTCTAAAATGGAGATCTCTCTCCCATGAAGGATCCACAGGGAATAGCAATGAGAGGCTCCTGCATCCCGATTCACAGTGTTCTATAATAATAATAATAATGTTGTTGTTGTTGTTTAGTCATTTAGTCATGTCCGACTCTTCGTGACCCCATGGACCAGAGCACGCCAGGCACTCCTGTCTTCCACTGCCTCCTGCAGTTTGGTCAAGCTCATGCTGGTAGCTTCGAGAACACTGTCCAACCATCTCGTCCTCTGTCGTCCCCTTCTCCTTGTGCCCTCCATCTTTCCCAACATCAGGATCTTTTCCAGTGAGGCTTCTCTTCTCATGAGGTGGCCAAAGTATTGGAGCCTCAGCTTCATGATCCGTCCTTTCCAGTGAGCACTCAGGGCTGATTTCCTTAAGAATGGATAGTAATAGTAGTAGTAGTAGTAATAATAAAAAATAAATAAATAAATATAATAATAATAATAATAATTAATAATAATAAAATTTCTTATTTATATCCCACCCATCTGGCTGGGCTTCCACAGCCACTCTGGGCGGCTTCCAACAAAATATTAAAATACAGTAATGCATCAAACTTTAAAAGCTTCCCTAAACAGGGCTGCCTTCTGATGTCTTCTAAAAGTTTGGTAGTTTTTGTTCTCTTTGACATCTGGTGGGAGGGCATTCCACAGGGCGGGCGCCACTACCGAGAAGGCCCTCTGCCTGGTACCCTGTAACTTGGCTTCTCGCAATGAAGGAACCGCCAGAAGGCCCTCGGAGCTGGACCTCAGTGTCTGGGTAGAACGATGGGGGTGGAGACGCTCCTTCAGATATACTGGGCTGAGGCCGTTTAGGGCTTTAAAGGTCAGCACCAACACTTTGAATTGTGCTCGGAAACGTACTGGCTTTGACAAAGTTTTTTGGGTGTGGCTACATCTCTAAAGGTACTCAGGGCAGTATTCAAATAATTGCACTCGTGGATAAACAACTGCTTGCACAATGGGACTTTCCCGCTCGACTCCCCCTCTGTGTCCCCTGACCTTCCAGGGCAGGTTTGGGACAGCAAGGGTGGAGGAGAGGGGGCAAAGTCCCACGGCTTCGAAGCCTCGAAGTATATGTTAAAGATAGACAATATGTTAAGGAGTTTAACAATAAAGAGCAGAGTGTTTTGAAAACTGAAGTATGATATCAATATTTTTATTGTAAACACCAAATTACACATGTATTCACAATCTCTGATAAAAACGTGATATTAACAATGTGTCTCTTACATGAATTGTGTATTCGTTCATGCTTAAAATAAATAAAAAGTGTTGCTGATCGCCCCCTCCCATCCCTAATGACTAGGAATTCTGTTTTGGCGCCCACAACCCAGGTCCCAGGAGCCATTTGGCTCCTAGCTTTTCTATCCCAGTTTCTAACACTTACGAGGAGATGAAGTTTTTAAGGCATTGAGGTCCTGCGCTGTGTACAGCTTTATAGGTCAGCACCAGCACTCTGAATTGGGCCCAGAAACTAATTGGCAGCCAGACACACACACACACACACACACACACATATCATCCAAAACAGTTTCAAAACAAGCCAGATTCCCAGTGTGGAATGAGAATTCATGGCAGTTAGTCACACTAAAATTAGCCAACCCAGATTAATGTATGTAAAAGAGAGAAACACACGTCCACAATGTGAGGAACACAGAGTAGTTGCATGGCTCTCTGGGTTCAGAAATTCAGTTTTCTATTTACTGTAAGGCAGAAAGCAAGCGGGAGAAGAGTTCAAGCAAAGATACTATGCGAATAGGGCTGAGCGATATATTAATATATCCAACACCGTTTTGAAGTTCACATCATGATAATTGTTTCATAATATTTGAGCTGGCGATATATGGTGAATCACAATGTGTGTAAGGGCTAGACTAGGCAATATCTGGTTTTCAATATTGCGATAACTCACCAGCTAAACGTTGCAATGTTATCACAGCTAAACACTGCCATCTACCTCAGTGTCTGAAATAAGGATGGAACTATACAGAGGCGAACAGGACAATGTCCTGGCAACTGCTACTACTTAGGGCAGGGGTTGGCAAAGTTTACCAGTTCATTCCAGCGGAGATCCCTTCATGGGTGTGATTTCCAGCAGACGTGATTTCCGGCACCACAGAAGCAAGTCCTCGCGCCGCGCCAGTTTAGTGCAGCGTCCAGGGACTCGCTGAGCGGATGGCTCGGTTCGGGGGGGGGCTCGTGGGCCGGTTAAACGACCCCCGTGGGCCGCTTGTGGCCCATGGGCCTTAGGTTGTCTACCCCTGACTTAGGGGTCTAAAACGGATAAATGACAATATTATCAATCATCTCACAGTTTCATCAGCTTCTGCTTCTTCTGTCACTTAGTAGGCCTGCTGGCAGTCCGGCAGTCTCAGATTCTTTGTATTCACTATGACTCATCACTGTACTTTGGATTGTCCTGAATACCAACATTTGGTAGCCAAGCCCAAAACCAAAAGTCTCAATTGGATGCATTTTGCCTTGCCTGCTGATGAAAGTTGACCATGAGGTGATTGATAATCATTTATCAGTTTTAGACCCTTAAGTAGCAGCAGTTGCCAGGACATTGTCCTCTGTGTAGTTCCTTCCTTATTTCAGATATTGTGATATAGCAATATATTGTGATGTTTAGCTGGTGATATATCATGATGCTGAAAACCAGTTATGGCCCAGCCCTAGATGTGAATAGGAAGAAGTCTCAGTGGTCCTTCCTTGGCACTTTGTAGATTTAGAGGGATAAGAATGCTCTCCATTGCAGGCTAATAAAAATACATAAGCAAGGTAGATATTGGCTCAGATTCTTACTGTGTGTATGTACTTTTGTGATAGGCTTTTATTCTCTTTAAATAATTACCCTAAGCACTTAGAGTGATATGGACAGCTCTTTGTGGTTCTCAAGAAGAGAAATCAATAGAGTAAATAAATAGAGATGAGTGTCCTTTAAAGCTTCATTGAGCAAGTGATCGTCTCAATCCTTTTCTACATCTTTTCATTTTGACGTGCTTGCAAAGTAAATCTATATAAAGCTTTCTTCATAAGTTATTATAGGCAAGGTGGGTGGGTTTGCCAAAATACACAGATAACAATTAAAGAGGCTTAACAAAACAAAACAATCTACTCCCACAAGCTTCTGTCTTCCTTAAAGCATGAGAGTGCTCTGCAAGAAAGTATTTGGCAGAGATGCTGTAAAATAGCAGTGGTCTGTTGTTATCTAGATTGTTGCCAAGGGACCAGAAATCACACTGAGTCTTCTCCAACCAAGCACTCATCGCAAAACACATTTACCTAATTGTTTCTCACTTCAGAGAGATAATAATTTTATTTGGCAATCTTGGATTTTAATATTGCTTTTCAGTGAACTTTTCTGAAGTTTGACTCATAAAGGGCATACCTTTGGAAAGCAAGCTGTCTTGTTAGCTTTCTTAATAGAACAGCAGGTTAATTATACACTTCGGTAGCTCAGGTCTTTATAGGATGATGAAAGTAGCTGTGTGTTTAAAGCCAGATGTGCACTTTCTGCTGAAAGGACGTAATTCTTCATGCATTTTAAAAGCCCCATTTCAAACACTTAGGTTCTCACGGTTCAGACATCTGAAGGCTCCTTTTTGTTTTGCATACAATATATGACATTCTTCATGGCAAATGCATGTAGCTGCCTGCATCTGGACCCAGACAAGGGACATAATCCTGGCTCTCCTCTGTACTGAATAGTGGATGTGCTAGAGACGGTTGTCTTACCTTGGTAATGGACTGGATGAGATCCAACAAACTGAAGCTCAATACAGATAAGAATGAGGCATTGTTAGTGGGCAGTTCCTAGACTGGTTGGCTGGAGGTTGCCTGCTCTTAATGGGGTTGCACTCCCTCTGAAGGAGCGGGTACACAGCTTGGAGGTCCTCCTGGATCTTTTGGTGTCTCTTGAGGCTCAGGTGGCCTTAGTGGCATGGAGTGCCTTTCATGAGCTTTGGCAGGTGGCCCAGCTGTGCTCCTGTCTGGACAGGGATAGCCTAACTTCTGTGTTCTATTCTCGGGTAACCTCTAGGTTAGATTACTGCAATGCTTTATATATGGAGCTGCCTCTGAAGATGGTTTGGAAGCTTTAGCTGGTGCAGAATTCAGCGGCCAGGTTGCTCACTGGGGCAAGATGATTTGAGCATATTACACCGATCCTGGCCCTACTGTACAGTGGTACCTTGGTTCTCAAACTTAATCCATTCCAGAGGTTCGTTCCAAAACCAAAGCGTACCAAAACCAAGGTGCGCTTTCCCATAGAAAGTAATGCAAAATGAATAAATCGGTTCCAGACTTTTAAAAACAACCCCTAAAACAGCAATTTAACATGAATTTTACTATCTAACAAGACCATTGATCCATAACATGAAAGCAATAAATAATGTACTGCAGTCACACAATCAATCAATCAGTAGCTGAATTGGGTTCCACACAGTCACAAAAACAAAACAAAAAAGCAGCAAAAATGGAAATGCAAAATATATAGCAAAAACAGACGGACTTCAGCGTAACACTCAAAATGGAAGTGTGGCATTCAAAACGGAAGTGTGGCACTCAAATCGGAAGCGTAATACTCAAAACAGAGCAGGTTCGTCTTCCGAAAAAAGTTCGCAAAACGGAACACTTCCGGGTTTGCAGTGTTTGGGTTCCAAGTTGTTTGAGTACCAAGGCGTTTGAGAACCAAGGTACCACTGTACTGGCTGGGCCCAATTCAAATTTCTGGTTTTGATCTATACATCCTTAAATGGCTCTGACCCGCAATACCTCAAGCACTGCTTCTCCCCTGATGAACTGATCCAGACCGTGTGATCATCATCTGAGGCTCTTCTTCATGTGTTTCCTCAGTGAGAGGCCCGGATGGCAGCAACACCGTAACAGGCCTTTTCTTCAGTGGTTTCCCGTTTGTGGAATGCTCACCCCAGGGAAATTCATCTGGCACCTTCATTCTATATCTTTAGGCACCAGGCGAAAGTTTCTTTATATTCAGGCCTTTGGCTGATTAAATGTTATATGGCCTTTTAAATGTGTTTGTGGGAGCCAGTTAGGGTTTTTTGTTGTTTTGTTTATTATGTATTTTGTGCTCTCATTTTGTATTTTTATGTTGTGAACCACCCTGTGGCCTTTGGATGAAAGACAGTATACAAATTTAATTAATACTACTACTACTACTAATATTAATAGTGGCAGCAGAGCAATTTGTTCTCAGCTACTCAGTGTTCATAATACACTTGTTAACATGAAGGAAGGAGTTCCAAAAATATACATATAATAATAATTTATTATTTATACCCCACCCATCTGGCTGGGTTTCCCCAGCCACTCTGTGCGACTTCCAACAAAATATTAAAAATACAATAAAATATGCTAATCGTTAAGGAAAGTGGTAAAATCAAACTATATTTATACCACAGCTTTCTTGTGGTTGATATATATATATATATTTAAAAAAAGATTTTGGGTGACAATAGACCAGTTTTCAAACAGCAAATTATAAAAAGTAGTTTTACCCTGGGCTGAGCCACATAAAGTTTAAACCATGGTTTAGTGTTGCACATGCAAGCTTCTGGGAGCCTGTGCAAACCCTTGGATTCAAGCAATCCCCTCTCCTGCTCTTACACAGCCAGGAGGCATAAACCATGATTCGGTTTCTCTCTCCTCGATTTCTGGCTTGTCATTATGTACAAACCAGGAATTGTGGTTTACCATAAACTCTAATCAACTGCAAAAGCATGTCAGCTTAAAACTGGGGGTTATGAGCCTGGTTAATTTAACACACTGGAGTTTATTTTAAACCATGATTCCTGATTCGCATGTAATGAAAAGCCAAGAATCTGAGAAAGTGAAACGGAATCCTCCTTTATTTCTTCCCCCAGCCAGGCAGCAGGATGTTAGCGGAGAGGAGCAGAGGTCTTGAGTCTGAGGTTTCACTTGGGATTGCAGAGGTTTTGTGCACATCAAGTTAAATCATGGTTTAGTGTTGCATGCAAACTGGGCCATTGTCGCCTCCTTCTCTGTCCCTCGTCTAATACATCTGTTAGTTGTCTGGCACAAGGCTATATTCGGTCATCAGACATTTTGAATGGGTAAAAATAGATGAAGACGCCATTTTTTATCTCGATTCCAGACACCACTTTAGTGCATGAGACATATGAAATTTCCAAACTTGCTTTGCAAGTTCAGGACATCTCATCCAGGGACGTCTCATCCAGTGGTTTGAATCCCCGCGACGGGGTGAGGTCCCGTTGCTCGGTCCCTGCTCCTGCCAACCTAGCAGTTTGAAAGCATGCCAGTGCAAGTAGATAAATAGGTACCGCTCCAGCGGGAAGGTAAACAGCGTTTCTGTGCATTGCTCTGGTTTGCCAGAAGCGGTTTAGTCATGCTGGCCACATGACCCGGAAGCTGTACGCCGGCTCCCTCGGCCAATAAAGCAAGATGCGCGCTGCAACCCCAGAGTCGGTCACGACTGGACCTAATGGTCAGGGGTCCCTTTACCTTTTATGATTCTAAGGCCTCACTTCTGTCAGCCACCACACTGCAGCATTCTGCACTAACTGCAGCTTCTCGATCAAGCGTGTGAGAAGCCCTACGTAGAGTGCATTGCAGTAACCCAGTCTTGAAGTAACCAATACATAAACTACTGTGGCAAGGCTTTCCTGGACTAGGAATGGCCAGAGCTATGGTTTTGTACTGATTGTGGTTTGCATCTTCTTCAAGGCCTATTCTTTTTGAGCTTGGGCAAAATTTGAGCTTTCGGGTTTAAAACTGGACTGTAGAGGGCAGTGGTGTATTTCATCATTGCATATTTTCCCTGCTTTAAAAATTTGATATGGAAAAATTCTCACTGGCTCTTTAAAACAATTTCCTTATGCCTGTATATGTCACAAGAATGCTTAATGCTTCTCTTTTTAATTCATTTTAAAGATATCTCAGCTCATGTAATCCCACTCATTTGACCTACAATATATGCATTCCGTGTTTTATAAACTAGTAGGAAAAGTCCATGTAGTAAGTTGTGCAGAGACTGTAAAAGCAAACACAAAACACCTATTTTAAAAAGTATTGAACCCAATTTTACAGATATTTAGTGTTGTTGTTTTTTAACAGATTTTCTATAATGTATGGAAGGAGGCCGTTTTTGCAAATTCCACCTTTCTCTTGCAGCCCTCAATGCCACCTCTGCTCCTCCCACCAAATGCTGTCACAAGGGTTTTCACAGCCCTTGGATCAGATTTGGGGATGGGGATAAGGGCTCCAGAAGGAAGGCGGAATGATAGAAAATAGGCTTCCCAGCGCCCCTTCATGGAAGCCTCCACAGGATCAAAGAGATTCTATGAATGGTTAAAATGGGGGGGGGGGAACCAATGGCTAAAATGTTTTGATTTGAAAGACAGTTAAAACGATCCTTGAATCTACTCCTTGACACTACCTGATGGGTGCTTATTTTTATATGTTTTATTACAAATATTGTGTGTTTTAAATTCTATTTTCCCTCTCTGATTATTTTTTTTTTTGGGGGGGTGTTATTGGGTTGTTCTTGTTTTTATTTTGATTATGTATTTTGTGTTTTTATATTGCGATTTTATCCTGTGAACCGCCCTGAGACCTGTGGGCATATAAAGTTAATTATTATTATTATTATTAATAATAATAATAGAATAGAATTCTAAAATAAATGTATTTATAATTCCATGTATTGTCTAGTTTCTTTGTTCTGGAATACCTGAAAATGACGGGTTCTTCTGCAGGTATGAAGTTACAGGCAACACATCCTTTATTAAAATGTGCATATCTATGATGTTTTGCTTTGTTTTTTAAAAACCCTATGCCCAGAAAACTGATTAATCTTTTTCTTCAAGTACAAAACAAAACCCCAGTCCAAACAATGTATAAAATAAAATAATAATAATAATTCTATTTTGCAGCAGCTGGTTGCAAATTGTTTCTTAATTAGTCTAAAACAAGGAGGCAGTGTGCTCCAGTTATTCGTAAGTGAAGGTAACTGTCAGTTGCGGACGTCACTACAATTATATATTGTATTATTATTTCTTTATTAGATTGGTATACCACCCTTCATCCGAAGATGCCCAGGGTGGTTCACAACAGAAATACACAGACACCATTAGTTTCTCCAAAGGTAAAAACTCTCAGTTGTACACAGTAAAACCAAACAAAGCTGCTACTTCAAGGTTCCACTTCATTTCCCCAATTATTAAGGTTATTATTATTATGCTTATGCATTATAGGGAGAGTCCTGGAGTCCTTGCCTCTAGCATTGACTGATAAATAGCTTTGAAAATAAGCTGGCCTAATGCGTACCTTAAAAGCATTCAACAGCCCTTCCTCCCTTGACACATGCCCTTTATTTACATTAATCTCAGGCATTCTCCTCCGTTTTGCTTTGCATAGATTGTGAGCCAATTTATAGGATTCAGCTGATAAACAAAAGAGCATCCTTTTAGTGCCGAAGAGAGATCTCCATCAGTGGAGATAGTCCATCTTAATGAGTACCTGTGTATTATATTAATACACAGATGGGCTTCTGTGGAAGAAAGTGGCTTCTTTCACTTGACCCCAATCTGTAGATGCCCTTCTACTGGTTTCTGAGTGCCAGGGGTAAGGCATATAGATGGTATCCAGGGATAAGACCTCCTCTAGGGTGGTACACTGAGGTTAAAAAAAGAAGTCCATAAAAATGTATAATCTTCGTTGTGTAGTTTTCTTGTATGCTAAATACACACCTTTTCCCCCTAGCCTGAGATTGATTTTGCTCTTTGCTTTTGACTGTAATTCATTTTAATAGATTTTAAAATAGTTGAAACTTGGGACTCTACAGTGAAGGGCGGCTAAGAAATCTAATAAAAATAATAATTTCAAGTAGAGTATAGATACTAAAGATCTATTATTATTCTCCTGTAAAGCAAGTAGGTCTATTCTATTGTTAGTTTGCACACATTCAGTATATAATGTAATTTCAGAGCATATAAAGACACTCAGCTTTTAATGTGTTACAAGATTTCCAACTACTTGAAATATATGTAAGTTGTCTGCACACATGTTCCAATACTCATTTTTCAGAACCTACGCCTCATTTTTCTGGCCCTAGTCTTGTCCCTTTTAATACCAACTTAATATGCAGAAATTAAGCAGCTACAGTGCTTCCAATATTTTATATCTGTTCCAGGAAAGAAACTCCATCAGCCTAATTTCTGCAAGTTCTGCTGAAGGTACAGGTCATTAAAAAAACGTTGGCAATTCTAGCTCCAGCTTAATGAAAAGCAGTGTTTTTTAACTCAAAGTTATGTGCTGATGTCCTTTAATTACTTGGGTCCCATTAAACTCAGTTGGAATTCAGTGTATAATTTACCTGATATTTTAAAATTCCATTCTATTTTGCAGAAGAAAATACGTGAGCTACAAGTCGCTTTTGATTGGTGTTGGTATGTCAGTGTTGGGAAACTAAGAACATATTCCAGAGATGGGATGGCTCAGTTAGTAGAGCATGAGACTCTTAATCGTAGGGTTGTGGGTTCAATCCCCACACTGGGTGAAAAGGGGGTTGGACTAGATGACCCTTGCGGTCCATTCCAATTCTAAATTCTGAGTTTCTATGGGAAAGTAGTGTACACAACACTACTTTAAACCTGCTTTCGAGAAAATTGGGAAATAAACAAAGTGAACTGATGCTGACCTAATACTGGAACAGAAGGTGCTTTTGAGAAGTTTCTCACCTAATAAATGACTAAATAGTCATACTGCTGCTTTAAATAAGGTGTATTTATAGAAATATAGCTGGGACGCGGGTGGCGCTGTGGGTTAAACCACAGAGCATAGGACTTGCCGATCAGAAGGTAGGTGGTTCAAATCCCCGTGACGGGGTGAGCTCCCGTTGCTCGGTCCCTGCTCCTGCCAACCTAGCAGTTCAAAAGCACGTCAAAGTGCAAGGAGATAAATAGGTACTGCTCCGGCGGCAAGGTAAACTGCGTTTCTGTGCACTGCTCTGGTTCGCCAGAAGCGGCTTAGTCATGCTGTCCACATGACCCAGAAGCTGTACGCTGGCTCCCTCGGCCAATAAAGCGAGATGAGCACCGCAACCCCAGAGTCGTCCGCGACTGGACCTAATGGTCAGGGGTCCCTTTACCTTTATAGAAATAGAATGGCAATTCCCAAATATACTATTACCACTAGAGGGCATAATATACTGAGACCTCTTTATCCAACAGACCTATGTGAATTAAAATGTCCCATGTACAGTAGTAGAAAGTAATGTTTGGGTACGTATTCCTCATATTATGCAGATCAGATTTTTTTTTAAAAAAAGTCTCTTCTATACTCTGTCACTTTCTGTTCCATTTTAGTTGATACCACTTGAGAATCATATTCTGATTTTTCTCTCCACCTCCCCCCCACCCCTTTTGCTATATCAGACCTGTGGTTAACCTGCAGCCACCCAAATGTTGTTAGACTCCAGCTCTCATCGACCCAGCCAGCATGGTCAATGGTCAGGCATGACGGAAGCCGCAGTCCAACAACACCTGGAGGGCCAAAGGTTGACTACACCTGTTATATCAGTTTCAGTGAAGAGAGTGTGTGTGGCATCGTTCAAAGAAATTGGTAGTGACTGGAAAGTAGCACAAAGGCATCCATTTCAAAATTCTGAAGAAACACTGCTTAGTGGTTTCCCCCCGAAGTTTTTCTTAATTAAGTTTTCCAAAATTTAACACGTACATTTCAATACATAATAAAAAACATTTTTTCTGACTTCCCACCCCCTTTTCTATGGTGTTTGTTTCTCTCCCTCTGCTGCACCCTACCTTCTATCTCTTAAACCTTAACTATTATAATCTTTAATCCCTTCTGTTGCGCATCATTCAAACCCTGCTCATGTGTTCATCATATAATAAAATTTCTTTAAATAATTTGAGAAGGATTTCCATTCTTCAACAAAACCTTCACCATTAGGTTCTCTTATTTTAGCTGTTAACTTTGCCATGCAAAGACTGGAGTTCTAATTATTTCAGGAGGCCCATCGCAAAGTTAATTCCATCAGCTTATCATGAGGTTATTTTACATGTAATGTCTGCCAAGCTTATCATGAGGTTATTTTACATGTAATGTCTGCCAAGTTTATAGCCCTGATTAAAATTTCTCTTTAGCAGGAAGCATCTTGAATTCAAGAGGCAGTATCAGCGGATGTTTAGCAGGTTCAAAACATTTCTATAGGGTCTTATTTTAAGGTGTAAAAAAGGAACTTGCACACCTGGGAGGGCAGGGAGTAAGGAAGTGGTAAAATCCTATACAACAGGTGTTATTGAACTGCAGCTTCCATCATCCTTGACCATTGGCCATTTTGTCTAGGCATGATGGAACTTGGAGTCCAACAACATCTGGAGGGCACCAGGATGGGGAGAGCTGCTCTACTTATCTACTCAGAAATAAGTCCTGTTGAGTTCAAAGGGGTCTACTCCCAAGTAAGTGGGTACAGAATTTCAGCCTAAAACATAGAGGGGAGAGGGCTATGAGATTTGATATCTAAATGGAACATTCCATGTGCATGAGCTGTATACATCTAAGTACCTAATGCTGGAGACAAATGACATGATATAGACACTGCTTTCAGAGACTGGCATTGGTTAGAAATGGAAACTGGACACTTGGCTTAATTTAGCAAAGCTGTTCTTATGCTCTCAGGTACAGTCGTACCTTGGAAGTTGAACTGAATCCATTCTGGAAGCCTGTTCGATTTCCAAAACATTTGGAAACCAAAGTGCAGCTTCTGATTGGCTGAAGGAGGTTCCTGCAACCAATTGGAAGTTGTGGAAGCCCCGTTGGACGTTCGGCTTCCAAAAATAGTTCAGAAACCAGAACAGTCACCTCTGGATTTGCGGCGTTCGGGAGCCAAAATGTTTGAGAACTAAGTTGTTTGAAAACCAAGGTACGTTTGTGTTCATATGAGCTCTGAGAGGGGAACTGGGAATTTCAGCCAATTCCCTTTCTGTGATTTTTATTTTATTTTATTTTATTGGTGCTCTGAAAAAGGTATCTGACAGCATGAATATTGCTGCCATCAAAATCCACAAACTGCTGACTGATAACTCACACTGCTCTTAGAAATGCAGGTGCTGGTGGTGATGTGTAGAACAGAAACATCCTCTAAAGTCTTCATTAATGAATTGTTCTTAATGGCTACGTTTAAATACCATTAGCACTACACCTTGTTCAGCAAAATGAAGACAATAAGTATCTCGTGTCGTGCTCACCACTAAGTCAACTCACACCACTAAGCAAGATGCATTAAAAATGACAACACTAAGGTTCATTAGTTCTTGACTTTCCCCGCTAAGTTAAAAACAAAAAACAATAAACTTTAGCAAATGTCCCTGGCATGAGATTGGTTTTTAGTGCTCTTGGTGTCGTCCAATGCCATTCAATTAAAATATAGACATAACTCAAGTAATCATAACACTGTTCCCTTTTTACTTGTGGGCAACTTGCATTACAATTTGTTAATGGAAATTACCCGCATAAATCCTTTCTTTTCAAATGAGCCAATAGAACCCATAATGTAGAGTTCTTTCCTATTCTTTATTTAATTCTCTCCCCATTTCCCCCTCTCTGTCCCCTTTCTATCAAATGGTCATTGGAATGGAAGAGTGAAGAAATGCTTAGTCAGATTTTCTGTCATCATAATGTTCGAGTAAATAATGTGTTACGATTTGTTCTTTGCAGCGATGGATGGGCAATCTTCCCCCAGGCTAGATTTGAAGTGGGCCTGACTGAGACATACTAATTAGGACTCCATTTTGATTGGGTCTAGATTAGTTTTAAATTTTAATTGGGACCCATCATCTCATGGTTTCAGATTGTCAGGATCAGCCACCTTTTCCTAAAACCATGTTTGCAAAAGGGCGGTGGGGTGCCATGGCATCCCAAGGCCTCAGAATTATGACCTAAATGTTGTTGTGCGAGTATGCACAGCCTTATCTTTTGTTCCCAGGAACAAGAGGATGCTTTTGTTTTTTCAGCATAACCTTGCCCTTAATCAGGAGACCTAAAAATGTTGCAAGCTCTTCTTGCTGCTGCCCAAGTTTGCAGGAAATGGCCGGCTGGCAGGCAGCTTAGTTAAAAAAAGAATTTATTTTGAAATGGGCATGAATTTAAAGGGGTTCGTGGTTGTGAGAGTGAATAAAAGAAATTTGGCTTTTGAACTCTATCAGTATCTAAACTGGGTGCTAGTTCTTTGCAAAGCAGATCAGACAAATAGCTGGTTGTCTTGCCATTCTATAGCAAATTCACCACTGGATTTTGCAGGGATTAGAAGCTTGTGGAAATAACATATTTGTTATTTCCAAATAACATTGGAAGCTCCTGCAGCCAGTTGGAAGCCCCATCAGACGTTCGGCTTCCAAAAATAGTTCACAAACCGGACTTCCGGGTTAGCGCCATCGCCGAATGGCGGACTCCCTCCGAGCTCCGGAGGGAGCCTGCTCGGCAGGGGCTGGGTCCTACCGCGCCGGCGACGCGGGGACCCTTAAAAACCACGGGCACGGAGTCCGTGGACAGGGGTGACTCGGCTTGCACCATTAGCGCCCTCCCGACTCGTGAAGGAGCCTTGTTAAAGGCTTCGGAGCGGGTGCCGGGGAGCGGCGTGGTGCTTTGAGTCCACTGCTTTCCCTGCCGAGCGCAGCCGCATGCCATTCGACGGAGAGCGCTGACTTCTTCTATTGAAAATTTGGACTATCAACAACAACCCGTGAGTAATTGGGAAACCGGGTTTAAAATTTTGGATCTGGCACGAGCGGGGGCGATTTAAAAAGGAAGTCAATCCCCCCCCCTATTGTAAGCATTCCAAAACAAGGACTGGGTAACCAAGGTCCAAAGGGAAGTATGTTTCTGATAAAAATCATTAATTTCACGATGGGAAATTATAAGAAATGTGCTGGAGGAGAAGAGTGGAGGGTGAGAAGAAAATGCAATCCCCCGGGAACCGGGGCGATTCGTGGAGCCTGGTGAAGAGAGACGGAGACTTTGACAGCTGTCAAAGTGGCTGTCAAAGCTGGAGAATATAAAGAGGACTTTATGAGGACCTTGCTGGTTAATTTTGTTACAATTTGCTATAATATGGATATAAACTGTTGGAAAATAAGCAACAATTTGACTTTTGGATTAGAGGATACAAAGTTATTACAATCCCCTAGAGGGGTTTCAGGATACTACAAGAACGGTCGTAAGTGGAAAAATACCCTGGGATTCGCACAGGATTTGTTATCTTCTGGGAAAGCTGCAAAACTGAAAGAGTATTTTGTCTACAGAGGAAGACAATGGAATTTTTATTGAAGAAAGAAAGGGACTGGACGTAAGTTTTTGTTCCTGAATAACAAACCTCTGCAGAGACACTAGATTTCTGAATTAGAAAGTTTTAGCAGCTGAACAGGACAAGAACCTGAGAAAGTGAGGAATAAGAAGAATAAAGGACTGATTACGACACGGAAAGAACAACGGGAGGAGTGGTAAAGATCAAGGAAATTAAAGGCCTTTGTTAGATTGGACATTTGAAGTCAAATATTATTTAAATTAATAAACTAAAAGAAAACCGGCAAGATGGAATCGGGGAGAAATCTGGTCATGAAATGAGACTTCCAAGCTGATAATGTATAGACTGATGGACATGGGGAATTCAAACCGGGGAAGGGGGGGGGGGGGGAGATTTGAAATCCAAAGGCTGTGTAACCATTTTTTGAATTTTTCTATATCTCTTATTTTCTATTTCTTTACATAACTCATGCATGTTATTTTACTTTGATCGGACGTGTTTAAAAAAAAGGGAATTTGTGGAAGGAACTGGGGTGGATCTTGGGGAAAATCTTTTTTCTTTTTCTGTTAATGATGTGGGACGGTGGCAAGATTTGTACAATTCAATTTGGATAGTGGGTTAAACAAATTAAGCTTTAAATTTGGGAGTGAGAGCTTGTAGAACCAAATTAAGGAAAGGGGAATACAATTGGGGGGGGGAGGGGGGGAGTCCCAGAAAGTAGGGAATGAAAGTAAGGTTTTTAAATATCTTCTTTCTTTTGTCTTTTTTCTTTGTATTTTTATATTTTTGGAAACTTTAATAAATATGATTTAAAAAAAACAAAAATAGTTCACAAACCAGAACAGTCACTTTCGGGTTTGCGACGTTCGGGAGCCAAAATGTTCAAGAACTAAGCTGTTCGACTTCCAAGGTATGACTGTATTTAATAACAAGTCACCCGCTTTTATGGGACGAGGGTGGCGCTGTGGGTTAAACCACAGAGCCTAGGACTTGCCAATCAGAAGGTCGGCAGTTAAAATCCTTGCTACAGGGTGAGCTCCCGTTGCTTGGTCCCTGCTCCTGCCAACCTAGCAGTTCATAAGCACATCAAAGTGCAAGTAGATAAATAGGTACCGCTCCGGCGGGAAGGTAACTTTCCGTGCGCTGCTCTGGTACACAAGAAGCGGCTTAGTCATGCTGGCCACATGTACGCCGGCTCCTTCGGCCAATAAAGTGAGATGAGCGCCGCAACCTCAGAGTCGGCCACGACTGGACCTAATGGTCAGGGGTCCCTTTACCTTTACCCGCTTTTATATTTTTCTTACATACTATTTTAACCTTTTACTTGCTACCTATTTTCCTCACTTTCTCTTTCTGTACAGATTTATCTTCTTTTTCTCCAAAATATGGTTGTGGCACCATAGGTGCAGCTCACATGGCAATTCACACCTTATCATGGGTGAAGCTCACCTGGAGTATGGAGTTATGGAAGACTTACACAAAGTTTTAATGATGTTTTTCCCCAGTGCTGTTGGGATGCATTAAACCTTCACCTGTGGACAGCAAGTTAAGACATTATCGACTGCTTCTGCAGCAAATGTAGACAACTAATTACTTTGCACCTTTCCCCAGGAGGGCCTCAGAGCAAGGAAAAGGTAAATAGAAGAAGATTAAAGCTCCTTCCAGATTATCTCTGGACTGCACTCAGAATCAATCCTCTGATTATCATAATTTTCTGTATGGGTGCATTTCACATCAGCCCGACTATTGGCTCTGCTGGCTGGTGCTGACAGGTAGTTAGGTCTCCTGGAGGGCCAGAGCTTCCTTATCCCTAATTTACTGAGTCTTGACCAACTCAAAAAAGAGACAAACAACAGGTGTCTTCACAGAACAAATCAGGAGACTTCTGACATGAAAGTATTAAGTTGCTGAGTTCACTGAACACAGAACTGAACGTTTTCTCTTTTTAAAGAGCTAGACATACTGCAGATTATGATGCAAATCAGAGGCACCGAGGCACCACATGGTTGCCTTGGGCCAGCCCCAGTCGCTGATGGCAATCTATTTGTGGCAAGCCTGAATTAATGGACACCTTGGCCTTTGTCGGCTGTGGCCTGCTCCTCAGTGCAGATTCTGCTTTCCTCCAGACATCTGTCTCTCTTCCTCCCTCATAACATTTTAAAATGCAGCCCAAAGACATATATATATTTATGCTCCCTATTGTGCAGAGATGATTTATCTAGTGTATCTTATATTTAAACATAAGCTTGAAATGTGGTTCTTTTGTATTCTACTGTCAGGAATGAGGCTTACTTATATCCACAGAGATTTGTGTCTCCAGTAGCATCAGAGCTACTTACCCATACGTAACTAGGAAGAGCTTGCATTGAATTGAGACTAAGAACTTCCAGGGGCTCATCTTATTTATTTAGGAAAGTTCTATCCAGCCATCATAAAATATATTGCAGGGTGGGATAGAGGAACCTTGCCTTCCCCTTTCAAGGGCCTGTAATTGTGTGCCTTGTAGACCCTTCATTTACCCATTTAGAAACACCAAAGAAGCTTTTTGCCTTGGTATTCTCAATCACCTCAGTTATAATTATTGAAATAAGGGGAATAGCTGTAGCCAGAATCCCAGGGTCCATCCCAAATCTGAGTTTTGTGTAAGCCTCAGTACGATAATGTCTGCTTCACCCTGTGGTCCTACAACCAGTACTCCCTGCCTGATGTAGATAGTTAATGCAGCCGCTCAAGTAATTTAATACCGTCCTTCCTTCCCAAGAGTTCATTAGCTGACTTTGATGTCCTAAAAGTTGAGCACGAATATTAAACTCATCAGGAAATATATTGGCTGCTTTAAAGGCCGCTCCAGTGGGGATGTACTTTTATGTGTCTCTTCTGTTATTAACGTCAGTAAGTGACACTCTACTACTGCAGCCAGTGTCTTTCAGACATTTTGCCACATTTGTCCCAATTTGGACTTGTTGAGTTGTGACTGAAAATCATTACAATCTGATGGATCTTTGGGAGTAATGAGAAGTGAATTGATGATGTCAGGCTAGGTGTCAATGAGAGAAGAACCAGGATCAAAGCTGGCATTAGTTGTCACCCTTTTCTTTGCTTAAAAGGAAACCAACATTTAAATGGACGTTGAATCCTGACTGACAGCAAGCAGTTCCTTTCTTTGAACTTTAAGATGTGAAACCCTTCTCCTGTATTTGCCCTAGACATCTAAGTGAATAGCAATTCACTTTGCAGAAAACCTTAATGTGTCTAGACTACTCTGCCATTAGTCTTGACCACCACCCTTTAACCATCTTCCTCAAATCACCGCCTTGCTCAAATTTTCTGTGTATACCTTTTTTTTTTGTATGTTTATATGGCTGTCTCTAGCCCTGTTCAATCATTCATATTCACACGGTTCTCATTTCATGAGGGAGCAGTGAGGATGTGCTTGGTGGCCTATTGCCATTCACTGGTGGGAAAGTCTGAAAGGAAGAATCTGTTTTAAATGTGTTGGTGTGACGAAAAAGTTGGTTTTGCTGGACAGGTTGAATCAACAAGTGTTTCTTTCTCTACCAGCAAATGGTTAATGAATGGCAGCCTCTGACTGGCAGTGGTTCTAGGAGGGAGAGTTTAAAAGGAGAGGATTTGAGGAGAGACAGGTAGTTAGGGGTTGGGGGTTGGTTAAGGAGTTGAGGGAGTTAAGAGGGTTGGTTTTGGACGGTTGGAATTGAGGTTGGAGAGGTTAGAAGATAGGTAGGGAGACAGCTTGAGGTATAATGAATGGGAGAGAGAGTTGCTTCTGGGTCAAAAAACAACTTCCACTCTGAGCGTATTGTGAAGGACAGAGTGTGGTGTCCTGTAGGAGGAATAGACCGAAATTTTACTGGGAGGCAGAGGTTGAGCCAGGAGAAGTAGGAGCTGGAAAGGAACAGCCTACTTGGGACTCAAATCTAGTCTGGAGGGGAGAGATTCTTCCAAGGAAAAGAAGAAACTCCCAGACCCAGTGAAGGGAGGTGATATGGAGAGCCCTTTGGTCTAATACTTAAAGTACCTCAGGAGCAGGCTTGTTAAAGGGGGTGGATAACTGAAAGAAAATATCACCGTATGAAGGAACCAGACCTATACAGTGGTACCTTGGGTTACATACGCTTCAGGTTATATATGCTTCAGGTTACAGACTCCGCTAACCCAGAAATAGTGCTTCAGGTTAAGAACTTTGCTTCAGGATGAGAACAGAAATTGTGCTCCAGCGGCGCAGCAGCAGCAGGAGGCCCCATTAGCTAAAGTGGTGCTTCAGGTTAAGAACAGTTTCAGGTTAAGTACGGACCTCCGGAACGAATTAAGTACTTAACCCGAGGTACCATTGTAACTCAAAAACAACTGAGGACGAATTAAAATGAAATCACACTCTTTTCTTGAAGAAACCTAAGTTTAATCCATGTGTGTTATATACTATCTTGCCTTATATAAATCTTTATTGTTTATTTAAAGAAAACCTGTCTGAGACTCCAACTTACTAGTTATCCCTTCACAAAGGTCCCCCTGCAGGATTCTCAGGGCTAGAATTATAAGAGGAAAGGAAAAGAAACCTTTGGGCAAAGGGTTGTTTAGTAAGGTGGGGGCAATTTATCTGAGTGAGAGCAGGCCCACCGGCATGAGAGGAAAAAGTGCCAACGCGCCTGTTGCAGTTGGCTCCCATCATGATTTAGAACCAAATCATGCAGACCAGATGCCCATGTATGTAGAGCAGGATCTCTGCTTCAGACCTTGCCCAAACACATGTGGATGTGGGCAGGGGGAGCAGCAGGGGTTGCAAGAGCAGACCCAACTAGTGGAACCCCTCCTCTGCCCCTTGTGTATGTAATGGTAGTCTTGCAAGTATGATTGCAAGGGCTTCATTTTCAGGCACTATGGCTGCTTCCTTGTAGCTCGCACAGGACACACACACACACACACACACACACACACCCGCTCAAAAAATGACAGTAATCTTAAAAGTGATTCCAAATCTACAGGGCACAAAGTGAAGCGATATGTCTCAAATGACGATTTGAGAATGGATATGATAGAGGTGGCAGATTGGCAAGCTTGATGCAACATAAAAGAACTTTTAACAGTTAATTCACTCTCCTGCTTGTCTTTGACTCTGACTCATACTCATCATCTGCATTTGAAACACACAAGCCTCTTGTTTTGGGCAATTGGATTATTAAAAATGGATGGCTTTCTCTAGAGAATTCCCTGCTCATTTTCAAATATCACACTTTATTGAATCATTCATTTAAGAGGAAAAAACGATCTACAATTTCATTCTTATGTAGGAAATTAGATGCATATTATATCCCTATGAATAGATTGAGTTGAAGATTGTGAGCACCTGTTTCAGTGTTTTTCTATGCCTGTTTTTAATTTTTACAAGAAACATCATTCAGTAACTCTGATTTCTCCCCCATTCTTTTCATATAATTTTCTGATGGTTATTACATTGGAAACAAGAAATGTTTTGAATATTTTTCTCCCCAGTTTCTGTTTTTCTGTACACCTGTGATCATATTATTTTACTGCCAGCTTCAAAAGAGCCATATGCAACCGTGTTTGAAAAGTGTCCTAATGATAGAGTTTGCAGTTGGAAAATATTTATATGAAGATGGGAATTAGTAAACATCCTTTTGAGTTCTAACCAGGATTATCCCTTTGGGTTTTGGTGCTTAAAACCATTTTATGATCTAGATGGTTAAGCTGTACTGAGAGATTAGCACACATATACTACTCCTGTTTCCTAAAACTAGCCACAAAAGCTCATTTAGAGAAGGCTTTTATCACTTCACAAACTTTCAAGCACAAATATTTACAGAGTTCCTGAAGGAATTATAACATGGGCTAGGAACCTCAGATTTGGACTCCTCATGTCGCCTTCCAGAACTTTCTAGTTCACTCTCAGAAGTTTCCTCCGGCCATATCACCTCCCAAACTCCACCCCTCATCAGCCTTGAATAGAATTGTAGAATTGGGAAGGACCATAAGCATAATCTAATCCAAACCCCTGTATCGCACCCTTCTCAAATGATTTTGCTTGGCTGATCTATGATATTTAACAGTTGTTATCATTACAGTGGTACCTCGGGTTAAGTACTTAATTCGTTCCGGAGGTCCGTTCTTAACCTGAAGCACCACTTTAGCTAATGGGGCCTCCTGCTGCTGCTGCGCCGCCGGAGCACGGTTTCTGTTCTCATCCTAAAGCAGAGTTCTTAATCCGAGGTACTATTTCTGGGTTAGTGGAGTCTGTAACCTGAAGTGTATGTAACCTGAAGCATATGTAACCAGAGGTACCACTGTATTAATTTTATGACCTGCCATTCACCAATAGATCCCAAAACAGGTTACAGCAATTTAAAATTCAGAAGTAAAAACCCGTTAAAACAGATTATGATCACAGAAATAAGGTGGGATACTTTTATCAAAATCTGTAAAAGGTTAACGAGACTGTGTTTACCCTTACAGAAGCCGTGCTGATTCTGCTTCAGCCTGTCTTGTTCTTTTATAGGCTTTTTATATTTTATTAAGCTTTTCACCATTTTTCCTGGAATAGATGTTAAGCTAGCCATCCTATTGTTTTCCAGATTCTGGCTGGTTCCCTTTTCAAGCATTAATGTTACATCAACCACAGTCCTTGGGTATGGAAGCTGATCTTAGAGATAAGTTGCACATTTTTGTTACAAGATCAGCAATTTTACATTTCAGTTCTTTAAAGAACTCAGGAGAACGCCAATGATTTGTCCATTTTTAATTTGTCAGTAATCTTAGAACTTTGTCTTTTGTCACCACTATTTGCCTTAATTCCTCAGATTCCCTTTCTGAGAAACAGGGATAGGATCTGCCCTATCTCTTTTGCTGTGTAGACAGATACAAATAATTCATTATGGCTCTTATGTGATGTATTTATTTTTAATGTTCATACCCCCACCCTTTTGTCAATCAAGGACCAAGGTAGCTTAGAGAGTTAAAATTTGCAGAAGCACAAATTGAACAGAAAAAAGGGAATGCGAGAAAACAGCCAATTAAAACAGTTGGCTCATAAGTATTAGGAATTGGCTGCAGCCTCCAACTGAAGGCAGCCTTGCGTAGAATATGGCCCAAAATTATCTCCTGGATTCATTTTCACTTGCTTTCATCTTGCTGCCAACATCAGCCAGGCGTTCTGCACATATCAAACATGGACGATGAAGATGGAACGAAAAGAAACAATAGTGTTGGAATGACTGTTGCACTTATGCTGATCTTAGATGGAATCTCCACAACAGGGAGCCTTCTGGCTTCACTTGAAAGGAAGGGAAACAAGATGGAAACTGGTTGGACACAACAGGACACACTTTTTATCATTGTTTGACATTCATATTATATCATATGGAAGAAAAATCTTTCAGGAGTGGGGGAGAATATAAAATTCTTATCTATGAATGTCATCATACCTGACTATTACAAGCTAGAATTGGCTCAACTGAAAGCTGTATAATTTACAAAGGCTTTAATCAATATTTACTGCAGTGTGAAGGAAGCAGGGATCAATATTATTGAACAGGCCTCCACATCATAAGGCCCATGGGCTGATGATGGCCCAAATCCTGATAATTTATGCCACCGTAGAGGAATTCCAAATGCCTGCTGTTTCTGGCCATTTCGTACCACTTCAGGGAAACATTTACAATCCATATAAGACCATGAAAAGTGTTGTCTGTGGTGCATCGTTAGGTCTGATTGCATCTTTCCTACTCTCCCTGGAATTTAGATACACGTAACAGAAATTGTGCCAGTTTTTCCAGGCTATGCCAGCCAGCCATGCTATGTAGCCTACTTGCATCTGAAACTCCCTCACTATGAATTTCTAGGAGAGTGAAATCCTGGTGTGCTTGTGCTGTTTAATTCAGCAAGGACCATAAACACAACAAAAATGATGGCACAAATGAGAAATACTACTATGCGTACTTGTACTCAAGAACCCAACTAACACATATCCTTTTGAGTCTTTAACTCACTTGCCACAGGGTAAGTTATATTAGAAGAATTAGCACTCGGACAATAGACCAAAGCTTAGAACCAAAGAATTTACGAATTTACATCATGCTAACTGGGGCTGAAGGGAGTTCCTCCAACAGCATTTGAAGGGCCACGAGTTTCTCATCCCTGGTTTAGCCAAATACAACTTAGAGCCTATTTGAATGCCTACTCTGTGGAGGTGACAGTGGTGAAGACATTTTTCACCTGTCCTTAATATCCAGATCCATGAGGACGGCCATCACCATGGATAAGTGATGGCCAAAACGAGGAAGTAGTCCCAGGATTCCAGAGAGACAGGAAGATGAGACATACAGGATCAGGACCTTGGAGAAGAACCATGGAGAGGATTTCAGAATCACAGTTAGTACCGTATTGGTCTGAATATAAGCTGCACCCGCAAATAAGCCGCACCTTTAAAATTCAAGGGGAAGGGGGGAAAAGACAATACCCGAATATAAGCCGCTCCCTTGAAATTCTGCAGGCACTCACACCTGTAAATGGCAAATGTAGAAGAAAATCTAGAGAGGACCCACTAGAGAGGACCCACAAGTGAGTTAAACACCTGTTTGTTGCACCGTAAATGCAGATTAAAAAATCAATACTGCACTGTAAAATATGGGGAAAGTGATGAATGACATTAGAATTAATTGCACAACAGTCTAAAGCTCGCAATGCGGCAAGAAAACATTTTTTTGTGCCATTTAAAAATACGTCTGTTTCAACAGCGATATCGTAAGAGCCAGTTTTTGTAAGTTCACAAATTTAAGCCGCACTTTAACTTTTCATGATTAGAATTTGGGGTGGAAAGTGCTGCTTATATTCGGGCCAATACGCTAATCCTGCAGCTGAGGCAGGAAAGTATCCATGTGGTGTCCTGCAGCAACTGGCAGATCCATAAATCCTGGGTTAGGTATTCATTAGCTATATCTGGCCAGTAAAAGGGCCTGGTGTCTTTCTTCACAGTTGTTGCCTTCTTCTATGTCCTGGTGTTTCAAGCTGTGAGGATTTCTCCTTAGGTCTCTCCCGAACCTCTTGAGGAGCCTGTGGACCAAGAATCAGAGTTTGATGTCAAGAGTGTCTCCTTGGGGTTCAAGAGAAGAGATACAGGTTCCATTGAGTGTGACTCCACATGGGGCTGACCACTGAGAGTATCCATCTCCTCCTCAGCACTTCCATTGTCAGAAGACTCTGCCTCTGAGGATTCCTGCTCTGGGCCCATGACACCTTCATGATACCATCTAGTGGAGCTCTTCAGAGCAGTTAAGGGGCTTATTCAACATTATCCATATCCATGCATTCAAGGCAAATGTGTGTAGGCTTAAAACCTGGAGTATACAAGTTGTGGCCCCACACTTGCTGGTTCCATTTCAGACCTTCCCATGTTCACCACAGTGCTCTGAAGGAAAGTTCTGAATGCAATTAGAATCCTCTCCCAGGATTGGGAACCTCAGTAACTGAGATTTTGAGGACAGGTCTGTGCGATCCGTAGTCCAAGCGTATGGCTTATCTGAAAAGGATTACACACCCCTGAAAAAACTAGGCATTCTGTTGCATTGCCACTTCTCCTGGCTGATTTTTTTTTTTACCTTGCTTAAGTAACATTTCAAATTGATGACCACAGCCATCTCTGTGAAAGCTGCCCTTAGCAAATGTGCAAGCCAGGCATTGACTGGGCTGGGGGCTTATGCCAGGATAAGAACACACTGCAGTAGTGTGAATAAGATTTCTGCTTGCCGGTTAGTTTCTGTGTGGTTCTGATCTACAAAATCCTAGTTACCTAAGGTCAAGCCTGTCTGGGTTCCAGACCCATCTGGCCACTTAATGGAAATGCATGTTTAGAGAACTCCAGCTCTCTCTTTTTAGGAGACCATGAAATCCTCCCAAGTATCTGAGCAAAGCGGAAGGTTTGATTCATACTGCTATTTCATTAATGGATTATTTCTCAACACTGCTGATTAAATCATGTTATTTAATATTGATTTTGTGTGTATGAGAGACAGAAAAGAGCCATTATGCGTTGTTTCTTCATATATTCTATAAGTTAGTAAAACAGTGAATTGACTTCTTGCAAATCTTCATGCTAGATCTTTGGTTTTGAATAATATATGTTGGGGAGGGGGAGATGTGTAGATAATTTATGAACATATAATAACTGCCTGTTGACATAATTGCAAGCTGAGATTACTTGAATTCTTAGAATGGTAAACAAATATAATTTTAATTGTCTAATGTAAGTATAAGCATAAATAGTTAACACCACTGGATGTTTCTTTAATGAGATTGTATTTGAACAGAAAATGTGCAGTTACTATAGAAGTTACTATAGGAATTCATAAGGTGTGTGTTGATCTTCAGACTTTGTTGTGTTTGGCTTTCTCTCACTTTCTCTCTTTTGGGCTGTTGAACTCCTAAGTATCTTTTACTGTTTAGTGAAATTGATTTCCTTCAATATGTGACATGACTTCTGATTGAATCACAAATGAGCTGCCATCATTCAGTCAGAAACATCTGCTTCCTAATATTACAGACGTTGGATTGGATCCAAATAATCTGCTGGGTGAGTGGAAGCACTTCTGCTAGGGGAAGGAATGTCAATTTTAAACATACCTCTTTCTGTGCTTCCTAAAAACCCATGCTGGAAAGTTGTAGATCTGCCATCTGCAGCATTTTGTACCACCTCCTCCTGTTTGGGCAAATGTACTAGAAGACCCTCAGAGGATGGCAGATGAAGTTGATGGACTATATGGAATTGGCGGAAATGACTGGCAGAATCCAAGACCAGGGAGAAGAGTCGGTGGAAGAAGACTGGAAAAAGTTTAAAGACTATTTACAGAAATACTGTAAAATTAATGAATGTTAGAAAAATGTTGGAATGAAGTTATATGGTGTCAGGGAACTGCCATCGGAAGGAAGGGAGGTGAAAGGACTCACACAGGTTGGGAGAGACTCAGCAGCTGAAGAGGGAACCAGTAGGGGGAGAGGAGCTGAGCTGAGGGAAAGTGAGCTGGAGGGTTGGCTCAGAGACACTTCCAGCGAAAACAGTGGGGAGGTTTCAGGACCTCCTGTAGGAACACTCACTCCTCGCCGGAAACTGTCACGCAGAGAGTCCAGAAGACGTGTTTCCGTTAAGGAGCTTTTATGTTGGAAGCGATTCTGAAAGCAACCACTGTCGGAATCTGCTAGTGACTAGAGGAGCCATGTCTGAGGGGCTCCGTCACAGACAGAGGTTTGTGGACTTGAACAAACTCTAAGGGGATACTATTTTACGCACAAGCAGCTCATCATCCCATCACAGCATTCCGACAGTCTTTGAAAGCAGCTTGTGCAGGAGAAGGCATCATGAGCAACCCAGCCGGAACCGGAGAAGCAGGAGCTGGAGCGGGTCCAAGCCTGGAAGAAAGGTACCGGGTGTTGGAGGTCCAGCTAGCGCTGCAGACGGCGAGGCTTGAGGAGAGGAGGGCTCAGGATGCAGACAAAAAGGGCAAGCCACCCAGCTCGCCAGAAAGGTACCAGGATTGGTGCAGAAGTTTGGGGGGGAGCCCAAAGACTATCATGGCTTTCGGACAGAGATGCAATATGCCCTCAATCTGCAGTTTGATGAATTCCCTGACGAGAAATCACGAGTGGCTTTCGTGATTGGGCATCTTGAAAAGGGGGCGAGAGACTGGGTTAGACCCCTGATGGCAGCGAATAGTGACGTCCTAAAGGACACGATGAAGTTCTTTCGCGCCATGGATCTGATGTTTTCCAGCGATATTGAACAGGGAGTGGTGCGCAGACAGTTAATGGCTTGCAAACAGGGGAGCCGATCTGTCCATGAGTACTGGACTGAGTTCACCATGCTGGTTCACAGATTGGGGTGGGACTTATCGGCGGAACCCATTCAAATGCTCTTTGAAGAAGGGCTTTCTTCGGCTGTGAAAGACGAACTTTCCCGGGCGCCCAGGGCGGAGTCTATGGACCAGCTGACCAAATCAGCGCTGACCATAGGAGCGCGCCAGGAGGCGAGAGCATTGGAGAGGCGGGAAGGGAAGGGGGAACGTTGGAAGGAGTTCCGCATTCCAGACATTCCAGAGCCAACTTTCCCGCCGGCAGAGCCGATGGAAATCGGAACAGCGCGCGCGCGCGCAGTTTCAAAGCCCAGTGAGGGGGGAAAGAAGGAGGGAAAACGCGCCCGGAAATGCTATCTCTGCCAACAGCCAGGTCACTTTGCCAGAGTATGCCCCCAGAGGAAGGAATGGCAAGGGATGGTAGGAGCTGTGGAGGGAAGAGAGGAAGAAATACCGGAGCAAGTAAAAGCCAACGCCTGGCTGCCACCGTCGGGGCACAGCAGCCAGGCCAAAGAGCAGTGAGAGTGCCCACGCCAGAACCTCCTAAACCCGCCCTAGTGATAGAAGTGGCGCTAGAGCTGCCAAACGGACACCCTCTAAAGATAAAGGCGCTGTTGGACTCAGGCAGCTCCTGCAATTTCATGAGCAAAGAGTTTGCAGCTGAACACCAGATACAGACGATCCCTTTAAGCAACCCCTGCAGGTGACCACGATCGATGGCAGGGAGCTGTTGGGAGGAGAAGTCAGCTTGCAGACCGTCCCAATGATAATGAAGGTGGCAAGGCACACCGAACTGATAGCGTTTAATGTGGCCACCTTGGGAGGAGCTCCCATTATATTGGGGATGAGCTGGCTAGCGTTACATGATCCGCTGGTGGGCTGGCATCAGAGAGTGGTTTCTTTTGGTTCAGCACATTGCTTAGAACACTGCAAAGAGGGAAAGGGTTTGGCAGGGGCCCAAGCCACCCTAGCAGGGACTGAAGTAATGGAGAACGGGAAGGTACCACGACAATACGCAGATCTCCGCGACGTCTTCAGCGAAAGGGAAGCTGACCAACTACCCCCGCATAGACCCTTTGACTGTCAAATCAATTTACTCCCTGGGGCACAGCTCCCTGTAGGCAAGCTGTACGCCATGTCAGACAGAGAGATGCAGGAGCTAAGAGAGTTCATTGACAAGAACCTGAAGAGAGGGTTCATCAGAGAGTCCAGGGCGGTGGGGGGCAGCCCAGTGTTTTTTGTGGATAAAAAAAACACAAACAAGCCGAGGCTGGTGTGTGACTTCAGGGCCTTAAATGCAGTGTCAGAACCAGTGGCCTTCCCTATGCCCAGGATTGACGACATTTTGACAAGGGTGCGGAAGGGAAAGATTTTCACAAAGCTGGACCTAAGGGGGGCGTACAACCTGATACGAATAAGGAAGGGGGATGAATGGAAAACCACCATGTTCACCCCTTTAGGGGCATTTGAATATTTGGTTATGCCCTTCGGCCTACAAGCAGGCTCCGCATGCTTTCAATCGTTTATGAACCACGTCCTGGGGCCTTTGCTTTACAAGAATTGTGTGGCCTTCTTAGACGACGTGTTGGTGTATTCTGAGAATGAGGAGCAGCATGTGAGAGACGTCAGAGAAGTGTTGAGCAGGCTGCAAGCCAACCGGCTGTGGGTGAAACTGGAGAAGTGTCAGTTTCATACCAAAGAGGTGGAATTCCTGGGGTATCGCCTGTCAGACAAGGGATTGACCATGGATCCCGGCAAGGTCCAGGCGGTGCTGGAATGGAAAACACCCAAAACAAGGAAGGATGTGCAGAGGTTCCTAGGATTTGGGAACTTCTATCGTAAGTTCATCCGAAACTTTGCCCACCTGACGGCGCCCATTACGGACTGTCTCAGCAGTAAGAAGAAGTTCGTTTGGACTGAGGAGGCGGAGCGAGCATTTGAGGAACTAAAAAGGGCCGTCGCCTCGGAACAACAACTCCTGCATGTGGATTTACAAAAACCGATGAGAGTGGAAACTGACGCATCAGACAGAGCGATTGGGGCGGTGCTTCTGCAGCCAGGGAAGGAGGAGTCAGAGTGGAGACCGTGTGCTTTTTTCGCGAAAGCTGAACAAATCCGAGAGGAACTACACGGTGTATGACCGAGAACTACTAGCCATTCATGAGGCGTTCCGGAGATGGAGGCACCTGCTAATTGGCGCACAACATAAGGTGCAAGTGTGCACTGACCACAAGAACCTAGAGTATTGGAGGACGGCACGAGTGCTCAACCAACGGCAAGTGAGATGGGCCCAGGAGTTCTCCAAATTTAACTTTGAGATTGGTTACGTGCCAGGCCCAGAGAACATTAGGGCGGACGCTCTCTCACGCAAACCTGAATATTTGGAGGGGGAGGGAGCACCCGAAGAGAGACATGTCATTCCAGAGGACCGCTGGGTGTGTGGGGCGGCATTGGTGGGACAAAGAGAACTGGTAGAGGAAACAGAGAATGATGAATACGCCCAGAATAAGCTCAGAGGTATTAGGGGTGAGGGAGAGGAACCAGGGGGTTTCGAGGAAAGAAATGGAGCTTTGTATTACAAAGGGGCACTGTATATCCCTGAAGGAGACTTAAGGGGGGAGGGTACTCAAGCAATTGCACGACAGCCCTACGGCGGGGCATTTTGGACAACACAAAACCATGTGGTTGGTCACCAGGGAATTTTGGTGGCCTAAGGTGAGGGAAGATGTACGTGAGTATGTAAGAGGGTGCGAGCAATGCCAGCGAGCCAAAGGGGAAAGGCGGGCGCCGGCGGGGCTATTAGAACCCTTACCAACCCCAGAACGACCTTGGGAGGCAGTGTCGATAGATTTTATGACTGATCTGCCGAAGTCCAAAGGGAAAACAGCCATCATGGTGGTGGTAGACCTACTAACAAAGATGTGCCACTTTGTAGCTTGCTCGCATGCAGTCACGGCGGAAGAGACAGCGAAGTTATTTGTAGAACACATTTTTAGGTTGCACGGGGTGCCATTGAGGGTGGTCTCAGACCGAGGAAAACAATTTACTTCCAGGTTCTGGAGGAAGCTCATGAGCTTACTGCAGGTGGAGGTCAATTTTTCGACTGCCCGGCACCCTGAAACCAACGGGCAGGCGGAAAGAGCAAACGGTGTCCTCCAGCAATACCTGAGGTGTTATGTCAATGACAGAGAGAATGACTGGGTAGAAAAGTTGGCGCTGGCGGAATTTGCCTACAACAATGCCGAGAATGTGTCCACAGGGATGAGCCCCTTCTTGGCTAATTATGGGTGTCATCCCAGGGCTTTCCCAGGGGAGATGGGGAGAGATGGAGCGTCCCGGCAGCCGAGCATTTTGTGGAAGAAATGGAAGCAATCCATCGTCAGCTCCAACTCAACTTAGAAAGGGCGAAGGAAGAATACAAGAGGCAGGCAGACAAGAACCGAAGGGAAGGTGAAACCATAAGGGTGGGAGATAGGGTGTGGCTGTCAACCCAAGGGTTGCCGTTCAAAGGAGGTTGTAAGAAATTAAGACCCAGGAGGTTGGGTCCCTTTGAGGTCATTCAACAGGTCAACCCAGTGGCTTTCAGGCTCCGGTTACCCAACCACATGAAACTGCACCCAGTATTTCACAGGTCGTTACTGTCACCGTATGAAAGGGGACGAGAAGGGATGGCCACTCGGGGACCGGTCATAGAAGAAAGAGAATGCAGCAGCCATGTGGCAGAAATCCTCGACGCCAGGTGGAAGGGGGATCAGGTGGAGTATTTGGTAGCGTGGGAAGGAGAACCGGAGTCAGAAAACACTTGGGTAATGGCCGAAGATATCAATGACGAGGTATTGATAGAAACGTTCCATCAAAGGTTCCCAAGGAAACCTCAGCCTGTGGAGAGGTTCCGGAGGGAATACTTTGGGACCACTGATGAGGAGGAGGAGTTGGAAGGATTCCCGGACTCGGAAGGGGAAGGCGAGATGGACTCTGAGGAGGAGGAGTACTTCGAGACCAGGAACCGCAACAGGTGGAGAGAAGTGTTCAAGACATCGGAAGATGAAGGAAGTTCATTCCGGGGTTTTGCCTCCTCACCGCCCGTAGAGGAGGGGGCGAGAGGGGGTGAAAGGGGCCCTGGAGGGGAGGTGGATGTCAGGGAACTGCCATCGGAAGGAAGGGAGGTGAAAGGACTCACACAGGTTGGGAGAGACTCAGCAGCTGAAGAGGGAACCAGTAGGGGGAGAGGAGCTGAGCTGAGGGAAAGTGAGCTGGAGGGTTGGCTCAGAGACACTTCCAGCGAAAACAGTGGGGAGGTTTCAGGACCTCCTGTAGGAACACTCACTCCTCGCCGGAAACTGTCACGCAGAGAGTCCAGAAGACGTGTTTCCGTTAAGGAGCTTTTATGTTGGAAGCGATTCCGAAAGCAACCACTGTCGGAATCTGCTAGTGACTAGAGGAGCCATGTCTGAGGGGCTCCGTCACAGACAGAGGTTTGTGGACTTGAACAAACTCTGAGGGGATACTATTTTACGCACAAGCAGCTCATCATCCCATCACATATGGCTTTAGTAGAAATGTTATAAGGAATTAAGTATAAATAGATTAAAGGGTATTAAAGGGAAAAATAAGGTTAGAATGTGTTAAAATAATTAAAGGATAGAAAGCAAAGGAAGATGGAAAGGAATTGCTGAAACAATTAACAGAAGTGGAATACAAAAAGGGAGGTGTGAGGAGGTCATTGAAATAAGTGAATGAAAGATAAGATATTGAAACTGTTTGATGTGTTTTAAACTGTTTTTGTTTTGTTTTGTTAGTTTAATGTGTTAGTGTTATGTACTGTTTTTGTATTGTATTGTATTGTTTATTTTTTTGTAGTGTTTAAATTGTTGGAAAAGTAATAAATATATATTTTTTAAAAAAAATAGAAGACCCTCAGAGGTATAGGTGCTCCTTCCAGATGTACAACAGAATCTTAATACCTTGCTGAAATACCTCTGTGTCTGTTCTGTGCCTGGGTGGGAGATTTATATTTGATTTTAATATTTGTATTCCATTTTTCCAGTGACAAATTCTGAGCTCAAAGTGGCTCACAGCCGCTATACTGTCAAACACAATAAAGCAAATTAACAACAAATTTCATCAAAATGATTAGTGCAATTCCGTAAAGTCATCGTAATTCAAAATATCAGAAAATATCAGAAATTATTTATCAAAATGATTAATACAGTTCAACAAAGTCATAGCAACTGTGTACATCACTTGGGGTTCCATTGAAAGAAAGTGGGATATAAATTGAAGAATGTCTAAGACACTATGGACTTACTTTCTGTAGGACTATCAGGGCCGACCCTGCTATCGGGCAGAGTGATTTTGTGTGTTATGAAAAGTGAGCAAATTGTGAGTTACATAATTTATTTTTGATGTAATTATTCACTTCTGGGAGGAAGTGCTTGTGGGATTTTCCATCTCGGAGGAAGAGAACTTGGCCAACCTTGGATACTATGCTCCAGGACCTGGGAGAGAAGATGCTATTTTCTATTCCACCTCAGGCAGTACAATGTGTTGACATCTGTGCCATACTGAGTGATGCTGCCTTGCTGAAAGCTACATGATGACCTTTGTGGCAAGGATTTGAACACGTTGCTGGAACCATTCATCCTCATTTAGTTTCTCTGGTGTGAAGAATGAGTGAATGGTAGATGCAGACTTCTGACCTCTTCTTTTGTACAATCCCCAATGACAAACGTAAGGGCAGAAGCAGTGCTCTGTAGATTAACCCTAAATGATAGGTATGGTTTCTGAACACATGGTCTTATATCTGTGGAAGTTGGTGTGTTCAGGCACATTTAAAAATTACTATGCTTGGTCAAATATTTCCAACCGTTCAGTGTTTCTGAATTTTCACCTAAGAGTCTGCTTGCTTGTTTTAGAGCGCCTACAGAACCACACAGTTGTTCAGGTTTTTTAAAACGTAGCAGAAAAGCACTCAGGCACTTGTTACATAATTAAACTGCATTATACATTAACTCCTGATATAAATATACATATTTCTACTCCTTTCTATCCTATAGGCGTCCTGAGAAGGTGTGTTTGTGTCCATTCTTGCCAGTCCACCCACTGAAAGTCTCCACCTGTTTGTATATCATCCAGCATCCAGCAGAGGTGAGTAAGGTTGTGGGAAATGCAAAGGTTCAACTAGCAAGTTAGCTCAGCAAACAGGAAATAACGCAAGTGAAAACTGGCTTAAGCCCTGTGAAATTCAGTCACTTTAGAAGCTGTTACCAACCTCAGCGGCAGTCTCTAACCTTATATGCTAAAGCTTACTTGTTTTGTGTTTGCTCAAGCTGTTTGCTGTTTTCTCCTGTGATGGGAAAAATAGTGCCGTTTAGTACATACAGTGGTGCCCCGCAAGACGAATGCCTCGCAAGACGAAAAACTCGCTAGACGAAAGGGTTTTCCGTTTTTTGAGTCGTTCCGCAAGACGAATTTCCCTATGGGCTTGCTTCGCAAGACGAAACGTCTTGCGAGTTCTTGCGAGTTTGTTTCCTTTTTCTTAAAGCCGCTAAGCCGTTAATAGCCGCTAAGCCGCTAATAGCCGTGCTTCGCAAGACGAAAAAACCGCAAGACGAAGAGACTCGCGGAACGGATTAATTTCGTCTTGCAAGGCACCACTGTACTTCCTTTCTTTCATTGTAGCTCTTTTGATTATTGGTTTGCAGATATTTCTGATTTTAAGTGTGAAATAACTTTCCTTCACTTTATTTTTTCTGTCTGCTAGAAATAGCTATGTTATACTGTATATCACATCTCCCAATCAACACACATTATTGTTGCAAGCTTTACACAGCACATGATTATTGGGCATTGCACAAATACTGTAAATACAAATATAGGTATATGTGGTTCATTTCCTGAATATTTTTGTTTTCCTTCTTTGTACATTTTCAAGTTCAGGTATATGTTTGCTTGGTAATAGGTTGGACCCAATTGTTTGGGGATAGGTATACGAATTATTTTGCCAAGGGATAATGGTTTTTAGAGGTTTTCTTCCTTATCCTGTGAGTCGTAGTGTTTTCAGGTTTATAATACAGGCAAATCCAGTTTTGCGTGTGTTCAAAGAATGACGTAAATCTCTTTGTTTTGTTTTTATAACCATATGAACTGAAGGAAAGTAGAGTACTACGAACTGTACCCCTTCTGGCTGCTTGTCTACCCGAAGAAAAATGCAAAGTCTTGATTGGTCGTCGCTTCAGTGAAGACAGGTAAGGAGCACTGATAGTTTAACTTCCATTTCTTCTATGAGCAGTTACTCGTAATTGTAAGTTAACTTTGTGTCAATTGGCTAAATGTTTTATAGTGCACATACGATGAAGGTGAAACAAGCTAATGTTCCAATGTGCCTAAACGAAATAAAACAAATTTTAGACACTCCCAAGCAAATGGCAATTCTCATTGCTTCTTTTTACATCTCTAATGCCCTGTTTATTTACTGTTTGTTTATTCCTTCAGATCTGCTTCTTGGCTTTTTGCTATATATCTGCTACATATATAATCTCTGTCCAGTAAGTTGACGGTGCCTCACATAAATGTGTGTTTCACTGCCATTTTCTTTGAGTAGGATTCACCTAAGTTGTTGCGTACATGAAACAATGTCTGCTCACACAGTAAGACAGGCAGGGCCAAACTTGGTCCTCCAGCTGTTTTGGGACTACAGCTCCCATCATCCCTAGCTAACAGGACCAGTGGTCAGGGATGATGGGAATTGTAGTCCCAAAACATCTGGAGGGCCAAGTTTGGTCATGTCTGCAGTAAGACTTTCCCCTGTCTCCTGCCTGCTCTATGCTACTGCACCCCCTAAATTTGTTTTGGCGGGTTGGGGGAACCCTCAGAACAGGTTTAGGGGATGTGGGGGGGTGGGAGCAGTGAGAGGAAAATCTCACTGCATGAGTAGTCCATGCATGGATAGCACCCTATGTTCACATCTAGTATAAGTCTCTGGCTTTGTGTCAGGTTTGCATCCATTCCAAACTTCTAAGTCACGTATCTCCTAACTCTGGGGGGATATATCGATTTTTTGCCCGGGACCGGTATGAGGAGCAGACCGCAATGTCGACTTCACTCAGCGGTATATCACTGGTGAAACCGCCACCGCTCCTGAGTCCCTGTGCTAGCAGCATCCACTGGAGGGAGTCAAGAGTCCCTTCCACCAGCAGGCACTGCTAGCAGAGGGACTCACGAGTGGCGGTGGTGGTTTCACCAGAGATGTGTAAAGGTAAAGGACCCCTGGATGGTTAAGTCCAGTCAAAGGCGACTATGGAGTTGCAGCGCTCATCTTGCTTTCAGGCTGAAGGAGCCGGTATTTGTACACAGCCGACTTTCTGGGTCATGTGGCCAGCATGAATAAACCGCTTCTGGCGCAACAGAACACCATGACGGAAACCAGAGTGCACAAAAATGCCGTTTACCTTCCCGCCACAGCGATACCTATTTATCTACTTGCACTGGTATGCTTTCGAACTGCTAGGTTGGCAGGAGCTGGGACAGAGCAACGGGAGCTCACCCCGTCGTGGGGATTTGAACCGCCGACCTTCTGATCAGCAAGCCCAAGAGGCTCAGTGGTTTAGACCACGGCGCCACCTGCACTTTACCTTTACCAGAGATATATCACTGAGTGAAACCGCCATCCCACTCTGCCATCATATGATGCAGAGGGAGAAACAAGCAAGGCGCCAATACAGCTTGTTCCTCCCTCTGCATCTTTTAAACTACTTGACTGAGGAGTGTGCAGCTGCCCTTGCCTCAGTCAAGCAGTTAAAGGAGCCCCCAGCCCGTGCTGGCTCCCGCAAGCGAGTGGCGGGAAGGGGGACACCGTGAAACTGCTCAGCTGAAGGCAGCGCAGTTGCCGTTCCCAGAAGTGAGCAGTTAAACATCGCGGTATATCGCTGGTATATGTTTGGCTGGCGATACACAGCCATGTTGAAAAGCTGATATTGCCCAGCCCTGCTCTGGGCAGTGTGTAGACATCCAGATGTCTACTGATCAGGATGCAAGTTACTTCTCTTTTCTCAAGGAAATAAACCAGGGGTCAGCAACCTTTTTCAGCTGTGGGCCGGTCCACCGTCCATCAGACCATGTGGTGGGCCAGACTATATTTTTTTTTGGGGGGGGGGAAATGAACGAATTCCTATGCCCCACAAATAACCCAGAGATGCATTTTAAATAAAAGCACACATTCTACTCATGTAAAAACACTCTCATTCCCGGACCGTCTGCAGGCTGGATTTAGAAGGCGATTGGGCCGCATACTGCCCCCAGGCCTTAGGTTGCCTACCGCTGAAATAAACTATAAATGCAGGAATTAATATTAGTAACTCCTGAACCTGCTTGTGGAATCTAAGGCATCTCAACCCTTTTTAAGCTACTCTTAAGTGTTCAGCTGTTACCTCATAAGAGACTGGTATCTGTATCTACTGAGTTTTCCACCAGTTTAGGTTATTATTATTATCATTATTTATTGAATTGATATACCGCCCTATAGTCGGGGGTCTCACTGTGGTTCACAGAACAAAATCAAGATATAAAACCACAAAATACATAATAAAAATAAAAACAATAACCCAATAGCCTCCCCTCCTTTCTGACTCATGGCTAGCATCCTTCGTAGCTCCCTAGTTCTTGGTCCTCTAACCAGAGCCATCTTCAGAACAGAGTGCCCTTTGCACTAACTTCTTGTCTTCTGTATTTAGTGAAGTTCTAGCCCAGTTTATCCTGCTTCCACCTAGGTAGTTGCACTCCCTAGTCTCACTATTTAGAGAATTGCCACCTGAGGAATTCCGACGCTGAGTCACAACCACTGAATGAAAAGGCGCTGGAAATGTCTCTTCAAGGGCTGGAAGTATAATAAATGTGATGGTATGAGCGGGAAAGATAAGATGTTTTGAGAAGTACAGAGAAATGAAGCAAAGCACGCCCCAGCCCAAAGGCACACTGAAGCAACATAACATGCACCTCAAGATCAAATTTTAGATTTCATAGTGTGCCTACTATTGCTCAGTGTAATCTTCTGGCAGAAATCTTTTCAAAGAAATGTTATTAACTTCATAGCACAGGGGGGAAAAACACCAAGCATTTTATCTATTTACCGTCATGCTTAATTTAAAGTATTCCATAAATAAATAAAGCTATATCCTGTAATGTATAATACTTTATTTAATTATCATTGTGTATTTTTGGCCAAGTGCTTGTTCTATTATTCATCAGGAAAGTTCTGATGAAGTAGTGAAACTATTATCCTAGGATTTATTTAACTCTTTTAAGAGATATTTTTACAAGCATTTTTAAAGTCATCAATCCTTTTTCAGTTGAACAGTAGAGTATCCTAATACAGTGGTACCTCGGTTCTCTAATGAAATCTGTTTGGCTTCCGAAATCCATTTGGAAACTGAGGCCCATTGGTTGCAAGAGCTTCTTGCACTCAGTGGAAGCCATGTCGCATGTCCGGGTTCTGAAAAACATTCGACAACGGACGCATTTACTTCCAGGTTTTTGGTGTTCGAGAACTGAAACGTACAACAACGGAGGCATTCGGGAACTGAGGTTCTTTTGTACTTTAAAGCAAACACTACCAACAGATTAGTAATAAAATAATCAATTTTTCATGTCATTAAGTTATTTTACTGGAGCTTTAAGGGTGATTTTGCACTTGGTTAAGCAAACTTTTGTGCTAATTAAATTCTTTGAAAGCCATTTCTCCATATTATCATAGTTCTGCATTTTTATTTTTATTTTTTTAAAGCTAAAATAAGCCCATTTGTTTTTTCCCCCTGATATCTTTTATATATATATCCTCCTTTTATTATTTTAGCGTCTTTTTAAAGGTCCCCCCAAGACCTTCAGTTTTAATTTTAATAAATTAAAACGCTATTGATGTTTCAGAGGTACTTAGAAGAACAGAATCTTCATATTTTGTGCAGATGAAAAGCAAAACAAATCTAAATCTTCAAAATTCTTCACAGATTAACCTGAAAATCAATCTGAAAAGTTTTCTATAAACTTGCAGCATTGAAGTGCTGAAATACAACAAAAATGTATTGGAAATGAACAAATTTAGTGGAGGGACACATTGAAAAGTTGCTGAGACTTTGCAGAATGGGCAAGAGTTTACCTCTCCAAATTCAAGGTGGAAGCAGCATTTTTGGAATGCTCATGTCTATAGAGGAAATCTGAATAAAATAAAATAAATGTAGCTCTCAAGAGCAGTTTTGTGGTGATGTATTTTACTGAGTGCATTGGCCATAGACAATAAGTATGGTAACTATCCTAGGAAAAATATAACTTTAGAGACAGAGTGCAGAGAGTAATCCCTATCTATGTTATCAATATTTGTTTCCTTTTTGCCAAAAAGAGTTGCCTAAAAATAGAAGAGAATGGCAAATATAATATGGGGTTTTCTTTATGAAATATGTCTGATAAAAGTAGCCTGGAGTCTTGGTCTGTAGTCACAACTAGCATTACAACAGACAACATTTTAGTTTTAGATTCAGGAAAGCAAAATATATCTAGGAATAGCATGAAATCCCTGTCCTTTCTTAGATGAAATTGCATGGCCGTCTCAGCCCTGTCTGAAAAGTGGAGCAGCATTCTAAGTGGCAAAGAAAAAAGTAGTTCTATATAATAAAAAGATGGCTTCCAAAACAAAAAGGACTTAGAATTTTAATCTCTCTTTCAAGATGGGTTTTGAAAATTCCCATCCCACCCTACAAGTATCTGTTTGCATTCTTAAATGGAAGTTCTTCTGCTGATATATCAGCAAAGGTGTCTGGTTTCTTAACAATTTGCCCCAACACACCATCCACAAATGTATGAAGGACAATTTATACTCATATCAACCTGACTCTGCACCAAGATCTTTGGAAACCATTCTGCAAGGTTTCCATACTGTCTGAGATGGGGTAGGTAGCAGTTAGGGAGAGGCCCTCATCAGTTGTTGCTTCCCACTTATGAATTCTGCCCCCTGAGGCTCATCTGGTATAGAGATGTGTTTTTAGCAGCCAGGGGAAACCTTTTAAAAAAATTAAAAATCTTTAACTCAGGCATAGGCAACCTTGGCCCTCCAGATGTTTTGGGAGTACAGTTCCCATCATCCCTGACCACTGGCCCTGTTAGCTAGGGATCATGGGAGTTGTAGTCCCAAAACATCTGGAAGGCCGAGGTTGCCTCTGAAAAGTATGTTCATTTTGGGGTTGAGAGGACCAAAGAACGGAGCACGTGCCTGTGTATGTAGACCAGTTCTGTGAAACATGCACCACTTCTGTGGAGACATTTCCTTCTGGCTTCTCATATCAGTTGAGGATTACGATAAAGGCGCAAAACCCACTTTCATTTATTTTTAGTAATGCTCAGTCCTTAGCGGCTGGAAAATGCTTGAAGTGGAGTACCTCTGCCTCAATCAACGCTTTCAGTTTGTCCTCAGTTTACATTGAAGCAGCTGCCAGGCTTTTCTCAGCCTCTTTGAAGCACATAAGGCTCAAGAGGAAAGTCCTTTCTTTGTAAGAAAATCACATGTGCATATAGAATGCAACTTTTATTTTCCCCTTTACATCCCGAGATGTAAGATCTTTACAAATCTGGCTCTGATCTGGAGGGGCAGGGGAATGTTGAATTTTGGGGTTCCCCCTCCCTGTGATTCCTTGAGTCTTGGGAACTTCAAAAAGGATGAAGCCACTCTGATTGAAGTGGGATTTACTATTAAAACACCTGCCACTCTTTGGTACTGCAATATCCTTGTTTCATGCTTTGTTTTATAACGGTGTTCCAGTCTTCTATGGATTCACTCCTGCATAGGTTGATACAGTAGGACAGATTTTTTTTTTTGTTAATTTAAGTAATCTCTATGTTAAACACAGACCATTGAAGCTTTTATTTTAATAGTTAATACAGTGGTACCTCGGGTTATAGACTCTTCAGGTTACGTGTTTTCGGGTTGCACACCGCGCCAAACCTGGAAGTACCGGAACGGGTTACTTCTGGGTTTCGGCGCTTGCGCATGCGCAGAAGTGCTAAATTGCGCTTTGGGCATGCACAGAAGCGGCAAATCATGACCCGCGCGTGCTCAGACGCAGCGCTACGGGTTGCGAACGTGCCTCCCGCACGGATCAAGTTCGCAACCCGAGGTTCCACTGTACTACTGTATGATTGGGTCAGGGATGAATGTCTTCTCAGGATCTCCCTCAGCTCTGTGATTCTCTAGTTGCAAGCCTTTGGCTTGTGAATAAGGAGGACTTCTAAAATGATCAAACCAGTTTCTTTTGCTAAGTTGATAGCCTTCTCCAGGTCTGTTAAGTATCTCTTCCTAGTTGGTAAAGTATGATTCTCTTAATCTCAGGTTGTGGGTTTGAGCCCCATATTGGGCATAAAGATTCCTGCATTGCAGGGGTTTGGACTAGATGACCCTTGTGGTCCCTTCCAACTCTGCAAACCTACGATTTTAATGTAAGCTAAGTAGCAGCTGACATATTGAGGTGGCAGTGCTTACTTAGCCGCCCAGAGTGGCTGGGGAGACTCAGCCAGATGGGCGGGGTATAAATAATAAATTATTATTATTATCATTATTACCCCAACCTCCCGACAGCTGTGTTGCTGCTGATTACTAGGAGGAACAGGCAGCGGCGGAGGAAGCCGCTCGGGCGCCTGGGGCGGTGCGCCCAGGGGCGGTGCGAGCCACCCATAGGGGCAGGGCGCACCGCGGGGCCTCTGGAGTCTGCCTGCCTCTTCCCACTCAGCTGTCCTATAACTGGGGGGAGGGAGATGCAGTGGGCAGACCGTTTGGGCAGCGCGGAGCCTGTGCGTGCCCAAGCCACTGCGTCTCTCCCACTGCAGGCCCCGTGATGAGTGCCGCCTGGCATTTTGTCACCCCTCTCAGTGGTGACACCCCGGGCGGACCAGCCCCCCTCCTTCCTCCGCCCCTGGCAACAGGGAGGTTGGCAAAGCGATCCTGTTGATCTCACTGACCTCTCTATTGCCTTACCCCTCTCCCTCCCAGTAAGCAACAGTGACTCTGTCAGGAGGTCAGGTGAGTACTGTTGCTGAACCATGCCGTCCACTACTAGCTAGGACTATAAGTTGTCACAGAAACTAGCTACAGTGGGCGGGAGGCATGCCTTTCTCCTCCCCTATCCTGGCTGGAGGTGGTGTCATCAAGCCTTGTTGGCCTGTGGCAGGAAAACCAGCAAAGAACCCTGTAGCACCTTAAAGAGCAACAGAGGTATTATTGAGGAGATTTCACCCCTCCCATATCCAAGAATCTCCTGAGGAGTCTGCTGATTCTCCAGAGAGGAGGAGGCGTGTTCTGCTCTCTACTTATTCTGCTCCAGCACCGAGTCAGTCAGTCAGTCAGTGTCGGAGAGAGAGAGAGAGACTGAGTGTTAGAGATCATGTGTAGAGATAAGGTTGCTTGTGGAAGTGAATCTGGTGCTCACAACTCTAAGCTGTGAGTCCACAGCACTTTGACCTGTTCCTGTGCAGAAGGTGGTCTCTGGAAGTGCTACCCAGCTCGCCTAGCCCAGTCGGGGCTGAAGTGGATGAGTCCAGTTGGTGGCACTGGCTCTAGGGCGATGCTGACATCTATGACACAAGCTTTGCGGGCAAAGTGCGTTTCATCGCATCCTGGCAAATGCCTATATAACTGTAGAGGAAAAAGTGTAAACTGTGAGACCAGAGGGAAACCTAATGTAAAAAGAAAAAGAAAATGCGCCAAGTTTAAAGGCATGTAAAATAGGCACTGTGGCCATTCATAAAGTTGTGTTGATGAGAATGCAGACATCCTGGCATAGATATAAATTAACAATTCAACATTAAATGTGTTTAATGCATTGTTCGGTGTTCCTAAATCTAAGAGCTGAATGCAGTCATTGGATCATTTTATAGCAACCGCCACTCCCTAATGTCCATACATGGTTTTTGCTGCCTCTGAAGGAATGAAACTGTTCCACCATTTTATGTTTTCTTCTTTCTTATAAAATGGTTGGCTGCTTCCTTTTTTTTTTAGAGGTCTACATTATACAGGAGGGTTCAAAGTTAAGCCTGAGAATTTGCCAAAGGGAAATGAAACTTATAGATTTAATGGGGGGAAAGATGTTTGGGGAAATAGAAACTATACCAAGGTTCCACTTCCCCCTCTGATTGACTAAGACATTTAGGGAGGGAGTTGAAATAATTTACATATAGGGAAGAAAAAGAGAGAGGGGGGAATATGCTATAGGGTAGAGAGAAAGAGTTGAGGCACGGGAAGCTAGCACAATTGGAGCAATGTAAAAGGAAAAGCCTAAAGAGAAGACTGCAAATGCAACTAGTCCCTGAATTCTGAAACAGATGGATATTGATAAACACAGTCTTGTCTGCGCTTAGGATCAGTTTGTCTTGTATTATTATACTCTAATGGGGAATTGTTCAATTGTTTTATAAAATAGGTGTTTCTTTAAGAACATCTTTTTCCAGATTGTGTTACCCTGTAAAAACCATAAGTTGAAAATTGTGGTTTTTGAGTTTAAACAACCCGACCCCATGCCCAGTTGCCTTCCAAGTCTAGCCAATAGAGAGGTTTGACTGGGACATTAAAAAATAATACTTCCAAAGATCAAAGAGCTGTTTCATGAAGGCAGCCAAGGAAAGAAGATAAAAAGATAAAGGGACCCCTGACCATTAGGTCCAGTCGTGGCTGAATCTGGGGTTGCGGCGCTCATCTCGCTTTATTGGCCGAGGATGCTGGCGTACAGCTTCCGGGTCATGACTAAGCCGCTTCTGGCTAACCAGAACAGCACACGAAAACGCCGTTTACCTTCCCGCTGGAGTGGTACCTATTTATCTACTTGCACTTGGACATGCTTTCGAACTGCTAGATTGGCAGGAGCAGGGACCGAGCAACGGGAGCTCACCCTGTTGTGGGGATTTGAACCACCGACCTTCTGATTGGCAAGTCCTAGGCTTTGTGGTTTAACCCACAGCGCCACCTGTCTCTAAGGAAAGAAGATACCTGCTTGCTAACAGTGGAGAAGTCATCAAAAAAGGAGGGGTTGGCAGAGCTGGTTTGCTTGTTTCCTGTCCCTCTCCTGGGGAAGTCTGGTCCATCACACTGCTCCCTGCACCCCACTATTGTTCTGCCCCCAAAGGCTAACAGCTTTCTGCAGTCTCATTCACCAAGTTAATAGGAGTGCAATACACAGGTTTCTTTCCCTATGCATTTAGGTAGTCCTTGAGAGAAAATGGTGTTGGGTGAAATTATTTGGGGAAGAAATAAGCAGTTTCATTCCGATGAATGAAGAATTGGAGTTTTCTAAACCAGTGGGGCTAAGTATGTTAAACAGATTTCATATGTGTGGATACTTCGAATCCAGGTTTATCGTGAGGTGAAATGGGATAGGCAGGATCGAAAAAGACGAGCAAGTTCTATATTTGTACTCATCAGAAAGAAAGAAAGAAAACACTAAAGTCACTTTTTCAATATTTCTGTAGGTACCCTGAGCTGGCATCTGTGTGCAGAAATAAAAATACCTTAATATTATATCCTGGAGCTGGAGCAGCAAATTTGGAAGAGGTCGACTTGAGCTCACCTGATCCCTATGTGATCATTATCATTGATGGAACATGGAACCAGGCCAAAGATATATTCTTTAAGAACACCCTTTTTCGAATACCTAAACAGGTAAGGTTTAACACAGAGACTTAAAAATGAAGTGTGCTTCTGCCTGAGTCAGTTCCCTTTGCAGACTTGCAGACACCTGCAACACAGCATTTGCATATACCTTTTATTATTAATTTAATATGGAAAATGCTGCTCCAAGTGCCCCCCCATGCAATTATGCATGGAACTGTTAAAAGTTGCTACTGTTGCTGTTGAAAACAATTTTAAAAAAATAATCATTGGGGTAAAATTCTTGGAAGAGATGCTTGAATAACTCATGACTGGAGTTTTTGCTGACCAACGGCTTTACATATTCACATGTTAATGTAGTAGGAGGGTCCTCGACACCTTTTAGTAGCTGAAATACTAGTCCTGTTTCATGTTGTTTTTACTCAACTATGCATTTGATCAATACCGTGACCTAAGAGAAATTTTTACAATGATGGCTTCTGCAGCAACACCTGGTATAATCTCTCTTCATCAAAAGTTATCTTCAGCAAAGGTAACCTTTGATTACACTGACAATAGCCCTTGTGTGCTTGGTAGAAATTCCACATTTAGTATGCTGTAAGCCTTTCTGACAGGCTTTAGATCAGGCTGAGAACTGCCAGGTCAGCAACTCACAGAAGTATAGAAAACTGCCTTATACAAGTCAGATCGTGGATCTGTCTAGCTTGATAGTATCTTTATATTGACTGACGGCAATTCCACAGAGTTTTAGGCAGGAGTCTTCCCAGCCTTATCTGAAGATGTCAGGATCTGAACCTGGAACCTTCTTCATGAAAAGCATTTACTGGACCACCAAGCTGCAGTTCTTCCCCAAACCACAAGCCGTTTAATATTAAACGTAATATGAATTAATTTAGTTATTTTGTTTATAGAAAAATATTGCATCCTGCTTTTCTCCTGCATTTGAAAAGTATCCTGTTTTCTGACTCCAAGAAGGGGTTGCAAATGAAGTATAAAACCACAAAGGTCAAAACCAAAATACTGTTATCATTAAAGCAGTTGCAAAAAAAAAGCTAAAAGCAGCACACACAAAAACCCCACAGGACACAAAGAACACAGAAACTGGAGGTAATGATAAATTAATTAAATTGATCAACAGCAGAATCGAAGGCTTTTTCTCCTTTAAAAAGAGTATTCAAATGCCAGTGGAACACAAATAGAGGAGAAAGGAACAGTGGAGCAGGGAATTCCTCACGAAGGGCACTGCCTCAGAAAAAAGAAAGGCAAAATGACATACAGTGGTACCTCAGGTTAAGTACTTAATTTGTTCTGGAGGTCCGTTCTCAACCTGAAACTGATCTTAACCTGAAGCACCACTTTAGCTAATGGGGCCTCCTGCTGCCGCCGCGCTGCCGGAGCACGATTTCTGTGTAACCTGAACCATCTGTAACCTGAAGCGTATGTAACCCAAGGTACCACTGTATATCCAGATTTGTACTTCTACAGTGGTACCTCAGGTTACAGACGCTTCAGGTTACAGATGCTTCAGGTTACAGATTCTGCTAACCCAGAAATAGTACCTCAGGTTAAGAACTTTGCTTCAGTATGAGAACAGAAATCGCGCGGCGGCAGCGGGAGGCCCCATTAGCTAAAGTGGTACCTCAGGTTAAGAACGGACCTCCAGAACGAATTTAGTTCTTAACCCGAGGTACCACTGTACTGAGATTCAAGAATAGAGGCTTGAGGAGGTCTGTGAATAGAATGCCTTATATCTCAAAGTATGGCCTGGCTAGCTCAATTGGTTAGAGGGTGGTGGTGATAATGCCAAGGTTGCAGGTTTGATCCCCAAATGGGACAATTGCATATTCCGGCATTGCCGGGGGTTGGACTAGATGATCCTCAGGGTCCCCTTCCACCTCTACAGTTCTATGATTTGATAGAGGTGGATTACTGATCGTCTGTGTAGTGTTCCAAGTGAGTAAGAATATTTTTTTTTAAAAAAAGATTCTCTACCACAAGTAAGGTCTGTTACCTTCTCATCCGTTTAATGTTTTGTTTTGCTTTTGTTTATTAGTTTTATTAATTTCAGAGTGGTTTTCATGGCCTAAATAAAGCCTGAAAGAAGAGCAACTTAAGTTAATGCATCCTGAAGCATTATATAGAGACATTTAAAAATAAAAATGAATTAATGCATCGTTCCAGCTCGCAAGCTCCGTTAGTTATGCTGATCCCTATCTGCTGTAAAATTCTCATGCAATTTATTAATATGTTCCTTCCGCATATCATTTTTATTCTTCTGTTACAATTTCTTTTTTAAAAAAATTGCTGAAGGTTTGCCCATATGTGGAACTGGAACCATCAGTACAGTTCTGAGTTTGGTCATCTTAAGCATGGTGAACGGGTGGCTGAGAATTTTGTTGAGTAATCCTAATTGATTATAGGTTGTTCCTGCCCACCCCCCGTCCCCGATTGGACTAGGATCTGGCCCTTACATCCTTCAGAGATGAGTTGTGCAGGCACTGAAACAGTTTGGAGCCAGGTTTTTCAGTTTGAAGGGAGAGAGAATCCAACAAAGAATGGCAGAGTTTTGAGATTTGTGTTGGCGTGTTTAGTGCGTTGTATGAAATTCAGTGGCGGTACAGGGTTTGTGAATGCAGACTTAGAAGATCTGCTCCCTGTTTAGGAGTGCATGTTTGCTTCCAACACAGGCTGCTTATATATTTGTAAAATAAAACAAATATCACAAAGACACTGTAAGTCCCCAGTGCTCATTCAAAGGGTCTAAATCCTGTAGCATCCCTATTGGAACTTTCCACTATTTGCGGGGTGGGGAACATATTGTCTTGCTGTTATTGATGTACTATTAAAAGCAGAAAATCTTGAATCCACATATAAAAGAAATACAGTCGTACCTTGGTTTTTGAACAGCTTAGTTCTTCAACGTTTTGGCTCCCGAACGCCGCAAACCCCGAAGTGAGTGTTTCAGTTTGCGAACTGTTTTTGGAAGCCAAACGTCTGATGGGGCTTCCACAGCTTCTGATTGGCTGCAGGAGAAACTGCACTTTGGTTTTTGAATGTTTTGGAAATCAAACGGACTTCCGGAACGGATTCCATTTGACTTCCAAGATACGACTGTATAGGGTGGGGAATTAAAAAGTCTAGCACTCTCTTAGCCAGTTTAGGATTGTGTTGTGCTTAAAACTTGTGATTGTACATCTCCCTTTTGGGTTTGAAGGAACTAGAAGTCAAGGTTCAGGAGAGTCTACTATTAGTAGGTGCAGGCTGTAGAAGGGAACTACTATTGCTAATGAAATTTAATAATAAATTCCTTTCTATTCAAGACATGCTTTTTTGAGAGATACTTTTAAACAACAGAACAGATACAGGGAGCTCTCAGATCTTACCGTAGCAACTAGCAACATGAGTTTTCTATGAGAAAAAAATATTCACTCATTCATAAAGGAGCGGCTTGAGGAAACGAAGATCTCATACAACTAGGGCAAAGTTTATATGTACTGTGTTTCTAAGATATTGGGCCACACTCCACTCAGGCATGACTAGGCTAAAAATTGTTATGAAGCAATAGCTACAAAGATTATGCCTGTTTGCTGTTGTTACAGAACCTGAATACTCATTAAGTGGTCAGTTCACACAGTGAAAATTGATATGCTGAGAATATGGTCAGAGAGAGTCAGTCAGAGGTTGGCATGTAGGGAAATGAATATTTCAGTTGCTTTGCTGCACTCCCAACACCTAATTCAGCCCTAGCTTTTTAAAAAAGCGAAACTACTTAGAATGGTTGGGTCATGGCATGGTAAACAAATGTTTTGGGCTTGGTGTAAGGGGAAACAATCTTACAGTTTTTTCAACATTTATCACCAGTTGACCATAAGATGTAACCTGTCAAAGGTGTGTGTGTGTGTGTGTAAAATTTGCTAACCTGTCAGTGCTAAACTCAAACTAAGAGCTTTCTAATAACTTTATATCTCATTCTGCATTCATTAGCTGAAACCTCTTCGGAACTGTGCTAAACAGCTGAAAATGAGACATAATAACTGTCTGCAAAGTTCATAATAATGTTCTTTTTCATAAAATTTACATCTGAGGACTGTAATATCCGGCTGCTGCTATCGGTAAAAGTTATTGTTGCGTGAACTGCAGCTTCCTTTTATAGCCCCAAAGATCAGCCCAACACAGGTTTAAAAAGCATCTCCCATATTTTACTGCCATTAATACAAAGGTTATATTATGACACTATTTTCTTATAATCAAGCTGTCTAACCCTTTGAGAGTAACCTGTATAACACAGAAGTAAAGCGCAATCCATGCTTTGCTTCTGCACAAAGTATGCAGTATTTCTTTCTTTCTTTAGAGAATTACTAAGATCTTCTTTCAAAATAAGTTCTCTTTTCCTGCCAGCATTTATTTGCTTCTGAAGTTATTAAAGCAAGGTTTTTATTACTAGAAATAATTTAAATTTTAATAGAACAGTTGCCACACAAAAACTTGCACTAGTTGCGGATTGCACTTTTGCCAAAAAGTACATCTGAGCAAATGTTGAGGCCAGAACTTTATGTTACATTAAACACAAGTCCATCTCTAAAATGACAATTGTGTGTTTAATTCCATTCTTCTGTTTCATAATGCCTCAGATTGCAATCCTATATTCACTTAACCTAGGAGTAAGTCTCATTAAATTTAATGGTACTTGCTTCTGAATAGAAATGTGTACGATAGTACTCTAAAACAAACCACATAGTCCATTTTTTCCCATTCCTAGCAGCAGATAACTCATAAAACACTTTCAAGGTAATACTTGGAGGATGATAGACAGATAGATAGACAGATAGATAGACAGATAGATAGACAGATAGATAGACAGATAGATAATTTTAAATGAAAAAGATGTCAAACCTCCCAGATCTAGAAACTTCAGTTGTTTGTTAACAATGCAGCAGATGCTTCAACTGTTTGATATTTTTTGATACTATGTTTTATATATGCTGTAAGGCACCCAGAATGGCTGGGGAAACCCAGCCAGATGGGTGGGGTATACTACTACTACTACTACTACTACTACTACTAAAACGTTCATGTGCATTTGTGCACACACTTTGAATTGGAATAGTGATACTGAAAATCTCAGAGCTGTGGTTTGTTTTTTGTGTATTCAAAATGGTTGACATACATATCTGTAGCAGAGGTAATTATCTATATTGTGATGGGGCTGACAAATAATGGCTTGCTACCAAAGGTACTTTGGACGTGGGTGGTGCTGTGGGTTAAACCTCAGAGCCTAGGTCGGTGGTTTGAATCCCTGCAACAGGGTGAGCTCCTGTTGCTTGGTCCCTGCTCCTGCCAACCTAGCAGTTCAAAAGCACATCAAAGTGCAAGTAGATAAATAGGTACTGCTCTGGCAGGAAGGTAAACGACGTTTCTGTGTGCTGCTCTGGTTCTCCAGAAGCGGCTTAGTCATGCTGGCCACATGACCTGGAAGCTGTACGCCGGCTCCCTCGGCCAATAAAGCGAGATGAGCGCCACAACCCCAGAGTCATCTGTGACTGGACCTAATGGTCCCTTTACCTTTACCTTTACCTTTACCTTTACCTTTACCTTTACCTTTACCAAAGGTGCTTAGTGAATTTGAACTTTATCCAAGTCATAATCAGAGTATGACTTCTGAAATCAATAGACTTCTGTATGACTTAGTTGGATGTCACCTAAACTTCCCGGTTTCTACATAACTGTGCTTCACTAATTATTGGTCTTTCTGATGTTTCTGGGGGCGTGAGTAGCAGTGAAGGGATGTCTGTCCTTAGAGAATCCTAAATACTGCTCATTTATTATTATTTTTTAAGTGGCATAATTGGGATTGAAATGATAAAGGCCAGTCTTCTGCCTGGTGTTTTAGTTTTCTTTATAGAGAGAGCTTTGGATATGTTGGGATATTTCTACATTCAATCTCCACCTTCAGCTACAAGCGGTATATAATATAATCACAGATGCATAATGTGAATCTGCTGATTGTGTGGCTCAGATTTTAGTGCACTGTTCAGCCTTGTGGACCTGATCCATTATCAGGATTTGATCCATTATCAGGGAGTGGATGGAGGAGAGAGGCAATTGTGGAGAGTTAAAATTTTCATTAAATTGTTGGAAGCTGCTTACATGCATAGTTCTTATTCTTGTTTCAGATTTATTGCTGTTTATCTTGCAGATGTTGATCAGACTTTCCACAGAAGAGCTTATAATTATGATTTAAGCCTTTTCAGGGAGTCAAAGGGAATATATATCCAATAAATAAAATGCAAGATTTCTCTCATTTTCTTGTCCTAAAGTGTAAGTGTTGTATATTCCAAAAAGCATAAAGAATGTTCTAGGACTATAACAAAACAGTTTCCCTTCCCTTTTACATGTAAATTATGTATATGCATTTTGTATTTCAGCATAAGAGTATTTCTAGCATACTATTTTTGCAAACAGCATTTCTTGCAGATAATCACATAAAATTACAGGTTTCTAAATGTATTCTCTGTATGAGAGATTCTGTTTTATTTTCAGGATGAGGAGTACATTAACATGGCCTGCCTGCCTGCCTTTCCTATCTTACATTTTTGCAGAAGTTAGTTCTGCTAAATTCAGTAGGATTTGCCATCTAAAAAGTGCCTCCAGCTTTTGTGTAGCCCCCGCCCCCCCGTTCTCAGATTCTAAATAGTGCCATTTGAATATAGATATAGAAGAGAATAAGATTCCTCATATTTTTCAAAATACATTTTTGAGTGGGATATTTTTAGTGTATTTCTCTTTCCACTTGGTTTTAATGTATCTATGTGGGAGTTGTGGTTATTTTGTCCTGCTTTTTGGTTGTAAGTTGCTTTGGGTTGGCTTGGGCAAGATAAAGTGGCTGACAAATTTAATAATAATAAGAAGAAGAATAGATCAATGCAGGTACATAGAGTATTGCTTCAGAAAACCAAGTTGACAGAGCTTGAAGAAACAAGATAATGTCTAGAAAATCCCGGGCCATTTGACTACCCAGATCTAAACTCTTGTACCTATGTCTGAATAATGTTATTATTCTGTGTGACTGACTTTTATATCTGTCTGAAAAAATTGCATTTTTCTGTTAGCATAGGTGCCTCGCTCAGAGGATGGAAGGGGACTAGATTGTCATAGTAAGTTGACAGAATATGTTTGCGAAACATAGCTTAAAGTTGTCCCCTTTTTACTGAATATTGTTGTGTAAAGCCATCGTTTGTAATGCTTCATATACTTTCCAGGAGCACATCCATGTGCTTTACAAAAGCGTACTACCCTGTGATGTTTTGGTGCAGACACAACTGAGAGAGGCTACGAAGGGGCCTCGCATGCACCACAGGCCTCCTTGCAGCAGCTGTCATAGTTGGCGAAGGGGATGCTCAGGAAGCGTTGCATTAAGCTGGCCCAGCAGATACAAATTAGTTCAGCGAAGGGAACACGTTTGTGTGCACAGCAGGCGCGGCTGCACAGTTAGGCTACTGGTATTTTGCACGAAGCAATCACTCTGCGCTGCGAGAGAGGCTGCTTTTCACGAAGGGCGATATCCATAGCAGAGTGGGGAACAGATGGCGAAAAAGCACTTGACCTTATCATACTTCGTTATGTGCATAAACAAAGTTGCAGAAGCTTTTTCCTCAGTAGCAACAAACCAAATAGTAAACAGAAAACACACACGTTTAATCTTTAAGCTGTTTGAAGCCTACTTTGGGGGGCACAGCAAGAAAGGTGCATCTAAAACAAGCAAATGTTGTGCCCACTAAAAGACCTGCAGTGAATTGGCCAGGTATATCCCAAACGGGCTCCATGATCACTGCAGATGGTAATAGCAGCCACAAAATTAAAAGACGCCTGCTTCTTGGGAGAAAAGCAATGACAAACCTAGACAGCATCTTAAAAAGCAGAGACATCACCTTGCCAACAAAGGTCTGTATAGTAAAAGCTATGGCTTTCCCAGTAGTGATGTATGGAAATGAAAGCTGGACCGTAAAGAAGGCTGATCGCCGAAGAATTGATGCTTTTGAATTATGGTGCTGGAGGAGACTCTTGAGAGTCCCATGGACAGCAAGAAGATCAAACCTATCCATTCTTAAGGAAATCAGCCCTGAGTGCTCACTGGAAGGACAGATCCTGAAGCTGAGACTCCAATACTTTGGCCACCTCATGAGAAGAGAAGACTCCCTGGGAAAGATCCTGATGTTGGGAAAGATGGAGGGCACAAGGAGAAGGGGACGACAGAGGACGAGATGGTTGGATAGTGTTCTCGAAGCTACCAGCATGAGTTTGACCAAACTGCAGGAGGCAGTGGAAGACAGGAGTGCCTGGTGTGCTCTGGTCCATGGGGTCATGAAGAGTGGGACACAACTAAACGACTAAACAACAACAACATCCCAAATGGAGCAAAGCCGCACAAATGTACAGCATTGCACTGTAAAGTTACTGTTAGGCGACTTCCAGAATGGTTTCTTTTCATCAACTCAAGAAAATAAAAACCATTTCAGGCTTTTTTCACTTCACTGGGGTTATGTTTGTGAGTAATTGTTCAATCACAGAAGAAAGGATGGCCCACAGCCTAACCCAGGGGTCAGCAAACTTTTTCAGCAGGGGGCCGGTCAACTGTCCCTCAGACCTTGTGGGGTGGACGGCGGTCTATATTTTGGAAAGGGAAAAAAAAATGAACGAATTCCTATGCCCCACAAATAACCCAGAGATGCATTTTAAATAAAAGGACACATTCTACTCATGTAAAAACACATTGATTCCCAGACCGTCCGCGGGCCGGATTTAGAAAGCGATTGGGCCGGATCCGACCCCCGGGCCTTAGTTTGCCTACCCATGGCCTAACCCTTTAATGTGTTCACATTCTCCCCCCTTTTTAAAATAGCGAGTCCATATAGAAGGTGTTTAGTGACGTTTCCAGAAAGTACACTATCCATTCATTTTATAGAGAACACGTTTTTTTCCAAACAAACAACAACAACAACAACAACAAATTTATTTATTAAATTTGTGAGGTCCATGCCTTTACACAAAATACCATAAAACATTGTTAAAAGATAAACCAGAAAGATTATAAAAGTAAGCTAAAATTCATGCCATGTTGTCCCAGCAAGGAAACTACCCAAAAACCCCACCATTCAAGGAAGAAGGTACAGCAACAGGTTAGGAGAGCAATGGGAGGGACCTCACCGTTTCATCCAGGAACCATACCCTAGTTTTCATAGCCTTCACCACAAAGACCGCTACCACGTGAGAAATCCGTGGATCAGCGTCTACCAGTAAAAACTTTACTTGGTCCTCAGAGTTGACTATTGATTTAGGAATAGTTTGTAACATCGCATCCCTGAAGGCCGAATAGATGGGACAATACAACATGTAATGTATGAGATCCTCTTTGGTTCTCATATAACAAGGACATATCCGCTGCTCTACTGGGATTTTTGCATATCTGCCTGACAGATAGGCCGTAGGAATGGTTTGACAGCGGGCCCTAGTAAAGGCTCTCCGAAGGGTGGGATTGGGGATATTCGCCAAGTAGTTGGCGCGGATTTTGACAGCATTCAGAACGGGAACCCAGTGGGAGGACCCTGGGATCTGTATTTTTGTGGTATCTAACAGAGCGTCTCTCTCCAGGATCCATTTCCGGACTTTGTCCGGGCTCCACCGTGAGGATATTAAACTCCGGTAGGGTGTATCTAACCAGGATCTCAGATAAGTTTTGGCGCCAAGTGGTATTCTTTTGAAAAGATACGAAGGCTTGTTTGGCCAATAAGGTGTTTGAAGAGTTTGCAAGGTTGATGTAAAATCGTAGGAATCTTAAGTGGGCCCTGGCAGACACAGAGGGTAAACCAACCTCCACCCTCAAGAAGGCTGCTGGGGTTCCTTGAGGAAGGCCTAGAATCTTCTTGAGATAGTAGTTTTGCAAAATTTCAAGCCGTTCCAACAGCCTCTGGTTCCACCCCCAGAGTTCTATCCCATATAACATCTGGGGAATAGCTTTCCCAACGAAAGCTCTTAATGCCGGGATCACCAATTGTCCTCCCCTGGTATGGAAGAAACTAAGCAAAACACCAATTGTTCTTCGTGTTAGGATGGTTACAGCCTTAAAGTGGGCTAGCCAGCTAGATGTAGCCTGGAATGTAACACCCAGATATTTTATATAAGGGCACTGTTCAATCACTTGTTCATCTAAAGACCATCTAAAGGTGTGGCGAGCTCTAGTAAACACCACAATTTTTGTTTTATCATGGTTTATCTTTAGTGAATTATGGGAACAGTAGGCTGCGATCCCTCCAGCATGCTGCGTAAGCCTCTTCGGGTGAGTGCCATTAAAACCATGTCATCGGCATATAGCAAAATATTCAGGCGTTTACCTTCAAGGGCTGGAGCCGATGAGTTGTACTTTGCCATGTACTGGACAATGTCGTTTATATAAAAGTTGAAAAGAAATGGGGCTAGCAGGCATCCCTGTTTGACCCCTTTCCCCAATGGCAGTGGGTCCGTAAGAGTTCCCGATGGCCCAGTTCTGATTTTGACTGTAATGTCTGTATGTAACTCTCTGAGAATTTTTAAAAGTCGTCTGTCAATGTCCGTTTCATATAATTTTTCCATAGTCTATCTCTACAGATTGAGTCGAAGGCAGATGTCAAGTCTACGAAGGCCACAAAGAGTCTGCTCTTATACGCTTTTGCATATTTAGCTACCAGGGTCTGTAGTACCATACAGTGACCTATCGTATTGTGGCCCTTTCTAAATCCTGCCTGTTCCTGGTTGAACAGGTTAGAATGGTCCGCCCAATCTACCAGCTTGTTTAATAGGTACCGGGTATAAAGTTTGTATGCGATGTCCAGAAGGCTTATAGGGCGGTAGTTTGCTGGATCTTGAATGTCTCCCTTCTTATAGATAGGGACTACCACACTTAGTTTCCAATTTGCTGGGATTTTACATGTGTTGTTCATTGCCGTAAAAGTTTGGCCAAAAAGATGGCCCACCATTGGGCATTTAATTTAAAAACCTCAGGGGGATCATGTCCTCGCCAGGAGCTTTGCCATTTTTAAAGTTTTAATTAGCTGTAGGCACTCTGATTCCGTAACAGGATCCCAACTAACTAGATGCTCATTCTTCAATGGGAGGAGCGGACTCAAATTAGCAGTATTTGAGAGTGTGTATAGCTTGAGAAAGTGTTGATACCACACATCGGATGGAATACTGCTGTTTACAATTTTTCCTTTGGATGAGACTCCCTGTGCTACTATTGCCCAGAATTTTCTATCGTCTCGCGATTTAATCGCCATATCAAGTGCCTCCCATTGTTTCTTCCTGTAAAGGGATTTCTTGAGTTTTAAGGTGTATTTATAGTGAGAGCGCCATCTGTGGAAATTTACCATAGATGACAATGTCCTCTCCTGTTTTACCTTATTTTGTTGTTTCCTAAGCAGGGATCTTAGCTTCCGGCAGTCTTTGTCACACCAGGCCCCGATTTGTTATGTTGTATGGGAGGCCTGGTGTTTATAAGAAATGGGAAAAGGGACTCTGAGACCCGCTGATATAGTGAAAAAGGATCAAAGTTAGGTAAAAGACACTGGTCTCTCAGAACCAATAGATCTGGAGAGTGCAGGTGTTGATTAATTTTAAGCTCCAGCTCGCTGTTCCATTTACGCCTGCGTGGGGCCGGTGCTTGAGGAGGGGCTGCACAATGTAGATGTTGTAATCCCCTGATTCAAGGGGAGTTAGTGAGATTGCTCTAGGAAGATGGTCGCTCTCAGTTCTATTAAAAGTGCTGAGACCCTGTACCCTCTCCAAAATTGTTGGAGAGACCAGGATATGGTCAATCACACTTGCACCACGAGGGCCGATAAAGAGAAGAAACCTCCTGACCTGTCCATGTAAGTACCATGCAGGTTGTACAGATTATGCTTAAAAGCAATCTCCAGTAATGTAATACCTGCCTTGTTCAAGACCTTTTCATCAGAACTCCAAGGGATAAGCCAGTCTGCCTCTGGTAGAAACTGGGTTTTGGAGCCATACGAATTGATGTCGCTGCCTATCCTGGCATTAAAGTCACCTGCCAGCAGGATGTTCCAGTCAGGGAATTCTATTTTGGCCTTCTCCAAGCATGACTCCAAATCTTCCCAAATTTGTGCTGTCTGAGAGGAAGTACACACGGGGGGGATATAGACGTTGAAACATAGAAGATCTCCTCCTGTGTTATTGGAGATAAGTAAAATCTGAAAATTGTTGTTCTTCATCCACTGCAGTTGTCGCACCCTGTACCCTTGCTCTATGGGAATAAAAGTGACCAAACCGCCGCTAGGTCGGCCACGGTTATTTAGTTTTTCGCAGGGGTAGCAAAAGCCGCATAGCCCTGTAAGTAAGGGGATGAGAGTCTAGGCACCAGGTCTCTTGTAGACAAATAATCTGGAATTTTGAGAGAAAATCCAGAAAATCAGCAGCGCCCTGCTTAGACAGCCAGCCCGCCACATTCCACGATAAGATGTGAAAATATGGTGGTGAGGGGAACAAAGGTAGACTTCTCCGTTTGTTCTTTAGGATGATGGAATGAATGTTTTTGTAGAGGTGGAGTGAGCTGTTGGTATCCTTTGTGGTAGGTACTAACCTAGTGAGTTTTGTTTCACTGGCGTGGTGTCCCCTCGCTGTATCTGTCTTTCAGTCCTCCACCTGAATGCCATCTAAGGATCCTGAGGCATCCACAAAGATTGAACAAACAAACAAAAAACACAAGAGTTCAGACCCTAAATTCTTTAGTTGTACTTTAAAGCTGAACAGTCATGAAAGGTGACACATCAGTAAAAATTTTCTCCATTGTTGTTGATCTTCAATCCAATAACAAGCAGAATCCTGTTCCCAGCTGATATGAGGCAAATCGTAATAAAATTTCCCTGGAACCAGCATCTGTTTCCAGCACGGGTGACCAATCCAGTTCCCTGTATTCAGCGAGAGGCAGGCTGTGCAAGAAACTGCTGTTTTCAGTTATTGTTGGTTGTTTAGAGCTGAGCTGAAATTTTGTAAAGTGCAATTTGCATATTGAAATATTAATTTTAATCTGAGGAGAGCATTCCATTGAACTAAGTAGATAAGAAAATTGTGTGTTTATCATTCAGCCAAATTCTAGGCCACAGCACTCCTCTTAGGAGTTGTGAAAGAAGTCAATGCCTCAAGGAGCCAAGTTTTACATCAAGTCTGTCTATACTTTGTGATCCATAGTTATGCCTTACGCATGTAACTGGAAAACTCTGTAGTCTTCCCGCAAGAAACTTTCAGGTAGCCTCAAGTGTTGTAATACAATGGTACCTTGATACTCAAAGGGCTTGGCTCCCAAACAAATCAGCTCCCGAACGCCACAAACCTGGAAGTAAGTTTTCCGGTTTGTGAACGTTTTTCAGAAGCCGAACATCCTACGCGGCTTCTTCTTGAGTGCAGGAAGCTCCTGCATCCAATCAGAAGCTGTGCCTTGGTTTTCGAACGGTTTCAGGAGTCGAACGGACTCCCAGAATGGATTAAGTTTGAGAAGCAAGGTACCACTGTATACAGTTATTGACTCTCACGTGTGTGTGTGTGTGAAAGGGTTAACCTGAGCCCTGAGCTCAAGTTACCATTGTGGGCAGGGCTTAGCTTGCTCTCAGGAACCTCTGCTCCCTCCTCCCACTGGCTTCCCACTCTGTTTCTGGGAGAGCAAGCAAAGGAGGAGCCATGCAGCCATGACTCCCTGCAAGTGAAATGAATCTCTCTAAAAGAGATTTAAAGTCTGCATTTTTTTCTAACCCAAGATTGCATGTTTGTTGTCACTTCTGGAAACTCTGTGAGTTTCACTTATTTGCAAAGCTAAGATTCTTGTTATTCATTCAAGCCTAAGTATTTTCATGAGGAATGTTTGTTTAAAGGTGGATTAGAGAAGATGTAAAATCTAACCAAGTTTTAATGTGCTTGGAGCTATCGTCATTGTGCTAACTCTGCTACGAGAAAAAAAATCTTTCTCCCAAACCTTTCTCTCAATCATTGAGTGCAAAGCCCTTGGTTTATTTCCTTTTGTTCATATTCATATGGTTACTGCAAACTTATATGTATGGAGAATACCTCTATATAAATTCAGAACTCAGATATGTTTTCCTGAATATGGGCTTTCTCAATCTTTCCTCTTCATTATGAACAAAACCATAAATACTTGTAAAATCTGCAGCAACTTCACTCGCAAGTGCCATCATTTATCAGCTTTATTTATTTTCTGCCAGTTTTCACTATTGGAAGAGGTTTAATCTTCTCGTACTGTCACTGATGAATTTTTTCTTCACAGAACTGGACTGCGGGCTTCTGATAAGAACTAAAAAACGTTGTCATCCTGCTGGTCATTAGTTGGAAAAATTATTTTATACTTGAGGTTGTTGGTGGTTGATAAAACATCTTTCTAAAATAACCTAGTTCAATAAGCCTGAGCCATTGCTCTTTCAAAACTGAGCTTCAGGAGAAGCTACATGTATGGCTGATTCTCGTGCAAGGTTTCTTCATGGAAGGCACAGAATATTATCTTGAAAGCAGACACGTTGTTCCTTAGGCCTTTTTTTTGCCTTGGGGCCTTAGGCAGATGCCATAGGTGGTACTGAAACTGGTTATCAGGGAAATGTAAGAAACCTTAGCCTTGGGAGCAGAGCATATACTCAGGCTTTAGTAATAATCATCATCAATCATCATCCACCCATCTGACTGGGTTGCCCCGGCCACTCTGGGCAGCTTACAGCATATACTGCACAAAAACATAATAAATCATTAAACATTAAAAACTTCCTTATACAGGGTTGCCTTGAGAAGTCTTCTAAAAGTCAGATAGTTACACATCTCCTTGACATCTGATGGGAGGGCGTTCCACAGGGCAGGCACCGCTGTTGAGAAGGCCCCCTGCCTGGTTCCCTGTAGCCTTACAGTGAGGAAACTGCCAGAAAGTCCTTGGAGCTATGTAGATCTCAGTGTCCAGGCTGAAAGACAGGGGTGGAGATGCTCCTTCAGGTATACTGAGCCAAAGCTGTTTAGGGCTTTAAAGATCAGCACCAACACTTTGAATTGTTCTCAAAAATGTACTGGGAGCCAATGTAGGTCTTTCAAGATCGGTGTTATATGGTCCTGGTGGCCTCTCCAGTCACCAGTCTGGCAACCGCACTCTGGATTAATTGTAGTTTCCAAGACACCTTCACATAGAGCACATTACAGTAGTTCAAGTGGGAGATAACCAGGGCATGAGTTGCCCCAGGTTTTTTGGAGGGGCAGTGGCTAGCAGTTCCTTTCTAACTCTTACATGGCTGATATTAGCTGGCTACCACTTGGCTACTTTTAGCATGGAATGGTAGCTTCAGTTTCGCAGACCATGTGTCTACTTCAGTGCAGGCAAATCTGGGATTTGGGTTGATCCTTCTACATCTGGTAGTCTTCTGGCTTCAAGATAGTAGATAGGAAACCATACTATTGATTGATTGATTGATTGATTGATTGATTGATTGAATTTATATCCCACCTTCATACTGAAGGAGCCCAGGGTGGCAAACACAATTTAAATACGAAAACATTCTAAAGCAGTTAGAACATTCTGATTACAATTGCAGTTAAAAAAATCTAGAAGCAGTCGTAGTTAAAAACATACTAAAAGTAGTTACAGTTAAAAATATCATTTCATCTCCTGATTTCAGGGTTGCCAGGAACAGTATTCTTCAGCCACCAAGTGTCTGGGTGATGTTTTTAAATTGTTGCTGAAAGTTAATAATGATGGAGACAGATGCACCTCACTAAAGAGGGCATTCCATAAATGGGGAACCTGTATCAATATTGCCTGAATAATGCATCTGTTGAGGGCATGACTGAGTAGTTACAGCTTCCCAGCATTTTGGAGCTTGAAGGAACGTAGAAAGCCCTTAACATGAAATATTAAGCCAAAAACTTTTTCGTTAACTGAATACAAAATTATATTTGTGGTTGTGTGTAATGTGTGCACTGTAAATTAAGCCGTGCAACTTAGGTTTGGCTTACCCTTTGATATTGCATGCTGCCACACAGGGCCTGCTCTACCATTAGGCAGAATGAGGTAGCTGCCTCAGGCAACAGATGTTGAGCGACAGGAAGCAGACTGAGCTGTATGTACCATCTGGCCCCTGCCCTGTGACACCTAAGCTAGCCGACTGCCCTCGAGTATATGGCCCCATTGTCAGTGTTGAAGAAAGACCCAACTACCCGTCCAGTCAGGAGGGGAGGGGTGCCACCTTGTCATTCACCTCAGCCCAGTTTCCTAAAGTTAGGGGAAAGAGAGACCCTTTCACTCATATTTCCTATTGGTTAAAATGGTAATTTTAGGTTTTCACAGTGCAATCCTGTGCATGTTTGCTCAGAAATATTGCACTGGGTTTACTGAGCCTTACTCCCAAGTAAGTGAGTATAGGATTGCAGGGTTCATGCTATACATACCTCATCAGATAGGTCCGCCATATTTACCTTAAATACATTTTGCTACTGCATGTGTCTTCTCCGTTCATAAAATGTATTTGTTTACTATAAAGGGTTCTAATATTTTTTGTAGTGTATTTTTATATGCAAATGATATAGAATTTTAAAAAAAGACATGCTCTTTCACTGCAGAAGGAGGACTATCCTTTGAGACATTTTATTTTTGTTTCAATCTATGGGCTTCAAACAAAAGTGGTAGTCATTGGGACTACATAATGCTGGTCCTTTTGGTATGTTTTTGGAGCAGTGTTGTACAGAATTTCCTCAAGAAGTTTTCTTATTCCTTTCCCCTGTTGCTTTTTATTTTGTTTTTTTAACTTTTAGCCTAACAGCACAATGTACAGTAATTGGAAGTGAATGCTGTTTTCTTGTAGAGCTGGCTATCTTATGTTTCTGGGAATCCTTTAATCTTCTTGCTCTTTCTGTTTCCTCCTGGATTAGCAGGAAACTGTCAGTCACCATCATCTGCCGTGATGCTGGTGGCCTTTCTACAATCGCTGTGTATTTTGTCTCTGTAAGTAAGGGGGAAAGGTAAAGATAGATGCACCAGCCTTGTCTTGGACTGCTAGAGCTGGCAGATAAAAAGCATTTCATCTTTTATTATTCAGTGGCTGCGCACCCATGTTATTCCCTGTTCCTTACCAGATTTAGACTGCCATCCTTACTGGAAGAAGGATTTGTGCCAGGTTCATTGTGCTAATTGTAAATAATGCTGGTATGTTGCAAACGATAATGACAGCGATGAAAAAATAAGTGGAAGCCAGAAGGAGAGACAAGGGCTCCTTTTACATCTTAGAGGCTGTTTTTTAAAAAGAAAAATCAGGCAAAAGATGAGTAGATTAACACTAGTCTTGAAGCCTGATGTTTTACCAGCTGTCTCTGAAGAGATGGCGATTTTTCACACTGTCAAGCTAGAGGGGAATGTTCAGTGTACATAAACTACATTTTCCCACTGCAGATACAACAACACTTCTTTCTTCTTATGGTACAACATATTATTTGCTATCTTAATTAAATTTTCCTTAGGCTAATTACGCACTCACTTCTAAATGGCATTGAAATGTGTATGGTATAAACACTTTACAATATCATTTTTAATTTTAAGAAACCCTAGGCATTCCTAGCTCGCATTGGTCTAACTTTATTTCTGGGTTGCTGCATTAAAAAAAAAGAAATGTGTTCAGTTTTACTATCTAGTATATGCAAATAGATGATGCTGATGAAATGCACAGGGTAACTACATCACTCAGCTAATAACTTGACACATGCAGCATACACCCTGCAAACATGGTTATTTTCAATTAATTCTAATATATGTCTCACAGCACATGTAGAAATGAATCCTTCATAGTAGTATTTGCCAAAATACACATTCTTTTGCATTAAGTGAGGGTAGGGGCCTTACACTGCAATCCAGACCGCAGCCAGGGAACAGCAGGGTTGCATCTGCAGTCTTGCCATTCAAACAGGATTGAAGGCATAGCAAGGCAAATCACTGGAGTTGGTGCAGCAATCAGATCCAAACTGGGACCAAACAGTAGGGCTGAACTTGGGATCCAGCCGATCCTGGGTCATCTCAGCCCCTCCACTGAAACATCCCATTTGTGGGCTTTCTGTGGGTGCCACTGATGAGGATCCTGCCAGCGGCACACCAGAACAGTTCCACATCAGATTGATGCTGGCATCACTCCAAGGGCAGAGGCCAGCATGGCTGGGCAGAGGGGCATCTATCCCCAGTCCAAACCAACAACTCCAGCTTGCACAAAGGCGGTTTGGATTGCAGCCCCATTTGAGTAGTTGAGACCTCCAGGTATAAAGGTAAAGGTACCCCTGACCATTAGGTCCAGTCGCAAATGACTCTGGGGTTGCGCACTCATCTCGCTCTATAGGCCAAGGGAGCCGCCGTTTGTCTGCAGACAGCTTCCAGGTCATGTGGCCAGCATGACTAAGCCGCTTCTGGCGAACCAGGGCAGCGCATGGAAACGCCGTTTACCTTCCCGCTGGAGCAGTACCTATTTATCTACTTGCACTTTGACATGCTTTCGAACTGCTAGGTTGGCAGGAGCAGGGACCAAGCAACGAGAGCTCACCCTGTCGCGGGGATTCGAACCACCGGCCTTCTGATCGGCAAGCCCTAGGCTCTGTGGTTTAGACCACAGCGCCACCCGTGTCCCATCCTCCAGGTATAGGGCGGTGAATAAATTGAATAAATAATAATAATAATAATAATGATGATGATGATGATGATAGGAAATCTGATCATAAGTCAGAGAGTTCCTTGGGAGATTTGGACAAACCTGAACAACAGACAGTATCTGCAGATTTTGTACAGTGGTGCCTCGCAAGACGAAATTAATTCATTCCGCGAGTTTTGTCGTCTTGCGATTTTTTTCGTCTTGCGAAGCACGGTGTCGGGAAAGTTTTGGAAAAGCTTCAAAAATCACCAAAGTCTTTAAAAACCTCAAAAAAGGCTACCACACCGCGTTCTATGAGTTGCTCCTCGAAGTCAAGTCGCAACTGTATTAAGGGTGTTAAGAAAAAGGAAACAAACTTGCAAGACGTTTCCGTCTTGCGAAGCAAGCCCATAGGGAAAATCGTCTTGCGAAGCAGCTCAAAAAACAAAAAACCCTTTCGTCTAGCGAGTTTTTTGTCTTGCGAGGCATTCGTCTTGCGAGGTACCACTGTATGTGTATTTATGCATGCATTTTTAGTTAAGTGGGGCTTGCAATGATGGCAAATGGGGCAGTGCCCCCCCTCCCCAATAGCTATATCACACTCTGTACTGAGTCTTTACATGCATTCACTCTGTAAGAACTCACCCTGCCCTGGTTTGATTAAGAAGTCATAGGGTTGCCATATTTCAGAAAGCAAAGTTGTTGAACTTTTTTAAGGAAACCACCAAAATTAGGAGAAACCTACATCAAAAATAGTGATTTTTGAGCTGTTCCCACTGCTTTTTCCCATTGCATTGCCATACATCCGGGTTTCCCCTGACATTTTGCCACTTTGGCAAAATTTCCTCCTGGCGCCATTTTTACACCCGAAAACCAGGACAGAATTTTCCTAACGTACAGCAAGCCTAGGCTAGTATAGCTGTAGGAGACAGCTGCTACTGCGTGGACCTCTTTTGGCTCACCAGAGGTACATATTTTTCTCCAGTGTAAAAATAGCCTCAGGTTTGCTCCTGGGAGCTACCGCTCAGTCCTTTTGCCCAGTTTCGCTGGGGTTGGTCAAAAAGGCATACCCAGAGCCAACTGGGGCACAGCTTTTTGTGGCTTCCATTGCTTAAGGATGCCTCTAGCCAGTCATGTGGCAAACAGCATTGTTGCTGCATTTAGCAAGCAAAGCTGTGGGGCTTAATCCTTGGTCAGCAGTGATGGGAGAGACTGACGCTGCAGAGCCACCAGCCAGCACGATTTGCACAAGCTTCTGGCAGCAGGGATTGCTTAGGGGGCACAGAGACTGCTTTGAGGGATGAGGGGAGGTGCTGGAGAAGCCATGAATCCTCTTTCACTGTGTATTTTTCAGCTAATTTTAAAACAAGCTTCAGAGATTGTTTCCAAGTCTACCCCAGATGAACATAGCCACTTGAATTCTTTTACTCTGATCCTTGTGAATTCCAGGAGCAGCGAAAGGTGCATTTCCAGTAATGTTCATGCAGATGGGTGCTGTCAAATAGGCAACTCTTCATGCTGGCTTGCATGGGGTTATGCATTCATTAGCTGCTTGGTTAATGCAGTTACTCTAGCATGCCTCTGCCCACCTAATAAAAGCCAGCTTCTGCACATGGATCCTGCTCTCTGCATTTGATTCTGAAAGATTTCTTTACTGATCCTTGCAGAGGAACAGGAAGCAGTAACAAGCACTTACTTCAGTCAAGTCAGACAGCTTAAGACAGATCAGCACCATGGACAGCTCCCTTTTAGCCGAGCTATATAGAAGATGCCTCAAGAAAGGGTAGAGTCGCCTTAAGGCAGTGGTTCTCAACCTTGGGTCCCCAGATGTTTTTGGCCTACAACTCCCATGATCCCTAGCTCACAGGACCAGTAGTCAGAGATGATGGGAGTTGTAGGCCAAAAACATCTGGGGACCCAAGGTGGAGAAAGGCTGCCTTAAGGTATGGGTAGGCATACTAAGGCCTGGGGGCCAGATGCGGCCCAATAGCCTTCTAAATCTGGCCCGTGGACGGTCTGGGAATCAGCATGTTTTTACCTGAGTAGAATGTGTCCTTTTATTTAAAATGCATCTTTGGGTTATTTGTGGGGCATAGGAATTTGTTCATTTTTTTATCTCCAAAATATAGTCCAGCCCACCAGAAGGTCTGAGGGACAGTGGACTGGCCCCCTGCTGAAAAAGTTTGCTGACCCCTTAAGGCTTAAGGCTGGCAGGACCTCACTTCACCCCACCCGGAAACTGCCTGCAATTATTTAAGAGCCCTTAAATGATTCTGCAGCCAAATGCTCCTATGCAGCTGTGGAGTAGGAAATGCTACAAGGAGAAAATTCAGACACATTCTCAGGATGGAACTGTAGAATGTGGGGACAATGTCTTCCTACAAGTGGAATGACCTATAAGTTGTCGGAAACACAGTCGTGTTTTGGGTGACTGTGATGTCCCAGTTGCAGGGGACATAATAGTTTGGGGTGCAGTATGATGACAAATAAGGAATGGAATATGTTTTGCCGGCAAGGGGCAGGTGGGGCAGGGGGAGAGATCTTGCAGTTGAGAAGAACATCTATTGAAGTTCTAGCAAACTTTAAAAATCATTTTTTAAAAACCCATTAATTATCCATTTCTTACATTCCTATCTTTTCTGTGTGTTCAGATTAATGGTAACCTATAGGTACGGATTTGTCATTTTGTTTCTTTTGTGTACAGCAACTAACATAATGTTAAGAGCATTAACAGCAACTACAATATACATGGCAGCTCTTCAGTGAGTACTAGGACAAAATTAGGCCACAGAATAATTTTAGGCTCTAGGTGTTGACCCTGTGGCAGAATGTCTTAAATGGGATAAAAGGGGGTTTGCTTTTTATCTTTATTTTTCCTTTCATACTTGTATAATTTAGTTCCGTATGAGGAAATGCCACTGTGGGAGTAACTGTGTGTGGTGAAATGCACATTTTTGCAGATGGCAGTTTTTATATATTTCTTGGATGTATTTTGATTTTAATATCAAATGAAGTATAAAGAAAAAATAAGCATTGCAACTGTTTAAATTATAATGTAGAATATAACAACATGCAGCTGTGGCGCAGTTAATCTTCCAAAGCAAGACCAAGTGTTGACAAATTTTGGAACATCTCCATTTTGCTTCCTTACAAATCCAGCTAACTTGGCCAGCAGTACATTTGCCTCATCAATCACTCCTCCTAGTAGCAAACTCAGCTGGTGAGTGCTGACAGGATTGTTGCCAAAACAGGGCGACAGAGAAACAAGGCGGAGGTATCAGCACTCTCAGGTGAATCTCAATATATGCACAAATCCATTTTTTAAAGCTCCCCACCTCCTGAAAATGTAAAGAGGTGACCTCACAAAAAACAGTGAGGACTGAGCCCAGTAAGCCAAGGAATGTAGTTAGGATCTGAAATAAAGCATGGAGAAGTGGGAAGTGGAATGTCCCACTTGATGGAAATGCCTGGAAGAACAGAAGCTTTTAGCAGTGAGGTTGCACTGCAACATTTGGTTGCAGGCCCTACATCTTTGCTTCTCTTTTGTATGTGTGTCATAGCAGCCCTTCTTAATTCACAGCTGTGTTCACTGACTTTCATTTTATTGCTTTCTGCCTCCTCTTCCTAGTTATTTAGAGCGAAAGGGACACATTCAATGCTATTTGGTAATCTATTCCTATCAGCTAAATCATTTGCCATCCTTTCTGGTTAGATTTTATCCATAATTCTGAATTTTTTAATCTTCTTAGATATTGTTTTATAAGCATTGCCCTACATAACTTCTTTCACTTCCCTTTCATGGGTCAAGAAATACTCAGTGCCATTAACAAAGAAAGAAATGGAAGTGTAAATAATTAGTAGCCCTCAAAGCATCCCGTGCACAGGTATTATTTTTGTCTTTCGGCACTTCTGATATTTACAGTTAATTTAAAGTTAAATAGCTCTGGCAATCTGCATAATTACATTTCTTTTCTTTGTTTCATGGCCCTGCCTTGAGAGCCACACTCTGCTCTGTGCCTGCGCTTCCTTGCAGCACTTTTCTTGTCCATTAATTATTAAAAGAATAGCACTGCATAAAATATTGATCTGTTGCCTGACATTCATTTCAGAAATATATGCGGGGGGGGGGGGAGGTAACATGAGGAGCCTTTTCAAAAGCTCGCCATTCCACTCTTCTGATTCCTGAGCAGAGACTTTTAAAAATGCTAATTCTGCTTTACTCGCTATTAATTATGCATTCCATAACTATTCAGTATGAATATTTTTCAATGGCGTGCTATTTTTTTAAATTGAAAATTGACATTTTGACCAGTCAAAAGCATACTTCTCTATAAAGGGATGTCATCTTAGTGAAGTTTCATGCCCCAGAAACCAAGAGGAGGCTACTTGCCCACATAGTAGTGATGCTTGGGGGTAAAAAAAAATTTAAGCGTAGACCCAGAATATCTCATAGTCAAACTTACCTACGGTCAGCTCCTCTCAGGGTAACTGATACTTCTGAGATAACACGCAGATAGAATTGCACTAATTGATGGCAATACAAAATGTTGATGGCACCAGCCTGCCAAAGGAATAGATTCCAAACATTTGGCAATGGTTTCCAAATGCGTAGGAAGCTGTGATCGCGAAGAAAAGTGTTAACTAAACTCTGTTTCTCTGAATAGAACTAAAGCATCACACTTTCAGATTATATGGCATCCTTTTCTGAAAGAGCCCCAAACATGGAACCCTCATTTCCAGTCCTGAGATGGAGCTGCATCACTCTGCTTCAGTGTTTATCATACATGCCGACTCCGCACCCCTATTTTAAAAAATAATAATTAGGGAGTCAGCCCCCTCCAGTGTTCAGAGGGCATTCAGCTCTGCTGCCTGGCTCCTTGCAACATCAGGATGTCGAGCAATGTTGTGAACATGATGTTAGGCTGTCACGTCGGGCCCTCCATCATCTTGTACTCAGACCCCTGAAAAATGTTGGTTTGCTTCAAAGTACAGTCCGTTCGACTTCCAAAACATTTGAAAACCAAGGTGTGGCTTCCAGTTGGCTGCAGGAAGGTCCTGCAGCCAATCGGAAGCCGCAGAACCCCTGTCGGACATTCGGGTTCCAAAGAATGTTCTCAAACCAGAACACTCACTCCTGGGTTTGCAGGGTTCGGGAGCCAAAACATTAGACTTGCAAGGTGTTCGGGATCCAAGGTACGACTGTACAGAAAAGTCGTACGAAAAAACATGTTACAGAATTTGAATGCACAGAAGCAGTTTTCCCATAGTGTCAGGGAACTGCCATCAGCTCACAGGCGAGAGGTGGAAGGGCAGTTGTGTTACAGGGAGCCTCTGAAGATCTTGCGAAGCAGTTCCTCCTCTGGCAAGGAGGAAAGCCCCGCCTCCAGTGGGGAGGGGGTGCAGGGACCAGGAGATGCTAGGGAGAGCCTCAACACTGAGGCTGAGCAAAGTGGAAGGGGAGGCAAGTCCCCCTTTGCCAGCACCCACTCTGCGTAGTAGGTTTGGGCGCAGAGAGGGGAGGAGAAGGATGGGGGTCACACGACTGTTATGCTGGGGTGGTACAAGGACCGGCCACGCCCAGATTCTGCTAGCGACTGAGCAGACATGGGCTTGCGATGCTCTGCACTGTAAATAGTTTGTATTAATAATAAAGCCTGGAAAAGACAGGTTGGAGTCTTGCCTGTTTGCTCTCGAGCAACCACACCACCACCTGACAGCAATCTGGGCGTCTCTGAGGTTGCTCGGGGGTAGCAGCAAAAAGGCAGCACGATGAGCAAGCCAGGGGCAGGTGCTGAGATGGAGCAGGAGAAAGCCATGAAAGCCCTGATGGAGAGGAACAGGGACCTGGAGGCTCATGTCACTACTCTCTCAGCCCGGTTGGAGGAGCGCCGAGCACAAGACAGCCAGGTCAGAGTCACTCCAATTGGGAGAAAGGTCCCAGCACTTGTGAGCAAGTTTGGGGGGAAGCCTCAGGATCACAACGCTTTTAGAACTGAGACAACCACACCACCACCTGACACATAGGGAGACTCACTTGGGAAATCTTTGGGTTGTCCGTACAGGCTTCCTACCTGCAGTTCCATGTTAGTGTGTTGAAAGAGAGAGTAGTAGTCTGTTTTCCGGCAGTTTGGTCAGGCATTTCCTCTGCCACTTTTCTGATTGATGCTATTTGTGCATGGCCAGTGTGGGAGTGTCATCAAGTAACATTTTGATTAGCAAGTGACAGCAGACTTTCTAGGTACACTGTGAGAGTAACCTGGCTTTTGTAGATCCTGTATAGCTGTTGCTTTGCTTTTGAATCTACTGCTGTGTGGACATAAGAGCATGATTCCATAAGTTAGCCCCAGTGTGGCAGCCACCCAACATATGGGGACCATATGATCACCTGGTCCATGTTCTCTTATTCCTTAGCTTCGAATTACTTTATTTTAATTCAAGTTTCTTCTAGCAAGCAAACTCCTATTTCTCAGATGCTTACTAATAATTCTCCCTCTTCCAAAGTTTTGGAGCAAAATACTTCTCATTGATTCTCTTGTGCTGTGCATCAAGACTAATATAGGGCTTTGTCTAAATGCCAGCATCTAGCTGTAAAGAAATGCATTTAATAAGATGAGCTTCCATACCTTGATAGCAGCAATCATGTAGGAAATTATAGGGGAAAGGATTTATGACCTTAGTGGAGATGGAAATTTAATAAGAGGCTTTCATCATGGCCGCGGAAAAGTCATGGAGTTCTTTTAAGTGCAGTTCACATTATGCATAAAATGCACTTATTTTCCTAACATTTCTGTAAATATCTCATAGGTAGCGTGATTACATACTCATATGGAAGCATAAGAACATGAAAAGCAGAAAGGTTTCGTGACATCAATTTACTTTTTCTGCCTATCCATTCCTAACAGTTGCATGGCAGCTATTCCCTGTAGAATATAGCAACATGGAGCTCTTAAAATGCCACTTTAAATTAAAGTCAAGATGTTTGAAATGGCTAACTTATTTATGCTCTTGATGCAAATTTCAGCAATGGGCTGAGGCTTACTTTGTGCATTGCTTTCTCTGTCAAGAAGGCAGCTGGTGGAACTTTAGCAGCAAGCAGAGAGAAGTTAGAGCTATAGCATATAAAAGCAAAAGGAAATATGCACCCCTATTCGCCTTAAAGAAGGCATTTTATAAGATTTTGACACGCAAAGCTACACTTTTTATCTGGGCCATATTGGCAAATAGATAATACCTGCACGATATTTCACATTGCCTAAGACCTGTGTCTTTTGCGTGTGCTATTTGGATTCCTTGCTTTTCACTGCTTTTGCATTCCATTTAATCACCACTAATACGTTGCTCATTATATCCCCCTGATTTTAATGTTAATTCTGTTAAAACCTCAACATCAAATGTTGCTGAAAATGACAGTGGCAAAAGAACCATTTCCCCACTTCAACTTAGAGAAGAATGAAGGGGTCTTTATTTCTAAGAGCTACCTTCTTCTGGGATATCAGGAATCTGCACCCTCACCATTCTACCTCTTTTTGGCTATCTGCTACACCTGTCCTCCATCCTTTTATAGTAGTCTTGTTCTACTGTTATGGACCGGCTGGATGCAGAGGAGTGGCAGGAGGTACCAGCTAGGGAACCCTCAAGGGATCCTCTGGGAAAGAAGTCTCAGAGCTTGGTGGTGGGACAATAATGAGTGGTTAGAGGGAGACGGAGGCAGACTGTGAGAAGGAGGTGTTGGAAGGTGAAGAGGTAACAGAGTTAGGTGAGCAGGAAGAGGCCGTGGCAGCGAGCAGGCCAGAATCAGACGCAGAGGCTGTTGAGGAGAGGGGCCAAAAGGCAGAGGGGAGGAAGGCTGCTGAAGAATCCAGGGAGTCTCCCCCTCCCACTGCAACCATCTCCTCTTTTCCTTGGTCTCCCAGAACATGAAGAGGAATAAAGAGGGCAGAGCAAAGAGACAAGACAAAGGAGCCTCAAGTTACTGGGGAAGCACCTGGGAGGAGAAGAGCCTTAGAAAGCGGTGGAAGGATCTGTGTGATATATAATAGAACACACAAACTATATTTGGCATTTCATATGTTCGACACAATAAAAACCTGATCATATATTTACTCAGACCACTCGATTTCAGTCTAATGTCAAAGTAAGTAGGATTGCACTGTTAGATTAAGTCTAAATATTTCATGGTCTCTGTGCAGTCCCACAGAGTAACAATGGAAACTTAACAGGATAAAAGACTTTTGGTGAAAGCGCACCTTCAGCCTTTAGTATACATGCACAAAGCGGGGGCTTTGTGGAGCATTGCGTACTTTGGCCTCAGCATCCCCTGCCAAAATGGACCTTGGATCCACTAAACTTGCAGCTTAGGCAAGCAGTCTCAGTATGCCTGCCTTGTGAAATGTTGGCAATGAAGCCACATTTATCTACTTGCACGTCCTTCACCAAAGCAGAAGAGGCAGCGGTTGTGCCCATTGCAGGTTTGCTACTAAAAGTGGAACAGCTGCATCAAACTGCCTTTTGCAGCATAGACAAAGATGTCTGCTTGGCACAAAAAAAACCCCCAAACTGAATGCAGATGTACAAATAACAACACTGTAGAGAGAAAAGAGAAAAGAAAGTAAAAATGGAAAGGCCTAACTGACATTCTTGGGGGGAAGTGGAAGTTTTCTGCTGGGATAGCTCAGTCGGTAGAGCATGGGACCCTTAACCTCAAGGCCATGGGTGCAAGCCCCACATTGAGCAAAATATTCCTGCATTGCGGGGGGTTGGACTAGATGACCCTCACGGTCCCTTCCAAGTACAGTTTTATGATTCTATGATTCTTCTTGATCATTGCCATATCCTTTTGGTCATGTGTACTAATGGTTGAGACTGAGATTCCTGCCAAAACTCTTTCACCTTTCATTACAAAGTTAGGTGAACCCAGGGCTCGCTCTTGTGACAGTACTCGTCAGTACAGGGTATCAGCACATGCTGCCCATGGCAACCATTTTGTGCTAGCACCCATGATACTTTTATTAATACAGTGGTACCTCGTTTCCCAAATACCTCCATTGTTGTACATTTCGGTTCTCGAATGCTGAAAACCTGGAAGTAAATGCTCCATTTTCGAACGTTTTTCGGAACCCGAATGTGTGATGCGGCTTCCACTGAGTGCAAGAAGCTCTTGCAACCAGTGGGAAGCCGCGCCTCGGTTTTTGGATATTTCAGAAGCCGAATGGGCTTCTGGAATGGATTACATTCAAGAACTGAGGTACCACTTTATATGAGTGCTGGCATGAAGTGGGGAAGCCCATATGTGTGACTACACAGATGACCACTCAAAGAAAGGCTAGCTAACTATTTTCCTTACCTACTAAGCCTGAGCTTAGAGCTGGTTTACCTAAAAGTTATTTATAGGGAAGAAAGTGAGACTACAGAAGTCTATAAAAGAGAAGTATGTGTTTTACAGTTTTCAGGAACATTCAGATGCATTTCTTTACAAGCAGTAGCCAAGAATTCGATTCTGCCATCTTTACTTACTTGCACACAGCTCTCATCTGTGTTTAGTTCCATTGACGTCAATGAAATCTACTCACTAAGCACTCCATTCAGATCAGGAATGTGAACATTTTGAATAGCTGTATTTTAAATTACAATCAGACTTGTGATTAAGGACAGTCTGGATTTCTCCCTAGATCAGCAATTAACTTTAAAAAATGTTCTTTCACTTAAAGTGACACATAGTTGTCATTGTGTAGAAACATATTTCAATATATTACAATGAGCTACTGAGGATAGCATAAAAACAAACATAATCTGTTAATGAATCATTAGGCAATAAGCCCCTTTGTGAAGATAAGATTTAGTACAAAGATTGACACTCTGGGCTTTTGCATTTTGCAAAAAAAATCGAACTATTCTGTTCTCAAAATAATCAGACACTAGTAATATATCCCTTACTTGCTAACTATAAAATTGTAATGTGTGCATTAACTAAAATATCAGTCATATGCTTTGCTGATCCATTTGCAAAAATGTGCTGACTAGCAGCTGTAGATGAAGATGACGTTAAATAAAGAATTATAATGAATCTGCAGCAAGAAACTTTAAGCTTTTTCCTCTACTCATTATAAAATGTATTAAAGTAACCTGCAGACAGGGCATATATTTTCAAGTCCCTCCAAAGTATTCTAATCACTCACTAATAGTTCATATCCATTTTGACCCATTTTTCCTGACAGTCCTAAAAATAAAATAAAAAACCAACGAAAGCTAGTATTGTCGAGTTGGGACTAAAGTAAACATGACTGTCCTTTTGCTCCTCTGTGACTCCCAGTTGTCTACAGAGTTGCCTTTTCTGCCACAAATGGAAGAAAATAATTAATGCTTCTCACGATGAATGGCATTCTCTCTGCAAGAAGGATCATTTGATATTCTAGATGGATAGACATGGAAGCACAAAGTGGGCAGTCACTGTCTTGCACTGTACTTTGATCCATCATAAAGGAAGTCCTGGAACTAACTTATTGGGGCTTGTTTTGGTCAGTTCAGTATATGCTGAACGTGTTATAAGGCTGGGGTAGCTCAGTGGGAAAAGCATGAGGTTGTTCATCCCAGGGTTGTGGGTTTGAGCCCCATGTTGGGCACAAGATGCCTGTATTGAAGGGGGTTGGACTCGATGACCCTCATGCTCCCTTCCCACTCTACAACTCTATTGTTCTATGGATGATTTAAATATTCCATGAATTGTTTTTATAGTGAAACAAACTATTTCCCCATCACTTTTACTAAAAGGTATTCTCTGCAATTGCAAGTAACTGGGTAGCAATCCATCTGCCCTGTGATCATGTGTGGTATAAGGTTTCGTTTGTTTTTTAAAAAAATGTATATACAGTGGTACCTTGGGTTACATACACTTCAGGTTACATACGCTTCAGGTTACAGACTCCGCTAACCCAGAAATAGTACCTCAGGTTAAGAACTTTGCTTCAGGATGAGAACAGAAATTGAGCTCCGGCGGTGCAGCAGCAGCAGGAGGCCCCATTAGCTAAAGTGGTGCTTCAGGTTAAGAACAGTTTCAGGTTAAGTACGGATCTCCGGAATGAATTAAGTACTTAACCCGAGGTACCACTGTAAACATCTGAGATCCTGGTCAGCTGTTGAGTCTGGCCATATGGAGAGGACAGTAGTACCATACTGTAATGGTTCTAGGGGTTGCTCGTGCGTAAATCGGCCCCACACCTGGCTGGGTTGCCTGAGTGAACCCTTTCTGTCCGGACAGCCACTCGCCCGTGGCTGTCTCAATCGCTGGCAGAATCCGTCAGTGGGCGTTTCTTGAACTTCTTCCAGCAAAGAAGTTCTTTGACGCCTAGTCTCCGCCTACTCTCCCTGCGCGGAAGCCTTCTGCGCAGGGAGGGTGTGGGCAGCGGAGGACCCGTGCTCTCCCCGCTAGTCCCCGGCGAGGAGTCACGGAGCCACCTCGCCGATTCCCCCATCTGCCCCCCTTCTCCACTGGTGCTGCGCTGATTTCCTTCCCCAGAAGATGTGCTGCTTCTCTCCCTCCCGGGACGCTCTCCGGAATCCCTCTGGAGCCCTCCCTCTCCCCCTGGCTCCGATGGCAGTTCCCTGACACATACTCATACTTCTCCATAGTTATTGTTGTTAGCAGGGAAATGAGAATACACACACACACACACACACACACACACACTACAAAATCTAGGCTCCCACATAGATTTAGGAGTGCATCAGGGTTGATTCTGAACTCGATTAGAAAACATTTTGTTATCCCTAACATCTTGACTCAGGTGAAGGTGTGCCTGTTCTCTGGTTCTAGAGAGACTTACAGGTATGACCTTGTTATTTGGTTAATGTGACTGTCAAATAGGTTTTTTAAAAATAATAATAATCCTGTATTTCCTTGACACTACAAGGTGTCTACTAAATTCAAATCCCATAGAAGTAAAACAATCGCAAAAACTTAAAAGCCCAAGGAATGCTGACCTTGTAAACCCCTAAGATATCTTGCCTCTCCTTCAAATGTCAATTCCACTTAAGTGGGAAAAAGGAGTTGTGGATCAGCGAGCGCATTAGAAGTTCTAGCACTGCATAGCATTCTATAGAGGTTCTTTATTTAAGGATTTGAAAGGTCAAGTAGATAAAAAAACCCCTGCAACCAACCAACCAACCCGACAACTGAGCAATGTCCTTTTTTGATGGTTTTGTCTGGCAGCCCCAGTACTCACCTTGCTTTGAGCATCTTGTGGCTTTATTTCCTGTAAACATCTGTAAAGTGAGGGAACTGGTAATATCCATCAGATGTTTTGTCAAGGCTTTTTATTTCACTATGCTTTTAATGTTTAATTTTTAGTCTTCTAATTGCTGGTCTTTGCTTTTTAATCTGACTGCTGGTTTTAAGCTCTCTTTTTATTATGCAAAAGCCGAAGTATGGTAACAGCTTTATTAGAGAACCATCCAAGGTGTCACAATGCCATGAGCGTTCTCCAAAATTTTGCAGATATGAAACCTGGTGGTTACTTGTTTCTGTTTACTGTTCTAATTGGAATACTCCAGAGTAACTGTGAGCTTTTATTTCCAGAAATAAAAATGGATGAATGTCCATTGTTGCTTTGTCCCAGTGGTCCTTGGTGCAATATAAAATCTGGTAATGCATCTTTCATAGTGTAATCTAATTAAGTTTGCATAATGCCTTCTGCACTCCATCTTAAGAGGGTTTGTTGCAAGCTGCAGACTTTGGGAGTTTCCCGTCATGTGTGGTTTTCCTTTCTCATTCTCCCCTCCCCCCCCCTTGGATGTTTTGTTTAGCATCCAGCAGCGCTCGGAGGATCTCAAAAGCTTATTATTTGGTGACATTTCAGATGATAGTAATGAAGGTTTTACCCTACAGTGATTTTCTCATTTATTTTAATAACTTAGCATTTTTTTGTGGCAGTGGGTCTGAAATACATGCAGGTTGCGGGGTAGGGTGGGGTGGGGGGAGAGACGCTCCATATCTACAATAGGATATCTGTACACACATGCATAAGAGGGACACGGGTGGTGCTGTGGTCTAAACCACAGAGCCTAGGGCTTGCTGATCAGAAGGTCGGCGGTTCGAATCCCTGCGACGGGGTGAGCTCCTGTTGCTCTGTCCCTGCTCCTGCCAATCTAGCAGTTCGAAAGCATGTCAAAGTGCAAGTAGATAAATAGGTACCACTCCAGCAGGAAGGTAAACGGCGTTTCCGTGCATTGCTCTGGTTCGCCAGAAGCGGCTTAGTCATGCTGGCCACATGACCTGGAAGCTGTGCGCCGGCTCCCTCGGCCAGTAAAGCGAGATGAGCGCCGCAACCCCAGAGTCGTCTGCGACTGGACCTAACAGTCAGGGGTCCCTTTACCTTTTACACACATGCATAAAGAGCATCATGTCATAGGTCGTGTTATTAAAGACATAGGTTTATTTTTTGGAAGGAGAATATGGTTGTATTGTAGCTGTTGGGTGCTTTTAATCACAAACAACCAGTTTTTCTGTTTCAGTTGTGCTTTTTTAAATCTCTTTCAGGTGAGCATCTTTTACTGCTTATTTTGAAAATGTTTTATCTGCTTTTAATCTTTGTTCTTTGGACATTTTTTTCCCCGGGGGGACGACGGACTATTTCTTTCAGCTACAGTTGATATGTCCTTATAATATGCAGGTCATGTTGGAGGAATTTTTATTCCAAAAAGCAGTATGTATGTGTGTGAATCATCATAACAATAGTAGTAGTAATAATAACAACTTCTAAGATTGCTGAGCTCTGTCTATGTTGTGACTGTCAAAATGACTGTTAGGAAAGAAGTTGGGTGGGGGAAAGTGTTTGATTAAGGACCTGGAGGAGTTGAGCCCTTTGTTCTGAATTTGGGGCTGGTAACCAAGGGGAAAGGGGGCAAGGCAGCAGGAAGGTTGGTCTGGTATAGACTTTTAGAGACCCTAGTTAGTCTCCCTTGCCCCTTCAGTGGCAAAGGTTGCCACAAAATCCTCTCCCCCCCCCCATTCTTTCCCCTTTTCTTTTTGTAACTGTGGCTGTGTTGTGGCGCTCATGTACACACGCCTCCCAGAGGCACAACACTCTGGGGAAATGAACATGGCAGCCACAACAGTTTGGAACTTTTTCTGCAGCATACCCACTCTATAAAACACTCTATTAAAAATTAAAATAAAAATCTGTGGAGGGAAAAGACATTGCAGCAACTGCAACTGATAGCCATTGTCGTTTGGAGGCCTGTATACACTACGGATGCCTTTATCTGCACTCCATAATTGTGTCCTAGCAACACCCCCAAACTGTCAAAGCAGCGAACCTGTCACACTTATCAGGCATCATCAGCAAGGTATAAGTATCGAACACTTAATAGTAGCTAAAACCCCCATTTTAAGAGTATAAATTCACCTGTGAGCTTCACTTGTTGGCAGTGGAAATAAACATTGGCTGATTTACCTGAAGCCCACACAGCCAGCATATCTCTTGTGTATTTTCTGTTCCTTCAGTGTTCCTGGATGTTTTTCATCTGTAAGTGTGGACTGTGATGCTTTCTTTGGTTGCTGCTCAACACTCACTCGACCTTGGATGTTTTTATCACCAACCTCTCTAATCATTTTCATTGAAAACCGTCATTGATTTTGCCTGCCAAGCTTTCCCCCTTGTCAAACATCTGAAGAGTTCTGAGAAGTCTGTCCTTTAAGGATTATTTCCAGATTGTTCTGTTTGAAATTTAAAATTAAAACAATAGAGTTTTATCACCCCAATTCACTTCATAGCATTGATCATACTCAGAAAGTGATCCTTATAAAACAGCCCGAGGAAGGAACTGCGCTCATTTTTTCCATGTTACAAGTACAACCAAGGGGAAATAATAAGGTAATCTCGGAGGAAAAATACATTATATCTGTGTAGAGCGAGAAATTAAATTAGTAAATCAATCATAAACCTGAGAAGGAGGCTTACTATTAGTGTTCTTTGGGGAAATAAAAACTTTGTTGGTAGAATCGTTATCGTAAGCTGCCCAGGGAACTTCATTATTGGGTGACATATAAATACCATTAATAAATAAGTGCTGCTAAGCCAGGTAACAAAATGCTTCACATGGTCAGACACCCCTTCTGAACACAACACCACAGTGCAACTTGAAACTCGATCTTCGGTTGGCTACAGCTTTATTCAGTCCCCTAATGGGATTAGAAATCCCCTGCCCTGTTTGGGCATTCAGTTTCCATGTGTGATTGGAATGGCGTGAGGACAAACTGGCAGACTGCCCTCTGCACCACCTCTCCATGCCTATCGCCACTAACCTCCATGCAACGGAGGGTGAATTTCTGCAGCAGGGAGCTCCTGATGTAGCTGTCAGGAGCTCACCCTACACTCAAGTAATAATAATAATAATAATAATAATAATAATAATTTATTATTTGTACCCCGCCCATCTGGCTGGGTTTCCCCAGCCACTCTTGGCGGCTTCCACAGAGACCAAAATACACTAAAATGTCACACATTAAAAGCTTCCCTAAACAGGGCTGCCTTAAGATGTCTTCTGAATGTCAGGTAGTTGTTTATTTCCTTGACATCTTATGGGAGGGCATTCCACAGGGCGGGCGCCACTACCGAGAAGGCCCTCTGCCTGGTTCCCTGTAGCTTTGCTTCTCGCAATGAGGGAACCGCCAGAAGTCCCTCGGCGCTGGACCTCAGCGTCCGGGCAGAACGATGGGGGTGGAGACGCTGCTTCAGGTATACTGGGCCATGCTGGGAAGTTTTTGCCTCTGCACATGAGTCTGAGAATGTTCTGAACAGTTCCCATTGAGTTCATGAAACAGTGTACCCTGACCTGTTCTTAATGCATTGCTGACCACATCTACGGAACGTGATTGTTGTATTCTTTCATGTTATGATCAATCATTAGTAATTGTTTTAGTCTTGCTATATCAATCATTAGTTATAATTTAATTAGGAGGTTTCATGCCTGTCTAGTTCTGTGCTCCCTTTCCCAGCCTTTAATCTATTGGTGATTAATGCCTATATGTAACCTTTGCTTTGTACTTGTGTCAACCAATCAGCAACGAGCGCACCTGTGGCAATGTTGTAATATTCAATAAAAGGTTCTTCTCGGGACTTGCTCGAGAGATTCCTCTCACATGACACTTGCTACTCGTCTGTCGTTATTTCAACCCAACAGGGCCGAGGCCGTTTAGGGCTTTAAAGGTCAGCACCAACACTTTGAATTGTGCTCGGAAACGTACTGGGAGCCAATGTAGGTCTTTCAAGACCGGTGTTATGTGGTCTCGGTGCCCGCCCCCAGTCGCTAGTCTAGCTGCCGCATTCTGGATTAGTTGTATTTTCCGGGTCACCTTCAAAGGTAGCCCCACGTAGGACCCTGGCAGAGACACATGCCCGACTGGCAAGTTCTCTCCCTCCTAGTCGTTCAGGAGCTTCAAAAGCTTTCTTCAGCCCGAACATCACAGCGACCGATGCCAACAGACATTGGCACACTTAGGGATCCGCAGAGTTTGCGCAGCTTGCGTAACAGTCCTCAGCAACTCAGCATTTTGGCTAATCTATTTTATTTACATATAAACACACACAGAGCACTGCAACATGGCTCCCTCTCTCTCTAGCATCAGACAGCAAAGAGAAAAAGAACAAAGGACAATAGTCCCACTTCACGGAACACAGTAACACAAACATCCTGTCTCCATCACTTCCCACTTTGTGGAGTCAAAACATACACCGTCATGTGAAAGACAGCAGTCCCATGACTGCAATCATGGAGCAGGAATTCTAACATCAGCCACCCTGCATGGTTGAGAACCCTGATCATGCATGAAATACTGCAATAACGGAGGGACATATGCCGAGCATATCCACACTCTCATGTATAGGGAAGCTGAATGCCTGACTAGGGCTTACCTTGATTATGATTCTGCAGCCTCCTTATATGTTGTACCTTAGATTATCAGTTACTGCTTTTGGGCAGGAAGTGAATATAGCAGGTGCAGAATCGCAGTGTCCATTGCCCAAATGCTCAAGAGATCTCCCCCACCTTCGATAACCTTATGAAACAGACTCAGATATCGAAAAGGAATCCATAGCAATTTAATAGATACGATCTGATCTGCACCACACATTTAAAACAGATCCAGTGCACATTTAAACCACGCGACGTCTCCCATAGAATCATGAGAACTGTAGTTTCAGGGTGCTGGGAATTTTATCTCTGTGGTGAGGAAACAGCACTTTTCTGTAATCTCAGGACTCCTTGGGGAAGTCATGCACTTTTAAATCACCACCTTTCTTCTCCATATCCGGTACAGTGGAACCTCGGTTTTCGAGCGCCTTGGAAGTCAAATGTTTTGGCTTTTGGACGCCGAAAACCCGGAAGTACCGTATTTTTCACTCCATAGGGAGCAGCGGACGATAGGGCGCACCTAGTTTTTACGGGGGGGAATAAAGAAAAAAAAATTATCCCCCCCTCAGCCCCAAAGAGCAAAGAAGCCAAGACAGTGAGCGGGATCCATCCCGCTGGCTGTCTTGGCTTCCTCTTTAGCCACGCACAACCTCTCCAGCCAGGAGGGGCTGCACGCGGCTTCGTTTTTAGCTGCGGGGCTGGGGCGGGGGAAGCCCGAGCTTCCCCCGACCCCAGCCCCCAGAACAGGCAGCTATCTGCAAGCCTTCCAAGCGCAGCGGGAACTCCTGCTGCGCTCCGAATGCTTTCAGATAGCTGCCTGAGGCCTGGAGAGCGAGAGGGGTTGGTGCGTAGGACGCACACACATTTCCCCTTCATTTTTGGAGGGGGGAAAGTGCATCCTATAGAGCGAAAAATACGGTAACTGCTTCGGTTTTCGAACGATTTTTGGAAGCCGAACATGCCATGCGTCTTCCCTATTGAGTTTTCTGGACGTAAATGCTTCTGGAAATGCAGGCTTTGGTTTCTGAACATTTCAGAAGTTGAACAGTCTTCTGGAACGGATTACATTCGAAAACCAAGATTGCACTGTATTGGGAAGGGGTGTTGGAGGTAGGTGCTGTACACGTTAAGGAAGTGTTCGTGGAAAAAGGAGTCTCTGCAGGATGAAGTGTTAAGAAAAATTTCAAAGGCAATGGATTTTGCATGTGTCTCGACACTTCAGACTCTCTCTGTATCAACTCTTTTATCATCATTGATATGAATATTAAGAGGATGTGCTACTTTGGCTTTCCATCCAAAGCCATTCCATGCTATTATGTCTGAATCTGAAGGATCATAATGAATAATGTCTGAATACTATCGCAAAGGCTACTGTGTCATTTTTCAGAGGCTGTTTATAAATCCGGTGAAAGCCTTTGCAGCTGATAAAACACACAGCCTAATGGGAGATTGGCATTTGTCTTTCTTGAAAAATGTTTAAACATATGTGATAGTGTGAAGTGCTTATCACTTAAGGCAGAACTAATTAATCAACTTAAAGTATTTTTAAAGTCTGCAAAGATATATTAAAACTCTCCAATAAATCACATGAGTTCATTTTTTATTGTACCTTTTTATAACAGGGTACTAATTTTCATTCATAAAATATTTTGCAAGTACATTTCTAAAAATTAACCCTATACGGTATTTTAAAATGGTTTAGGTTTTAAAAAAAGTTTTTACTGTGAAATATAACACGTGAACAAATAGAACGGCAGGATTTAAATCAATATAGGAAATGATAATGATATAGCAGATTCAAACCAGAGTTTCAGAATCATGTTTTTCAAAAACATTATTATGGTGACTTTTTATTTATTTATTTAAAGTATTTTTAGACTGCTGTTCAGCAAAGCTTCATAAACAGCTGTGCTAAATGTAAAGACCAAATTTATTCTAAATACTGTTTGCGTTACTATTTAATATATACCGTATTTTTTGCTCTATAAGACTCACTTTTTCCATCCCAAAAAGTAAGGGGAAATGTGTGTGCGCCTTATGGAGCGAATACAGGCTGCACAGCTATCCCAGAAGCCAGAACAGCAAGAGGGATTGCTGCTTTCACTGCGCAGCGATCCCTCTTGCTGTTCTGGCTTCTGAGATTCAGAGTATTATTTTTTCTTGTTTTCCTCCTCCAAAAACTAGGTGCGTCTTATAGTCTGGTGCGTCTTATAGAGCGAAAAATACGGTAACTATTTTTAAAGATTATTAGTGAATTATAACCAAAAAACGTTGCACTATAGCAGGCATAGTCAAACTCGGCCCTCCAGATGTTTTGGGACTACAATTCCCATCATCCCTGACCACTGGTCCTGTTAGCTAGGGATCATGGGAGTTGTAGGCCAAAAACATCTGGAGGGCTGAGTTTGCCTATGCCTACACTATAGTATATACCTATTATAATTCTCAACTACTACAAAGTATAATGGTGCATATTTTAAGGACTGCTTTTCAAAATAGAGAGCTCCTGTAATTAGTTGTTCCTTTAATCTACAATTGCTGTTGTTTTCAGGTGCAGCTGAGAACTAGCCTTTCAAGTCAGTATGTAATTCGTACCCAGCCTACAAATGCATGCCTGTCTACACTTGAATGTGCAGCTATTTCCCTGGCCATCATGGAGAAGAATGATGGTATTAAAGAAGTAGGTAATTTTACTCTGCTAATGGAATAATAGGGTGAGAACAAGGCTATTTCACAAGGCTGTTTCACAAACAGGGCTGTATTTATTGGCCAAGGACCATATACCATGCATATTTATAGTTGCAAATTGTTAACTTCAGAGATTTAACAGAAGGGAGAAGCAAAGTTCTCCTAAGCATTTTGCACTTCCTTGCACGCCATACACCAACATCTGTCAAAAGCAGCTACATAAGTACTGCTTTTGGGATACTTCATTCCATACATTTAACTATGTTCTAAGTAAAGTTGCAACCCTAATCCCATTTACCTGGGAGTAAGGCCAGTTGAATTCAGTAGAGCTTACTCTGAAGTAGACATAGTTAGGATTACGGTGCAAATTACATCTTTTTTAAACAATGTTTTTAAAAGTCAGCAAAAATATTTATAGGTTCTCTTCTAAAGTGAATCACAGACATATGTATAGTACCAAATTTAGACCCTTGGTTCTTTGTTCTATTTACAAAAGCAGAATAAAGGTATTAGTGTTGTTAGACTGAAAAGTGTGCCACTCCTCTTTCCCCTCTGAGGTTACATAACTCTCCTTTTCTTATATTTCATAACATCTCATGCCGAAACAAAGGTTGTTGAAATCAGGCTAAGCAATTATCTTCTTTCACGGTAATGAAATACATAAATGTTTATAAATAGGTTAAACAGCTACTCTGTGGTCCAAAGGCATCTGCGGTGAACCCCGAAGAATAATAAGTCACTGCCAATCCAATTTCAACCAAGCAATTAATAACAATCATTCCTGCATGAGATACTCTGCAAAGATGACCTAAACAACCCTTGAAGTGAGCTTGAAGATTAAAATATATTTGTAAACTCGTCCCAATGACTCGAAGCATTCTTCTAGCCTCAGCGTATGACCCACTGGGTTATTTCAATCTACTAATCAGCTTAAAACTGTCAGATGTCATTATAAGAATTGGGAACATGACATCTCCGGAGTTTAAGTTTATTCTACTGGGTCAAAGAACCAACAATAAGACATTAGCCTTTGCTGTGCAAGTGGATCTCATGGGTCTGTGATGGAAGACTCTGTCAAGATTCTAAAACGTCTCCAATACACTTTGGTAACTACTACTGGAAACGCTACATGATTGTTAGCACTCCAAATGAGAATCCTAAGAAACAGTACTATAATGACTGTTTCTCATTGTGGGTTTTCAGAATAAATAGGCTCTGGGACAGGGCTCGGGAACCTTGACCCTCCATCTCCCATCAGCATCCATCACCATGGCCAGGGATAGGGAGAGCTGTCATCCAGCCACCACGCCTACCTGCCCTACACCTGACAGGTAAAGGTGTGACTCAGTTGAAAGTGGGGTTTACAGGCTTTATCAATCACCTGATTGTCAGGTGTGGGGCAGCTTGGCTGGGACCAGAGTTTGTGATGCCTGCAAAGCCTTGTACTTCTGCCTGTACAAAGTAGTGTTCCTTGGCCTGCACGGCTTGATTTCAAACCATGCTGGCAAGGGGAAATGGGTCACCTGGTGATAATTGTGATGTCACGTGACTACAAACGTGACCCACTAGGTGGTGAGGGAGATAAGGATCTGTGCCCCCCCTCCAGATCCAGTTCCTCACTCCAGGTCTTTAAATGAGTTTATGGCCTTCACAGCGATGGATACCCAATCTTAGGTAACCTGCCAGGTTTCTGTTTCAAGCTACAGTGGAACCTTGTGTTACGTACCGCCCTCCTTACGAATGCTTCGGGTTATGAGCTCCGGGATGCTCCCAGTTGCGAACTTTGCCCCGGGAAGTGAGCGGAAGTCATGCTGAATTGTTAATGGGTACAGCTTGTTTCAAACCTATCTGAATTGCGTTTAGCAATGAAAAACATATTGTTAGTGAACCTCCCTGTATTTTGGTGTTTCTTTACTCCCAGTTTTATGGAATAAAATATATCCCGTGTGTATTTGGAATATGAAGGTGTACTAAATACTAGCACACTGTTTAACATCCCTTTGCACATTCAGAGTAAGGGAGTGGGTGGCGCCATGATCTAAACCACTTATCCTCTTGGGCTTGGTGATCGGAAGGTCGATGGTTCGAATCTGCGCAACAGGGTGAGCTCCTGTTGCTATTTCCCAGCTTCTGCTAACCTAGCAGTTCAAAAGCACACTAGTGCAAGTAGATAAATAGATACTGCTGCAGCGGAAAGGTAAATGGCGTTTCCGTGCGCCCTGGCACTTGTCATGGTGTCCTGTTGCACCAGAAGCGGTTTAATCATGCTGGCCACATGACCCAGAAAGCTGTCTGTGAATTAATGCCGACTCTCTCGCCATGAAAGAGAGATTAACACTGCACTCCATAGTTGCCTTTGATTGGACTTAACCGTCCAGGGGTCCTTTACCTTTACCTTTACATTCAGGGTTGATAAAGTTCAAAACTCTGCCTACCCTTCCTGTATTTCCCTTTGCAAGAAAAAATGTAGTTTTCTGTTTTGTTCCCGCCGCGTCCACCTTCCCACTTTTGCCTAGCACCAACACAGTAGAGCCAAAATTAGGAACACAAAGAAATATGTCCAGGAAGCTTAGAGCACGACAACAACAAAAAGCATTGTATTAAGATCTGCAACTATTTTAAACAATGTGCTTGCAATTCTTCTGATCATTTTTATATCAAGCACACATTTCAGTATATTAAATATTTCATCTCAACATGTGATAAAATCCAGCCTGCAAGCTTGAGCATAATTCAGTGGAAGCTCCCTTTAAAATCAGTGTGAGTTCCAGTGTGCTCAGGAGTGGGATATCAGTCATTTACTTGGTGCAATGACAAGCCTGTGTTAACTCAAGATGAAATAATATCTGAAACCTATGTATTAAAGCTTTTTTCTCTCTCTCTGTCTCCATCTGTCTCCTTTTTTCCAGACTGTCCTCCGTCCTCTTCAAGCCCTCTGCTCTTTCCAGCTTCAACACGGCGCCCAAGTTCATCACAGCAAGGAGCACCTTCTTAAGAATGGTTTATATGACAAGCCCATGCCAAAAAACAAACGCAAGCTCAGAAGAATGGAGCTCTTAGTGAATAATGTTAAAATTTAGCAATGTCATGTAGAATTAGGTTTATTTTTTTAAAAAAGAAAGAATCCTTTAAAATGATGAAGTGGAGTTTGATATGGATTTAATCCAGACAATCATTTCTTTTGGTAATGGACAAAGTTCAGGTGGCAACTTGCCAAGGAGTTCAAACATTATAATAATAATGAAAAGCAGAATGCCTGGACCATCAGGGAATAAACAAGAGATATCCGTCCCCCATACTCTCACCCCTTTATCAGTCTGTGATCTTTAGTATGGCTTCTTTAATTTTTTTTTTATGGGAGGCTTTTGGCATTACTGCATAAGGAACATAATTTTTTACAAGGCAGCGGTTAGAAGAGAAAATTCCAGTATGGGGATTTTGATTTGCAACAACAGTGGGAATGAAATAATAATTTTAACATTTTCCCCCGTTTAATTTCTTGTTCTGATTAAACAATATATCATATAAACCTTTATGTCCAGTTCACATTGCGAGATGTCAGTAAGAACAGACTAGTAAATGTGATCATTGGAGAACAAGGTATTTTGTCCTGTCACTCAGGAGAGCAATTACACAGTGCAATACACTTGTATGTGATTAGCATGTACATTGTCAAGGGAGAAGGCATCTCCAAAACATGCAGTGGATGTGAGCTAGAAAGCTGCAGCCAACCATAGATGATGATTAGGAGCTTAACCATGATCAGGCAACACACTAAGCCAAATCTTGGTTTAGCTGCTGCACGGAGCTAGAAGGCAACAGAGAGCAGCAAAGCGGGTGCAGATATCACTCCAGGAGCCTGCATGCTTCTGCAGTCCTGATCAGCCATAGTTTGGCTTCCTGTGAGTTGCAACCTGTGTTTCCTACGGCCTGGCCACAGTAATCCATGCCTGAAGAACCTCACAATGCGATTGCTACAATGCACTTTACATGAGCCACCGTGAAGACAGTTTGATAGCCTCACCTCATGCAAAATACAGCTAATGCAAAACAGCCTAGCTGTTGAGCAAGTCAGCTAGATGGGACCAGGAGGCACTGATCCTTAAAGCTCTTCACTGCCCACCTTTGACCTACCAGGACAAATTTAGGACATAGGTACTGATACATAAAAAAACATCTCCCCAATATCTGCTAGCCTGTGTTCTTAGCTTGGCAGACAAGGCCCTCTTCATGATCCTACTAGTTGATATGGCCTGTGGGGCCGTTGTCTGAGACAGGGACTTCACAGTGGTGGCTCCCTGACTGTGGAATTCCTCCCCAGGGAAGTGCAGTTGCGCCTCACAATGTTAACATTCAGATGTCAATTGAAAACCAATTCATCTGTGCATTTGGGCAACAAACTCTCTGGGATTCATCAGTTTTGTTATTAATACCGATTTTTAATATCGTTTTTAAGGTTTGTAATTTTTAGTTAATTATTAATTATTGACTGTGTTTTTTACGTTGTGCACTGCCCCAAGCGCCTTTAGAAAGAAAGGTGGTGTATAAGTGTAAATAAATGATAATAATTGGTGGTATCTGACAAAGTAGTTCCATTAATGCAAGGACTTTGGGCTCCACGAAGGAACTGTGCCTCACGTCTTTCTTGCACCCCACATGCGCCACCTAGATGCGTTCTGGGGGTTCCCTCAACCCTCCAGAGCACATTTGGGGAGGGTATGCAGGGAGAGAAAGAGGAAGTTCAGTTGCACAAACGTAAATCCTTGCGCTGATGGACAGGGCCGTCTTACCCATAGGCGCTAGGGGTGCGGAGCACCCAGGTGCCGGGCTCTCAGGGGCGCCAGGCCGAGAGTCCAGGGCCTGAGAGTTGAGTCTGGGGAAGAGCCCGTCCATCAGTCGGAGCACCGCAGCAGGCTGTTCTGCTGCGGGCGGCTCTGTGCAGCGAGTTCAGGGGAGACCAAGCCACCAAGAAGCTGAGGCAGCCGGTCACTTCCGCCCTCCTGCGCGCCTGGGACTGGGCAACCGGGGGGGGCAGGCAGATCTTTGCACCCCGGCGCCGCATATGCTTAAGACAGCCCTGCTGACGGAACTACTTGGTTGGAAACCACCCAATACTTTTTAGTCATGTGTCAGGGATTGACATTTTATAGCAATGCTACTATTGTAACACAAAATGAATATGTGGAAGAAGAATGTCCTGAATCAATAATGTATGGTTAACTGTATTTTGTCTAGATGAAAGAAATTAAATCAATACTACTGAAAATATGGGTTGCAAGGAAACACTGTTAATGCTGACATAGAACATTCTTAACTGTAGATGTATCCTGGCTGCAGCAGTTGTTCCTGTGAAAGCAGCAGCAATTAAGCTTTGTAGCCAACATATTCCTCTTAATGGAGGATGCACTCGCTTCCCTTTGATTAATTTTTACTTGCTTCAGACTCATTAACGTAGTAGTATTTTCTTCTGTACCAAAATTATTTTTCCCCCTTCAAGTTTTTAAGAAGAGAGGAAAATCTAATACCCTAGACTCACAGTTTAAAATGTCTTGGTATTAGTCAAATAACCCCTTCATTTATAATGCCACAGTGTGAATTTTTATTAAATGTGGATTAATGTTTCATGTATATGAAATAGGTCTGTTTTGGCACCCTTTGCAAGTCTTCTTAATACGTTAGTATATTTTTACTTCTTTGGAACTACTCAAAAGAATGCTTTGTATAATGGGATCTTTTGGAATCTCAATCTTTTAATTTTGTTGAGGTTTTTGTACATTTAGAAGTGGTGCTGTTCCTGTTTGCCACATAGAATATAGCTGGATCAGCTTTCTTCATTGTTTCTCCTCTAATAATTAGTTATATTAACTCTGTCTTATATCCATGTTTATTAGAAGTATAGCTCACTGGTTGCTACTCTTTTCAGGAAATGTTGAACTGCTTTTCAATTTATAAGTTACTAGCAGCCTTATACACAGCATTGTTGGGAAATTCTAATAAACAAAAAATTAAAAAATGAGTGCAGTTGTGAAATAAGTGGTCAAAATCGGTGCAGTAGGTTCCATCCGCCATCTTGATTCAAAATGGCATCCAGTTATAGCAAAATATAGACAGAGTTACTGCTCAGTGCACAAAAGGCTCCTTCCATTCACTGATGGGACTCTGATCCAGTGGAGAATCCTGCTACAGAAGGGATAAGGAGCCTGATTCAAATTAGGTGCTTGCTGTAGCACTCGGGAGAGACTCTTAAAATGACTGAACACACGCCAAAATGGCCAGAAGAATCCAAAGTCAGATGCAACAACAGCAGCAAGAATACTTATTGCGAAGTACTGGAAAACACAAGATTTACCCACCCGGGAAGAATGGCAGATGAAGTTGATGGACTATATGGAAATGGCGGAAATGACTGGCAGAATCCGAGACCAGGGAGAAGAATCGGTGGAAGAAGACTGGAAAAAGTTTAAAGATTATTTACAGAAATACTGTAAAATTAATGAATGTTAGAAAAATGTTGGAATGAAGCTATATGGCTTTAGTATAAATGTTATAAGGAATTAAGTATAAATAGATTAATAGAGTATTAAAGGGAAAATAAGGTTAGAATGTGTTAAGATAATTATAGGATAGAAAACAGAGGAAGATGGAAAGGAATTGCTGAAACAATTAACAGAAGTGGAATACAAAAAGGGAGGTGTGAGGAGGTCGTGGAAACAAGTGAACGAAAGATAAGATAATGAAATGGTTTTGTTTTTGTTTTATTAGTTTTATGTGTTAGTGTTTTGTAGTGTTTTTGTATTGTATTGCATTGTCTTTTTTATGCTTTTTCTTTTGTAGTGTTGTGTTTAAAATGTTGGAAAATTAATAAATATTATACAAAAAGAAAAAAAAAGAATCCGAAGTCAGGAAGTCCAAAATTTTAATAAGGAATGAGGAAAATTTATAACTTATCTTAAAGACCATTGTAAACAGTTAAAATCATCAGTAGGGTTGGAATATCACTTGTAGTTTAAGGGTGAATTTTGGACACAGTGGAGATGAAAAGATTTAGATCATCATAAAAGATGGAAGAAATGATTAATAATCAGACCCACAAATGGGAGGATAGAAGTGCAGGAGATTCCTAGAAATCCTGTTTTTATGATCTGTGTTTGATATATGACTGTAAATTTTTGATCTGGAAAACCAAATAAATTTAAATAAAATAAAATTATTGAACACACATAACACCCAGCTCAAACACATATAGGTCTATCAAGATTAGTGACACAGTGTGTTTTATGGTTGATTGCATTGTCTTCATTATTTACAGAAGAGCTTGTGTTCCTTTAGGAATCAGGCTAAATGGACATCTGGGACACCTGTATAAGCCTTCCACTTCCTGTAACAGCCTTCCTGGGCATACATGGGAAGGGAGAAGAAATCCAGACTCTTGTTTCATGCGAAGCAGGGATCATGTCCATTGACTGTGCAAATGTATTAAGCAATTTATTTTTCATACAAGCTGGTCTTCAGTTTTGCAGTATCTTCTTTTAGTATTTTGGTTTCTTTCTATTCAATTTGTTGACGACTCTTCCCCATTTTTTAAGAGAAAAACACTTCAGTCTGGCACTTGTCTTATTTTAGTTTATCACTTTAGTATTTTTTATTCAGAAATGGTATTGAAAGAAAGCATCATGAAAGTCTGGACTTTTTACAGATGGAGCAGTTTTAGGGTTTGTGGTATAAGTTTTCTGAGCAAGAATTGAGCTCTAACTTCACTTTTCCCTCTATTCCTCATTACTGTTAATTATCCAAATGAGAGAACTTACAATGAATTAATGTTGCATTTGAATACTTGAGTAATTTCCTCATGTTTCTTTTCTGTATTACATAGATGAGTTTTGTTATTGAGAGTACAAATTACATGAACCTTTTGTCAAATGTGAAGGCTTGGTGTATTTCTTTAAAATCCTCAGAAGTTGCAATCAGAGAACTGCCTACTTGCAAGTTATTTTAAGGAGACAAACTTTTTTTTATAAAAAAAATGCATTGATAGAAAACAAAGTAAGATTGACCTTGAAGCAAGTCTCACTGAATTTTGCAGGACTGCTAAGTGGGCATCCATACAGTTGCACTAGCATGAATGTGATTTGTGATTATGCCTACTCCAGAACAACAGTGTGGCTTTGTCGTTCACCGCTCTGGGGAAGCTGTGTAGATTTGTTGCCTCCGTACTGGCAACAAGTGAACTCAGTTGTTCCTCTCCCTCCTAGGCTAGTTTTGAGGATAGAACAGATTACAGTCATACCTTGGAAGTTGAACGGAATCCATTCCGGAAGTCCGTTCGACTTCCAAAACGTTTGTAAACCAAAGCGTGGCTTCTGATTGGTTGCAGAAAGCTCCTGCAGCCAATTGGAAGCCACAGAAGCTCCGTCGAATGTTCAGTTTCCAAAAGTAGTTTGCAGACCAGAACACTCACTTCTGGGTTTGCGGCGTTTGGGAGCCAAAACGTTCAAGTACTAAGCTGTTCAGAAACCAAAGTACAGCCGTATTACCAGCTTTACCACCTGGACATCCTTAGCAAAAAGACATGGTACTGGTGTGTGTGTGTGTGTGTGTGTGTGTGTGTGTGTGTGTGTGTGTTTTAAGCAACATAACAATTTGTTGTTGTTGTTATTATTCATTTTATACCTTGTGGAATCCATTGGAGAATCTTTAGCAGCAGTTAACATGAAGTGATTATCTGTCATTGAATAATCTGCACCTATCCTGTAACAAGTTACTCTTGGCTACAAATGTTGTCTGATCAAAATCTCCATTTGCCCAAGTCCAAATCCTGCTATATGTACATGTATAGTCATTGTCTTGCCATTTAAATCAGATGTGGTAAAACTTCACTGAACTACAACTCCCATCAGTCCCTGCAAGCATGGGAGTTATAGTTCAGCAACTACTGGAAGGCCAAAGGCTCCCATGCCCGATTTAAATATTCAACTCCGTATTTGCTTCAAAGCGCATTCTGTTAAGGACGTCACTGAAATCAACGTACCTTTTAGCAGAGCAATTGGGTCACCAGCAATTTAGAAGAAAAAAATATTATTTTTTCTTTCATTCAAACTGCTGCTTCGGATATGTGCAGGTATTACACATGCATAAATACCTCATCCATGGTGTGTGTTGGTGGTGGTGGGGTTTAATTGGAAGAAAATAAATGTTCATTTCTTGACTCTGTGCTCAGTTCAGGAGACAAAAGAAAATATGTTGACAGAGTATAACGGCAGAGCGGTTCCCGTTACGTTGGTGATTTCTACATGAAAATACCTAATACATAATTTAGAGAAGGCAGAAGCAAGTGCCTGGGTGGCCAATGACTCCAATGAGAAAATCATGTTGGAACCAAAACATGCTATGTAAAATGCATGATAAGACTTAGTGCTCAATTTTAAATTTTAATTGACTTCGGTCGCATGAGGCAGGCCAATGTACAGTTAAGGTGAATTCCCAAACAGCTTTTTGACATGCCAGCTATTAGAAGTGTTGTAAGTAGTTCGTGGTAATAAAGAAAAAAAGGGGTAGGTGAGGGAGAATTGAAGAAAGATGCATTAGTTAACCTGAAGTGGTACCAAGTGGTCGCTTGACATGAATAACAAGCCTTCATCTAGAACATTAAGGCTATAGTGTGCAAATTTGGAGTCAGTGCTATTGAAACAAGTTTTAAAAATCTTTTCAAGTAGAGATATTAAGAATTTAATGCTGCATGCATTTTTCTGAAGACCTGGAATTGGTGGCACTACTGTCAGTATTGTGGGTAGAAGGCTGTGGCTTTCAAACTTTCTGCCTTCAAAGAACCCTTTCCACATCGGCCGGTCTGCCAAGGAACGCTTTTGCATCTGCCAACAAACTCAGGTATTGCAAAGAATTTTAAAGCATGTTCCAGTTCACAGAAGACAATGCCAAGTAACATCACCCTGCATAAATTGATGCATGGAGCATAAGGAAATGGTAGAATGCTGAGGAAAAATAGAAAAACGTGTTAAGCTAGTCCAAAATGGCGTGTCTCACAAATTGCCTGAATTTGGACAGTTCTTACTACTCATCTCCAGCTCATACTACAGGTGTAAATTCAGCCTGAGTATACCCAGAACACATCCAACCCTGTGATTACATGTTACAGGGATAGATCCGTTGTTCAAGGAACTGTGTCTGCTGTTACTGATCTCACCGAAGAACCTCAAAGAAGCTTCTGAACACTGCTTGCAAACAACAGGCATTTGAGATTGAACTCAAATCAAACTCAAATCAGACTGGCTTCATGGTTACAAGGAAATGTGCCAAAGAAACCTTATCCCAGTTTTAAAATTTACAGCAGAATCTTTGTGTCTTTGGCATAAAGAAGATGAATAATATAGTATGTACTGCTTGTCTTAAATGCTTGCGGTGCTTCCCATACCTTATCTCAAAAATCCTTAGAACAACTTGGCAACTACTTCAAGACTAAAACTTAAAGATAATGGTTTGTCTGATCCAGTGAGTTTATGATGGAGATGAAATACGAAATATACTCACTTCGTGCTCTTAAGCACGACATCAGACCAGCTATCAAACTGCTTAAAATATTGTTTCTACTTCCAAAGTTCAGAGGTGAACGTGGATATATACTGCATGCAAGGGGGAGTTATCAGCAGCCTGAGGGAAAGGGGAAAGAATGGAGTATTCTGGAAGAGGGGAAGTGACTGACTGGAACACTGAACATGAACACTTCACACCACAACCTTCCATTGCAAGTCCTACTTGTTCAAATACAAATGAATAGGTGTCAAGAGAATTCTCAGCATGAATATATTGGATGAACAAATAGATTGATCACTTGTAGTGTGTGCTCCCCCCCTCCCCAAATTGTGGCATTAAGACATCTTTTACTCCTGATTCAGTGGTACCTCTGGTTATGAACTTAATTTGTTCCAGAGGTCCATTCTTAACCTGAAACTGTTATTAACCTGCGCTACCACTTTAGCTAATGGGGCCTCCCGCTGCCACCACATGATTTCTGTTCTCATCCTGAAGCAAAGTTCTTAATCCGGGGTACTATTCCTGGGTTAGCGGAGTCTGTAACCTGAAGCATCTGTAACCCGAGGTACCACTGTAATTGTTTCGCCCACAGGTTATGGAGGCAAAATTAGTAGTTACCAGATTCCTTCAAGATGAGGGGGTTTCCTGGTTTTCCAGGCCTGTCTTACCAGCATCCATGGTGTTGGTCAGTGAGCAATACTGAAAGCTGCCACAAGTCAGGCTTTATCATAAATGTAAGGGAAGCTTGATAATGAGTCATAGAGTTGGAAGGGACCCTGAGGGCCATCTAGTCCAACCCCCTGCAATGCAGGAATCTTTTGTCTAGTGTGGGTTTCGAACCTATGGCCCTGAGATTAAGAGTCTCATACTCTACCAACCGAGCTAGGTCCTAGCTCTGAAAGTGTTCTGAAATTTTATTTTACTCACCAAAGCAAGTGTGGTAGTTCCTAACTCAAGAAAGAGAATACATTAATGTATTTTCTTGCACCGCAATAACATCTAGCACGGTCTCACCACTGTCCTGCTGCAAATATCATTATGAAGGTTGCTGTGCTTAGCAACTCTGTAGCTCGAGGATTTGGGCTTCTGATGTCTGCTTGCCTCTTTTTTCATTAGTTATTTTAGCCACAGCTTACAACTGTGGGTTAGGCCTGGGAGTATTTAAGCAGAAGTACTGTCCATGTAGCGTTGACATGAAAGTGCTGCAATAGCAGGGCCTGTCAGAAACCGGCATTAAAGAAATATATGGGAGTTCAACTTGGAGAAACTTCTCTCCCTCTCTTTTTAAAAGTTCATTAAAGCATCTAAAGAAGTGTCAGCACAAAGCAGCAAGTTTAATGGGGCCATACAAAGCCCCTGCGATGCTCAACACAAGATTTAGAGGCAGCTCATCTCCCATTGTTCCTTACCTGCCAGTAAAATGTTTATAACTGTGCCAATTTATGAATGTATCAGCATCTTGCCAGAAACTAAATGTAAGGTGCTCAAGTCTCTCCTGCAACTGTTATTATACTCTGAGATAATTTTACACAATAATGATTCCACGTGGCCCCAACGCATCACATTTCAGTACAGATCGGCTGTCAAACATACAGTGGCACCTTGGTTTAAGAACTTAATTCGTTCCGGAGGTCCGTTCTTAACCTGAAACTGTTCTTAACCCTAGGTACCACTTCAGCTAAAGGGGCCTCCCACTGCCGCCGCGTGATTTCTGTTCTCATCCTGAAGCAAAGTTCTTAACCTGAGATACTATTTCTGGGTTAGCGGCAACCTGTAACCTGAAGCGTCTGTAACCCGAGGTACCACTGTACTAGGAAATGTCAAGTGATTTTGACCAGCAACAACAAAACCACAACTGGCAGGAGAAGAAGGGAAGCAGAAAAGAAGCAAATTTGTTCCATTGGTTGCAATCTAGAGCAAGTTATGTTCAAGATTCATTAAAGACAGGAATACTTCCGCACTAGACTTGTACTCAAGGGGCTGGGACCGAAAGACACATGGCTGCTGTGTCCTCACTCCGCCCTCCCTGAGCCACATTGCAAGGCTGGGATCTGATCAGATCCCCAGCCTTGCCAAAGCAGCACAGCGCTGGCTCAGGGAGGGCGGCATGATCATTGCACACACGCAAACGCGCGCACACACACACTCCAATGTGAAAAATGTGGCTGGGGTGATTGCCCCAGCGCACAGACACACACCCATGCTACGCCCCTGATGGGTGGTGTTACCAGGTTGCTGAAGGCTGCACCCCATCATCAGAAGAAGATGGCTTTATAGAGCTGGTAGGCATTCTCTCTTCTTGTTGTGCCCTGCAGATTGTGCCAGGAGTGGTTAGTGCAGCAGGTCAGTTGCCTGTTCTCGCTCCCCCCCACTATGCCATTTATGACACATTAATGTAATGCAGGTGTCAGCAAACTTTTTCAGCAGAGGGCCGGTCCACTGTCCCTCAGACCTTGTGGGGGGCCGGACTATATTTTGAAGGGGAAAAAATGAACAAATTCCTTTGCCCCACAAATAACCCAGAGATGCATTTTAAATAAAAGCACACCTTCTACTCATGTAAAAACACCAGGCAGGCCCCACAAATAACCCAGAGATGCATTTTAAATAAACGCACACATTCTACTCATGTAAAAACATGCTGATTCCCGGACCGTCCAGGGGCCGGACTGAGAAGGTGATTGGGCCGGATCCGGCCTCCAGGCCTTAGTTTGCCTACCCATGATGTAATGCATCATACTTTTCCAGACACAGAAATAAGTGACGGGGAATAAAGTTGCTAAATTTCTCTGTGTTAGGCTGTCATTAAAGACACGTGAGCAGGTCCTGTTTAAAGAAAGAAGGTAAAGATATATAGCACCAGGGATAATGTAATGGAATTGGTGGTGACAACTTGCTTTGGCCATCGCTCACCTCCTGGAAGAGCCCTTTGAATGATCCATGTGGCTGCAGTCTGAGTCTGTTGTAGAATAAGGGATGGGTGAAATAAAGAGTGAATTAACTACTGAAATTCCAGATAGATTAACTCTAATCTTTAGCACCCTTCAAAGGTTTGCCTCCACACTTAGGGTTAACATCTGGAGTGTCATGGGCCAAGAGTCAGCTTCACCTGATGAACAGCAGCCTGAAGGGGGAGAAGGCAGAGTGACTCCACCTGCAGCTGATCAGCCTTCAAGGACTCAGAGGAGAAGGTCCTGATGAAAACCAGCTGGCTTCAGCCTTCTTAAGCAGAGCTTCCAGCAGCAGGCAGATGTTGGAAACAAGGTTTGTAGACCTACCTTGCTGCTTCCTGTTTGTCTTGACCCCAGATTTCCTGACCTCTGGATCATCTGACCACACGGATTGCTCTTCACCTGACCCTAGGACTGAACCTGACTTTGGATGCTGAATCTGCCTCCACGTAAGTACAACTCAGAGACGCTTCTGGTTAGCTGGCCTCCACTGAGCTCTGCATGTTGTTGCTCAGCAACGTGACTATGACACGGAGGAGGGGCGAGGTCATGGCTCCAGCTCTGTTCCCAACCTAGAATGTCCAGCTCCCACCATCCCCAAGGTGATATCTAAACAGAAGGCTACTGGAGCATGTTGGGTCCATAACACTGGAGAAGTAGAATCATAAGGCATGACCTGTGTGTATTAGACCAGGGGTCAGCAATTTTTTTTTAGCTGTGGGCCGGTCCACTGTCCCTCAGACCTTGTGGCGGGCTGGAGAAGCAGCACGGGGCAGGGGTAGCTGGAAGAAGAGGCGAGGGGGGGCAAGTAGTCCTCCCCATACCCCAGCCCCAGCCGCTGTGCTTACCTTCCCAGACCGGTGATCTGAGCACCCCTAGCCCCTTCCCCCTCTCCCCAGAAAGGGAAGCAGGAGCCCTTCCCTGGTGCTTCAGCCTCAAGGACTTTCGCTGTGGGCTGTGCTTGGGTCTGCTGGGAGCTAGCCCGCCAGGCCAGGACTCATTGCAGCGGCTCTCTGATTTCGCCCCTTTGCTCTGCACCCGGCTCCTCCTGTGGGGCTGGAGCTTGCCTGGGCTTGCCGGGTGGCACGCTTGCAGTGCACAGTGCCTCTGCAGTGGCGGTGGCAATGGCTGCAGTGGCGGCAGCTCCTCCTCACGCTCTTTCCCCAGGGCTCCTGCAGGCAGGATGGTGGCTGTAGACTGGCAGCCCTCGGCGGGCCGCAGGACGGGTCAGTAGCTGGTACGTGAGAGGTAGGGGAGGGAAGTGGCGCAAAAAAAATAAAATGGCAGCACAAAAACAGAATCCCCACAGCCCATGCCAATCCATGGACCGTCTGTGGGCCAGATCCTGAAGGCAATGGGCCGGATCTATCCTGCAGCCCTTAGTTTGCTGACCCCTGTATTAGACTAGCGGTGGGAACCTTTTCAGCCCATTAGGTCAGATCCTTAGCTCCCCCTCCTGCAGCGGTCACTTTGCCCACCTGTCAACCATCTGTCATAACCATGACATCAGATGTGCCATCTTTCAAGCTGCACTGCAAAGGAAGATTCCAAAGGCTTAGATTAGCTGGACTCTGGAATTCCCAATCAGAAACTGTAGTGCAGCGAGTACTGTGGGACCTGAAGTCACTGCCAATCAGCTGACAGGAGCTGTCTTTGAGCACTGCTTTTAGCAGGGATTGGCTACACTCGTGTGTCGCTGGACCTAGGTGGGCTCGAAGTCACTCTCAACTTCATTATACACCTTTAGGTGCCAGGCAAAAGCATTCCTCTTTAACCAGACTTTGGGCTGACTGACACCCAATGCCCTTTTAAAATGTGTTGGGGTTCTTATTGAGTGGTTTTTGTTTTTATTTTGATTATGTATTTTGTGATTTTATCTTGTGAAACGCCCTAAGACCTGAGGGTATAGGGTGGTATACAAATTTAATAAATAGTTACAATCTAAACCCTCTATGTTTCACTGTTGTTTTTTCAGTGTGGCTGAAAACTCTTTATAATTTAAATTTGAATTTAGTAGTGGTCCATTTTATACCTGTGCACGGCATAGCCTTGCCTACAAATCTGGAAAACACTTCCTGAGTTCCGGACTCGAGACGAGCCAAATGAGTCATCTTTGATGGGAGTTTGAGAGAGAATGGCGAGGGGAGGTTTGTCACAACTTTGGGAAAACCAAAGAGAAGAGTACAAGGACTAGGAAGGTGAGCACTCTGAGGGTGTTCCTTGAGCTTGTCATGCCACATTCCGGATGGCTAGAAAAACATGGGATTGCCTTGAGCATCTTTGTACAATATCAGCTTTGTCAGTAGTGTTACCATCCCTTCTGAATTTCCATCCATTCCTGCTTTGTGGCATGTGGCTGTCAGGAGAGCCTTGTCTGTTAGAGAGGGGTAGGGGAGGCTCTATCCCAGGTTAGGAACATCCTTGGTAGAGACATGGCAGGTTATGTTGCCTCTCTAGGAAGAAGCTAGCTGACTTTCAAGAGAAGTGATGGGGGCCTGTGGCTTTCCAGACATTGTTGGTCTAAACTCCCATCTATTGATTTTTGATCATGCTGGTTAGGGATGATGGGAATTTCCAGCATCATCTAGACCAGGGGTCAGCAAACTTTTTCAGCTGTGGGCCAGTCCACTGTCCCTCAGACCATGTGGTAGGCCATACTGTATTTTTTTGGGGGGAAATGAACAAATTCCTATGCCCCACAAATAACCCAGAGATGCATTTTAAATAAAAGCACACATTCTACTCATGTAAAAACACGCTGATTCCCGGACCGTCCATGGGCCAGATTGAGAAGGCAATTGGGCCGCATCCAGCCCATAGAACGTAGGTTGCCTGCCCCTGATCTAGAGAACTGCAGCTTCTCTATTCCTGTTCAAGAGATTAGTTAGAATTGATAGCTGTCTGATCATATTGATACCCTGTTTTAAATAGTTTCGTCTTCTTCCGTTTGTTTGTTCTGGGTCTGAGAGAAGCTACATTTTACAAGCTCTCCTGTACCACAAAAAAAATATGTAAATGTAAATATGTAATTCTTTGTATTAGTCAGTTCCTGGGTATAGTGCATGATTTGTGATATGATCACAGTCATGCTATTTCTCCTTTCCTCTGCTTCTATTATTATGCATTGCGCAGCACACTTCCAACAGGACTATAAATTAGGACAGTAATTCCATCTGGGTTTCTGGTGACAAAAATAGAGAATTTAAGCTGTTTCTGAAAGTTCCTGATGATGCTGAGACCCCTCAAGTGATATTAGCAGTCTCCTGGTGTGTGGCTGAGGCAAGTTTATTAATTCCCTTCCCTTCCAAGAAGATGTAATTAGTAATTAACCACAATTGCCTTGTCCAGAGGAAAAGTTACATGATGTAATTAAGATGAATGCATGTGGTATTACCAGGTGTTCAGATGGGTAAAAATGAATTAATAAACAAAGGAGCAAATCCATTGTGAAACTCAACCGCAAATGAATCATTGGTTCACTTCATAGGATATCTGTCCAAGGTCGTCACATTATGAATCACTATGGCTACCACCCAGGCTAAAGGGGAATTAATTTATGTCTGAGGTATGCTGATCAGTGTCTCCATGTGGTACAAGAGTCTACTTTGAAGTTGAGCAGCTCTTTGAATGTCCATAATAGTTGTGTTTTACTGCATGGATACTGACACATGGTACAAAACAGTGCCATTGATCACAAGGGCTCATATAGATAAGCAACAGAAAATTATTCACAGAACAGTTAAAGAAGTTCTGAAAGTACTCCTAACAAATAAATTAGGCAGTCGCAATATTGAGAGAATGTTGACTGAGACAAATGCCACTGGACTTAAGTTGAAGGGTCAAGTTTTAGTCTTTTTAATTTTTATTATTCATTAAATTTGTACAGTGGTACCTCTGGTTACGGACGCTTCTGGTTAAGTACACTTCGCGTTACGAGTTCCGCTGACCTGAAAGTAGGTTACAAACTTTGCCCCAGGATGTGGGCGAAAATTGCACGCCCAGGGCACATGTGGAGCAGGAAGCGCCAATAGCGAAAGCACACCTCAGGGTGAGAATGATTTCTGATTACGAACGAACCTCCGGAAAGGATTCAGTCCGTAATCAGAGGTACCACTGAATACCCCCCATTCATCTGAAGATCTCAGGGCGGTTCACAGCGTAAATAGCCTTACCACTATAGACAAGTATTTTTTCTGGCATCCTAGCCAGGGCCCCATCTTCTGTATAACTAAGATGAAGCAGAGCCAAGATCAAACACAGATATTCTAGAACCAGGAAACTAGTCAATAAGCTACATTTTTTAAAATTATTATTTGCCTGCTTGATAAATTGGCTGTTCTTAGTTTAATTGTCTGCTGCATTGAATTTATGAGCCCCCAATTAATATGTGGTTCCTTGACGTGGCCACATACTACAGTCCCTGTTCATTTGTGCCATTGATGCATATCTCTTGTACAGTCAAGTCTTCTATAGGTGATGCGCTGCATACAATGAGCACCCAATTTGCCTTACTTTCCTTCTCCAACTTTAGAACATAAGAAGAGTCTTCCTGGATAGGACCAATGCTCCATCTACTCCAGAATTCTGTTTTTCATACTGGCCATCCAAACACCTAGCAGGACCTGAGCACTCTTTTGCTCTTTCCCGCAACTGGAATTCAGAAGGATATTTCTGTTTGTCCACCTTGCCCTATGACATTTTCAGTTCAGGGTCATGCTTGTTTACCTTCTCATGATAAATCTGCCCTATATTTCCTGCATCCTGATAAGGACCAAGCTCTTCAGGGCCCACTAGCCACCTATTCCATCCCTTCGTCCAATGGATGAAGGAAGAGGTTTATCAGAAGAAGGGAGCATACTGGCAAAACCTATCTAGTTGATGTTGATCAGAGTGGATATAAATTTAATGATTGTTGATATGCCATTTTAAATGTTGAAAGCATATTGCATTCTCTGGGCTCATCCAGACTTGTGCTATGTCTAAAAAGCATGGGTCCAAGTGGTTTCCCACTTGACCCACGCTTTCTAGGCATGAATCCAAGCAGTTTTCGCCTTGCCCTGCTTCTTTTCTAGGGAAAACCTACTCTCACGTGTTATATCAGAACTAATGGCATTCTGGGGAAAACCTGAATTGCTGTTTGTTCTGATTGAGCACTAAAGAGCAGTTTTTCCCAGTGGGAAAGCAGAAGAACAAGAAGAAAGGTGAATAAGCCCTCTGTCTCATCCATGATCCTGTAAGGCAGATAATTCTCACTTCTGTTGCCCTGGGCTCCTTTTGGAGGAAAGTTGGGATATAAATAGAATAAATAAATTTATGTACTGAGTTGCCCTGACCATGATTACTCTGAAGTAAGCCCATTAATTCAGCAGAGCTTTCTTCCAAACTTACATGCGTAGGATTACAGTCTGAAACTTGAACAAGTGACTTCAGCAAAACTAAGTTTTGTTTTTATTTGCATTTCAGATATCCAACTTGTATTTCATCCCCTTACCCAGATTTAACCATGTAATATATACTGAAA